CGTGTATGCCCCTCTAATAAAAGAAGCCATACAGGGCCCAAAGCGAACTCGCAAGCGTTGGAGAATTACTAGAATGCAAGGCTCCCCAAAAAAGACTCTCAACCTCGTACAACGTGCATTCGTTCGGTTTCGTGTATCGTCATTACCGTCCCGCAATCCAGCGACGGATCACTTCAAGAGACGGGTCGTCGTCAAGCCAGTGGCCTGCCCGCATGTCCGCGGCGCGGAGGTCCGACACAACATGGTGATCGGTGATGCCATTCAGATCCTGGTGAAGCGCGGTCGTGGCGCCCTTCAGGGCGGTCGTTTTTTCGGCTGGTGTTCGTTGAGCACGTTGAATATTGGTGCGGGCTATAGCCCATCGCCGGGCTGCGGCGGCACGTAGGTAGATCTTGTGTGCTTGGAAGCGGCGTGCGCTGCTATCGACGATGACTCTGCCAAGAGCAAAGTTCGTTAGTCTTGGTCAAGTGGAACTATTGTTGTTGATGGGTGGATCTGTGTACCTTCGGAGCTCGGCCTTCTCGGTTTCGACATTGCCTTGCCCTGTAACCGGACAGGGCTGGTAGTTGGCAGACGCCAAGTTCTGCGCGGAGGCTAGGGACTCCCGGAGTACCACGTAGCCTTCCTCGTTATATTCCGCTTGGCACACCTCCATGCGCTGTTGCGAGATGTGCAACAGGAGAGTGCGGTAGTCGTTGATGATCTCTGCGACTCGCATAGCGCGAGCTTGGTTCACTGTGAGGTGGTGATCAGCACTGTGTTTGGCAATTGAGACATCCAATTGAGGGGGGTTGGGGATAGCTTACGTCCGTCCGCCATGTCTCTTGGGGTATATTAAGTATAAAATGAAGATAATAGGTCAATTGAAGGAACGGAAGGAAGTGGGCAAGTAAGAAGTATAAAGTGGCATCAAAGATGACCAATTAAAGACGAAAGAAAGAACGATTAGACGAACTGATTGTCCATGAACTCGTGAATGTTAGGCCACCAACGGTCCTAGGGAGGGAGAGAAGGAAGATATAAATCTTCCAAAGTAGAAACTGCCTTCTCCTTACCCCATACATGATGACAGCCAACGACCTCGATGGGTCGAAGAAGGGAAAAAAAAAAAAAAGAAATTTTCACAAAATAATAATGATAACCCAAAGGAGGATCTCAGCCCGTGACAGCGGAGCCGGACGTCAGTAGGATCATCATCCAAGGGACTAGCTGCACCAATAGACGGTGAAGATCCCACGATCAGGGAGCTCGCATGGTCGAGTACAGCTGGGATGTAAAGCGCGAGTGGGCCGTGGAATAGCTCCCGAAAAACCGTCAACGGCACCAGGACCACCCTTGTTTCCCTAAGAGGGAACCAGGAGTGGGGGAGAGACCTGAGAGAGCAAGAGGGGCGTGGCCAGGTATGGCGTATGGCCTGGAAACATGGCTTGTTTCGCCTCCGTAAAGAACCAGGCCCGAGCTGCACTCTCCCAGTGGGGAACGTTAGTTCCGCATTGAGCAAGATTAGGTTCCGGTGCACTTCGATTTGGGGTTCTCGTGAGGAGAGACAGGGGACTTCAGGACTCTGATTGGAGAGCGGACGAACTACTCAAGTGGGGCCTCATTATTTTCTATGCATATGAAAAAGGGAGGAAGTTCAGCCCTGGACCTGCATAGGCGAGATCTGTCTGAAGTGGAGCGAAGCAATTAGGGTTCAGCTGCCTTTGCCACACTTCTTTGAGCTACTCCCCACCGCCTGCCTATTCAAGACATAGTAATTGGATATTCAATGCAATTTGAGCGCCTAGATGCAACTATCTCAGTTTGTGTGCGCGTTCATATTCTGATCTATTCATTCTCTGCTTTGTCCAATTCCACCAAAAGCAAGGATAACAATATGTGTCTATATTTAGGGGCTACTTTCAGCCCAGCCACTTGCTGAGCCACGTGTGGCGCACGGCTCGGAGCTGGCCTTGTTACATGTAACGTAGCTAAGATCAACCGATCGTCATCAGCGTGGCAGCCATTCTATTGATACGTCACAGCCAATGTTATAGCTGCGCTGATCTGGTTCATGAGACAGTCTTAGCAGGGATTTGATCTTCTTTTAGGGTGAGATTCGCATTTCCAATCGCCTCGACTTCCCTAGATCCACGGAGGTGTGTGGTATGTCGCGATATGGACACAGACTGCTGAACCTGCCCTGATCCCAGCAGATGTGGCTGGTGACAGCGACTACCAAGGATCATGTCCCTTGGACGTCAGTCTTGCTTTGATCTGTGATCCGAGACACAGAGCGAGTTATGAATTCAGGAGCATTTGCAGTGATACAAAACAGGATAATCGTGGTCCACGTATCGACTCTACTTTCCATGATGACCGACTCTATCCTTGGCCGGATTAATATTTCCTGCATAGTATCTTATCACCTTCTACACAAGGTCATATTCGGGGTCTGTCGTTCAAAGTCAGCAGTCATTGTTTACATTTACTCCCATCATGAAATTATGCATATGACTATCGAATACAACCATGAACTGTTTGAGCATTCTTCGTGTGGTTCATGTTCGTCAAGAAATGCGTGTGCAATGGTATCAACTTTGGAATCAAACATAACAGCTTGATCGGCAACCTTGTGTTTTTGATCTACTTTAGCAGGCTGAGATGACTCTACGGGCTCTAGTCGAGTGCTATGACAGACAAATACGATGAAAAATGGTCCTTGGTGATTGTAATATTGTGTGCACTTGTTGGTTGGAGATCATACGCAGGTCAGATTCGTCGGAGATGAGCTTTGCGACATAATGAAACTGTTTGTCCAGCCTCTCTGTCCTTGCAACTTGGAAGTTTGATGAGAAAATACTGCTATGCGCAATCTGTGGAGGAGGCAAGGAGTCAACGGGGCTATTGGCGCTAAGTGGTAGTTGCGATGGCCTCTCTTACTATAATTTTACCTATCAATTTGACCGATTCGGTGCTAGCTATTCGTCAGCTGCTTGCCAGAAATAAAGGATCATTTTCAAGGTTATCTCCCCAATGTAATGATTGGCCCATAAGTATACCAGGCAGTTCTTTATAGCTACAGACTGTGACACCGCATCAAGGCAAAATACTACCTACTTCGCCATATCTCCATCTGAGCTGATAGATCAGTTGCATCTGCTGTGGCAAATTCTTCCCAGCTTGAACCGAGGTTGATCTTAAGATATCTTGGCCCGAACAAACGCGAGACTGGGGGCTGAAGAGCTTCTTGAACGAAGATGTATGGCATCAAGATGCAGGGGAACTGTAGATCTCGTAAATTTAGGAGTACGGGGACTCCGAAGCATGACCTAAACCGTAGCATTGCAGGAAATGAGTTATCATTCAGGTCGTCTGTTTCTCTAATAGTAAAAAAAAAAGAAAAACACGGGGTTCCTTCCATTCCTGGTCTCTTATCTCAATAACTTGCAAATCAAGTTCGCTCAGTCCTTCTCGGCTATGGCCTGCAGGCGTTCATCGATCTCTTCCTCCGTCAGGGCGCGGAACCCTGTGGTGGTGCCTTCCTGGCCATCTCCGCGCGGCCCACCGACAACACCAATCTCAATCTCGTGCTTCTTGAAATCGACGCTTAGCACGTTGCTCAGGGCAGTGATACCCAGCTCCACAACTTCTTCCCAGGAGCCTGCGGCAGCATCCTTGTTCTTCAGCTTCTTTTCCAGGTAGTTGAGCGCCTCCTGCTGCTTGGGTCCGGATGCTGTCGCCTTGTATCCAACGTAGTATCCAGCTGGGTCGCACTTGTAGAGCTGAGGGCCGGCTTCATCATCGACAGAGATCAAGGTTGTAGCCACGCCGAGTGGTCGCATGTAAGCCTGGAAGATTTCAAAAAGAACCACGTTAGTCAATTCGCCCCCAAGTAGGAAAATAGTGCACGACGACTGAGACCTACCCTTTGTGTGTAGACCTGGTTGATATTTGCCAGTCGCTTTGCCAAAACATCGCAGGGCATCTCGTATCCGAACTTGTACCGGAACTCAGCAGCCTCACCACGGGCCCGGTCGACAGATGCCCGAGCATCTGCTATGGAACCAGTCATCACACAGCCTACGGAAGGCGAGATCCGGAAAACATGTGAAACGGAGGATGGGTCGATCAATTTGTCCTGATGCGAGACGGATTAGCGTGAGTGCGCCTCCGGCTTCGAACGAAGATTCCAGCTTACAGCGACTTTCTTCTGAGAGAGAACAACAGCACAGTCCTTTCCCCTCACACCGATGGAGGTAATGTTGGCTGAGGTGATGGCCTTGAATGCATATTCTGAGACACAGGAGGTTGGTCAGCGGCCATGATGACAGCGCGGGGATTGAGGCCGGGATGTAGGCGAGCGAAGATGATCGAGGAAGCAAGAGTACATACCGACTTGGTACAATCGACCCTGGTCAGAGAAGATAGTGATATGTCTGTCGTAGGCGCTTCCTGCGGAGAGAACCAAGGTCAGTTGGGGGATGAAGTCATGGGGCTAGGCTGTGCCATCGGCGAGAGATCGTACCAGACATGATGGCGGTGCTTCAAGTCTTTTGTAGCGAGATAAAGAGCAATAAAGAAAAGAAATATGAGAGAGGGACCTGGAGACGAGATGATGGGGGTTGATTAGTGACGCGTGCCAGAGCTGCCTGAGCTCAAGCTTGAGGTTGGCCTCACCGCCTTTACTGCCATTGACCAGGTCTACATTCACAGGCGTGAAATAACGAGTTGAAAAATTGATTGACGAGAGTTAGCAATTTGAAATGCAAATACTATATAAGAATTTTCTCTGCTCAGTTGCATGGAATAAAAGCAGCAGAAGGAAGACTAGATCCTTGTTGCTCGATCAAATTATCAAGAATACATACTTCGACACTTCAACGGATCAATAGTGGTAGATATGAATAAACTGACTTTTGAATATATGAACATCAACAGAATTACACCGTCCCATATGCTGTGGTAGAGTTATGCACATAAAAGTAAGATAGTGATCCCTCCAAAGTTGCCCAACAGAACTAATCACTGTCGCTTTCACTGCTCGAGATCTCAATCTGAGCAGTTCTAAGCTTGCGCTTTTGAGTCTTCTTAGGGACCTTGGGCACAGGCGCGGGCTTAGGGTTTTCGTCACGGGCCTGCAAGTTCTTCTTCTTCTTGTCGGCCTTGCTTTCCTTCTTCGACAGAGTGACCACTGCAGCTTGCTTAGCAGGGGTAGGCGCAGGAGCCTTCGCATCGGAATCATCGCTGTCACTGTCGCTGTCGCTGCTGCTACCGCTGGACGAGGTGCTTTCATCACTGCTGCTGATATCAACAACGACGGTTCTGTTCTTCCGCTTCTTGGGCTCCGTAGACTTGGGTCTGGGCTTGGGCTTGGCATCTTCGGCGCTGAAGAGCTTGCCGGCAACAGCGAAAAAGACCAGTTCCGCTCGCTGTCTCTTCGGCAAACGCTTCTGGAACTCTGCGCTCACGTCTTCTCCAATGTTGATACTGTCCAGCTCCTCATCTGCTTCTGGCAAATGTTCACGGAACGAGTTGATAGCTTCAGTGTAGCCGGTGTTTGTGGGTTCCTCCTGGTTTTCCACTGATTCGTCGTCCTTAGGCTTGTCAAGCTTCATGTCGTCCTTGATCACATCCCTCGCAGCATCGCTCAACCGTTGCTTTGCGGCATCACCACGGAGTCCTTGCATGTATGCCAGGAGCGAAGTGTTGTACTGGGAGGGAACATGCTCCAGTGAGTACAGGTGCTTGAAGAGGTTGGTTTCGCGGTTCTTCTGGAACTTCCAGGTAGCGCGTGCTCGGTGGTAGTGGCTAAGGTAGGAGAGAATGGGAGTCTCGTGGACTTGGGCCTGGGGCGTGGCAGTGCCAGTTTTCTTCGACTTCTTCTTCTCACGCTTGCGCTTCTTCATCTCTTCAACTTCCTTGTCATTCTCCTTGTCCTCGGTGTCTGCCTCAGCTCCGTCGGTGGTAGCAGCATCGTCCATGTCGACATCATCGGAGTCACTGTCGTCGCCGTCGTTCTCCTTTGTCCCAGGTCCAAAAGACACACGCTTCTTTTTACTCTTCTTTGATTCAGAGTCCTTTTCCTTCTTCTCGTCGTCGTCTTCGGCGTGGCGGCGCTTCTTCTTTTTCTTCAGTTCACCATCGGTTTCGGGTCCAGCGTCCTCGGAGGAAGACTTCTTGCGCTTTTTCTTGTCTTTCTTGTCGGACTTGGTATCTTTGTCATTGGTGTCGACTTCTGCAGGCTGTACGTCTGTAATGGTCTCGTCTGTGGATTTCTTCGCATTCTTGAGCTTCGACCCGAGCGTTTTTGAGGCCGGGGATTGAACCGACTCGGTGTCGGCCAGCTTCGCCATTGTTGCTGCGTATGGCTACAACTGGATTTGAAATAACACAGTGGGTAATTTTAGGGAGGACGACACTCTCAAAATGTCTGAATTGGGTGCTTCAAGTCTGGCGACTACGACTCCGACGGTGGAGGCTGGGCGGAGACAACTTTTTTTCTGCCAATTGCGCGAACCAATTAGATTGACCGCATGTTGTATATCTTCTTCGAGGATTTACAATAGCAAACTCAGGTTTAAATACATCTTCATTCATAATTGGAATTGAGGGAGACTACTAGCTATAAGAAATTAGCCCAGGATGCTTCGCTAAAGACACAAAATGAATCTTCACCCCCCCCCCAAATATACTACCCTAGGATTAATATACGGACTTCTGTGACCCATATATGCTAACCCCGTTCATCCAAGATTCGGCTTTGAAGACTATTAGTAGATTGCTAGTAGATTGATACGTTTCTCTTGAAAGACACTTCACACTTTAAGACCTAACCTCCAGCCAACCCATAACACGTAGCCAAAGTAAACGGACCTGCGAATTGCCCTTTGGAGCTGGTTTCACCTTTCTGGGGCTAGAGCGCAAAAATATATACACTGGCACCGACTGTAGACACAGCATAAGCTAAGAGTATCTCCAGCTTTGCTCTTTTCCTCCCTTTTTCTCTGAGCCTACCACCGTAGGTCCATATGATGAAAGGTGCTGGCACGCCGAAAACAATCATAATGAACGCCAAAGTGCTGTTGCCTCGTCAATATCCAGCACGATCATACAAAGCTGGTGCGAATATATGGAAGCAAAGCCCAAGATACTGCGTAAGAACTGACTCGCAGCATTGGCAAATGCCACATACTCCTTGTAGGACTCCTGCATGGCCTAAGTGCTGAGAATCACTCCAAAACCAAACGTCGCAGCTCCAATGTCTACTACAACCCATAACGCCATTGCTTCTGCCGACCAGCCATGCCAGAACAAACCAGCTAGCAATAATTTTACGCCTGGAATCATCAAAAGGATTCCGTGTTCAGGTGCAGTGTGGCCTCGCTTGCGTTTGAGATGCTTCCGCAGCCAGTCAGTGAAGTGAGCGCCAACTTGAGCGGTGAGGGTGTATCCGATCACAAGAGCGACAAAATGGACTTCACTGACCGAGATCGATTGGTAATATTTGTCTGTCCAGAGGGAGGCAAAGCTAGTAAGGAACGGGAAAAGAACACCATAGTCATAGGCGGGAAAGATAGCCATAATTTGGATAGTTGGCTGAGTCGCCAGCGTCCAGCAAGGGCTTGCAAGACTGAGACGGACCTTTCATCCCAAAGGTGGACTATGAGTATCGGACTTACTAGAAAGGGTCTACCCGTCTCTTTCTGCAATTTGTCAGCTTTCCGATGAAACAACAAACGGTGATACGTTTCTGGAAAGAAAAAAAACCGCATACACATCCAAAAGAGCGTCGAAGGTCGAAAGAATCTAGAAGAGCTACCTCCACCCGACATGCTTGTAACGGGGCGCAGAAGGAGAATGCCCCCCTCATCCTTGTTCCTTCAAGGATCAAAACGTTCCCTTGCTGTAAAGCAATGCCGAGGGCGCCTCAGAGACAGCACAAATCAAAACGACGAGTTGAAGAATATTGCGCTAGCAAAATTATCAGTTGAACTGGAAAGGCATCATGAGTACCCCAGGGAAAAGAACATGAAACCGCTAGCCTGATGAGAACGCCATGCAGTTGTACCATGTGTCGCAATGCTCTGCCCAAATAGAACGGTACCAGGGGTGCCTATATATTGAACTTGAGACTTGACTAAGTGCATTAAGAGAAGATTGCGAGCGTTATTAACAGAGCGTGACACATCGACAAGCCGCTATGATTATTGAATCGATGGCGGAGAAGATCCTAGACCGATATACCAACCTAGCCATACATGTATAACGTAATCACATCTTGAAAATTGTGAAACTGAAATTTGAATCATTCCATCGATGCATCCTTAGCTCAAGGGAAAGCTTTTCTAGGCTTCAGTCTATGCAGATCTCGGCGATCGGATAGGAGAGCGCACATTGCGTGATCACTTCTCTCAGATTGAATTCAGCCCTGTTCAATGGAAGATTCCATAGGGGATTACAGCGATAGGTTCCTATTCTGATACGATCCTTGATACCCCTTTTGCGCAATCAATGTTGTGCCATCAATTCATTGCCTTGTCCCTGGATTTAGGTAAAACCCCCGCATAAGAAAGATGACCAAACTAATAAGTTTGAGACAGTAATTGACTTGTGATAGATAATTTTGAAAGACATGACAGGTGATCTTATCATGTTATTTGACTTTGAAGATACTATCTGAGATCAAATTAAGCTTAAATTGCTTTGACAGGTGACCATGGACTGTGTAAAGAATATTACAATTCTAATTAGACAGCACTAGTTGTCATACATACTTAGATAGATTTTATTCAAGATGGAACTTTGTCTTTGTCAACATGATAATGAACGTCTTCAGCAATAGCAACATAGATGGTCACATCTCAAACAAACTCCTGTCATCCAAACGCAATGTATTTGTAAATCTGATTAGACATGACTAGCATGATACATGAGGACTATTCAAGATTAAACAGTGTCTTTGTCAAAAGAATAATAAACCCTTTATCAATATCAGCATGGATGGTTGCATCCATCTCAAATAGATCTCTGTCATTCAAACGCAATGCATATGCAAATCTATCTATCTTCTGTAACGGTATGTACAAATGCAACTCTATCTACAACTATCTACCCCCAAGTATATACAAATGCCATTGAATAATAGCAATTTTCCTCCGCATCGGAGGGCACCTCCGGAGTTCCAGCGTTACTCTCACGGCAAACTCCGCTTTTCAGTCCAAAGTGGGTCCACGTAGTAAACAACGCCGTGGCCGACGGAAGCCGCCAGTGGTCCAATCTTCGGGCAAATTAGTAAAAGAAACCCCAACGGTGAAAAAGAATGGTAATAGAAATTGGAATTGGTTTCCAATTTCAATTCCCCGCCGATAGGAATAGAATACTCACCCAGTGGATCCAGTGATAGCTGGGGAAACTAGACGCGACATAAGCCCCGAAGCACCGGGCCGGGTTGAGACCTGCAGAAAAGTGGGTTAACATCCCCATACCGGCAAGATTACAGGGGGTAGGAAGCGGCCTACTAGCACCAATATAACCCTCACGAGTAAACGCCGTACCCCAACTAACAACACCAAGCACAATGCCAACAAACCAAGGCGCAGTAGCATGTCCAAAGACATTAGCCTGTCTAGGATCAAGCGCCACGCCAAACGCAAGGAAGATCACAATCAAACACGCAAAGAACTCAATAACCAGCCCATCATTGGGATCAACCATACTGGTATCAATATGGCATCCCCCAACAGTGAACTCCCGAGTCCCATATGCACTGTGCAGGGCAAAGCCAGCCAACGCTCCACCCAAAGTCTGGCCGGCCAGATAGAGCACCATGCGGGGGAAGGAGATGATCCGCGCGAAGAAAGTGGCTAGCGTGATCGTCGGGCTGATATGGCCTCCACTGGACGGGGAGAAAGTATAGATAAGCAGCGGGGTGAGGAGCAGGTTTGTTATTCCGCCGAAGAGAGGCGAGAAGAAGGTCACGGTGTGGTAGACGCCTGCTTCGGTTTTGGGCGAGGTTGTCGGTGCTGCTGGGTGTGTTGTTACCCAGCTAGAGAGGAAGACGTTCATCATGCTTGCTAGACATTGTAAAACAAAGCATTAACATTGTATACTTGATTGGGGGACCAATGGGGTGCGTTGCCAGATTTTGCAATCGCATGCGGCATAGCGTGTGTCTGGATCGGATTGGATTTCCACGGTTGGGTTGGCTTACCGACGCATTCTAGCATGGCGAACTTCCATAGATCTGGGCTTCGGAAGCCTTGCAGATCGAAGATCTCGGCCAATGTCATGCGTGGTGCCGCATCGGGTACCTCCTTCAGCACTTCCACATTCTTCGGATCGTTCCGGTCGACGATAAAGTCCTGGTTTCCGCCGATTCGACCCGCAAAGGGGTGAGTGGCGGGCTCCAGGTACGGATGATCCTCATGTTCGAGCTGGGGGAGATAAGCCACGACCATAGCGTTTTTGAGTTTGAGTTGGGCTGAGACATCCGCCGGTCAGATTATGCACGTAACAGGGCAGTTGCTGATTGGCTGGCGGGCTGACTCAGCACGCTTGTTTCGGCGAACGTTGGCCGAAGGTTCTCCTTGGACCAATCAGTAGTGAAGATGATATTAATATCATGTATTTCATTTTTCATTGATTTATTGTATAAACGATGTAGATCATGGTGCCCGATCTGTCTGGGATCTATCACTGTACTGCATACTCTGCATACTGTAGAAGGGGTGACTAACTGAAAACAGTCCAAGATAGCATGATAAGCCTCTATACGGAGTCCGCCGCGTGACCAACGGCAATTAGACCAGATACCCTTTCCCTCTGATATTTGTCAAGTTAATTAATGCACTGTCTACGGAGTCCGGGATGAGAAATTGAAACTACTGATCAACAAAGAAATAAGAATTAATGAAAATAAGCTTGGAAAATAAGATTAAAAATATCGCCGACATTTATCCGAGGTCCGCAGGGTATGAACCAAAAAGTAGACCATTCTACAGCCATGTACATAAAACAACAGAAAAAAAGTACCATCGTGGAACTCGTCAATCGCATTAATGCCCTCGCAAGAGCCCAATAAGCATGTACAGTACACAGTTAGCATTATGCTGCATTCCCATTTCCAGCAATCCCAGGATCTTTCGCCCCAGTATCCCTCCTCTCCCTACGCATTTCCTTCGGGAAACCCTCGCTCCCAGACCCCGTAGCCGCAGCTGACGCCGCAGCTCTCCGTTTCGCCTTTTCCCGCTCACGTTCCTTCTCCTTCTCCTTGTCACGCGCGCTTGGAGCTGCCCGTCGCCGCTTGGGTTCATAGACATCGTTGAAATTCATGACAACACCCAGGAACCGCATGTCCACGTCTGGCTGGTAGGCTAGATCGCCTAGGAGGATGTTGAGGCGGGACCGGAAATCGGCTGAGAGTTCGCGGAGACGGACGCGGAGTGAGGCGAGCATGTTGTCATCGGCTGTGAGGTCGTGGCCCGATAGTGAGAGGGGCGTGCTTACGCCGTCGACTCCTGCGCTGTCGGGTCTGATGTCTGGAGTTGAGGCCATTGAGGTTCCGGGGCGACTGTTGGATTGACGTGAGAGGAGGTCGCGGTCCGTCATGCCCCAGTGGCCTTGAGCGGTGCGAGTTTCGATCTTGGCGTTGATTTCCTGGCGGCGGGTAAATTCTGCAACGGAGAAGGAGTATAAGCCATCTACGGCGTCTTTGTAGGCAAGCATGAATTTGAGGATTTGGTGGAGTTGGCTGAGGAAGCTTTCTTCGGGTTGTTTGGCGGAGGTGGAGGTTGAGTTGCCATATCGGGAGGTGGAGGCGGACCCTAGTAGGCCCTTGTGCGTGATGGAGTTGAGATATTTAGTGTGTGCTTCAATCAGATCGTCGAGGGTGCAACCAGGTTTGCGGATGGCGGTTAAGAGCTGGTCCCAGCTGGACTCGATGACCTCGAACAAGATGTAGTATTGGAGCTGGTTGACAAAGTGGATCATTTCTGCGATCACGCATCGTGCTCGCTTCCAGTCTGCGCCGACTTTGTCGTCCACGTTGCCGAGCACGCCGCGGGCGCCAGTCATTGTTCGTCGCCAGGTGCTGCTTAGTGCGAACTCGACTCGCTTGATGCGCCAGAGAAAGTTGAAGACTTTCAAGTATTGAGTAGATGCCCAAGGCGTGATGACCACGTCCACCGGGGCATCGATCTTGTATTCCAAGGTGAAGCAGTCCCATCCAATTTCACCGTGGCTCAGCTCGAGCATACGGGCATCGAGCCGACGTAGCACCTCTGGGGTATCATATTGTGCATTAGAGGCACGGATGGCATGCTCCAACTGTGCCGTAAGGGTGTGTCGATATTGAGAATTTGCTGGACGATCCAGGTTCGAGGCAAGCGACTCCATAAGCAAAGCAATGAAATCGCCTTGGCCCAATAGCAAGTAACGCTTCAGTGCCTGAAGATGATCAAAGAGGTTGAACTTTCCATTCATCAGAGAAATCAGCCGGGCCATTGTGGTCTTATAAGCCTCATCGATAGATGTCTCTAGGGTGGCTGTGTCGCCATATCGCAGCTCTTTTGAGGCTTCTGTAGAATATGCCTCCACCCACGCGGAATCACCACAGCCATATCGAATGAAGTTTAGCGACTTGCCAATCAAGAAAATCTTCTTTGCAAATTCTTGGGTGATAATGGAAGGCACCATGTCGTCATCAAGCTTATACTTGTCTTCCCAGACGCTAGTTGCAATTCGACGTGGGTCACTGTTTGGCCTGAACCCTGGCTCTATGACAAAGAACTCTTTGTATGGATCTGATAGTTCACCGTCATAGATCCATAGTCGTAGCATGTCATAAAATGGGCGAGTAACATGTGCGAGGAGCTTTTCTGCAAAGGCACACACGAAGGGATCTCCATGGGATGTTGAAAAGCCGTGTATTAAAGAGATCAACTGGCCGCCCTTTTTACCTGTGAAAGTGAGTAGATGCACGGTATACTTTTTGAATTTGTATGACTTACTTTGAGCCTCCTCCACGATCAGGCTCATCAGTCGAAGAGCCATTGTCGCATCTCTCGTCCACACCATACATCGTTTGAGGGTGACGCCGCCCTTTCGTATCCCTTGAGGCTCAGTGCCATCTCCAATCGCGGCCAGCGCCTGTCGAATTTCCGCCTCTAACGTAGCCACCAAGCTGAGATATGCGCGCAGCTCTATAGCAATGGCAGCTCGCAAGCTCTGATTCACCAATCCGCCTTCCTCGTTCTCTACAAACACAGAAAGTCCTTTGTATAGTAAACAAGGTTCTGCCAATGCGTAAAGGAGTGACACAATGGGTGCAGGTAGATTTGAGGGTAGTTTCAAGCTTGAGGGCGAACTGAACTGTAGGTTTGAGGAAGACAACCCTTGTAGGTTGAATGGCAGGTCACGTAGAAGTTTATGCTCAGTAGGGGCAGGAGCAGGCGGTTTACCCTGACCAGATGTTGATGGCCTAGCAGGTGATGGAGGACGAGGATGCTCACTGTTGGAATGGACGTTCGCTCCTGTATCAACATGACCAGCCGGCCTCTCCGCATGGTCAACTTCGTTACGATCGACTTCGTGACCAGCACCATGTCGAAGTGAGCTCTGGCGCTCCATCTTGGGAGCTACTGGAACACGCTGTTGAGATGCTGACGAGCTAATAGCCGGTCCCTCGTCCTCCGAGTCAATCATTGTGCCCCGTCTCGGTCGTGCACCGCCCTTTGTCAATATATTTTGTAGATGCGCCTCATCCATCAATGGGCTGCGGCTCCTCTCTCCGCCTTCTACGGGATCTTCAGAGGCAGACAATTTGTAGAGCAAAAAGAGGATACCCCATTTCTGCGAGAGCACAGGCTGCGTCAAAAGACGCGAATATAGATTTGAAAACCGTACAGCCTTGTCAGGACTGGCATTCTCCCGGCGTAGTTTGCGCTTAATCAAATCCGGCGCGTTGTTGATGCTCTCTGTTCCCGCAATACTTCCTCGGCGCCCACCAAGCCCCGCTGGTGACCCGGGGTCTGGAGCATTGGTGCTAGGGTGGGTGTCAAGGATGCGCCAGGCGCGCTCCATGAGCACATGGTGCCGACGGTTCTCTGCGGACGCGATCGCTTCTTCTTCGTCAGAGTAGTCTGTGTCTTGGATGGCGGAGATGGGGAGCGCGGGGGTTAGACCGTCGACTAGCTGTGAGAGGGCGTCGTCCAGACGGCGTCCGCGGGCAGGGTTTCTGGGTGCGGCTGACATGATCTGCCCGGTGCCCTCGTGGGCGAATTATTCGGTTTGTTTGTTCGTCGCTGCGATATGTGGGTGGTTTGACGGAGAATTGTTGGGCAACAAGAGACCGCAGTCAGGCTGCAGGTTTGGGGAATTGAGCGCGGGTAGGTGAGACACGAGAATTTCGGGTTTTGAGTACGCGTCTGTCTGAATAACTCCGTTGAACAGCATCGCAAGGGCAGTAGCATCGGGCTCATGGAAGCTCACAGGATGCATGTTTGTGTTTGTGGTGTTTGACATATCTAGTTGCCTATTTCCTCAGGCTACAATATCTTATCGGCCCAACGTTATCACTATCAAGGTTTTCGCCCTACGGCCTCACAGCCTCATGGATATCAAACTCTGGAAGTGCGGTGTAAACGCAAGGGACTTCCCCCTCCATATGTCACATATGCCTCTACAAAATATCATGTCCCTCCTTCTATACTGTTACTTTGGAGGCGTTACAGAGTTTAGGCCGATGGTTTTGCGTGGGTTTTATGAATTTCACTTGGCCAATCATGAATTATGCGGAAATTACTTGATTCATTTGGCCCCTAATCATTTAGATAGTCTGCCTTAAGGCCGGTGCCAAGACCCAAAATGCCTTGGTTTGGGGGCCAATTGACTACCTAGTGCTCACGACCCGCTATGGTGACGTTCGCGAGTCACGAACGGTACATGCCCGGTCCCCAAGTCCGTCGCATACACCTTTTTCATTTCTTTCTTTTTCTGCTACTTCCTCTCTCTCTGTCCATATTTCTATGCCCTTGTCCATTTTATGAAACGTTTAGATGGACGATCTCCCGCGATAATGAACACATCAACCAGGTCCGCGACCGGGCGGCCTTTTTTCAGACTGTTAGGCAACGCAAAGCTGAAATTGCTTGCAGTTTTTCTGACTGTATCAACTATTCTTTTGCTCACATTGTACTCTGGCAAAATGTCTGAAATCACTAAGGTGGGGCTGAAAGAAGATATATCAAACGAGAAAGACTATTGGACATGGGAAACGAGAACGCAATTCCGGAACACGCCTCTCAAGAAGAACAACAATAACCAACAAAGCGAAACCGCATGCGATACATTCCCTTCGGACGTTCTATCGCGCGTACAGATTGTACTGAAAACCAGCGCCACCGAAAATGCGAATCGAGTGAACACACACCTGACCTCCGTAACCCGCTGCATCTCGAATCTCCTCGTGGTCTCAGACCTTGAAACTGAAGTCCTTGGCCATCAGGTGTACGATATTCTGGCCGATATTCCGCTTTCCGCCCGCCAGAAGATCCCTGAATTCAGCGGACACAATGCGCTACAAAACGGGACCAAAGGTATTGACGGCGCAGCGGGGTGGAGACTAGATCGATTCAAGTTCCTGCCCATGATTGAACGTGCGAAGAAGCTGAATCCCACTGCGGAGTGGTATGTCTTCCTCGAGACGGATACTTACTTTGTTTGGGATAACTTGTTCCGCATGCTGGAGCAGTTTGATCCTTCGGTGCCTCTTTATATGGGCTCTCCTGCACCGGGCCGGGGTCTTGAAAAAGGAGGAGTGATCTGGTTTGCCTACGGGGGCTCCGGCTTCGTACTTTCCAGAGCGGCAGTTGATAAACTGATGGCCCGGGACGGTGGCAGATATGGTCAATTTGTTGGTCCATCAGTCAGTGATCAATATTTGCAGATGGTTACCGACGATTGCTGTGGTGACTCTGTTTTGGGCACTGCTCTATATGAGAAAGGCATCAAGTTGTCAGGAATGTGGCCCATGTTCAATGCGCATCCGTTGCATTCAATTCCTTTCGGCAATGAACACCACTGGTGTCAGCCTGTGATTAGCATGCACAAATCACTCTTGGGCGATATGGATGGACTGACCAAATGGGAGAATAGAAGGAATCGAACGGTATATTGCCTTCTGTCATGTGTATATGATTTGACAACAGAACTAATGGATGTCGATATAGGAACCTCTACTCTACGCTGATTTGATCGACTACCACCAAATAGGAGATCTATCAGAAAAGAAGGGTTGGGACAATGGTGATTGGGGCGGGACTATTGAAGCTCCTGATACTCTGCCCCAGCATCAGTCATTAGAAGCATGCCGACAAGCATGCCACGAGAAGGACTGGTGTATGGCATTTACTCATGACAATAAGGGAACATGTGTGTTCCAGCGCACCATGCGGCTTGGTTCCAGCAAGCCCGATTTAATCGACCAATTCACAGCTGGATGGGATAATGAGAAGATCAAGAAATGGCGGTCATTGAATACATGTGAAAGCCCCCAATGGATGAAGCCAAGCTTGACACGCATTTTCTGAAGCGCTTGGCAATGTACAAATCAGAGTATATAGATTTAATGTAATGAATGTCACGGATATTTGAAATGAATACTCAATCAGGACACCGATACATGGTATGCGAAGATGCTAATAGTCAAGAAATATAGAAAAGACAGCCGAATCTTTAGCGCCCCAATGTTCACGCTTGTGTCCATACAGTCTGTCCATTATATCTAGCTAGATACCACGTCGGTTTATTTTGCAATTCAAAAATAAATCAAGCAACGAATCAATGCATCTATGTCATAATTTCATCTAAGGAAACATAGTCTCGTGGCCAATGGCCATTAAAACATGCCAAAGCAAGATGGGTAGATCCGAAAGGTAGATGTAGAGAGTCCAACGCAGAGAGTATGGCAGATTGGAGATACTTCCGCAACAAGCCAGTCCGGGGCATTCACTACCGCCGCACATGGTCTGAGGACCACAGTACCTACAAATCCGAAGATATCGGCAAAGGAAAAGAATTCAGCCCATACTTCAGCGAAGAAGCCATGCGTCGCAAGCAACAGACCGACTACGCATAACTGGCGGACTTATTCGATGAACATGCCTTCCAAGCCTAGCCTCGCCGCACGCTGGCATGTATTTCATCGAAGTTGGCAGGAGACTAAGGAATACCTACCCATAACCTCGCCTCAAACCTTCTATCCGACTGACTCCTCGTGTCGATCCTGGTCAGCAGATGAACAGGCTTGCTGAGAGTTCATCCGAGAACTCAAGCACATTGAATTGAGTCCCTTGAAACCCCCGTTCCCGCAACTTAAGATGTTGATTCCCCATGGTAAATCCTAGCTGCCTGTCCAGAGGAGCAAAAGCAGGTTGAGAGAAGCGACATCCTCACTTTCCGCACTCAACCCCTCCCATCTGACTTCGTCTTTGTGGGCTTAGACAACAGATACAAATAGCGATAGCCCAAGATCAATTTCGATACTTTGAACCGGCTGAGGCCGATCACGATGCGGTTTGTCCCTGTGTATTTGTGTCTATTTTATGTTTGCACTGTTTATACCCTACCCTAAGTTGGGCCCCAGACCCAGTGCCGGGTTGGGTTCTGCGGAAGTCTAATTCCTCTCTTAAACAGGTCGTGACTTTTTGTCCTCGAATTTATATTTCCATTACAATCCTCTTTATCCTGTTCAACTGAGCGGGTCACAACCCGCTTCCTCTTGATTGGTTTATCGGCGTTAGCCTCCAACCTGGCCCGCTTTTATCGGCGATAATTGGGTATGTCCAAAAACGGAGATAGGAATGCTAATATGATTGGAAATTGTAGTGTCATCCATTGAATCCAATGCGTCATAGTTGACATAGGGCCTACGGTAAAGCATCGGAGGGACCTGTTGTCGTGGCATAACGCCGATGACCTTGGGTTATTTAAACCTGGCGAACTTTGCCGCTTAAGGACAGCAAGATCTGTTGAATCAGCTCTCATAGCCAGTTTTCATTGAATCGAATTCAAAATGCCTTCCCACGGTCAATATACCACTGAACAGGTCCAATATCTCTCTCATGGGGAGACTGTCAGTGGAGTCCTTTTTCGTCCCACCGGTGTCACGAAACCACCCGGTGTCGTTATCACCGGCCCATATTCTTTTGTGAAAGAACAAGCGCCGCTGCAATACGCAACCCGTCTCGCAGATGAAGGCTACGCCGCGTTGATCTTCGACCCTCGCACTGTTGGTGAAAGCACCGGCCAACCCCGACGACTGGAAAATCCGAAAATGAAAAACGAGGACATGGTCGCAGGACTTGACTACCTATCGGCACGCAGCGATGTCAATCCAGCCCGGCTCTTCTTAGTCGGGATCTGCCAGGGCGGCCCTGAATCCCTGGATGTAGCATCCTACGATGACCGGGTTGCAGGCGTGGCCTCGGTCTCGGGATACTATCGAGACCATGAAACCGACATCTATATGATTTGCGCTGGGTGTGTTGCGTGGACGCCTGGCGCGGATATCGCGGCGATGAAAATGCCCACCCCCGAACAGGGAGAAGCCCTGTACAAAGCACGACTTGAGCGCGCTAAACAAGCCCGTGAAGTGTACGACAAGACCGGGGAAGTGGTGTATCAACCGCTGGTTGATCCGACGCCCGCTGACCCTGATACCGGGTCACTAGCCGGCCTTCCAGGACCAGTTGTTTGGTCCTGGTATGGGCCGTGGACATTGAAGGGATTTGAGAACCGATACGCGGTGATGAGCGACCTGGACCACTTTGACTATACCACCGTTCCTGGCGTTGCGAAGCTGAACAAGCCGGCGCTGCTGATCCACGGCGACAACTGTATGAATGCAGCGGCTGCGAAGCGCCACTACAAGTCCATTCCCACAAGTCAGAAAAAGTTGATTTGGAACAACGAAGTTTCCCACTTCCAGCACTACGACCAGCCGGATTGTGTTGATCGCAATGTGGGGCATATTGCGGCCTGGTTTGCGGAGATCAAATAGAATGCAATTGACAAGAGGTACATTTCATTGATTAAGCTCGTTCATCACACCCCAGAAGCTAGCATCTGTGAAGGTGCCTTCAAATTTCCAATCATCTGTAACGTTCACAGTAAGCGGGTCCAAGGGCAAACCGTCCGGTGTGTCCATGAGGGGGATTTGGGTGCTTGAAATATGATCGAAGAACAGGTCATGGGTTGGGCGCGGAGGTAAAACAGCATCAAAAGAGAATCCCGACGGTGCCCCATTAGAGTAATATGTATCGTTGTTGGGAGAGATCCATGTTGAGTTGCTGAAAAATGCCCTAGAGTCCTCCATTTCCGAGATACCGAGCCGATGTCTTAGGCGATGGTACAAGCTGCAGACGACACCATGTGCTGACTTTGCCATGGAATTGGATTGACCAATGATGTCCAGCCGTTGTATCCCTCGTTCAACAACATTGATACACTCTGTTCGTCTTTCGTGATCCTCATTCGGAAAGACAAGACAGAGTGCTGCAAGGAGAACAATCGCATCAAAAGAAGCATAGACCGGATTAAACACCTTGCGCTGGTGCGGCTCTGACTGTTGAAATAGTCGTTCCTGTGCATGAAGAATGGATATTCCAGCTTTGACGGCTTCTGTGCGACTGTTGGCAACAGAGAATATGAACGGTCGATGAAGTGCGAGAAGAACAAGGTGGATGAGCGAGAACAGTCCTTCTCGGGCAACGGGTAGCCATTGGCACCCGTGTAATCGATCAAACTTCGTATCTGGGTTTTCTAGACGGCACCAAGAGGGTAAAAAATGTATATTGTTCATGATTGCGGCGTGAATACGTTCGACCGTGGGGTAGTCTTGGGGGTTAGCACCATTCTGTTCCATTTGGTGAATGTCCTTGAAATATCGATAGGCCACATTATAGCCGGCGAGGATGATGTCAAATGGTCGAGGGAGACAATTCTCGCTTTGCCAATGCGAGAATAAGTCTCGCCGTCTTTCGTCGTCCTCTATAGTGTGAGAGAAGCGGTCTATTTGGAGATCGGTTGCAATCGGTCGACCGAGAACGACAGCCATATGGACGTCCCAAATATGCAAGACCACCCAAATCCTGTGACCAACGAGACTGACATTGTGTCTCTCGTGCTTCGGCTCGACTGAAGATTGCTCAGATACATTTCGCCCGGTATGTAGGCCAATTTCCTGTGCATCGCGGATTGTTGTCCCAAGCGTATGCCAGGCTTCAACAACTTTGCCGCTACTTTTCAGAAAAGAGGCTCGGAGCAAACCTGCTTGTACCATGGCGATTTGAATATTCTTTTTCCCCAGAAGTGCGAGTAACTCAGCGCCGGTATCGCTATATTCGGCCCCAAGATCATGGAAGGTCATACCAGCCATGGTCATGAGAGAATTGATCATTTCATCATGAGGAGGGTGAAAGAGAAGGGCATGTGCAAGGACTTGAAACAGTAGTGCTGGAAACACAAGGGTCTCTAGCGCCAATCTTCCGAAGCTCACTTGAAGGTCAGAGTATGAGATCTTTCCCCATGCCTCTAGGCGTTCTCTAAAGGATTCCTCGTCAAGTAGGTCATACTGCCAATTGATGCCGGAGAAAAACGTTTGGACCAAGATGTCGATGCAGGCCTGCGAAGGCAGCTGGCGGACTAATTCTTTATACTTACGGTCGGCATCGTTTCGGAAAGAGGGCTGATTCGTGGCAGGGAAGTCAACTAAACTAGTATCCTGACCTCCATATAGCTCTGCGGTCCGTAATAGGCTCATGGAATTGTGATTGCCATGGCTGGAATATCCAAAGTCTCGGATCTTGTCCTGAAGCTCGCTAGCCCACTCAGGGCCCGGTCTAGCAGGGGGGCACAGATGCACCATATTGGTGCTACAGCTGATTTCCAAGGGACCACTCTCACCGGAACTGCTTTGCGTGGCTTGGCCTCCCTTCGGTCCAGCGTCATAATGGCAAAGATCCTGCGGTCGCCAGTCAGACCAAAGGCAATCTTGCGTTTAGAAGTATGAATACCTGCGCTTCTCGCTTGATGCAGTTGCAACATGGATGCTGGCGGTCGCACTATTTAATCTTAGTAGGTTTCTTGTTTAGCTCTTTCGTGGGGCTCCCTACTTTTTGCTTGCGCCGATGGCATTCGCTACAGGACATGACAATTCTCCTCCTTTCTTGAGGTTTATGTTGTTCAGTAATGAAGTGTCTCTTTGACGGGGGTAGCCTCGGTGCCATATTGCGCAGAGATTTTAGCAGTTCTCAGATTGTGGTGCTGAAAAGGGTAGATGTCAGGGCATGGAGGGCACAGAGATAGAAGTGTATTTGGAGTTTCGTGTAAAATACGGTATTATAAGTAATGTGGTCGAAAGGATTCTTTACGCCTTATCTTAATACGCATTAGCGTTGTTTCGGGTACGGGCCGAGAAACAAAGTGTGTGTGTGTGTCAAGGGATAATCTGTTTTCGAATTCTACTGTATCATGGAACCTGACGAGGCATTTGTTAGGGCGTTCGTCAACGCATACGCCGCCGGAGATCTTTCAAGCACACAAGAAGCTATCTCCAGCGGGCGATTAGGCACTGAGAACCTCGACGAGGGACTAGAGCCACGCGGAAAGCACACCCTGATGTTGTGGCTATACTGTTTGACGCTGGCGCTCGTGCAACCTCTGCGAAGGACTACCTCACAAGGACACAACCTCAGATGCCAGGCATCATTCGCTAGTTCTTTGACTATGGCCTGGATCCTAATGCGTCCCTATCTAACGGCGAACCTTTGCTATAGTAAATTGGCCATTCAAGGAGCCAAATATTCAAAGCTGACTTCTAGGAACAGCATTTTACGAAACCCTGCATTCGCCCGCGGATTTCTCTTGCGAGGCGCTTACCTAGACTGGTGCAGCCCTAGGGCGAGGTTCCCCTTCGCGACTAGAGAGTCCCCCCTCGCCCGTGCCCTTAAGAGCGTCAATGAAGAAGATTTATCTATGGTTATGCTACTTCTTGCATATAGTGCTAATCTAGAATCACCTCTCCTCTTTAGAGTTATAGCTCGGCGCGTAAGGGAAATGGAATTCAAGACCAAGTTTCTTCTAGCCCAATGGCCTCGATCCCAATACAACACATGAGATATTAGGCACTCGTCTACACCACGCTATTGAATTTAGCCTAACGAACATTATCAAAGCGCTACTAGACGCGGGCGCAGACCGCACGGCTCGACCAGCGGGCACGCTATACCATAACGAGTCCCCCTTGCAATTGGCTGAGAGGTCACAACATCCTGCGAAACAGGCTACGCTTGATATCCCTTGGTCCTAGTAGACTTGCGGGTGGCTATCTACTAAGGGGCCACATGGAGGGTGCAAACTATTATTAACAATATGATGATGCTTTGTGTGCTTTGACTTTCACAAGCAGCCAGGAGTCCTGCATTTATCCTGGAACCAGGCTATTCATTCCGGACAACTTTCCTACAAGTTAGAAGTCATATAAACCATGCATTAGTTCACGTCCACTATGGTTTCTCTGGTCCTGGGCTACCTAACCCTCAAGGGAATGCTTCTTCCCGCGTCCACCTCTAGGTCTAGGACGTTCAAGTTCAGTTATAATTTCGTAAAAAGGCAATTCAGTCGGGACAGATAAGGTCTGCTTAACAAATACGAAGAAGCCGATATTGTGCGGCATATATAGGAGTCTGCTATTCGAAAGCACTAGACGGCTATACTCCCGATCTTTATCAATCTCCTCCAAACCTTTCCTTAAGCGCCCGATGTTGAGTTCGCCGACCTGCTAGACGAGTACACGAGGAAACTTATATGGCAGCATCTACTGAGTGAAGCTAACAACAAGAAAATCTACGATAGCGAGAAATGCCACGTTCATGTTAATAGTAACGATTGCTAGTCAGGGTTGCGGTAAACTAACATTGTAAAGGGTATTACCATGATCTCTAAACTCCTATAAAAAAAAACTAACCATGCTCCCTAGAATGCTTTGGGATCTCCTACGCCTAATCTCGGCAAGAAGAATAGTGGAAGAAGAGCAGATCGAGCTGTTCAAGAAAACGGAGTTACGCGGCCCGGAATCGACGTTCGCAGGGACGATATAAGAGCTGTGCACGCATGTATAGCTATGTTCAAACAGATAAAGGCCCTAACGGTACGCCTTGTACAAAGCAACATAAGCGATGTCGATTTCTTTTTTTGATTCAAAACGCAATACACTGAACATCCACCACAAGTGGTTGCACCAGCAATATTCGTGCGGAAATTCCGGCGACGTAGCAGCATAGGACGCTATGGCCTTTTGCGACTATATCATTATGAAAGTCCCAAGTATATTATCAGCGACGGTCTGCTCGGCCGCGCCTATCTCTTACCGCAGCAAAATGCAAACGGTATAGTATATCAAGCGCACGCTTTGGTTGATACCACAAAAAGTCATTCTAACGTAGTTGTGACGCACGACGAACTGGTCGTCGCTATGTTAGAAGAATCCTGGGTTATACTTGTCTGTGCTTCTCTGTTTTCCAACCTTCTCGATCTGTACTCTCAACCGTACTGTTGCCCACGGGTCTTATACGAGCTAGGTTCTATACAGAAGTATTGGTCTATTCGTGAGTGTTGTCAAGTTATAATCAAGTAAAGAGTCACCCAGTATCCAAAGTGTAAACATAAGTAACAATGGTATGATTGAATACGAAGAACTAAACTAGATACATGAATGAGTGTCCTTATATATCCTGAAGTAGATAGGTAGAAAGTAGAACTGTAGAACAGTTCTACTCGACGACTATCGACCTTTCTACTACTTGTAGGATTACGTGGTCTTATACCGTAAACCAAGTTTGGTTACGCGGGACAATTTGTGTTTATGCCTACAAGGTCGGAAATGGCCTATTTCACGCAGGGGAAATCCGATATATAGAGCTACCTAGGTACGGTTCGATAAGACTGACTGGTATCGTTGTTAGGGGTACGGATTACAATTCCAAAAGCATTAAATACCAAGAAGAGGTCTAAGTCTCAATAAATTGAGTGCTAGAGCGACTGTCGAATTCATCGACCAACCATTTGGTTTCAAGGAACTAGTCAAAACACATCAAAAAACCACAAGAGCCATCCATACGCCAACCCAGGAATCATGTATTTCGACACAAGCAGCCATAGGGAGAGAAAAGAAGAGGAAAAATGCACCCGTGTGCCCTTAAGTATTAGACAAGCGAAAGGTAGAAGGTTCCTCTGGGGCATCAAGAGGAAGAAAATTAGAAGGAAAGAAAAGAAACAGAGCAAAAAATACAACTGGGGAAACAGCGAAGAAGAATCATCAGGCAAAACAAAGCAGAAGCAACCTGAGCAAAAGAAGAAAGAAACAGCCATACGCCGGATTTGACACGCCCTCAAAAAGAAAGCAATTTCCAGACCACCGAGTCGAGCCCGTTCCGTTTTTTAGGTCGTGCATATCATTAACACCTGCCCATGCCAAATATTCGGCGGGGAGAACCGAAATGGGGAAGAAACTCCCAGGGAGAATAGAGCAAGCCGCCGGTTCTAAGCATCAAACGTATATTTCCTGCGCGGGGAAGCAAGAATCATACATCTCAATATGAATTGGAGTAAGGTGTTGGCCCCGCTTAGGCCCGGCGCATGCCCTGGGCAGGGATGGCACCGGGTTGCATGCCCATGTTAGGAGGCATGTTATAGCCACTATGATGGTCGAATCCGGCGGACATGCCATTCATCATTAAAGGGCCAAGGCCCTGGGCCTGGGAGACGGGACAGTCCTTGTGTGCTAGCAACAGAGTCTTGAGGTTGACGATCTCCTCACGCAGCTGGGTGACGGTGGCAGTGAGAGCGTCGTTCTCTGTGGTGAATAGCTCAACCTTGGCTTGGAGGTTGGCCAGCCACTGCTTCTTCCGTTGACGACACTTCAAAGCAGCGACACTGTAGTACAAGTGTTAGTGATATCCATTGATTTGAAAGGAAGGTGATCTTACCGATTGCGCTCGAGGAAGTTGCGTCTCTTCTCCTCGTCAGTCATCTTTTTGGGATCCATGGGGTACTTCTTCATATCATCATCATCGTCGTCGTCCTCATCTTCCATATCTGAGGGCATTTCCATGGCTTTGGCCTTTTTATTGGGTCCCTTTTGGTTATCGTCGGCCTTGCGACGATTGTTGGCAGCCGCACCCTTGGCGTTTCGCTTGCCCTTACCCTTGGCGGGCTTCATATCCTGGTCAGATCCATCTCCGCTGTCGCCATTGGCATTCTGAGAAACGCGTCGAGCAGCAGCGGCGCGAGTCTCATTCTGCATAGCGTGGTTCATGGGCATGTTGTTCTGCTGTCCACCCTTGGCCAGCATGAAGAGTCCGTTGGCGGCATCGGCCGCGTCATGCTGGGTGAAGTCGGCAGGACGAGCGGGTTTTACATCCATATTGGCCTGTTCCTGCTCGTTGGGGTTGGAGGTTGGTGCATTCGCGTTATTCTTCTTGGCAGCGAGCGCGGTGCGATGGAAGTCGATGGTGGAGGGAGTCGCGCCGCCGTTCTGGAGTTGTTGTAGAATAGCTTGTGAGTTGGGACTGGGGGCTGGGAACATGGAACCACCGCCTCCAGGGGTCAGTCCAGTGCGGAGCGAAGATTCGTTGGGTGTAGGGAAACCGCGACCGATGCTGTCGAAGTAGTCATTAGATCCAGTGGGCCCTGGAAGCATGGCCGGACTGAGAGGTCCAGAACGGAGGGAGTTGGGCCAGTTATACCCGCCAGCAGAGCTTGTTCCAGGCAAAGCCGGGGAAGTGAGTGAAGCCACCGGGGGCAGAAGCGATTTGCCCGGGGTTTCGGCAGATGATCCACCACTAAAGGATTGCTCAAATGGGTTGGGCTCCAGAGAGAATGGGTTGTGCATGGAATTGAAGTAGTCCGGGGTATCAGACGCAGTAGGCGCACCAGGTCGCGAAGGAGGCGCCAAAGAGGTCTGATCTTGAGTAGGCTTTTTGTCCTTGGAAGACGCGGCCTGCGAGTCTGAAGAGAGATTTGAGTTAGCAATGACGCGATACAGATTGATGCGATCACAGATAGGTACCACGGCGGTTCTGCGATCGTGTCGGCGGCTTCATGGTGAGTATGTGGTGGGGAGGAAATCAATGACGCCAGAGGGTGAAGTCATCGCGACGGCAAAGGGCTTAGGGGGATTTAAGGCTCGGGGGGCGTGGCGGATTACCAAACCAAAAGGGGGATTTTCTTGAAGCATAATGCACACGCGAAAGAGAATAGGCAAAAGTACAAAGATGAGGCGTGACACGAACCTTCTTTTTCAGTCTTCTTATCCATAGGAGAAGACATATTGGAGCGAAGAGTCGTCACCGAAGCGACTGCAGCAGACATCCCAAGGCGTTATTCACTAAAAAAAATGATATAATGATCTCGAGACAAACAGTGGCTTGCCTAGGGGGATGGAAAGAGAGGAAGAGAGTGACGTAGGGGAAAGAGGGATATGATGAAATTTAGGGAATTGGGGAAATTTAGGGAAAAAGACGAAAACCCAGAGTTACAGTCCAGGTACCGTAAAAAAACAATGTAACGCGCCATCGATTATTAATGTTAGGGCTTCTTTACTCCCGGGCTTTCTTACTGCAGATATAGCCTCCTCTTTCCTCTATTCTCGGCTGAAGTCTGTTCCCTCCATGGCTGTCCCTACTTTGCCTCGAATGAACACATCGAATGACCATCAGGAATGAACATTCGAGATGGACCCTTACTACATTTGAGAACAGACAACCAGATCTCTGACTGACTGTAATTGGTGAAGATAGTCCTGGGGAAAACAACCCTACCCATGATTGGCCCTGGCTCTTCTCATGGATGTTTGCAAACCCTGATACGGAGGTGTGATATGTCGGAAGAAACCAGATATTCATTATGTCACGGTGACGACAGGAATTTCTCCCGCTGTGGATCCTACATCGTGCTTTATATCCAATCAGAGGTCGGTGCTACACTCGCCAAGGCGTGGATTCAAGACACAAGTATCGAGGAATGCGGTGAAATAACGATGACGCAATCCACCCTCACGTGTTCGCTCGCCACTGGTATTCTAGACGCTTTCTTTTGGTCCTACTCCTTGGACAAAGAATAATAGCATAGTGAGCGACATGCGAATCTGAATCCGTGGAATCAAAGACATATAACCATGTTTGATGTTCGTATTGTTATCTCGTCGGCAAAGGCGAATGAATGGTTACGCGTCTTGGACAGATCGAGATCGCGTGTTTCGGCAGTTACTTTTCCATGGCAATGTTATGCTTGCTGGGAGATATATCATCCATATCACATGATCCTGATCTCGATCCAAAGTACCTTCATTAGACCGCTATATACACACTGCGAACGGAGTAGAACAGCTATTACAAGTGGATATTGTGAAAAGATACATGTGTGCAGCGGACGGGTACGAAGAGATATCTCGACTAAGTGGATCAAAGATCTGGACTTGAACGTGCAGGAACCTCCCAAGGTTGAATGATCTATAGATGATCAACCGTTGACAGACTAAGAAACTTTGTCTTTATATTGAAGACCTTCCCTACGCCACCTGTGGAGAGCCGTTGCCCCACATCTGTATACTTCTAACACTATTGTACTGTACCTTATTGTTGACATGCTTTTCTCAGGAAGGTTAGTCTATTACCGGAGATTTTTAAGATATGAAATTATAATATAGCCCCGCGCGCTTGTATTTACATGTACAATATCCATGCCTTTCGATGGCCCCTTACAGCAGCACTTCACGCAGACCCTCGTCATAGTCACCTTTTTTTCAGGCACCCAGCAACTTGGTGATTTGGTGATTTAAAACATTAGAGCAGTGCTAGTAGCACATCCAATCATTCTATAAGTGTGTCTAATAACAATCCCTCTACCCCTTGACTTGCATTTGGTCAAGTCAGACTGAACGTTGTCAGCCCTATACAATTACCCTACGATAACCTGATTTGAGATTGCTAATTGTGCGTACGTGGCCTAGTTTCTATTAACTTAGCCTTGAAAAGTTTAACACATCAGAAAGAGTTATGAACTTTGTTTTCTAGTTTCCTCTTTTCCTCTGAATTGTCCTGGCCGAGTCTTGCTTCATTCCCCTCCGCTGTTTATTTCAAGAGCAGGTTTTCAATTAACAGTGAATAACACAATTTGAGAGATTTCAGGCAAAATGAGTCTACTATACTATACTTGCTCATCGATTTATTATAAAACTACTGGTCTTGAATGACAGGAAGTGAACCAGGAGTGAAATCACCCGCAGTCTCTACATATACAGTCACTCGATCAAGTCATCTCCGCTTTCGTTTCTACTAAGCTGGCTTGATAATTTATCAATGCATTACGTTTAAATTGAGTTTATCACTTGATTTTCTTGTCATTTGGTCGTCTCTAAAGAGCTCAAGCTCATGCTATACATACGGCCCCAAGAACCCCCTCACGAACCCCGATAAGTAGAGTAATTCCAAGGACCAAGCAGAACAGGAACATGATAATGCTTCCAGCCCTCTTCGCCCTCCTTCCCACGGCCCTTTACAGTAAACTTGACCTCGACCTCGGGCCAGAAACTCTCCACGCCCTGGGCCTCATACCAAGGCCCGACATCAAAGCGCACAGACCAGTTAGTCTTGCTATCGGCAGCAGGCAGGGCGGCGAGGATAGCAGGGACAGACTGCGACGCTGATGCTGTACCGACAGGAGTCCAGGTAGCCACACGGCCGTCGGCGTTTGTTGTTGCGCGGAAGGTGGCGGGGTTGGCGGTGTTGGAGGGGCTCAGGAGGGTCAGGGTTACCGGCAGGTTTGCTGCTGGTGTTCCTGACAGTGTGTTGAGGCAATGGCAGGTGATTGGATCGCGGGCGGCCATTTTTGGTTGTTTGTTGGAGGTGGAGGTGGGCTTGGATTGGTGTGGGGATGTGGATGGGGAGATTTGTTGCGCGTAGAGGGCGAGGCGGTCTGTGATGCGACCGAGATTGGAGGGAGACTCGGTGGTGTCCATTCAGAGGTTTTGAGGTTTTGGGAGAGTTAGAAGGGGAAGGAGGGAGGGGTGTATATTTCTGTTTGGTTGTGCTTCGGAGGATACCGATGGGTGCGGAGAGTGCCATGCAGCTATCTACTGGCCTCGCCCGATGGGTACGGCAACTTCTCGGCTTATTTTGCTTCTTGTTAGTTGATTGATGTTAATTGAGTTGGGTCAAGTCTGTAATTATTTCCAATGTTGCGTTTGTCTCAGTCTCGAGTCCGGATTAACATGGCGTCTTGGGCAGATTGAGAAAAAAAGTGAACACAGGGCAAGCATGAATAAGCCTGCACGATAACATCCCAAGGTCAACCAACAATCACAAACAATGGCATAGTTGACAGATGTGGAAAGGTGAAGTGTCAAGGCCAGACCGTCTTCCGGAAAGTTCGACGGTTTGCGGGGCAAATAACCAACTTCAGTCTTGAACTTCCCACTTCAACTCCCCAACAATGTCTTCTGCTGTGGTACATGGCGACGATCTCGACATGGAGCCTACGCTCCAGTCGGTGCTCAACCAAAACACACTCCGCTGGATCTTCGTCGGAGGTAAGGGAGGTGTGGGTAAGACCACCACCTCGTGCTCGCTGGCCATTCAGTTGGCCAAGGTGCGCAAGTCTGTCTTGCTGATCTCGACCGACCCCGCACACAATTTGAGCGACGCTTTCGGTCAGAAGTTTGGAAAGGAAGCGCGTCTGATCGATGGGTTCTCGAACCTCAGCGCGATGGAGATTGACCCCAATGGCAGCATCCAGGATCTGCTTGCTACTGGAGATGGCCAAGGCGAAGACCCCATGGCGGGGTTGGGCATGGGCAACATGATGCAGGATCTGGCATTCAGCGTAAATTGCCCTGTCGCACCATTCATACTACGTATTAAGCTAACTTTGGTGGCGCTAGATCCCCGGTGTTGACGAGGCCATGTCCTTTGCCGAAGTCCTCAAGCAGGTCAAGTCGCTCTCATACGAGTGCATCGTGTTCGACACCGCTCCAACCGGCCACACCCTTCGCTTCCTCCAATTCCCCACCGTGCTCGAGAAGGCGCTGGCGAAGCTTTCTCAGCTGTCATCTCAGTTCGGCCCGATGCTGAACTCGATTCTAGGCGCCCGGGGCGGTCTGCCCGGAGGCCAGAATATGGATGAGCTGTTGCAGAAGATGGAGTCATTGCGTGAGACTATCAGCGAAGTCAACACGCAATTCAAGAACCCGGATATGACCACCTTTGTCTGTGTCTGTATTGCGGAGTTCTTGTCGCTCTACGAGACAGAACGTATGATTCAGGAATTGACCAGCTACAACATTGATACCCACTCGATCGTTGTCAACCAGCTGCTGTTCCCCAAGGAGGGAAGCAACTGCGACCAATGCACTGCTCGGAGAAAGATGCAGAAGAAGTACCTCGAGCAAATCGAAGAGCTCTATGAGGATTTCAATGTAGTCCGCATGCCGATGCTTGTTGAGGAAGTGCGCGGAAAGGAGAAGTTGGAGAAGTAAGTTGACCCCAAACGGATCTCGAGGAGTGTTTCAAGCTAACGCTTATCCTGCAGGTTCAGTGACATGCTGGTTAACCCGTACGTGCCTCCACAGTAGAGGACACTCCACTTATGTAGGACGAATTATGAAAAGATTAGAGAATAATACATGCATGATTGACATGATATGATATTCAATCGTAGATATGTGATATGACTGTAAGTTGGATGATGTGAGACTATATGAACAAGATATAACCGAAGAGTGTAAACATTGGCTAAACCCCCATCTTGACTTAGTCAACCCTCCATTCTATATCTAAGGTACAACGCACATGTCTTGGCTCAACGCAATTAATATAGACTTCTTCCAAAAACATACCTCTTGGCAATTGGAGAGGGAAAAGGATTCCTGTCCCAAAAGCGAGAGATGCAGATGCCCTCACTGCAGCATTGTGGCCCCGCGATCGAAGACGACAATCCGTGGTGCCACGACATCACCGCAGAGCCAAATTGGCGCCGCATAGGTTTGAGAATCTGCGGTGAGAGAGAAAAAACCACGCACATCCCCCAGGGTCTGTGAATCACCTTAATTTGCCCATGAATTGATTCGAGACCGATGCTTCTCCATGCAAGCCTCACTTCTGACCGTGACCGGGGCCTCGGTAGTAAAAGAAGAATGTGGGAAGGTGGGATGAAACGCTCGGCTTTCCTGTCCCAAGCTCAATATCGACTCTCAGCAAAAAGCGTTGGGTCTCGTTGCCTGATGAAAGTGAGGCGAGTTCGATTGTCAGCCGAACATTCCGACATGAACCCTTCTCTTCCTGTGGACAATCTGGACCATTGTCCTTCCGCTGGTTGATCTTTCTGCATCTTGCCGAGAGTGTTATTCCCGGGTTCGTCAAAACATTCCATCCTGCCATGTGGATCGTGCATTAGGAAGGAAAGGGAGTACGCGGTCTCCGTTTATGCGTTTCTGTGGGTTGACCTCCTGTGAGATCATATCCGAAGGATCAGACAGGCCATTAGCGCACCTGTGACTGAGTCCTCTCTCATTTGTCGCTCATCTGCTCGAGTACCATCCACCCCTATTTATACTCCATGCTTTGTCCGTCGGGGAATGTCAAAAGTCCCACTGCGAGTATCCAGGTACGGTCCGTTTGGGAGGTGTCGACTGGCACCTGACCAACACTTCCTTCGCCTTGTCTTGTCGCCTCGCCTCTTGAACAATGTCCCCCGACCAACAGTACTGGCTTCCGGGGTATGGACTGTCCCGACATATCGTCTTAGGGCATATCCATTACTTCTTGGGCCCGACTGCGTCGGTCAGGCCCTATAGCTACCAGGTATGTCAGGCTGATACTTGGGCTCCACCCTGGGAAACTTGTCCTAATCATATATCATTGGTGAAGGGGCGTGAAGGCTATCTCATCAACGGCGTGCCTCTCACGCGGGTTTGTCCTCCTTTCATGACTTTCTTTTACATACATCAATTGCAATTGAGGTTCATCAGAATATCGAATTTCTGATAGTGCTTCATAGGAACAAATAGATGACCTCGCAACTATGTCCCGGGAGTACGAAAGACAAGAAGCAGCTCGCATGGCCTATAACAATGGCACAGCAACATCCAGTCCAGGAAGCGATACCTCAACCTATCACACCTCGCATGAGACTTTTATCAATGAGATTATTCCAATAAATACCCCTGCTCCACGCAGACGTGACCAAGATTCGCGAGGTCGTTGATCCTTTCTATGAAGTGCGAGTGTGCTACCATCCACGGAGAGGATATCTCACTTCCAACCCTGGTTCAATCCTAAAATTTACTATCAAAGATAGCCTGATGGCGCCAATTGACATTATCCTTCCGGTCAGCTCTGCTCGTTCTTTTCGCCTTGGAATTTTATATCCATGAGACAAAACCTGGCCATTTCCTGGACGTTGAACTTCTGGAAATCGCCGGATTCCATGGATCAAGCCCTGGCGGTCCGGTCAAGTGGGTGGAAGTGGATTCATTCCGTGGGTGGAAACGGTTATTGCGAACGATAGCCGTAGGTCTTTGGGATAATGGGATGGTCACCCTTTGTTCCACTTTTGTGCACTATGTCTTTCCCGGCTTTCTTCTTATACCTCTGCACGGTGGTGAAAGACTATATAATGTAGTACAACAGGGGTCATACGTGTGTGTGCAGTGCCCTTTGGCGTTGATATCACAGTCATTGTGAGAATAATTGTGAGATACAAGCTGTCCGTTCTTGCGTCACGGCTCTATGCAAGGCTGTTTTCCTCTTATAGTCCGTTGCATTGACATCTACTTTGGGAGTAAGTTTCAAGAGCATAGGTTGACAACCACGATGTAATATTCTCACATGCTTGATTGCAGATTCTTGGAATGATGATATAGCAGAGCCATTCTTTTATGTCGGGGAGCCGAGCGACCGACTTCCATGAAAATAGTCGACAATCTTTCAAGATATTAAGAGTGGCTAGAAATTAACTAGTCTATGAGCTATCCGCGGGCCCAAAGAACAGACAGAGGATGAGACAGGGAAAGAAAAAGGGAAGAACCAATCGACGAAAGCATCCCAATGGCGTCTATCATGGAAATTCTTACTAGCAGAGACGTCCGAACCAATGTCCACACTCCACAAGCAATGAGGTTCTGTGACCCCCCGATGATAATATCACCAAGGGCAGCCACTTGTTGAATAGTCTGCAGCACATTGACCACGCGAGGTCCCAGACAGCGCGTTTCTCCAGATGCCGCCTGGTCTATCTCGGCAGTGAGTCGCATGACATCTGTGATATCAGCAGGTGCATCTCGAAGTCGAGATTTCTCTGCGCGAAATCTCGTTTTTTGATATGCAGAAAGATCGGCTTCGTAGAGCGATACTGCTTGCGCCAGGTGAATCTTAGGCTTGAGCCGTGAAGCAAATGTCAATTGGGACATACTGCTGACGGTCTCAAAGGGAGTGGCCTATGTGTAGTAGGTCAGCTCTTGATGTACCGTACTCAGGACAGTTCAGGTATGACAATTCAGATGGAAATGTGAAGAAGAAACAACCATGGATGATTGAGGGGGAGTCAGCACTATACGAAGTGGCTGAATACATGTATGAAGCTCAGCCTAGGTGATGCGCATGAGGTGCTGCGGTGTATCTTAGCGTGAGCGCCTATCGTGTAGAGTTAATACCTATCATTTCGATTCGTACAGTGACAATTTATGTGCTTTAGAAATATACAACACAAAAGAAAGACTCAAAGAGCCCGGAAACGTGTTATCAGAGACATCATCTTTCATCTCTATAGCCCATTCATAACAACATAGAATCAGACCCCAAAAATCAAGGAGTCTACATCATATCTCAATCTCTTCTCATCTTCTTTCCCTTTCCAAAGTGGACAAGGGGACGCCACATTTCTCTCGTGGCTGCTTTTTGAGATTCTCCGCCTCCCTCCAAACCTCCAGGGTCAGAAATGGCCAATACATAAAGAGGTCAAGCAAAACATCTGACGGCAAAGAAGTGAAAATATAGGGAGGGAGAGAGCTTTGTAGGAACTGTAAGATGACTAAAGAGGTAAAGAAAATAAGGTGGACCACCGAAGAACGCCAGCCGGATGCCACTCTGCACGGAGTCCCATCCCTCAAACAACCGTGTTGTGACCTACACGGGGAGATCACTAAAAATGGGTAGGCAGAAACAGGTTTCAAAATCACATAACGGAGAAAAGTTCAGTTTTCGGCATCAGGTCATGCGGGAATTTATTTTGCAACAGCAGAGCTAGAAGAGTGTTAGTAGCTATCAATGCTGAACCTCTGGGGAAATGCATACCTCAAGACTTGTGTGCGGAAGAAGGCACCCTTTGTCTTCTCAATGACTTGTTGGTAGACAGACTGGGGAGGGTGGTTCATGATCACAGTGCCCTCCTTATAGTCAATCTTGGCGTCAACCCGGGTGTCGCGGATCAGGTTGACAATCCACTTCTCACCCTCATCCTGGTTCAGGCCGAGACGAGCAGACAGATCGCTGAAAAAAAAATGTTAGTTTGTGTTCCGCGGTAAGAAACAACTCTCATGACTGATACTTACTTGATATCAATACGCTGGTGGATCTTGCAGTAGCTCTCGGAGATGAGGTGACGGGCAGCCTCAACGAAAGCATCGGCCGCGGAAACAAGGAAGAAGTCGCTGCGAAGAACCTCCTCGGCCTCACCGAGCTTCTTCTGTGCCTCCTCGAAATCAAACTCGACGTAAAGGGCCTTGACGAAATCGGTGATGGGGTCGGTGTACTCGTAGTCCTCCTGGCGAACAACACGGATCAGATCCTTCAATTGCTTCTGGTAGACACCGGAGTGCTTGTGGGGACGGCTGCGGTTGGTGATGACGGCGGCGGCAAGGTAACGGAGAACCCAAGGGCAGCTGGTCTGGATGGTGTTGATATAGGCGGGGGAGAAGAAGAGGTCGGTGAGGACGTCGCGGGCGGGGTCGTGGTTGAAGAAGGGGAACAGCGACCAGTGGATGAGCCAAGAGCGATTGGTGAGCTGAGCGAGAGGGTTGTTGAAAAGGCGAGTCTCGATCGAGTCCTTGACCTTCTGAACCTCCTCCATGGCACCCTCCCAGTTGGTGGTCAGAATTTCTGAGGCCAACTTACCCCACGTGGCGGAGGCAACCTTGTCGTTGTCGGTGGACAGAACACGGAACTGGTAAAGCAGCTCAGCAGCGTTTCCGTAGCTACCACAGCTGTACTGGAAACGTCCGTAGTCGTGGAGGCTGTTAACCATCTCGTTTGTGACACCGTGTTGCTCCTCGAGGAACCGCAAGTTAGCGGCCTTGTCGCTCCGCAAGTTACCGACGACCTCCTCATCCTGCAGCAACTCGGAAATCTTCTCGCTTTGGTCCTGGTAGTGCTGTAACTTGGCCAAAACCTCCTCGCGCTTCTTCACAAACTCGTCGGGAATGGTGTCGGAGTTGTTGATTTCTTGCCACAAGTTGGCAACGTAGTCGGTCATGTTGGTGTGCTTGAGGAGCTCATATTTGGCCCGGGTGATCTCCTTGTCCTCCTCATCGCTGCCGGCGCTGAATTCGAGCAGGGGGAAAACGAGGTGACGGTCGAGGTACGGGATCAGTCGGGGGAGCAAATCGTGCTGAGAGGCGATCTCCTCGGCGGTCTTGGGCTGATGAGCAGCAGCGCCGCTGAGCAGGGTCTCAGCGGAAGGAGGGGCGTTGGCTGCCATGATGTGTCTGTAAAGATGGCAGAAAGGGGGAAAGGTCTAGAGAGGGGATAACAAAGGCCAACCGCGATCAATGAGAATTTGCAGATTGTGCGGGCGTCGGTGGCCCTAACCCCTTTTGGGAAGTGGGTGCTGGAAAAGCGGTGGCAGAAAATCTGAGCAGAGCGCCGAGCATCAGATGTTGCTAGTCTTCCCAGCCTCTGTCCACCTTCATCATTCTCTCCGGTCAATACATTCCGGCCCTTTAGACGTGCCATGGCGTCTTTTCTACACTCGGGCCCGGCCACTTCGGCCATGCGAAAGCAGGCCACTGTCATCCCTCTTCGCATCAGCTCTGCACAATCCGTGGCTTCCGTTCAGACATGTAGTTCATTTTCCACATTATGTCGTCAGACAAGGTCGTCGGTTTCACGTAAGTGACATTTGTACAGGTCTCTCTTGATACATTGAATTCTGCGAGATTAGACTCAAACGCGCGCCGCGCCTTTGGGCAATATCTTGCAACCAACAAACAAAAGAGAAAACTGGGAACAACTTCGTTCTGCGAAAAATTCGTGATTCTAACCCTTCATTTCAGATTCTCGCCCTCAAATCTCACTATCTTCGGCCTTCAAAACCTCTCTCCCTACCTATCAAAGCCGCACTTTCCTTACTCAACTCCGTCATCAAGCGCAAGCCCTGAAAGAACAAACTTCGACCTCATCGGCACACGCGACCCAGGTCAAATCTTCTCAGAACCCTAACCCGACTTTAAAGCTCGATAATCTTCCTTATTTCGTTCGCCGTTCCGCCTCCAACAAGCTTCCCGTCTATACCGACACCAAGGCCGGTGGTACCAAGAAGCTCACCAAGATCCAGAAGACAGAGGGTGATCTGGATCAACTCCGCAACGACCTGGCCTGCGCACTGGGTGTTGTCGATGGCCACAAGCCTAATCCCGATGTTGCCATTAACCGTCTTACTGGTCACATCGTTGTCAAGGTTTGTTCGATTACAGGTTGATTTGGTCAAGGTGAAACTAACGGTTTGATACAGGGCTGGCGCAAACCCGAGATCATGAAATTCCTCGAGGACCGCAGATTTTAAGGGCTTTCTTCTCTAATACCTGACTTCGAAGAGACCCCTAGGATCCCTAATGGTCCAGGATGAACCAAAAAAGCATTCAACATACCCCCTCAATAGGGGTATGGCAGAGCATTGTTATCGGAGAGAGCAAGAATCAAAGCACGTCGAAAACAAGGGATGAGAATGGAAGAAGCAAACAGTCCAGGTGATCCCTGATATGCATGGGTAATATCTATTTTCTTGACTTCTCTTTCCTCTTCCTTTGGTGTACTCTTTAGTTTCGTTGCGAGTTGCCTCTTTTCTTTTCTTTTTCCTTTGGTGTTTGTGTTTTGTCTGCCTGGTCGTGTCTTCTGGCGTGCACCTGCTTTGTGTTTCTCTTTCTCTTTTCTCACTGTAACACTCCTACTCTGTACATTCTCGACGACTCGATGGGTGCTAGTTCCTCTTCATATGAATGATCATGCATCTCATATTATTAGGATTTCTTCCTTCTCCTCAAAGAAGGCTGCAATACTTTAGTTCCAAGTAGGCCTAGACCTAGACAATGCGTCCCTGTCCGATACCACGTTCCACGATGCCCCGAGTAACACCAACTTGCGGCATCTGGCCGTCGACAATCATATGATATTATTTTTCCAGGAAGCATATATAGTCATTTTCAATCGTGCTTCATCTCGAACAAGGCATTTATAGGTACTATGTTTAAGAAGTAACGGAAGCCCCAATTCGGCATCATGCAGTATCTCTCGATTTCCGAGGGTATTTTGAGCATTGTACACTGAAACAGAGCAGAACGCTATCTCATAAGAGAATGAAAAAAATAGAGAAAAAGAATAACCCCCTTGTCCACCAGCGCCCAAATGAGAAAATAGGGAGACAGACCATTGACATGAGTACAAATGACATGAGAGAAATCAAGATTGTCATATATGCTACGTGAGACAAGTGCTAAGGATGATTGAAGAAACAGCCCGTCGCAGGGAAGAATCATACATACATCAACATCCTTACTCCGCTAAACGAGCATATGTGAGAAGCTGGCGAACAACGCCGCCATCGATATTGGGGAGTAACAACGCGCCAAGCAGGCTTTCCTTCCTGGGGAGGATTCCCGATGGGACCCGAAGAGGGGCGGTGTTGTCCACCTGCTTTGACTTCTCGGCGAGCCGGCGGAGGACGCCCAGGCCCCGGTTGACGATCGAGCTGAAGGCATATGCGTCGGCTTCAGCTTGACCTCTTTGTCGCATATTGATTTGTGGTATACGCTCCGTGCACAGAGCGCAGGAAAGGCGCAAAAGATGCACGGCGAATCCGTCGACTGAGTCGAGCCATGCCTGGGCAAGGGGACCATCGGCAAAAGTGGTGAGGACATCGGCTGACAGAAGGCCTTGCATCAAGAAGACCTTGCGCGCATCCACGACAGACATAGGCTTCTTATCAGGGACGCAGGAAATGGCAAGGCCAAATGCACGGGTGAGGAGGTCCGGCTGGGGAGGTGTATTTCCATCTCCGGAGAAGATAGCCTTGAAATATGTCCGGTTCGGATCATCTCTGGCCAGCATTTTGGCAAGGCCATCAACGGCAGCAGGAGTATATCGATCAATAGAAGAATTGAATGCCGTAAACATCACTTTTCCAGAAGCAGATGTAAATTCGGAACCAGGTGCAAAGGAAAGAAGGAATGTCAGCAAACTATGTGCTTCTTCTTTGCCCGGGATTTGAACAACATGAGCCAGGTTGCTCAACAAAATCACAGCGTCCTTCATGAAGTCCAACGTGTTAAGAGATGACCGCAGGAAATTCTTCCGAGTTCCCATATAGCGGAAGACATCGCCAAACAATTGAGCAACAGGGGGAATACCCAGGGGCAAGAAGTTCGTCTCGCTGAAAGAGAAGTTGCGCAGGATGGTGGTGATACAGATAAGCCGATCGACGGCCCGGTCCAGCTCATACTCAATGCTCCCAAATGCAGGAACATCCTTCAGTGATGTGTTTTCTGCCTGACAATCCCGAGTGATTTGATCGTATGAACGTAAAGACATGGTCTCTGACTCCTCCGGGGTATGTTGCGCTAGCAGATCGGCCTGTTCATCGGCGCAGTCAATCAAACTCTCTACCAGGTCTTCACAATTCTCCAAGGAAATTTGCACAGATGGTTCACCAGAAAGTGTGGTAAGAGTGTCCAGAGCAACTCGAATCTCAGCATACATCCCAGATTTGAGGCTCATAGTCAGTGCGTGGATATCGACGATTCCTAATTCTGCAAACCCTGGCACGTCTGGCTTGAGTCTTGAGATGTCATCGCCAATTTGGTACATTTCATCAACAGCGATAGGACCGTGCATACGACCTCCTTTCAGGATAAGAGGTTTGAAAGTTTCCTCAATAGGGCGTTTAGTGAACTTCTCGGGCTTTGCTTCTGGTTGCCCTGGGGTTGGTGTAACACCCTTACCAGACTGCGAAGGAGAAGGAGCTGCGAATTGTCCGGCGGCAGCCTCTGATGGGGGGCCAGGTGGCTGCGAGCCTCGAGAAATGCTTGGTCGGTGTCCAGCCTGGCCTGGCCTGCTCTGACCTCGCGGTGTCGGTGTAGCAAAGCCATTGGCCGGGTTCATTTGGCCGTTATTATGGGTTGGGGTGTTGTTTTGAGGAGATTGTGTCATGTGTTGTTGTTGGTCAAAGCCTGGGGTGGGCTTCACAGAGGGCGACTGGAACTGTATCCCTGATGCATCGGTTGGTTGCCGGGGTAGGCCGCCTTGCGGCTGCATTTGACCTGCAAGCTTTTGCTGCGAATTGAGGAAAGCCTGTTCGTAGGGGCCCAAGTTTCTAGAATGGTGAGCTTGAATTTCCTGGGCCGCCATGGGAAACTGCATCTGCGGGAATTGCAGCTGCTGTGCAACGACTGGCCACATGTTCATTGCTGTGACCTTCTTCGATCCTCCAAGCTTCATCACAGAGGCATAAAGTTGAACGAGGTTGATCGGACGTCCACTGACCACAGGATTGGGGTCTATCGGTAGGCTTTGGGAGGACATGAATTTCTGCAGAGATCGCATAAACCCTTCTGGGTTATTCGGCTTCGGCATGTTCTGAGCCATGTTCGGTGCCATCTGTCTCATGCCACCCATTTGCTGGGGATTGGCCATCGGGTTCATCCCAGAAACCGGCCGTCCCGCCGCCATTGCTGCGTTGGGGTTCATCTGTCGGGGTTGATGTTGCGCCTGCATGGCTTGCAGTCGCTGTTGTTGACTCGCGAGAGCTTGGTGATATCCCGCAGGCAATTGGGCCATGCCACCAAACTGTTGCGCCTGCATTGAGGGTTGAGCAGCTGCGGTGGTCATTCCAGGTCCCTGTGGCATACCACCGAACTGCTGTCCTTGCATAAAGTTGCCGTTCTGGGGTGTGTGTACGCGATTTCCATTATCTGACTGTTGTGGAGACATTTGATTGTTAACATGGGGTCCGGCAGGCGAGAAAGGGCTGGGAGAAGCCGTCCCCATGCGCATGCTCTGCTGATCAAAGTCTTGCATGATAGGCGACTGCGTCACATTTGGAGATGCACCTTGCTGTAGATGCTGATAAGGAGTAGGAGGTTGTTGGAATTGCGCGTTGCCGTTTGGTGGACCCTGATATCCCGGATATGGCACTTGAGGAGTTTGGGATCGCGACCCAGTCACCCCTCCCGGTGCTGGCCTGGGCGACATGGGCATGCCATCTTCCGGTCGTGTTCGTTTTGATGGAATCACCTGGTTTGGGTTGTGGAAGCCCGGAGAGGCATTTCGCGACATGCCATTGAACATGCGCTGGAATTGAGAAGGGTCTTGGGTCGGAGAGCCATGGAGAAATGCGGTGGAGGGGTCTATTGTATTAGGATGAAAGGCGCCATTATCCTGGCCAGGAATATTCGTGGTGTCGGCAAGCCAGGCATTCATGTCGAGCGGCTTTACCAACCCATCTACCTGGAAGGAGTTAGCATGTGAACCAACAACGCGCCATCGCAAAGATGTGTAGCATAAGAAAATTGGGCTGTGTCATCAAAATAGACCAAGACCGAGCCATCAATGATTTTTTGAGGATCAGATAGACGCGTCGGTGAGGTGTTTGGGGTAGTCGCGCAAGCGGTCGCGACACGGGACAAAGGGACAGTGGGGGGGGAGGATAAACCACCAATTCGGGAAATAAAATATACATAGAATGAACAAGGGAGGGGTGGGAACAAGGTACATACCGATAAGGCTGGATTCACTAAAATTCCGCTTTGCGAACGGATGACTGAGGCCGGGTCCCGGTGATGAGATGAAGGCAGAGGTTGGAGTGAGATGGGGAGTCACGTGGTTTGGTTGGAAGCCTGAGGCCACAAGCAAGGAAAGGGGGAAGAATATTGGGGAATAGATATGGACACCTTAAGCTGGGGTAATGTTAGTGGAGGGGAACGTCACTGGGCTACTAAGGGCCAAGATAATAGACGCTCCAAATCCAGAAACAAATGGACTACAGAGGCGCAGAGGCACTGTGGACTGCGGAAGGGGTGCGTGGCCACAAACGAATAATGATGTAAGGTAAAGTAATAAAAGTCAGATAGGGTAAGGGGAAACCAGAAAAAGCAAACGGAGTATAAAAACAGTAAGAATGGCGTACTTACCAGAGATCACAGTCCGTTCAGTTAGGGATGAAAGGGGAAGTGGAGAGAATGAGGGAAAATTACTGACTGGTCAGAGCTTTCAATGGTTACCGCCATTTCCGGCCACTGTACAACTTGTATCTTTGTTAATGAACGATTTTTTAGTTTGCCTTTTGTATGGAGTAACTTTCGAGCCTGTGTTTTATTGGCCTTTTTTATGGCCTTTTTAGCTGTCTTTTTCGGGCTCTTTTCGGTTTGGATTTCGTGTTAGTTTGCCTCTATGTTGGCAGCCTGAGCCTGGGCAGTCTGAACCTGGGGGAATGGCCATAATCAAAGCCATGTTAGTGAGGGGAGTGTGAAGAGAGAAAACTCCTGCGCCAGAGCAGAAATTAAAATAAAAAACCACTTAGGTTGGGTCTCGTAAATCGGAACGAAGATCCATTCCAACGGTCTCCGCCGAGGCTAGATCATATACTCCAGTGAAGGTGGATAGGTTCCAAGGGGCAAACATCCCGCTCTGGGGGTATGAAAAAGAGAAGAGAGAGAAAAAGATCGAGTCATAGTGGCCAGTGGTTCTCCTTATATAAAGCTCGGACTAGCGTCTGATAATCATGTCGATGCGCGCCCAATCCTCCGAAGACAACTAAGAAAGCAGAAAGCAAAGCCGCCGTGTAAGGATCCGACTCGATCCGTATGGGAATATGATGGTTCTGTGCCTGTCCCACCGTGTGTTGGGCCACTCCACCACTAGAGGTGATTGGATCAGCACGTCTTCATTTCCTTGAAGGCCTGAGTCTCTGAGCTCATTGTCTGAAAGTCTTCTCAGGCCAATCTTGTAACTCGTCTCGAGTTGGACCTGCTCGTATCCCCAAACCGACATGTCTTGAAACAAATAACCTGGGCAAAAGAGCTGTAGATGTCATCATTGGCCATAGGCCGTCAAGTCCGCCGCAGCCGCTAGCGTCTGACCTAGGTAGCCTCAGATTGATACAGGCAGGTGGCCAGGGGACCATGATAAGGAGTTCTGTGTTCTGTGTACTTTCCCTCCAATTTAGTCTTTTGTGTTAGGACATTAACTTATAGTTCAGGTATGGGTTGCTTTAGCAGGGTTGCCATGCAAGACTAATTGCCACATTCGGTAATGAGGATCACAGGCCTTGCCATAGTGCATGTACTAAGATATACTACAAAAATCTACAATATATTCATTATAGTCTCGAGCATGCATAATGAATCAAGGAGTATAAAGTTGACTCTCAGTGGGCCAAACATTGTTCATTGTTCATCACGTGATCCAACCCAAGCTCCCCGGTTGTATCGTCGAAAGCTCCAGATGGCCGAACCCTTCACACAGCGCGTCATTCAACGACCATCTCCAAAACACATACATTCCGCTTCCAGCTTATAGACGTCATTTCTCTTTCGGATCTCATTGTCTCTCAACAGAATTCGCCATGGGAGACGTCGCCGTGGAGAACCCGGCGAACAACGTCACGCCGCTTGCTAAGCCAGGCGCGCTCGACGCCCTCGCTAACTTGGATTCCCTCGATGGCACAGGTGCTGATGGAAACGACGAATATGCTACCCTAAAGCGCCTACAGAGACATCTAGAGTATGTCTAACCTTGATGGACGGTGTGATCTGGTGCTGACCAACACAGGTACATCCAACTCCAGGAAGAATACATCAAGGATGAGCAGAGGTATGCATCTTTTACCAGATAATGTGGTCTCTGCTATGTCTAACCATTATGGATCAATGCAGGAGCTTGAAGAGGGAGCTGGTTCGGGCACAAGAGGAGATCAAGCGGATACAGAGTGTGCCGCTGGTCATCGGACAATTTATGGAGGCTATCGATCAGAAGTATGCATACCCTGTCTTGATTATCAAAGTTATTCTCACTAACAATACTTTCAAGCACTGGTATTGTGCAAAGCTCGACCGGTTCTAATTACGTCGTCCGTATCCTGTCCACTCTCGACCGCGAGAAGCTGAAGCCCTCATCTTCGGTCGCCCTCCACCGTCACTCCAATGCCCTTGTCGATATTCTCCCTCCCGAAGCCGACTCATCTATTGCCATGCTAGGTGAGAATGAGAAGCCGGATGTTACGTACGCAGATGTCGGTGGTCTGGATATGCAGAAGCAGGAAATCCGAGAGGCTGTCGAGCTGCCTTTGACGCATTTCGACCTCTACAAGCAGATTGGTGGGTGGAATCCAATTTGTTGTCAATGACACAGCTAATGATCCGCAGGTATCGATCCTCCCCGTGGTGTCTTGCTGTATGGTCCTCCTGGAACCGGAAAGACCATGCTGGTTAAGGCCGTGGCCAACAGCACAACTGCCAGCTTCATCCGTGTCAACGGATCAGAGTTCGTACAGAAGTATCTTGGTGAGGGTCCTCGTATGGTGCGTGACGTTTTCCGCATGGCGCGTGAAAACTCACCTGCTATTATCTTCATCGATGAGATCGACGCTATCGCCACCAAGCGTTTCGATGCCCAGACCGGTGCCGATCGTGAAGTCCAGCGTATTCTTCTGGAATTACTGAACCAGATGGATGGTTTTGAACAATCAAGCAATGTCAAGGTCATCATGGCCACCAACCGAGCTGATACTCTGGACCCTGCTCTGCTGCGTCCTGGTCGTCTGGACCGAAAGATCGAGTTCCCCAACCTGCGAGACCGACGTGAGCGTCGCTTGATTTTCACCACCATCGCATCGAAGATGTCGCTTTCTCCCGAAGTTGACCTCGACGCCTTGATCGTGCGCAACGACCCTCTGTCCGGTGCCGTTATTGCTGCTATCATGCAGGAAGCTGGTCTGCGGGCTGTTCGCAAGAACCGCTACAACATTATCCAGTCCGACCTTGAGGACGCTTATGCCGTCCAGGTCAAGAATGGACAAGATGATGACCGGTATGTGCTTTCCCTAAGATCTTGTTTCTTATATCTTACTAATTTGTTTCTTGCAGTCCTGACTTCTATCGCTAAACGCTTGGGTCTCACGGGGTGTGGTGGATTTTAGTGACGAAAGCTTGGTCTTCCTCACCAGTTGTATTATCAATAATATGCAGGCGCCATGTGTCACAATGTTTGGATGATCACTTGATTCAGTAATGTTCTTTTCGATCTCTATAGTGGTGGATTGCCTTGTCTTGGCATTTGCCTGACTTCCGTCTTGTACACTGTCCTTGTAAACCAGTAGCCAATAATCATCATTTTGTTTAGTCCCGTTTATATTCGAGTTACATTTGAGTGCTTTGGCTTAGATCTGGGGAGGAAAGGCAGTTGTTTAGCGATTTGTTGTTATGGCTGTCACGTCCCACGATATATATACATATATCCGGAGGTGATCTGCGTTGAAGTACAGAGTATCCGGGCCAGAGATCGGACGGACATCTTTACGTTGAGGACCACCTTACGCTTTATTATTTTCTTTAAAATCAGCATTAAAAAGAAGTACAAGGCCATGCTTGCTATTATTACAACATGGGCTCCGAGTTTCTTAAAAGCTTACGTAGAAGACCATTGACATGCAGTATGTTTAAACACCCGTGTCCGTTGCCAGAGCTACGGCAAGGTAGCCTAGGTACAACACATCTATGACAATCAGCAGAGAGGCAGCTGCTTCGTCCAATAGTCCTGCAAAGGCACGCGATCCCTTGAGGCAAGGCAGAAGGACTGCCTGCCCTCGCCCGGAGACATATGTCCAACGATTACACGTACAAGAAATCCCTTCAAATGACACAGCATCGGCACGATTCCTTGATTTCGTAGAACAGCAGCCCCCCATAGCGTAGCTTTTCGCCACACCAGTCATCCTGCAGCTGCCAGGTACAGCGGGAGGGGGTTTCCGACTAGTCCGAGCACTCCGTCAATGGCGCTAATTCCCAGGCACCAGCCCCCTAGTATTTTCTCGATTGCTGTCAATTTGTAGACAATGAGGATAAAAAAAACATGCGAGCTAAATAGCTAGATAAAGCACAGAAACAGGAAATGGAACACATTGAGGCTGGAATTCGGGAACCAGAACCGCGTGATATGGGGACAGCTCAAACGGGTTTAGTGCCAAGTGCGACGACCCTCCTGCTTCCGTCATCGGTCTCCTCATCCCCAGGTCCTCATCTACTCTTATCTCTCTCTTCTCCATCTCACCCTCTTGTTTACCATCACTCACTTCCACTATTGATATTTGATTATGAAGTCCTCTCTCACCCTCCTGACAGCTTCGCTGTTGGGCAGCGCTGCTGCTGAGGTTCACAAGCTCAAGCTCGGCAAAGTCCCTCTGGAAGAGACCCTGGTAAGATCACCGATGCCTAAAGCATAACTAAGCTAATCCTGAAGCAGAACCCTCAGAACTTCGGTGCCCATATGGCCAGCCTGGGCCAGAAGTATATGGGTAAAGAACAATACAGCGAGACATCGATGAAGCCTACCGCCGGCCACGATGTGCTGGTTGATAACTTCCTGAACGCTCAGTGTATGTTCATACTAAATGACCTCCGACACTGAATGTGCGATACTGACTCTTTCCAGACTTCTCCGAGATCCAGATCGGCACCCCTCCCCAGACTTTCAAGGTTGTCCTGGACACTGGTAGCTCCAACCTCTGGGTCCCCTCGTCGTCGTGCAACTCCATCGCTTGCTACCTGCACACTAAGTACGACTCGTCTTCTTCGAGCACTTACGAGAAGAACGGTACCGAGTTCGAGATCCGCTACGGATCTGGTAGCCTGAGCGGCTTTGTGTCTCGGGACACCCTCCAGATTGGTGACCTCAAGGTCAAGGGTCAGGACTTTGCTGAGGCCACCAGCGAGCCTGGTCTGGCCTTTGCCTTCGGTCGCTTCGATGGTATTCTTGGCCTTGGCTATGACACCATCTCCGTCAACAAGATGGTTCCTCCCTTCTACAACATGCTGAACCAGAAGCTTCTGGATGAGCCTGTGTTCGCCTTCTACCTAGGCGATGCTAACAAGGAGGGTGACAACTCCGAGGCCACCTTCGGTGGTGTTGACGAGAGCCACTACACCGGCGAGATGACCAAGATTCCTCTCCGCCGCAAGGCCTACTGGGAAGTCGAGCTCAACGCCATTGCTCTTGGCGACAACGTTGCTGAGCTTGAGGACACTGGTGTCATTCTGGACACCGGTACCTCTCTCATTGCCCTGCCTTCCACCATGGCTGAGCTTCTGTAAGTGTATCCCTGACAGCTGTTGTGAGTATCGCTAACCTATTTCACAGCAACAAGGAGATTGGTGCTACCAAGGGCTTCACTGGCCAGTACTCTGTTGAGTGCGAGAAACGTGACTCTCTTCCCGACCTCACCTTCACCCTTTCCGGCCACAACTTCACCATTGGCCCCTACGACTACGTCCTCGAGGTCCAGGGCTCTTGCATCAGTAGCTTCATGGGTATGGACTTCCCTGAGCCCGTGGGTCCCCTCGCTATCCTGGGTGATTCTTTCCTGCGTCGCTGGTATAGTGTCTACGACCTCGGAAACAGCGCCGTCGGTCTGGCCAAGGCCAAATAAGTGCCCTCAGGCTTGATAGCCTCATGGTTGTGAATATCAAAGATCCGTGTGCTTAAATGTTTGCTTCGTTTGCTTTATATATACGTGCGGCTTAGCTGGGTTAATTGCATAGCCCTTTTAGCACACTTGATCATTTGCAATTGCTACGACCATGTTGCCACGATGACCAAGCTGCACTTTTGTCTTTGCTGTCACAGCCTATGAGGCTTTTGTTCATTCGTACTGCAAATTGATATCTTTACGGGTCAGGATTTACCTATTGCATTTACTTATATACCGAATCTCTTCTCTGTCTCTCGTATTGTAAATCAAGCCAGCTATGTCGAGCTTTCTCACATGAAACATCTTCTAACCTCTAATCGCGTAGTCATTGCTAAGTCTCAATTGGCTAGAGTTTATGTTGATTTAAGGTGCAGACTGCACCAATCGACGGTCAAGTTTCTAATATATGCTGTGGTCAAGCATGCTTCTCTACTGCCCTTTCCTAGTTCTTTTTATGGGGGTTCAATGCCTCGGTGAAATAACATCATTCGGTCATACTAATGCCCAAAGCCAAACATACTAATGCCATTAAACTAAACCACTGTATGGCGGTGAGACATATGGCATGCTCCAAGCAAGGGCAGAAGTACAAATAGTTTCTCATTGACTCATTCCGCCAGACTATGTAAGAAAAGCGAATAAAGTCGATCTCAAGCCAAAGAGCGAGCCAAGTACCTGTTTTTAGGTACCGTAATGACATAAGCGGTAGCTCGAAAGGCTCCAGGTCTTGTCCCCGCACAACTTCAATGAGCTTCTCTTTCTTTGATTGCAGCGAACCCCAACCAACATTCTCTCCCTCTTTGACCCTAAGCAATTTCCTGCGCCTGGTGCGGGACCTGTATTTGACCTCCGCGCCAGGTTGTGCTAGGCGCACGAGTTTCTTTGATCTTTGATCAACCCGCGCCTTGTGGCGATTCTCATCGCACTACCCAAACTATCTCTCCGTTTCCCCATACCCTTCCAGGACAACCTGCATCTCGAGTGACCGAGGTGACTCTCGCTAGAGCAATACCTGTATCCGTTCCGTTCTTCACGCGTCGCGTGTTGGTGATGGCTTCGTAGCCGGCATCGCACGCGATCACCTCATACGACCCACACGTCCGCTTTTGACGCGCCGTCCACAACACAGAGACATACCCGGTATTCTCTGTGAAAATTTTGAGAGAAGGATTGAGATTCCACGCAATTTGTCGCCTAGGGCGAGCTGAGAGCTCATCATGCTTCTTCGTTTGCCGTCCGGTCTGCACTACCCAATCACGGTGACGTCGCTGCTCAAGCAGGCTGGCGATCCGATTGAGAGGGATGAGGCTCTGTTCTGGTATTCGTATGAGACGATGGTCACTGAAGGCGATGAATTCGGAAACAAGACCGATGTCATGCGAAAGTTCCCAGCGAGATATGAGTCGACTGCTGATGGAGAGATCGTTCAATGGAAAATCAGAAAGGGCGATATCATTGATGACGCGTGAGTATTGATCAATTGTTGCTATTGTTCATTGTTGTCTGATCTGTTTCCAGTGTTGATATCGTTGAGATCGATGAGCCTTGTGCGCATGAAGTCCAATTCGGCGGACTATGCGCGGAGTGTGGAAAAGATATGACTCAGTAGGTTGATGTCAAATCATGGGGATGATTCTTGCTAATCGCTTTCGTGCGCAGATCCACATACAATACCGAGATCATGGATTCCACGCGCGCTCCGATTCAGATGACACATGATAACACCACGCTTACTGTCAGTCAGCGGGAAGCAACCCGAGTGGAAGAGGATGCGAAGCGCCGGCTACTTGCATCACGACGTTTGTCTTTGGTGGTAGATCTCGATCAAACAATTATCCATGCTACTGTTGATCCGACAGTCGGAGAATGGAAGGAGGACAAGGAGAATCCTAACCATGAAGCACTGCGCGACGTGCGACAATTCCAATTGATCGATGACGGTCCTGGTATGCGCGGATGCTGGTACTACATCAAGCTTCGTCCAGGACTGGAAGAATTCCTGCAAAATGTGGCCGAGATTTATGAATTGCATATCTACACTATGGGTACTCGAGCATACGCGCAACATATTGCTGATATTGTTGATCCTACCCGCAAGCTTTTCGGAGACCGAATCCTTAGTCGTGACGAGAGTGGAAGTTTGACAGCCAAGAACCTGCAGCGGCTCTTCCCCGTGGACACCAAAATGGTGGTTATCATCGATGACCGCGGTGACGTCTGGCGCTGGAGCCCCAATCTCATCAAGGTCTCTCCTTACGACTTCTTCGTCGGAATTGGCGACATCAATTCGAGCTTCCTACCAAAGAAACAAGAAATTGCCGCCAAACAACAAATGATCAAACCCAAAGAGCCAGAGAAGAAGAAGAAAGAACATCATGTCAATGGCAAGTCTGAAGCAAACACTGAGGTCTCAGCATTGGAGCAGTTAGTGACAATGGGAGGTGACCCAAGGCTGCTCCAGGAGCAGACCAATGCACAAGAAGAGACCATACTACACCAGGTGGAAGACAGACCTCTGCTGCAGAAGCAGAAGGAGCTGGATGCTGAAGATGAGGTGGCCGAAAGCAACGAATCAACTTCTAGCATCGACGACTCCCAGGAATCTATGAAACATCGCCATCACCTACTCGAGGACCATGACCAAGAACTTTTCCAGCTTCAAAACAGACTCGAACAAGTACATACACAATTCTTCGATGAATATGACAAAAAGCGAACCCTCGCACTCGGGGGTCGGGTGGCAGCTCTCAGAGGAGAGAAGACCCCTTCCAAAGACAAAGACGTTGATTTGAAGTTGGTACCCGATGTCAAGGACATCATGCCTCAAATCAAACGCCGTATTCTCGGAGGAGTGGTATTAGTGTTCTCGGGTGTCCTCCCGCTAGGTACGGACTTCCAGAATGCCGATATCTCTCTCTGGGCCAAGAGCTTCGGTGTTATCATCTCACCGAAGGTGAATGCCCGTACAACCCACCTTGTGGCTGGCCGTAACCGCACCGCCAAGGTGAGGGAAGCTACACGCTACCCAGATATCAAAATTGTCACCACGCAATGGCTTGTCGACTCTCTAGTCCAATGGAGACACGTGGACGAAGAACCATACCTACTACCCGTCCACCCAGACGACCGCGGCGAACCTCTCTCCCCAGGTTCCCGAGAACAAGAAATGGCCTGGCTCTCATCCACAGACGAGGACACAAATGCCTCTCAATGGACAGAGGGCGACGATGCCGAAGGCTACATGAATGAATCCGGGCTAGACTCAACATCCCTCATCGGATACGATGCCGAAGAGCAAGCGGCCGTGCACGACGAGTTAAAAGATTTTCTGGGCAGCGACGACGAAAGCGAGAGTGACAACGAATCATTACCAGACGAGACCGCGGCGACAGGCACAAAGCGCAAGCGCGGCGACGGAACCGAGAGCGGGACCGACGAAGAAGAATCTGGCGATGACGACGGAGACGAAGACAAAAAGGGCTCCAGATTGTCACAACGCATCAAACGCTCTTACGAGCGGAACACCGGACTTCGGGAAGTCACCTCAGCCCCTGCTGGAGGTGAAGACACAACACTCCCGTCAGGACCGCAAGAAGACGAATCCGATTCCGGGACCGTAGGAGGCCATGACCAGAATGCTGGTCATGAAGACCCCGATGACGATGACGATGAGCTAGAACGTGAAATGCTCGCTGCGCTGGAGGGTGGAGAATATGACCCTCAACAGGAAGAGGAAGCCGCGGCTGAGAATGGATAGATTAGATTATCTAGCCTGTCTGTCTATCTCCTGTATCGCTGATGCATCCTATTTTTTTTGCATGGTCTCTTTCTGCCGTGTTCGCACAAATGGCGTGTGCGGTTGCAATGCGCTCCTGGCATAGCGACGGCGTTTATTATGATCATTTGGTTCTTCGCATCTGGCTTTCGGCTTTGTGTTGTGGCCATGTGGGTTCACTTTTTTCTTGTGTGTAATTTGTGGAAATTTGTTTGTCTGTGTTATGTATGGTTGTTTATATGTAGGATCATTGGCTATTTTATACAGTCCAAGGTTATTCTTATCTCACTTGAAACTGGTCTTCTAGTAGTGAGCCAAACACATAGGTATGCTGATGTAGACGAGGTGCAATCTCTCACACTCACTCAGATTAAGTATAAACAGACAAACCAAATACGTCAGTGTCCAAGAAATATATACTCGAAGAAATAAATGCTATCTCGCTCAACGCCAAATATGCAAAACATGGTATCAAGAAACATAAGACATAACGCTACCTCAATCATAAACATCACGATTAACCTGCCAAGACATAACAATCATCCATAGATAGAAGATAGTATTCACCAGCTCCAGCGCAAAAGCAGTTTTCCAGCAATTGCCTAGAACAAATCCACCAGTCAGTAATGAACACATCAGTAGCGGTCTACACGCATCAACTCACAAATAGTACTCTGAGTCAACCAAGCCAAAGTATTAATATTATTCCCCCAAGACTTATTATTCTCCACATAGATCTGGCAGTTGGCATTGACATCACCAACAATCCCATAAAGCTGCAAGGCCGTCTCAATCAACCCGGTCAACCACAACACGCACAGAATGAAACTGCCGATGATTATGATGCCTGGTAAGAGGAAAGCTGCGCTCGGCGAGGACGAGGACTAGGAGGATGAATGCTACGCCTAGGGCGCTTGTTGTTACCATGTAGGGGAAGAGCCTGGTCTTTGTTAGAATTGGGTGGTAGGTAGATAGGAAAGTAGTAGGGCGCTCACCAAGGCGTCCCAAGATGCATTTGCGACTGGACGGTCATGAACCATGAAAATATGCCCAGACATGTTGCCGAGCAGGACATGACAATCATGATCCAGATGTTGAGTTGTAATTCTGGCCAGCGGTACTTGCGGCGCACTTCATGGCGGATGCGAATGGGCATTGTGTCTAAACTAGCCAACGTGCGACAGGATTCGAAGTTGTTTGTGTGTCTGGTTGGAAGATTGAGGGTATGTCAAGATTTGTATGAGATTAGACTCGACGGTAACACCGGTCTTTGGTGCGCGCTTTATACCGCCGTCTCGTCTGTATGTATACACTCCCAACTGCCCGACGCAGGTCTAGATGCCCTATGTTGAGTCGCGGGACCTAGACGGTGTAGATGAAGCGCGAATAGAGGTTGACTGGGTGGATTTGTGCAGCGAGGTTTTGTTTGACCGTATCGAAGGTGACGTTAGGTGTTATGGAGCGGACAGCGCATTGGGCGTCTCTTCGCGCTGTGTGGAGATAAGATGGAGTTGGCTGAGTTGTGCGACGGGGAATGTACAAATTTGTACAATTGCGCATGAATTCTCCGAGAAGGTCAAGGAAAGAATAGAAAATGGAGAATAGCCAAGAGAATGCTTATTGAAAGGATTGTTTAGGGGAGAAAGTCCAGGGAGGGGGATGTGCGCGGAAATTGGGGTGGCAGGGGATCTAGTCTGCCGCGTCGTCACTTTACTTTTACTTGCACTTGCGACTTGAGGCCTTCTTGCGAAATTGTGTTGTTTATTGTTCTAGCAATTATTCTTCTCTGTCTGTTTATTGCCCTTTCCATTTATTATCCCTTACAGCAACGTGTCGCCCAATGCACTCCGCACCAGTGAGCACCCCGCGCGGATGGTCTCTGAGGCGCCCTTAGTCTCCAGGCTAGGGTTGACTTCCACCAAGTCCATTGCGATACAGTTACCTGTCTCATGCACAGCCTCGCAAATGAAGTCTCCCTCGCGCAGGGTCAAGCCACCACGGACGGGGGTACCCGTGCTAGGAGCCCACTGGGGGTCGAGGGCATCAACATCAAAAGACAGGTGAATGGGAGTGTCATTGCCAATGTGAGCAAGCGCCATATCGACAACACGACCGATTCCGTGACTATTGGCGAGTTAGCCGATGATCACCAAGACCAAGGAACAACAAAACAAGAACTTACCGGTCGATATCGTGCATGCTGAATGCCTTGATGTTGTGATCGCGGAGAATCTTCTTCTCACCACGGTCGACATCACGCAGACCAATGTATACCAGCTTGCGCGTGCTGACAATGTGCTCATCTTGCAGCCAACCGAAGATATCGCGCTTCTCCTCCCGGGCCAGCCGGGTCAAGAACGCCATGGGCATGCCGTGGATGTTTCCACTGTCACTCGTCTCGGGGATGTTAATATCGGCGTGGGCATCGACCCAGATAACGGCCATTTCGCGGCCGAGACGCTCTCGGATAGCCTTGGCTGTGCCGGAGACGGAGCCGATGGCGATGGAGTGGTCGCCACCGAGGGTCAAGACCATCTTTCCTTCCTTGGCGTAGTTGTAGACCTGCTGGCTGAGCTTCTCAGTCACGGCGCTGACGGCGCGCGGCTTCTTCATGCCTCGGTGGTCTGGGTCTTCGGCGGGGATGTCCTTCTCGTAGTAGTGGACTGTGTTGTCGTGGTGGACTTCGTAGTCGAGGTCTTCGCTTAGTTGGGTGAGGAGACCTGATTCAATTAGGGCCATCGGGGCTGCTTCGACACCTTTCTTGCACTACTTGGGTTAGTTGCGCTTTTGTTGGGCTTGGCGAGGGACTTACTTGACCACCGTTGAAACCAACGGCCACCACGCCCAGTTGGTTGGGGTGGGAGAGGAAGCGCGAGGCAATAGTAGAGGGAAGCGTCATTGTGCCGGTAGGAATGTGTAGTCGACAGTAGACCAAAGACCGAAGAGAGAGATGAAGCTGATCGAGATATCGCGATAAGATAAAGGTGGGCTTGATAAGGATCAGCTCGATCTTCCTCAAGTTCGATTTCGAGTTAAGAAGAGGATAGTGATAGAAAATGAAAAGAACAGGAATGCAAGCTCTTTTTAAATGTCTCTGATTCCCCGAGTTCAACCGGTTCCCCCTTTCATGCCCTGCGCGTTGTACCCCAAAGTCGCTAAAAACTGCTTTTAGGGATCAGAGCGACTCCGCCGGATCTCCATCGCTTCCGCTAAGTACAGGTCGAGGAGAGCTGCCCCTTTTAGGCCATTTCGGTGTCCCACAGGTGATGTTAGTGTGTTTTGGAGAGAATAATGACGCGGGATTCATGTGTAATAGCTTCTGGAGGCTTGTTAGGGCTTTTTAGAGTGGTTGGTGGTTGGTGGTTGGGTGAGAAACTGCACAAAGATACAATAGGGTTGGGAATAGGATATGAAGTAGAAATATAAGTGAGGGTATCATGACCACATCTAAAGTTACAATATCTATACACTACCCCAGAATCAGCTCGCGGAGGATTTCCTCGGCCCTGGTCGCCTCCACTCGACCCTTCTCGCCATTGCGCATCATCTGCCCCACGAACCAGCCGAGCTTCCCCAGCTGGTTCTTGGTGCGGATCTGTTCAGCCATTTGTGGGTTCATGGCGATGACAGACTCCGCCAGTGCCACATACTCATCCCGCGACAACGGGCGGAAAAGGAGATTCTCCTCTTCCAAGATCTGTGACACAGGTCGCCGGTCACCTTCAAAGATAGTGGACAAAACCACCTTGGCGGTCGGACCGGTGATACGCTTGCGCTGGAGCTGGTCGAGGAGGTGGGCTAGGGACTGAGCTGGAACAATTTCCGCATCCCATGCGCGATCTGCCTTGGACAGAAGTCCTCCGAGTTCGTGCAAGACCCAGTTCCCCGCCATGCGTGGAAGACTGGCGCGCGTCTTATCGTCTTGATCGACCTGAAGAGTGCGGAGGGCATCTACCACGTCATGGTAGTACTCGAAGCGGAGACCGTTGTCTAGCTCGATCAGTGGCTTGGCATCCTCGACGGGCAGATTATATTCGGATCCGACGAGCACCGAGATAATGGAGTCGGGTGCTGTGGGAAGATTCTCAGCCAGACTGGACAGCAGGTCCTCTCCAATGAACAATGGCGGAATATCTGGGTCGGGCATGTAGCGATAATCGACTGAGCCCTCTTTCCCCCGAAGCCTGCGAGTTTCTGTGCTGCCAATTGTCCACCCACGCGTCTCTCCCTCGATGACACCACCGCTCTCTAGAACTGCGATCTGGCGGTTCTTCTCGGCGATGATGGCATCTTCTACAGCCTTGAAGCTGCTCAAGTTCTTGATCTCAGTACGTTGGCCCAGCCCGCTGATACTATCGTATTGATGCTGTCCCGGTGACTCGCCCCGGCGTCTGATGGAGACGTTGACATCTGCACGGAGACCGCCCAGTTCCATTCCTGTTGTCACAGCACCACATGATTGGACAATGGCTTGTAGTTTCCGAACGCATGCCGCGGCTGTAGCGGGTGTGTGTATTTGCGGCATAGTGATGATTTCAATCAGAGGATGTGAGACACGGTTGAAATCGAGGAGTTGTGTCGAGGGTGGGTATTCTTGGGACTTGGCTGTGTCCTGTTCCAACTGTAGTTGCTTGATGTCGATGCGGACCCGTTCTCCATCTTCCGGTGCAATGCCATCGTAATCGAAGAGGTCGACGAAACCGTTTTTTGCGAATGGTTCTGTGAGAGATGAGCATGGTCCAAATGTTGAGCACGAGGGAGCTCACCGTAGTACTGTGTGATCTGGTACCCTGCCGGCTGATCCTGGTAGAAGTAATGCTTCCGATCAAACCGGCTAATAGGCTGGATCTCACAGTTCAGAGCAATAGCGGCACGTAGGGCGGGGAGGAGGGTTGCGATTTGAAATTCCTTTCTCGTATAAGCTGTGGTCCTTTCACAGGGTCGTCCATAACACTCACCGGCTGGCTGCCCGGCAAAGCCAGGTCGAATAAGGCCACATTGGAATTGGGGACCTCGCTTGTCGAGGTTGGGGCTCCTGTTCAAAACATGAGATGCCTGCAGGCCAATTGGGGTAGAGAGAGAGACGCACGGGAGAATAATTTGGCCTCAGTATCCAATTGGGCATGGATCTCCACGCCAACTGTCAGTTCCCATTCCTGCCTGGATGCTTCCTCGCTTTCCTTGCGTTGCTTTTTGTGTGATCGGAGCGCTTTGGCATCCTGCTTGAGTTGTTTGCGGAGGGGGACGTGTTCTGCTTGGAGAAAGCGCCTTGGGGCAGCGGATAACGGGGCAATACGGGATGGAAGGGTTGGGCGACTTAGTCGCGCGCAAATAGAGCGGACAGAACCGCTACCGAGACATGACCGAAGCATGAGGAGATTGGGCTGATGTTGGAGTCGGAAGAGGTGCCCAGGCGAAGTGGAAGCTCCGGGCTTGGCGATCTGCAGATCATACAATAACGAGTTACAGGTAAGAAATAACGAACTGGGTTGACTAGTAGAATTGGAGGACTCATAACTCAATTCCATATGGAAACTGTTGTTTGGTATAATGTACGGAGCACTGTGTATAGAGTAGTCTCTCCTCACACAGTATTGTTCTCTACTTATACATGAACTTCAACATCCACACCTGCACCAATACATTCTTGACACAAAGACTCTGCAGAACAGGCATGCAGAACATGCACTACAGTGGCGTTGTACTGATCACAAAATTGGGCACATTCCCCCACTTCCTGACCGCCAGATGAACGCAAGGAGATCGACCAACGCATAGTTTCTAACTTCGTTAAGACAGACATGCGTTGATTCGCATCTCATTTGTTGGCCCACCTGTATCCATCAGGTCCACCTGTGCCCAGAAGGTTTCCGATGTCACTAGCCGGTCAATAGTCACCTTCTATCCATTATATCCCGACAAAACACAGCAGAACAGAACAGAAGCAAAGAAGACCCCAGATAAGCCCCTCCTCGATCGACAGGGATACAGGGACCTCCTTGCGACACTACTATTTGACGCCGATCTGAAGCCCTCAGCGCTTCCAATCTGGTTCAGATTAACCCCAAACTGCCTGCTGTGACGGATTGCAGTGCTCCATTTCCCCAGGGTAAACACATGGGGTCCGTTTCAGCCCGCTGACGCACGAACATTGGGGGCTGACATTCTATAATAACTTTGCCGGACAGCCCCAGGGGCCATATACTCCTTATCATGGGGAATGTATGAAGGAATTCGCGGGGAAGATTGGAGACATTATATCATCTCTTTCATCGTCGCCCCTAGATTCCTGCCCTCGAGCTGAGACCTGAAATTCCCTCCCCTGGGCCATGCCTCGGGTGCTACTCATTCCGTTGCTATTGCAATTATTGTATTCATCTCATGATCTTTAACTCTTCGTCTTTGACTTTCTTTCCATTCTCGTTTCCTATGCGTGGGCAACCTTGATATCTATGTCGAAGTATGAACCCGATATAGTTCCGAGCTTCCCCGAACACCATGCCACTCCAAATACAGCGAACCAAGAAGGATGGAAGGAAGAGGGCACTGTCGACAGTGTCTAATATTACAAATGTACAGGGTCCTGTCGCCAGCGTGAAAACGTCTGAGAACGCCTCGCCGTCACAACGGGCTGGATCAAATCAAACAAAGCCCGCTGTTGAGACACAGGCCCAGAAACCGGCTACTTCAGCGAAGAAAATACCGGATGTGTTTCAGTTCCTCGACGAGAACGATGACGAGTCATCATCCGAAGCAACCTCGGATTCGTCAGATTCATCGGAGTCAGACTCATCAGAGGATGAAGATCCGGCACCTCCACGATCTGTGCAAAACCCCACCAATATCCAAGCTCCTAAACCGCGGGGAAAGCCAGTACCACATGGGGTCTTGGTATCAGGAGGTAATACACCTCCAAAGACCGCTGTACCTACGTCTCCAACATCAAAGAGTCCCAAGGAACAGCGCCGGCCCTCAGCATCCCACGCTCCCTCTACGGGCAATCAATTACAGATAACCCGAAAGCAAGCCAACCGAAAACCAAGTCCAATCTCGACCACTTACCCAGTATCTGGAAAGGGACAACTAGAACTGTCTCGACCAGAGAGCTACTACGGAAGAGACGAAGCAGCTTTCCACAGACCACCACTGCCCCCATCTCCCCCAAGAAGCCCAGAAGACAGTCTCCACCACACGACACCAACAAAGCGACGAGACTCAACAGCATCCCACGTGCCATCAGGCTACGGCCTCATCGCCTCACACATAACCAAGTCCAACCAAGAAGACAAACCCGGGTTCCCCCCTCTATACCGACGCTTCGAAAGCGTCAACCACCGCGTCCTCCTTCACCTCCAGGATGAGATCTCACAAATGGAAGAGGACCTCCACACTCTAGATGAGTACGAGGAAATGCACCGAATCGGCACAGCAGAGCAAGAAGGCACAAAGCCCCTACCCGCTTCCAGGCGCCGCGATTCCCAAGCCCAGGTCTATTCGTCACTCCACTACCGCCGCATGGATCTCATGGGTGCTCTAATCCAAAAAACCGAGCAATATAGTAAGCCGTGCTCCATCAACTCAGCAGTCCTATTAGGCATAATTCTAACAAGAAACCCAGACAATGCCCTAAGCTCCTACAGCAAAGTCCTCCAAACCCTACCCAAAGCCTCGGAAAAAGACATCGATGGCTATCGCATCTGGATGAAAGAAAATCATCCCATCGCTTCATCCGAGACTCGATTCTTGAACCACGATGCTGATCTCGTTTCCCTCACGCCGCGACTCGCTGCAGGAGCTGCCTCGGCCCCTGTTTACATGGCTATCATCATTGCCTCTGGCGCCCTGCTTCTGCCGCTACTGGCGTTTAGCATGATTGCAGAATTCTCCGGCCGTCTAGTTGTTGTGACAGTCGTTGGCGGTGCTGCTGCTGCCATTGCGGCGAATTATTCGGCTGGGATTGATACTCTTGTTGATTCGAGGGATGGGTGGCGGTGTGCTACTATGTATGTTTCTATTGCTTTCCTCTCGTTTGATCTTTGTTTTGGGTTTGATGCTGACGCTGACGCTTGCAGATACTTTGGATTCATGACCATTGCTGCCATGTTCATTCCCTGATTCCTAACATGTTGTTTTTGGACTTGGGTTCTTATGTTTAACGATTCTCCTTTGTCCTGATTTTGTGCTATTCTGATCATCTCTTTTAATCTGGCGAGAAATGATATGGGCAAGGGATAGTCTGTGTAATTAAAATTGCAGGGTTAGATGTGGGAATTTGGGACACGGAGATGGAGTTTGGCATAGTAGTGGCTCAGCCTTGTTGGCATGGACTATGGATTGGAAGATAGGATAGGTGTTTGATATGCTCGGGATCTATGCTACGCACTGTATTATGAATGAGAAATGGATCAAAATGATCCCTTATAATATTTTGTTGGTTATGATTCGAGAAACTTAGATGGATTACATACCGAAGTAACCACCAACCACGAGGTCTTGACTTGACAATATCATGTTCTAAACGCGATAACAGCAGTGCACACAATTGAAAGATGAATATTCCTGAATTGCCAGTATATATAAATAGACTCGCCTTTTGAAGATAAGAATGACTAATTTCTAAACCGAGCAACAAAAAAGAGATAAAATTGGCGTCGTGACTCCATCTTAGAAAAGAAAACCATCCACGCCAGTCGCTGAGTTGGGCCATAATACAACACCGAATAAACAAAAAAATCATCATACACAGCCATGGATCAAAAAGTTCATTAACAACACAATCGGTGAGAAAGATAAGTTAGAAGGTGAAGCGAGAAATGAAGAAAACCTGATTGCAGAATGCAATGTTGAATCATTGAAAGACTAAACTTTTGCTTTCTGAGCTCCGCGAACTATGCCCACAGAGAAGCAAATACAAATGGTATGAGATAGGCAAAACCTGCGCTTAAGCAGGAGTACCATTCTGCCTGCTTCCCGGTGTTGCGCTGCCATCTTGTGACTCCAGACCCTGTGGCTGGGGGGTTGATGGGCTGTGTCTGGTCTGCTGGGCTGCCAGTTGGGCCTTATTACGGTCCATCAGTGCAGCTTGTTCCGCGGCACTGCGGGCATATGTGGCAGCTGCTGCGGAGTTCGCAGCAAAGCCGCCCTGGGAAGGGGTTTGGTTTGGATATTGGACTCGTTGGGGTTGGGTGGAGCCCGCGGGAGTGTAGGACGTGCGACCCTGTGGTGTGGCATTGAAACCGGGCTGACCAGGTCGTGCTGTGTAGGGTTGTGGTGTGCCTTGAGATGATTGCCCTTGTTGTGCGGCATAATAGCCGTTAGGAGCAGGGCGCTGGTACTGGCCTTGACTCGATTGTGAGTATTGAGAAGGGTGGCCGGGGCGTTGTTGGCTGGGTGTGCTGGGTGGACGACCCGCTCCATAAGCCTGGGTGTATGTGGTTGGTACTGAGGGTTGGCGCACTTGCTGAGGGGTACCCTGGAAACCTGGTTGGGATTGTGAAAGACGGGCGTTGGAGGCAAAAGCACGCTGGTTGTAGCTAGACTGAGACCCTGTGTAATTAGGAGGTCGCTGGGAAGAGGGTGTGGAGTTCCGGTTTGCCGCAGCGGTTGCCGCCATCATTGCTGCAGCCCTTTCTTGCGATAAAGTAAAGTCGTCCTTCTCCATGGTACCGTTGTAGTCGGGAGTATCAATCAAAATCTTTTGGCTGATGTTCAATTCAGATAGCTGGTGACCATCCAACTTAGCAACTGCATAAGGAGGTAGAGTGCCGATGATTGTTACGAGACTTGATTTGAGCGTCTCATAGACGCTGAACTCCGCATCAGACGGCGTGTTCAGGTCGCTAGAATCAGGAGCAGGGGTTCCATTTGTCTCAGATTCCTGGTGGGTGGATGATGAAGAAGGTTGGTCGAGGTTTCGAATCCGCTGGTAAGAACTGAGGGTATCGAGCAATCCAGAAATATCGCCTAGCATTTCCTTGATCTCTCTGGATTCGGGGTCCTCTTCAGTCTTGACATCGAGTTGTGTAATATCTTGAACAAAGTCCTCAGGGTTGAATGACTTGACCATCTCGTCTAGAGCACTCTCATCGAGTTCACCGATATTGCCAGGTTGAGCTGTTGTGTCATCTTGTTTTGTTTCTCCGTCAAAGGGAATAGACAGCAAGGTGCTCAGGCGGCTCGCACCTCGTTGTCCCCACCAAACCATGTTCTTTGAATCACGCTGCACGATTGAATTGGAGCTGTCGAAAGAGGGTGCAAATGAGGAAAAGACGCCCTGGAGAGCAGATGAATCAATGCCCGTCCAAAGAGCAGGATCGCCCGATTTGTGAACAATATCTGAGTCTGTATGTTGTTTCTCAACACGGTCCCAGTATGCCGGTGACGATGTAATTCCGCCGTATTGAATCCATTGGGTAGAGGGAAGAGGTGCAAGGCAATAGTTGCTTCGCTCACCCAGGAATGATTTGCTATCGAAAGTAGCGTCGAAGCGATCAATCCAGGTGACCGAGTTACTCCGGTAGGATCTTTTGCGCGGAGGCTCTAACTGTGGCAATGAAGCACGTGGAGCGAACACTTCACCAAATGTTCGCTTCGGCTGAGACGCGGCAGCGAGGTTGAAAGGAGCAACCTTCGTGGTAGTGATTCCATTAGGCAAAGCGGTCTCGCGCAACTCCTCCTGTACTTCGACGAACTTCTCAGGCCCAGACTCGGACTGCAATGGCACCTTCATGGATTTTTGAAGACTTGAAAACAGCTGCCGGGGGTGCGCTGGGTTTCCAAAGAGCGTCAACGCGTGTTTGTCCTCGCGAGTACAGAAGTTGATCGCATGGAGATCTGTCGAGCTGTCATCATCGTCTTCCATCGCCTCGGTCTTAATTTCAGCCTGGTTGACGAAAGTCTGGCCAACTAAGCTGTTCATGTGTTTTTTGAATGCGGCAATTTGATTGACCACTTCGGTCAAGGGCGCACCGTCGTCTCTTGTACCATTGGTCTGACCTTGGTTGCGCTCAATTACAGCAGCCGATGCTTTTTCAATATCAGAAAGAAATTCCTGCAGGGTGCTGTATCGGTCCGAGTTGACGCGCGTTTGAATGCTGGAGGTATCTTGGTCACCAGAAACCTTTGCGCGCTTCGTTCGAGGCTTAGTTGTAGATGATGGGAAGGGGCAGGAAAGGAGTTGGAGCTCGGTGTCATGCCTAGTAATTGTTAGGAAAGTGAGTCCAAAATAGATAACTCTGATAGAAGCTTACTTGAGTAGAAGTCTGATCAAGCTGCTGAGGGTTTCGTGGAGGTTTGCTCGATCGCGCGACGCAGAGGAACTGGAATCATCTTGGGCGGACCGCTTCCTCTTTCCGGGAGTTGCCATCGTAGTGGTATCATGCGAGTCGCCATTTGTAGCGGAAATGGCTGCCGTCTCTCCAGCTTCGTCGGCGCTCATGGTTGCAAAGTCGCGCCTAAGTTGACTTGATTTGACGCGGTCCCCTCCAATGCAGATGGTCAGGGTCCACAAATTAAAGCGGTACAAAAATGAAGATTGAGAGAACGCGATCGTATAAGAAAGTGTTGCAGGTAGGCGGGTGTGAAGCTGCTCCACGAAGCAACCGTGCGAGGAGGCTCGATGGATCAAACCCGAATTCGAAAGGAGGATCGAATCGCAAAGAGGGGAGAGAACCACGTGAAGAATCCCTCGAAAATGAGAGATGAAGTGATTTATTGAATGGAGCAAACTCCAGTGGGATAGGACAATGGAAAATGTAGCGAAGCAGGTAAGGGTCACGTCTGTTTTGCGGAGGGCAAGACGGTTACAGTTCTTGACGCTCAGAATGCGCGCCATCCCGAAAAGCGCAACCCGTGACGATCGCTCACGTGATCTCTCATTTTCTGCCGAGTCCGAGACGCGATTGTTTTCTCTCTCGAGATCTCAACTTTTGAGACAATTACCCATGACTACGTTCATGGATGTCATCGGTTCTCAGAAATGCCCGAAACCTTTCGGGAACAACGGGGTTGAGAGCCTACGTGCTCAATAGACATCGGTTGTGCCAGGTATTGCTACTCGGTCCTAGACTATCAAGCCTATGCTAATAGCTTCGATGTTAGACAAATCTACACCGTGCCATACTACATGATGCCCGGGGCAATTCCCGCTCTTTTCAATCCACAACCTTTCCCAATGAAACCGATCCATCTACAATCGACACCAAGTCCTCCTCATACGTCAACGAAAATCCGCCCAGCGCATCTACAAAAACCCAAGGCTCGACATATAAGCACATATCCGAAGGCGAGAATAAGCCTAGCAATTCTGCCAGCATTAGAGTGAAACCGAAGCCCGCCGAATATCTTTCCAAAGCTCTGCGCAACACCGGTCATGCTCTTGGCAATGATCAATTGACTACATCTGATTGGCCTCAGTCAGTACGTGGCAGGGGAAATCCGAGGACAGTTGGTCGACCGAAGAAACCATCTCTGCCGGTGCTTCTTGGGGAGTACATAAGAGAAGTGGATCCATTGTTGTCACCTACGTCGGATAACCTCACTGGAAACAAATTAGATACGGCTCTCAATGAAGTGTTCAGAGAGAAGAGCCGTGATTATTTAACTTCGCGTGGCTATGATGTTGCCGATGTCACTGCATGGGCGTGGATTATGAAGAGCCGGAATCCTCATGAGGCTATGGTGCGGTTATTCTTGCTGGAGTCCGACAATACCAAATCTGCTATGAATATCCCAAGAATCCCGACTTTCATTCCACTCCACATTCTGCGACAACAACATCTTGATGCTCACTCGTTTCGTCTACTTCTCATTTATTCTTTACATATCATGAGCGGACAGCCGCTTCCAGCGGGGTTCAACCCCGCCAAAGTCCCCGAAGATGGGTCTGAGCTACCCAAGGAATTCCACCCCAGGATAGATTCGGGAACCTGCATGACCTTGGTGGTTCGCCTCATTCGTCATGCGCGACGTGTATGGCCCCAAGCCCTCCTCATTATTGCTCGTGCATTTGCCCGCTTTCTGGCAGCTTCGAAAACGGGAGAGACAAAAGTGTCCATTTTGGCAGCACGAAATCAAGATCGCATAAAAACCACCCAATTTAACACCTGTCTCTGGTTACTTTCCTTACCAGCCAAGGTTGCTCCTTACCGCTCGACACCAATCCAACAGCAGGCGCAGTTTGAGCTTCTTAGGGCAATGGCTTCCCACACGCCTGTGCTTCCTGTCTCTCGGCAGGGATATCGTGCAGTTGTTGCAGTTCAGCTAGCGCACAAGAAGACGGTAGAAGAGCGCCAATCTGCTGAATTGAAAGCTCCGTCTTGGCCTCCGTGGAAAGAAGAAAAGCTTGGAATTGACTCTCAGCGCGGCAATGATGGAATGTATAGTCGTGCGATGCAAGTACTTTCGCAAATGAAGGACGCGGGATACTCCCATCGCCTTTGGGAAGATATTTCTTCCATCCTAGCGGGCTGGGATACAGATGGCAGCCCAACAGTGCAAACGAGAGCTATGATGCGGCGTCCAAGGGCTTTTCCGGACACTCACAAATACGATTTGGACCACCAGGAAGTCTGGGTTTCCCGCATTCGCTCCACGAGAACTGTACGTGAAGCTTGGGCCTGTTTTCTCTCCTATCAGGACCGAGATCTTCCTCCCAAGGCGGCCATTTATGCTGCAATGGCTGAAAAGTTAATCTACCGACGAATTACGATTCAAAACGGGATTGACTATATGGGCCATACCCTCCCGGGTGATGGCCGCGAAGTTTATCCTGAGCCGGATTCTGCACGTGACATTATATATGTGCCCATCGAGCCGCCTACGCTGGATGAATTGGTCAACCAGATGCTCTCACATGGGCTCCGGCCCTCGGGAAGGTTCCTTGGTTTGCTGCTTCAATCGGCTTCTTCCTTGCATTCAGGTTTACATTATCTACAATGCAGTGGCCTGACAAAGTCTCAAATATTCATTCTGTCGACTATACAAGTCAACTCAAACAAATACTCGACACTGGATACTGAAGCGTTCCAAGCAGTGCCAGACCATGTATTTGCATCGTACATCAAATTCCTCTGCGCATATTCTGATGTTGTGTCCTTGGATATCAATCGCGGAGATATACTCACAGCCGACCGCTTCCCTGCTCTTGTGGCTACTACACGCTGGACTGGCCCGAAGACGGATCTTTTGTCGCATGTCAAGAATCACCCAGGCCACGGGCATTATTCGAGAGGCCTATGGCATGCAATTCAGCTGACCAAACTGCGGCGCGTCCCCTACACTCCAGCTTGGACCCATATCTTGTCTGCCTTGACTCGTGAACGATTAGGTGATAATCACGGACCACAAAGTCGAAGTCTTCAACGCGTACTCTCATGGCACCAGGCTCTGAAGACCATGAGCTGGATGCGACAACGTGACATCGAGCTTGGCGAGGAAGGATTCCGTATCATCTGTGTGGCATTTGCGAGAGCGATTGATGCTGCCATAAGGCATCCTGGAACTGCCGACCATAGCTTTGAACTGCTTGATAAAGCTCAACCCCGTGATCTCAATGCGGAAGACGAAGGCGATGACCACTTTGAAGCATTGTTACGACATGCGTTACATGTCTTGAAGGATCAATTCGATCACCTCGTTCTCCCAGCATCGAAATCCTCGGCGCATGCAGAACGCAGTGTCTTTGCAGGAGGTACCTCTAATTCGCCCCTCAGTGTTCCTTCCGTACTCCATACACCATCACCTGCGACACTGCATGCCTTTGTTCGGGCTCTGGGGTCAGTTGGGGATGACGACGGATTGTTGCATCTACTGCACTGGATGGTTCAATCAGCCGATCAGCTCAGAGAAGCTACAGAAGAGCATTCAAATGGCCACAAAATGATGCGGCGAACCCTCACGGCGATCCGGGTGTTCCTAGAGAGACGTCCCCAAATGGACACGCGGGTACCGTCGGACTTGGTCATGCAGGAGGCATACGACCTAATCAGCCGGACAGGCTGGGACTGGCCGAGTGATGCAGAGGTCAAGCATTATTGCCAACCATTGTAATTATAGTTGTATTTCTAGAGTCAATGTTACATGATACCCCATACATCTTGTAGCTCGGCAAACGTCGGCCTGGGAGCTTTCCCCACACCCGAGCGACTTTCAACTTTTCAGGTCATTCTTCTCTTTCCCTGCAACACAATCGCATTCCAGCGCGATTTCCACCATTACATTGACCGGCCATGGCAACAATCATGTCCCCACGCCTCGTGCGCCTCGCTGCCCCCCTCGCCGTTCGACCGACCCTATCTTCTGCCCGGGTGTTCATCTCACGATACAGCACTGCTCCTGATGAAGACGTCATCAAGACCTCTCAAGTCCCAGCCCCTGGCTCAGGGCATGTGCGCGTGCTACAGCTCAACCGGCCGCACGCCCGCAACGCCATCTCGCGCCACTTACTCGACACGCTATCGAAGCAAGTGAACGCCATCGCGGAGGAAGGGGGCAACGGCCCAACCCGGGCTCTGGTCGTCGCGAGTAGCGCAGACGCGGCATTCTGCGCTGGCGCAGACCTAAAGGAGCGCGCCGGCATGACCATGGCCGAGTAGGAAGCCGACTTCCATGCGGGGTGTAATATCCGCAACTTACCTGGCCGATAGCTAACAACTTGATACAATCTACAGGACAGAAGACTTCCTCCTTAAGCTTCGTGCAACCTTCAAAGACCTCGCTTCCCTCCAAATCCCCACAATCTCTTCCGTCTCTTCCATGGCCCTCGGTGGCGGCCTCGAGCTCGCGCTATGTACCCACCTGCGCGTCTTCGCCTCGTCCAGTGTTGTCGGGTTGCCCGAGACCCGTTTGGCAATTATCCCGGGTGCGGGTGGTACCTACCGTCTGCCCTCGGTTATTGGAGTGAACCGCGCCCGGGACATGATTCTCACCGGCCGCCGGGTGACGGGTCCCGAGTCATATTTCATTGGTCTTTGTGATCGTCTCGTCGAGGTGTTGCCCGAGGAAGAAGCGCAGGAGGGTGTTGCCCGTGAGAGAGTCCTCCGTGAGAGTATCAAGCTTGCGCTGGATATCTGCGAGGGTGGCCCTATCGCCATTAAGATGGCTCTGCAGGCTGTGGACTCCTATGCTCTTGGTGAGCGAGCCGAGAATGCCGCTTACGAGGGTGTCATCGAGACAGAAGACCGGTACGAGGCGCTGCGTGCTTTTGCCGAGAAGCGCAAGCCTGCTTTCCGCGGCAGGTAAACGTGTCATAAGCCCTGAATGGACATAGTTCAAAAGTGATATATCCACTACAATGTAGGCTAAGAATGAAGAGCTCTTCTGCGCCAAGGAATTATTGTAATACTCCTATTAGTTTAGCGAAAGAAGCAAAGATGATATCTCAAATGGACTGCGTTTGTTTCCGGTATATTTGGGATGAGATTATGCCCTAGGTGTCACATATTTTGTAGTCAGGCACCTCGGGCAATCATGTGGCTTGAGTTGCCTTTTTGGATCATGAGGACAAAGCTATCATAGTGGCGAAAGGCTGAGGACATGATGTATGATTTGCGTGCATAAGCTTTTGCTCTCCGCGAGTGATGTTCTTCAGTGACTCGGAATAGTTGCAGTTATAAGAACATGATTGCCTTCGAGTCATCCGGCATCTTCCTTGGGAAATCGACGGGAAGGTAATAACTTTATTTAGATCTGACTTGACTCTGTGTTTGGGTCAAGTCTTGCGGGGTCAACTTCTGCCTGGTGGATCTACATACTTCCCGGGCCATATATTCTTTTATAGACACGGTCTTATACAAGCCAAAATGCAAAAGTACAAGGCATACCATTTAAAAAAAGATAATATGCTTATGGGTAAGAGCCCCCTGCAGTAGCTTGAAATTGTGAAGCTCGTGTTCAGTAAGATTGCTGATTTCGGGCCAAATTCCCGAGTATTTCCTAGGCTTCCCTTTCTCCTCTTCCTCCCATGGTCGAAGGCAAGAGGTCACATCAGACAGTGACTCACCAGGCCTCCATTTTCTGCAAGGCTCACCGAGCCTGCAGCTGCAGACGTGAAAGCACGTAACCCGCGACGGTACCTGGCATACCCGATCTTGAGGCTGTGCTAGTACCCCGGGTCAACACCCAATGGGCAAACCGGACTAGCCCCCGAGGCATGGCAGGGCGCAAGACAGATTGAAATGGTAATCTGCACGCCCGTACCCGGACTAGACTAGAGAAACCCCATGGATCTGCAGGAATGAATACGCGGGTGACCTGGGTCAGGGGAACAGCCACAGTCACCTGCAGGGAACATATAAACCGCGCTTCGCGACTCGCTTCTGCTCTTTCGCCTTTTCACCTTTCAACTATGGCTATAGCTTCAACTCTTGCTTTGTATGATGTCTAAACCTCTACTCATCAAGCCTTTTGGCTTGTCGCAGATATATGTCCCGCGCGATGAACCCAAGGTTGATATCGTCTTCGTTCATGGCTTGAACGGCCACCCTCACGACTCTTGGACGAGCAAGAATACTGGTACTTTCTGGCCTGTTGACCTTCTGCCTGATGTTCTTGCTGCGCAAAGTCCTCGTATCCTCACCTATGGCTATAACGCAAATGTCACGGCCTTTACGGATGGTGTATCCCGAGACTCGGTCGTTAGCCATGCTGAAACACTCGCCTCGAGTCTCGCTGCCAATCGAAGTGTAAAATCTGCTCCTTCTATCCCTTCTTTTTGCGATCTTTTTTGCTCCCCTTTTTGCTCTCCTTTTTGCGCTCCTTTGATTTATCTTCTGACTTGAGGCTCCGTAGTTGAAAGGATGCGCCAATCGCCCAATAATATTCGTCTGCCATTCTCTTGGAGGTCTCGTTGTGAAGCGTGCCCTTATATACTCCCGCAGTCTTTCAAGTGAGAAAACGGAGCACCTTCGCTCCGTATACGTCTCGACCTTCGGCATTCTCTTCCTCGGTACCCCGCATAATGGGTCTGATATTGCAAAATGGGGTCTCTTGCTACATAATATCTGCAACGCCGTCCTTCCAAAGAAATTCATGGAGGCATCTCCACAGCTCGTCAAGGCTCTTCGGACAAATAACGAAACCCTGCAGCATATCAACAGTCTATTCGTAGACATCATGGGCCGATTCCACATCTATTTCTTCCACGAAACACGATCTACAGATGTACGCGGCACTCGAGAAGTGATCGTGGATGAATCATCGGCGGCTCCCTATATGGAGGGTGTTGAACGAATGGGTATCGAGGCAGATCATAGCCACATGTGCAAATTTGATGACGAGAATGCCGCTGGTTATGAAGTGGTCGCTGAGGCTATTCTCCGATACTCACGCCAGGCTCCTACAATCATCAGGGATCGCTGGGTGGAGGAAGTGAGCGTTCGTACTCAAGAGAAGAAAGCTAAGGCCAGGGAGATCTATGACGGTGAGTCGAGTTATTTTACACTCTGATATATTAGTTCACCTTCACTTTACGCTCACTTTACTCTTAACTTTATACTAACTATCATAGGAAGAGTAGACGATCCAGCAAATCGAAGCATGCCAGATCTAAACAGGCCTGGTATGATACACCTTCTTCCTGCACCCGGAGATTCAGTCACGCTGAGGAGCTATGAGATTGAGGAGCCTGCCGTTTAAAGATTTTGCTTCAACTCCGGTTAGCGTTGCGTTATTTTGATCAGATTCTTGTCTTTGCTTTCTTTGTTGGTGCCGAACCCAAGGGACCACATACTTCAAATCAATTATTCCCTTCAAACTCCGACTGCGCTATGTTCTGTGTACTTAGTTTCTCTGGGTGGCTCCCATCTTATGGCCTCAATAGCTGACATGATTCATCTCGCACTTTCTTCCCAGAGTCAGACTTGCTGACTCTCTCATAGGCCAATCCGTACCAACTCTTCCGCGTGCCCCTGCAACAGAAGGCCGCAATTCCCCCGTTTCTGATCTGGGAAACAGCGGACTCCTCGAATTCTCCCATTATTCCCACTCAAACCCACCACTGTTCGTTGCACCCCCCGGCTTCCACCCCAATGCAACATTCTTTGGCATGCAAAAAGAGCTTGAAGTTTTGCACAATCGGCTGTTCAAGGCCAAGGCGCGTGTAGAAAGGACTATGGCCGTTTTGATCTCTGGCGTCCCAGGCTCAGGAAAGACGCATTTAGTACGGCAATATGTGTTTGAACAACGCGACTGCTACCCAGGTGGAATCTTCTGGATTGATGCCAAGTCCCGCGAATCAGCACACAAATGTTTCTGGGAGATTGCCCAAGCCGCCACGCTAGTTGACCACAAGGAAACCGTGGACCCTGAGTACCAGGAGGCCCAGAGGTATGTAAGCGCCGTGCGGAACTGGCTTCAGACACGGCAGGATTGGCTTCTGGTATTTGACGGGGTGACCTTTGACCGCGACGATGATATCAATGAGTTCCGGTCTTTCTTGCCGTGGAATCGCCAGTGCAGTATAATTTACACCTCGGTCGATACAACCTTGCGAAAAAAGCAGCGACTGTATGAGCCCTACTGCCTGATGATTTCTCGGATGCATGTCGAGGATGCTTGCAGGCTTTTGTTCAAGGACGTTGGAATCACTCGACCTACAGCCGAGCAGGTCTTCAAGGCCACCCGGATAGTAGAGCACTATGAGTGTCTACCTTTGGCAATCCATGCTATTGGCCATCGTCTCAATGCCACAGGAAAGCCCATCGAAAAATATCATGTCAAATCCCACGTGACTGACAAGAAGCTCGCGGAACCATTCTTGAGCATTATGAATGATTTGTTTCGTCTGCAACAAAGACAAGCATTGCATCTGATCAATCTTCTATCGTTCCTTGGTCACCAGGTTCCAGTGGGACTTTTGAACCTTGGGAAGGCTGCCATGACTGCCGAGAATTTGGAAATTCAGACCAGTGCCCAAACCGGAGAGGATCCTGATCTTGATAATACGCTAGGAACCCTCATACACTATGGACTGATCGAGAGGACTTCAGTTACCGGCGTCGTCCGACAAACTTCATCTTTGCACCAATTTGATCACCAATCTGACGGGGAAACACCCGGGGATTCCAGATCTGTTCCTGAATTCTCGGAACTACATAATGAGAGCAGCCAAGAAGGGTTCTTTTCCATTTACCGCCACAATTCGGCGGTTGACGTGGTCAAAATTCACACTGTGGTCCAAGGGTTCTGTCGAGATGAGCTTCGAATCAAGGACGAAGAGTATAAAGGTACCATGAACAAACATGACCCTGGATTCTACGATACCTGGTTGATTGTTGCCACTCGATTTCTGATCAAATCCTATGACTCCGCCAGGGAGAGGATGATCCATTACCAGGACTGTGGCCTTGTCCGGGACTATCGAGAATACGAAACCCATGCTTCGCGATTGGCCGAGCTCTTTCCAAAGAGGCCGCTGATGGGATCACATCCACCCATTCTGCGTGAAGCACGAGAGAGCCTGCGTCGCTTGCTGAAGAACATAAGCAAAGAGATCGAGAATCTCTCTCCAAGTTCCTCGCATCACTTGTCTCGCAACCAAAAGTCTGTTTTTGATCGCTCAAGCAGCTCGTCCTCATCCTTCCCCGAATCTTCGACAGACGAGGGTATATCGCGTCAGAATACATTCAACTGGGATGATCTCAACTCGCCTCGAGCGGAGTCACCTGAGCAGATCGCAGTGCCTCTTCCTCGCTTCAGGTTGGAGTTGTTTCCTCCCCATATTTTTCGAGGACCTGGATATGAATCGGAAGAAGGCTATGAAACCGACGGAGAAGCCAAAGCAGTTGTTAGGGTTTCTCCAGCCTTGTCACAAATCAGTAATACCACAGAAAAAGCGAACCAGCCTCTTTTATCAAGCCCTCCGATTTTATCGAACGAGCAGGAGTGGCAGGTGGTCAACCGTCATCAAAAATCAAAGCCAAAGCCACCCAAGGGGAGAAACCAAAGGAGACCCAAGAAAGGCCCACAGAATTTTAGAGGCGCCAAAGCCGACACTCCACTAGCAAAATTATCCTCTGTTCAAGGACGAGGATCCTCAAGTCGAACAACCTCAGCTGAAACGGCCAACTCCTCGAAACTAGGCTCGGAGGCCGAAAGAGCGCTCGCTGCAGTGCGTCGGTATAGCAACTCTCAAGCGTCCTCTGAAAGCTCGCAGCAAACAGCTACCTCTGCGCCAATAAATTCGCCAGCGGGTAAGGAAAATCTGTCGACATGTGCAAATGTGGCCACCCGGCGAATCCTAGAGGTGGAGTCAACTGTGAAACGTCCGTCATCAGTGCCTGTATCTCGCGCTCTAGATCCTGCTAGTGGTGTACAGATGAAACCATCCACGGAGTCTTTTGACAGTCAAATGGGCTATGCCTTTGCGTCTCCATTGTCCCATGAGTTGACCTCTCACGAACTGTTGGTGGAGCCTATGGGTCGGTCAACATTCAGTGAACCCGGTGATGATATCTTCGGTCACCAGATGAACGATGTTGATTACCGCACTGCACCTGGATCACGATCTCATTCTCGACGTGCCTCCGTGGCACAATTCGAAATCCCCCAAAACCTATCTGCAAGTGTCCCATCTCTCCTCCCATACCCGGCATCGTTGCCCTACGACGAGGACATTACCATTAGCATCCCAAATCTCCGAAGACCATCAAGAACATCAGGCACAAGCACCCCATCTGGATATCCCAGACCTGCCCCCATCGCCCATCCATCCGCAATAATGCCCGGCACATTCCCACACTCCTCGAGTTCAAACCTACCCGTAGGTTCTGCACCAGAGCGACCCACAATAGAAGCCCTATCGCGAGGCTCATCCACATTCTCACATCAATCGTGGGCAACAGAACCAGTCCGATTTCCACCGCGCTTCTCACCAATCTCAAGTTTCCAAAACCAACCAGGATTAGCATCCGCCGTACCCCAACACATCCAACAACAACAATTACTCCCCGGAATCGGAAGCTGGACAGCAGATGTGCCCCTAGCGGCCAGCGCCCTCCAGTCCGATCCGACCTTCACTGGCCAGCCACCATCACACAGGCGACTAGGGTCGATGGATGAGCGACTGAAGCTCATGGATCCGGGCTGGAACCCGGATCTTGAGCCGTCACAGTATCTGCATTTCGGCGAACATCGCGTTGATGTTCGAGAAGCACGTCATCGGTTGAGTGAGTCTGCGAGGCTTCCGGGGCCACGTCATGGGCCGCAGTATCAACTGTATCATCCTAATTTGTCTGGCCCTTTGGTTCAGCATGATGGTCAGGTCTATGCACCCGCTCCACCATTGGAGGTGTATGGCAGGCGGGCACGGAGTGGCAGCTCACCTCCACGCCCAAACTATGATGGTCTAGGTGTGCGATTCTCATGATCTCACAATCCTGCTTGTGGTATTTTCTGTTCCTTTTTCAATTTCTTGCTTTGCATGCGTTTGCATATATACATACGGTCATTGGTGTAATGCGTTCTCTATTCATTATTGCTGCTTGCATCTGCATTTTATCGCGCATCATGGGGACCCGAACCATCGTCTGACAGGAGTTTAGCATTAGCATTGAATGATCAGAACATAGCATCTAGAGGGTTGCATTAGGAAATTAGGAACAAAGCAGTGGGATGCAATCCTTCAACGCTTCCCACAAAGTCAAAGTCAAAGTCAAGTTCAAATGCATATTGCTTGTCTTTTTTGAGAATGAAATATGAAGAAATATAAGCAAAGTAGAAAACAAACTCCCACGAGAGTTAAACAAACACCAATCACCATCGCTCAAATCCCAAGTTCCCATAAAGACAATCCCATTCTCAATTTCATTCCGATTAATACCCCTTCTCCTCAACATCGGCCTTAGTAACCTCAACACCCCCCTTCTCAGCAATCCCAACAGCATCAATAGTAATAGACCCATACCTCTCCCTATCAGCCCCCATTCCATCCGAATCTTCAACGTAATCCTTCGGCTCCATCCACCCAGCCCCCTTCTCCATGCCCGGCGGCTTAGAAACCAAACAACAAGCATAATAAACCCCAAAGGCAATGAACAAGCCGGTGGGGTAGGCGACATAGTAGAAACGCTGGATACCCACGGGAGCCTTGACACCCATCTGGTGGAGGAATCCGTAGAAGTTTGGCGCAATCGCCACGATATAGGCGAGGAAGGCGCGTGGGTTGAAGCCTGAAATGTATCTATATGGGGTTGGTTTTGCGATGTACAGGGCTGGGACGTTCAGGTAGCCGCGGCGGATTAGGTAGTAGTCGCAGATTAGGATTCCTGTGATTGCTGAGAGGAAGATTTGGTAGGAGGAGAGGAAGGTTATGAAGATCGAGGCGCTGGCTAGGAGGTACCAGGGGCAGATTGCGTAGGAGAGGACTTTTGGTTGTTAGTGATGCTCCTTTTCTCGATTTCAGGGGGGCTTTAAGATGGGTACTTACTGGCGCAGATGAAGAAGCCCCGTTTTATTGTGATGTATTTTGGTAGGAGGGCTGCGATGTCGTTGCCGGCGCTGGGATTTGTTAGATCTTGACTTCTTTCTGTTTCGGAATAAGAGGTTCTTACGGGATGGAGTTCTCAAAGATGGCCGAGAAGACTGTCGAGTAGACGAATGCGAAGGAAATGAAGGCGCAGGCAGCACGGTTACCATGGGTATAGCGCTCTCCCTCCATCAACTTGTCGAGGAACGTCAAGGGGTTCCAGATAAGCTGCAGGCCACGTTAGCTTAATCCTCTTCAATGACATTCAGCAGACAAACCTCTCCAAAGATCTCCTTGCTGGCTGATGCAATCAGGTTCCCCAGAATCGCGACTAGGAAGTTTGAGAGTGGGAAGCTGACGATCTGGCCGATGAGGACATCATTAGGCTTTGTAGCGTATCGCTGAAGATCAGAGGCGTTGGAGATGAATGTTCCACAGCTGGCAAGTCCGAGAAATAAGAACTTGAAAATCAAATAGCTCTTCTCAGTGCCTTGAATTTTTGAGGGCGCATTGAGTGACTTTAAAGAGCCACCGGCCAGGGAGACTGTCCACCCAAGCATAGCAAAGGCTGCACAGAAGTATACGGCGACCTTGACATAGACCAGAGATTTCATCTTTGGTACGGGCACAATAAGGAATGCGCAATTAACGAGCCTGGAGCAATGTGAGTCATTGATTGTTAAGATTGAGAGCGGAGTCCTGTACCAGTAGACAAAGAAGCACATCATCTGCGCAGAAGTCAACGCCGACTTGGAGCCCATCTTGTCCGGGATATTCTCAATGGAAGGAAAAATAGCATGCAGGAAAACACTAAACAAGCGTAAGTCACCCCGCCAATACATTGCCTCCTGGAAGCCAAACACTCACTACAAGCACTGCGCGCCCTGAACAGAATTGACACCATTCCACACAATGGACATAGCGGCACGATTAAACGTCGGCCACAGCGCACCCCAGGTACCGAAACTGGAGCGACAAAGCACAGGGAACGGAATGCGATACATGGCACCAGCACGACCATTCAGGGCCATCAAGGCACCGGCGAGAATTTGTCCGCCAAAGGAACACCCGATGGCTTCCCACATGGTCAGGCCCATGGACATACCCGTGGAAGCTGTGTAGAGGTTGCTAACATTGGCGGTTGCAGAGAACCAGAACATGATGTAGGTGAGCTGGGACCATGTTCGGTCTTTCATTGGGGTGGGCCGGATGGAGGAATTGTCCAGCATGTCGACGGGGCGAGTAGTGCCATCCTCCTCTGTCCTCTTGACGAGGAGTCGTTCATGCAGGCGGGTGAGCATCGCCATGGTTGCGCTTCTCACAGATGCAATGTGCAATGTGTGGTGGGCAGGAGGGAAAGAGTACAGTTTATGAGGGGAATACAGATGTGGTTAGGGCTGCGATAAGAAACTCCGCATGAGTTCTTGGCCTGTCAACTGCCCACGCCAGACACCCCCCTGCAAGTTCACCAACGTGCAGAGTCTCCCCTTATCAAATAGCCAAGCATCTGAGGCGTTCACAAACACCGGACAAGTCCGCAACTCCGACGGTTGTCGGACTTGCAGGGGATCCGTATGCGGGGGACTTCTTAAAGATTTCCACCTTCGCAGTTGACCTCGTGAAGCAAGCAGAAGCAATCATGTCCACCTTGATCGAATACACCCAGATTGAGCTGCTCACGCTCAGCGGCCCTGAGTATCGTCGAGTGTCTACTGCTCCCCCGCGCCCGCCGACCGAGGACGAAATCCCTATCATAGATCTGTCCTCGATTGATGGCGATATCGAAGATCGAAAGGGCATCGCATCCAAGATCAGATCAGCTGCCGAAAACACCGGCTTCTTCTACGTCAAAAACCACGGAATTGCAGAAGAACTCATCCAGAACGCTCTATCGCAAGCGCAGACCTTCTTCAACCAGCCCGACGAGAAAAAAGAGCTAGTCTCAAGCAAGAGATCCAAACTCTCAGATGGATGGCATGGACTCGGAACAACCCAAGTAAACAAAACCGAAACGCGAGGTATTTCTCCTCTCCTCTCAGATAAAACCTTCCAACTACTAACCACCAAACTACAGATCGCAAAGAGACATTCTCCGTACGCTACAACCCTAGGAACGACCCAACAATTCCTGACCCAGAATCCCTCCTCAAAGACTCCCGCTTCTCCTACGGCGGCGATGAACTAAAATGGCAGGGAACAAGCCACCTCCCAGGCTTCCGCGAAACAACAATAGAATTCTACCAGCGTCGTCTAGCCCTAGCCCGCAAAATGGTCCGCATCTTCGCGCTCGCCCTGGACATGCCAGAGAACTACTTCGACGAAGTAACCACCCACCCAGGCGCAGACGGTCTATATGTGCATTACCCTGGCACAGACGAAGACCGCGAAGACGATAAAGCAGACGTGGACGTCGGTATAGGCTCGCACACCGATATCCAATGCCTAACCCTGCTGTGGCAGGATATGTCGGGCGGACTGCAGGTTCTTTCTGTCAGCGATGAATGGCTCGATGCTGCACCGATTGCCGGCACGCTGGTTGTTAATATTGGCGATTTCTTGCAGCGGCTTTCAAATAATCGGTTCAAAAGCACGGTGCATCGTGTTTATAACCGGCATTCAAGCTCAAGGTATTCCATGCCTTTTTTCTTGGGGTTTAATCCTGATTCCGTTTGTAAGGTGGTGCCTTCTTGTGTTGATGAGGAGCATCCCGCTCTTTACGCGCCTATTTCTTGCGGAAAAGTGAGCCGTTTGTGTTCTATTTGGGTTTTCTCGTGTTTTCTGACATTTGAATCTAGTGGCATCGCAATCGGCTGGAACTTTCTTCTGGCAGGACTATTAGTACGTAGAGATAGATGTAACGTTGTTGTTGAGGTAACAGACCCCAGTTCTGTCAAATGCTGCCAGAGAATTTATATAGAAAGAATGGATTATCTGTTAAAACGGTCTCATAGACTCCTCAAATCCATCCCACCCAGAAGAAGGCATAGAATCAATAAAGCGGAACGGCGCCCAATCCGCCACAGACATAGGATAAGAGTAAAGTGTATCACCAGAATTGATAGAAACACTCGAATCAAGATAATCCCGCGCCTTTTTCTGAACAACATTCGTCGCCCAGTTGAAGACACCCTCAATACTCCGCGGAATCCTAGCCTGTGTCCGCACATTCTCCATTAATGTATATGTCGCGTGGATATCGGATATATCAGAAGAGTACTCCGCAAGAGTAACGCCCGCGTACGCACTGAGCAAGTAATCATACGTCGGCCTGACGAACGGCGTATCCGAGGATCCGTAGATCAATATCTCGCTCAGGACTACCTGCGCGTGCCGGATGACCGTCTGCGTTAGGGTTTTCATGCGCTCACTGTGGTGGAGTGAGCCGGGGAGAGGTTCCTTGGTGTTGTTTTGCTAGTTCCCAGCGTGAGAGGATGAGGGAGACGCAGGAATAGGCCCATGTCAATACGCTGTTTCCGTCTGTATTGTGTTCAGTTAATCGTGTATTGGGGTGTGGGTGGGATTCGTACCAGCGAGGTATTTTCGGCTCCATCTGTTTGCCATTTCCCAGGCTTCGCTTACTGAATTAGCTGTGTTGTAGATGACTTCGTAGAGGAGGATGTAGATTTTGAGCTCTGCTGCGATTATTTGGTCGAAGGGTTCGAAGCCTGGGTATTTCACTATCTCTGTCCATTGACGGAGGCGATCGCATGTCACCACTGATGGTCGGCCTGTTCCGATGGCGAATCTTAGTTAGTGGTTAGCTTTGGACTTGCTCATGCCTAGAGGGCACGGTGGGTTGACACATACTTCAAGTGTACCAGTGAAGCTTGGATCCACATCCTGCACATATTCCGACTCGTGTCATCGTAGAAGGAAGTAAGAGACCCAAGCTCAGAAAGAGAGAAAGTAAGCATGCAGTGGGTAATAGTCGTGCTACTCATCAACCAGCTGTCAATATATCGACCACCAGGCACGAGAGGACCAAAACTCCAGGCACTGAAGATCAGCATGGCATGAATGGTAGTGAGGCCAATGGGCGTATCCAAGGCTTTCATGCCTAGATGGGTTTTGACCATTGAATGCAGTGTAATATGGAGATTCGAACGGTTCAAACCAGCTGTAGCGCGGAACCCGGCCAGCAGACACATCGCGAAGAGCAGGGGGTAGTTTTGTTTAAGATCTGACATTGTTTCGTGTGGGAATGGATACCATGATGCTATTTGTTCGAAGCCATGCTGAAAGACAGAGGCGAAGTTTTCGGAATCTAGACCCATCTCGGTCATATGGCCCAGGATGTGGTCGTTTTCTCCGTTTGTTTCTGGTTCTGTGATCAAATTGCCGACATGGCGGACGACTGTGATCGGTGCTGGATGGAAGTCGGCGGTTATATTTGGTGGTAGGACTATGTTATCTTCGTTTTCGTCGAGATCTTTTATGGTGGCCAAGGTGCTATTGGCCCTGGAAGTGATATCGTGGTCGGTGGATGTGGACCGGTCATTTCCAAGGTGCGACCTCAACAATTGCTTCATCTCATCCAGGGAGGCTTCAATGGCATCAAGCCTGGTATCGGTATTTGTTAGCATGGCACTGATAACAGATAGGGTTTCGCCGCTTCGGCACAAGTATAAGGAATACCTTTTTGCGCAATGACACTCAGCAGGCTGAACAGACGCCCTCTCCGGACTAGTAATTGCCGATGTATCGGGAAGAGAGCATTCAAGCCTATCCAAGACCTGTCAGTCCCCAAAAATAGACAACCTCGGCCCCCCCCCCACCAGCTTACCTTAGAGACATGCAGCGGGCGCATTGCCTCGACCCCGGTGGAACCTCGCAGCGCGTCTTCAACCGGCGACATGGCTGACAAGAGAGAATACGTCGTTTACTGGGCATTTTAAAGGGCAGAATGCGAGATATCTGAAGTTTGAACCGGGTGATGTTCTCCGCAGCTTATCTGGGGTTTACGAGGCTAAGACGGATTGGGTTAGCTGCTGGAGATTTAGGCGTAATCATCTATACAAAACACGTTCATGTGAAAAGGAGAAGAGAAATTATATTAACGATTTGTCTATTTATATTACATGTTAATCATTTCATCGGCAACCGCCGATTATGCTGCTCCCCCTGCGGCTAGACTCTTGCCCTTGACGCTCTTCCACTCCACAATCACTGCACCAAAGACACTCAAAGCGGACACAGCTGCGCAAACTGTGAATGTCTGGGTAATAGCGTCATTGTATGCGAGGAGAAGTCCCGGTAGATCTGCCTTGCTGACCACACTCTGAACACTGGTAGCACCGGTTCGGATAATCAGAGCTGGGTCCAAAGTGGGAGCGTATTCGGCGAGATACTCGACCAACTTGTTGCTGAAAACATTGTTTCCAATTGAAACAAAAAGAGCACCACCAAGAGTCTGGGCAAAGACAATAATGGCGGTACCAGTCGGCACATCGACAATGTCAAGGACAACCTGGACGGCGATCATAGGTTGCTGCATACCGAATCCGACACCGGCACCCGCAATAATCTGGTAACCGATCCAGATGGACTTGGGGGTATCTGGGTGGAACTTGGTCATGAGACCATAGCCGATGGCGATCATAATAGTACCAAGAATCATGAAAGGTGCGTAATAGCCGACGATGGTAACGATAATACCTGATAAAACAGACAGAACCACGACTGAGATCAGCATGGGCAGGTTCATGATTCCAGAGTTAACGGCACTGGCACCCTTCACGGCCTGGAACCAGATGGGGAGGAAGTAGACAGAACAGAGGAACGCTGCACCCAGGCAGAAACTGAAGAGAGCCGAGGACCAAACAGTGCGCTTGAAGAAGATGCGCGGAGGGACTGTGGCGTATTCTTGCTGTGTCCATTGAACAAACACAAAGAGCAAGATCAAGGCACCAAAGAAGCAGAAGAGCAGAATAATGCGCCAGTTGCTCCAGGGATATGTCGTGCCACCCCATTGCAGGGCTAGCAGCAGGCAAATGATAGCAGGGAGGAAAAGAGATGTGCCCATAGGATCGAACTTCCTGATACGCTCTGACCATGTCGAGTTTTTGATCTGGCGGTTTGGAGCAGGGAAGAAGATAGCAATCACCACGACAGTGATAGCACCAATGGGCAGGTTGATGTAGAAACACCAACGCCACGACACTTTATCAGTGAAGACACCTCCCAGAAGAGGACCTGCCACGGAAGCAATGCCGTACATGCTGCCAATGAAGCCGCTGTACATGGGGCGCTTCTCAAGGGCTACCGAGTGGGCCAAGATGATCAGGGCACCTGAGAAGATACCGGCTGAGCCAATACCAGCGACGGCACGACCAATAATAAGGGTCAAACTGCTGTTTGCAACACCGCAGATGAGACTACCCAGCTCGAAGATACCGATGGCGATGAGGTAGACCCATTTGATACTGAAAAAGCTGTAGAACTTTCCGAAGAGAAGCTGGAGAGAAGCCGTGGTAAGGAGGTAGGCTGCATAGAGGAAGTGATTAGATGAGGTCCATGACTTGATATGACGCTGTTTACTGACCACTTCCATACCAACCCACATCTTCCAAGCTGTGGAATTTATCCGTGATTTTGGGGATAGCTGTGGCAATGATACTGTTGTCTGCAAAGAAAAGGTAAGCACGAGTCCAACATATCAATGGGACAAACATACCAAGCGCCACTAGGAAGACACTCAAGCACAAAGCCAGCGCAATCAGCGCTAGTTTGACACCTGTGGGGTATTCCGTGCCATCTTCCCGGGTATTGACAGCTTCAGCGGGTGGGTGTAATGAATCAGCTGCGGTAGCAGTGTGTACTAAAGCATGTACCTTTTCCGTCTCCAGCACTGGCGAGACGGCACGGTCACTGAGTCTTTCATCCTTTTCTGGGTCCTCATGCCTAGCATGGTCGGACATAGCCGTAGACACCATTCCCAATATCCGGTCAGAGTAGAATAGGCGGCACAGTAAAACAAAGATATCAGGTAGTGAAGAACCAACAAAGTCAGAGGAAAGAGCAGAATTTTAAATTGCAAGATTGCAAGCAAAAGGAGTCATCGCAAAAAAAAAAAAGCCTAACCGTCACAAGGTCCGAGACCAGGGTCCAGGTGGTTTTGACAGGCGCTACTGCCTAAACAGGAATCGGGCCCAGCGCAACCTTGGATCGGGCCAGCTCTGAACCAGTTAGCGCTTGTGAATACGAGCTTGATCAATGAGATGCCCCACACTGGAGACAGGCCCTTAGTCTGAATGCCATACACATTCACCTTGGTATTGGCTCGCGCTATAACAATTGCAGTAAAAAAGAAGAATCTATCCACCGGGGGGATGTTGCACCGAGGTACCACCACCGGACGAAGCCGAAACTTACACAAATATAATTCAACTTCGTCCGGACTTCGTCCGGCCCTTATATTCAAGCGCACGCCAAAACTCATTTTCTTAGAATGTCAGCCTGGGGGTCTTACAGCATGACCCCAAGCTGACAAGGCAGCAAGGATGCTCGTCTCAGTGGCGCTCGTGTTTGTTTACGTTAATGTTATATATCAATGTCCGCTAGTGGCGAAAAGCACTACGGTAACTCAGCACTGGCTCCTTGTTTAACCGATATGGAGATATCGGGTTTTGGTCGCATCTTGCCTGCCGTATTTGTCCGGTCCTACGTTCGCCTCATGCGTTGTCCCCATTGCTATAGTGTTAACTCAGCATACTAGCGAATGAAACGTGAGTTGAATCGTATACGCTGATTTCCCCATAATGACCGAGCGGCTTTCTAATGCCCGGCAAGTAACGACTGTTTAGGTAGGCAGTCAAGCCTTGCAACATTGCCAAGCCCTGGGTCACCAGGGATACAACCTGCCCTTTCTCTCCATCTCCATCTACATGCAAACCCTGAGCGATCCTAGAGTCTGCATCTTTCCATCTGAGAAACCTTACTTTGCTGCCAATCAAATTCAAAGTAATGCCGCCTATAACAGCGCCTGATCCTCGTACCACGCCCCAGCTAGAGTTCAAGTCATACTCTGAAGACATATATTTCCGAGCCGCAGGGAAACCAGAGCCAAACAGTCGCTCGCAGACTCTCATCTACCACTATCAAGACAGGCGATGGTGGATCAAAGTAACTTTCGCAGGCTCGGTTATTCTCCCCGATGCCGAAGCAGAGCAAACCAAACCAACACGAGAACGACGGAACGAATTCCAAGACTTTGTCAGACTGATCGATTTTCATACAATGCCTTTGCTAGATGATACTGTGACTGAAGCTATCATAAGTGAAGACCAGAAATCAAAAACAACCGAACCTGTCATTTTGTATGGCAAACCAAAAGACACCAATCGGTTCGCGAACATCGCCAAACACCTGCAATTCTACGTCCAGGAGGACCCATTAAGAGTGGACTACCCACTACGTCTCGAATTTCCGTCTTTCCGAGCTATCGACGCCGCAGAATTAAGAGAAGAGCACGAAATCAACAGCAGAGTATTCCGCGTTCTACACACAAAGGCGACAGAACGACATGTATTCTCAAGACAGTCAACCAGATCCTGTACATGCCACACGACTCAGAAGTCATACAAGCAGAACTAGAAAACCTTGAACGGTTCAACGGCGTGCCTGGGATTGTTCAATCAGCTGGTATTGCGGTGATCAGTAACCCGTATGCGACATCCCAGACAAATGTCCTAGAACTAGTCATCAGTGGTATTTTGTTTGAGTACTATAGCGGTGGAACCTTGGAATGTGTTCTCAATGAACAGCGGGTAAGAGAACATCGCTGGGAGCGATGGGCTCTCCAGATTGGGACTGCTTTGAGGATTATTCACAATGCGAAGAAATTCCATATGGATATAAAGCCCTCAAATGTTGTTTTAGACAGGGATGGCAATGCGATCCTTATTGATATTAGCGGTATTGGCGGGCAAACATATGAATGGCTTGCTCCGGAGATATTGGCTGAAAATGGTGAATTTGATCATCCATTTGAAGATCTTGAATCGAATGATGTCTGGGCTTATGGAAAGCTCTTAGATGTACTAGCTTCAAACGCTGGGGATAGTCCTTTTACTGCGACTCTGAAGTTTATTGCCGAACATTTGACTGAAGAAAAAGTTCAACGACGGTGGACTTTATCCCAGGCAATCTCTTACTTGAATACTTGCAAGGACACCGATCAATCCAAGCATGTTTGATTCATATAAAATGTTCGCATGGTATTTAAAGCGAGGCGTTCACGTTAAGAAGGGGTGCCTGTGACAAAAACCAACTGACAAGCTCGGCTATACGATCACATGTGGTGTATATTTTCTAAGGGGTTATACACGAAGTCTGGGGGTTAAACAGGGATAGTGAATAAACTACTCCGTACCACTTCCAAGGTTATGAAGGAGGGACCAAGTTAGCTTCACTAGAGGGCCTGGTATTCAAGGCATCAACTCTGGTGCATGCCATGCATGAACTAGCCAGTTTTCACCATGCGATGAGCACTAGCTATAAAACTTATAAACACAATGGGTACCAATTGGATTTATACAGCGGTTTGAAATCTGCTTAGAACAACGACTCAACCCCTCTAAGCTAGATCTACGATTGGGGGGTTATACTCTGTGGCCGCTATCACGTACAGACAAGCGTCACATACGTGAATATACATTTTAGCTCAAAGGACCTTTCCTAGATACAATTTCCAATAGAATTTCCAAATAACTACGGTCAAACCTGATTTCAGCAATACGACCAAGTTACAAGAAAACCAGTCTGACCGTCAGTCGACGTAAGAGACACTACATACTGATGACGTAGGCAAGGCCAACTCTTCGCAAGAGGCGACAAAGCACAAACCAGTCCTTATTTTGATGAGGCGACTACTTAAAGGACTGCTCGATCCTGGTCTGGACTTTACAATATTGCATTTGATCAATTCCATAACCTCAAATATCTTCATCACTATATTACTACCCATATCCGCGATCATGTCCGCAACACGCTTCGCTCCTCTCCTCAGAACCCGTGTGGTTGCTCGCACTCCTGGCTTCCAGGCTATTCGGTCTATCTCTGCTACAGCTTCATACAACAAGGGACCTATCGATGCAACCAAGGATACACTCAAGAAAGCCGACCGGACGGTATCTGATGCTGCTGTGAAGGGAATTGACCAGGGTGGTATGTTTATCATTGCATTGATCCTGTTAAGATAGATGCTAACATGATTTCCCCAACAGAGAAAGCTGCCCACAGCATCAAGGACGCCGTTGGTGCTGGAGCCCAGCAGGCTAAGGCCAAGGGCGAAGAGGCTAAGGGTGATGCCGCTAACATGGCTGGCGAAGGAAAGGGCAAGGCCGAGGAAGCTCTAGGTCAGGGCAAGGGAAAGGCCGAGGAAGCTATGGGAGAGGCCAAGGGAAAGACAAAGGAGGCCATGGGTGCTGTTGAAGGGAAGGCCAAGGAGGCCAAGAGCCGCATGTAATGGTTTTTGTCTTCTGACGCTGTTTTTCTGAGCTTGCATGACTTGTAAATCGTCGAGTGTAATATTATTGCCGTTAAATCTTTCATTTCATCCCATCCACTTGTACTATTTAATGAATGCCCCTTATGTTACAATCGGATTAGCCCCAGCTCAGCTAGGAGGTAGCATGAGAACGTATTCGCGGGAGCTCAATCCAAAGCGAATCACATCTTTGTCCATGACCTCCACGTAGCGACCTGCTGGTACGGTCTCCCCGTTAACACTAGAGCCATTGGCGCTCTCCAGATCAAGGAGGTAAGGCTTGACCTTTCCGATACGGTCACCAAATTCGTTCTTTTTTTCAACAAATCGGAACTGGAGCACAGCATGCTGCTTCGAGCAACTGGGGTGGTCGAGAGGGAAATCCACGATAGTTCGCTCGCGACCGACAAGCCAGCAACTGCGTTCCAGAAGTTCCACAGTTTCTAGTAGATCTTCTCCCTTGAAGACATACATACGCCACGCTTCCTTGGCAGGTGGTTTGCGAGCCTCTGGAGGCTCATGGTATTTCAAGACGATTCCTTCTCCGCCTTGGACTTGAACTGTATTGCTTTCTGCCGCCAATCTGCCGGTAGAGCTGAAATTGGGCTTTTGTTTCTCTGGTGCAGGTGCCTCTCCGGGTTGTGCTACGTCGGTGAAAGCGTCTGACTGTGAAGGTAGCGGACCGCTGCGTTGCAATGCACGAGGTGGAGAGCTGCGCGATGGTCGTGGTGAGCGAGAACGGGATCGCGGGCGTCTCTTATATGATCGTTCTTCATCTCCGCGACTATCACGATGTCGGTGACTGCGGTATCTGTGTCTGCGGCGGTCTTCTGCGGCGGAACTGGTTGATCGTTCTCTGCGCTCTCTTCGGGGACTGCGCGAATGTCTGCGTCTGCGCCTGTCGCCAGTTGAGCTTGTAGATCTGTCCCTATGATGATGCCGGGGGCTGCGAGAGGATCTACGTCGAGGGCTGTCTCGTCGGGAGCTTCGGCGGTCATCGTCACGTCGTTTTGAGCTTGAATAGTCATCGTCTCGGGGTGCATCTCGTCGGCGTTCGCGATTCATGTTTGAGGTCGAGGTAAATGAGCCTTGCCGGCGCTCGTGACGGTCTTCATCATCGGATCTGGCCATACTGGCCGGTGGAAAGAATTTGCGCAAAAAGGAAGTGTGATGACCGAAGCAACAAGTATTGAGTTGGAGATCTTGAATCAAAGCTCCAACGACCACACGTGATCATCTCCGCAGCCGGCCCGAAGACCAAGTGAGGGGAGCTATCCTTCTCTCAACACGACTACTTTGAGAGAGCATAACGGATTCACCCGTGCTCTCTTGCAGCTGAATGATGCGGTCATGCTTAAGAAATCGAACCTTCTTCGTGGGGGCGGCCTGCCACTACTGAGCTCGACAGCCTCGCCACCTGCCCATTTCAATAGGAAAGCCGCTCCAATTCATAAACTACACAAACCACACAAAAGCAGAAGCTATGCAACGACCTCACAGTTCTCTCACCAGAACTACATCTGGCCCAGCAACCCAAGCTTCAGTCCCTACGACGTCCTGAACATTCCCCGCGGCGCTCCGTACGAGAAGAGACAATACTACGACCTTGTTAAGATCTACCACCCCGATCGACCCTTCACCAAAGATCACCCACTATTTGGAGAATTGACCGCCGAAGCTCGAATACAACGCTATCGAATCGTGGTGGATGCACATGAGATCCTTTCCGATCCCACTAGACGAGCTGCCTATGACCAAACCGGCACCGGATGGAACCACGCAGTACAGGATACAGCGGACTGGAACACACACGGGTCAGGTATATATGCCAATGCTACATGGGAAGACTGGGAACGGTGGCATAACCGCCACAACGGTCCGCAGCAGCACGTTGTCGACCAACGCACCTTCACCCGGCTAGTGATCCTTTTGGTGCTCTTCGGAGGCGCTGTTCAAGCCTCATGGATCGGCCAGATGAATACTGGGTTTGAGGATAAAGTGCGTCAGTACAATGAGGAGTCTGCTCGCTTCCTGCATGGCCGGAAAGACAACACCATCAAGCAGATGGATTCGAATGATGCTCGTGTGCAGGGTTTCCTCATTCGAAGAGATCCCACTGGGTCGGGATTAAAAGATTCTGAGCAAAATGTCTATCAGAATGAATTAAATCCTCTTCGCCGGCCGAATGAGACCTCCCAGCCTGACAGTCAGATTATGTCGGATCTTGCGCAGCCTGCGGACTCGGTTCAGCCTGAGATTGCAGATACCTAAACTTTCTACCTGGGCGTATGATTGAATCACGCTTTGACATTTCACATGGGCGGCATTGTTTGGTTCTACGCATGTGCCTCACCTAGTCCCTGGAGACTTTGCATGCTGGCATGGGTCAATGAAGTATTGAACAACACGCGAAAGCCTTGAAGCGAGGATACTGTTCCATGCACTTTCTTCTCCCTAGTTTGACCTCTCTTTGCCACCGCTCTTTTGCCCATCTTCGAGACCTCGGGATTTATGCATGCTGTATAGAGGTGGGGTCGTGATATGAAGGCCTAGAACTGTATGCAAGGGCCACCATGTGATCATATTCAAGTCATGTTCAAATAGGCGTAAGGGCAGGACTATATATATTGAATAAATCTCAACTTTAAGATTGAAACTTCATGATCAAAAAATGTACCTGAAAGCAACTTTATACATGCATTGGCTGTGGACCTCGGCAGTGACGCAACTCAACTAGATCCGGTTTAGGGCCTGGTCTTATATCAGTATATACAACTGCGCCAGCCCCCAATTTCTTCCTTCCAGTGCCTCAATCAGTTCGTCACCATGAGCTCGCTCAAGCAGCCCATCGTTCTTCTGAAGGCGATCCTAGTCCGACTGCCTCTGATTCTCAAGACACTTATCCTTCATGGCATTCAAATGTCCCCTGTGACGGGAAAGCAGGACTTGCGCACCGAGTTAACGGTCGCAGTCCTGCGCTCATTCATGGGCCTGAAACATTCAGTCCTTAAAATGCAGAAAGACAGCATGCGTGATCCTGGAATCAAAGGCCCTATGTGGGTGTCCAAAGTGACACTCCCCCAACCTGAGATCGATGTGCGCGACGCGGTGTTGCGCGCAATCGACGTCCTCAAGACCGGCGACGAGACCTGTGATATACCAGATATCGCTGCCGTTGAAGCGGAATGGACTGGCTACCGCGGCAATGTGGGAAAGCGCACGGCGCAGCCCAATATCTCGGAAGAGGAGAAATATCACAAGCTGCGCGCGGAATCGCCATCTGATATGACAATCCTGTATTTCCACGGCGGTGCTTACTTGTGAGTACCTGATGATGCTTTCACATAAGTCAAGTACATCCAACTAACATACCCAACAGCCTCATGGACCCATGCACCCACCGTGTCCCCCTCGCACATCTTTCCCACCGAACAGGAGCCCAAATCCTCTCCATCCGCTATCGACTAGCACCACAGAACCCATTCCCAGCAGGCCTGGTAGATGCCCTAACAGCCTACCTCTCTCTCATCCACCCACCACCAGGCTCCCTCCACAAGCCAGTCCCAGCAAACAAGATCATCCTTGCAGGTGACTCGGCAGGCGGCAACCTCTCACTAGTCCTCCTGCAAACCCTTCTAACCCTCCACCGCACATCCCACACGCTTCATTTCCACGGCAAAGACGTGCCCATTGAATTACCGGGCGGCCTAGCAGCAGTATCACCATGGTGCGATATCACTCGCTCAATGCCATCAGTGAAAAGAAACGAGCTTTTCGATTTTCTCGATGCCCCGCCAGGCGCAGACACTCCATTCGAGCCGATTCCCTTCCCGCCAGATGATATCTGGCCTGTATCCCCGCCGCGAGTGGATCTCTTCTGCAACGCCAACATGGTTCTGCATCCATTAGTCTCCCCGCTCACGGCCCCAGCCGAGCTCTGGAAGGATGCACCACCAATTTGGATATCGACTGGTGAGGAAGGTCTCACGGACGAAGGATTGATCGTTGCGCGCCGCATTCACCAGGCTGGTGCTCCTCTCGTCGCTGAGATGTTCGAGGGTATGCCGCATTGCCATGGTATGCTTATGATTGAAACGACGCAGGGCCGCCGGTTCTTCGAGAGTTTTGCTTCGTTCTGTCGGGACGCGGCTGCTGGTCGTGTTACATCGACGAGTAATCTCACTTATATTTCTTACAAGGCGAAATCTGAGAAGCAGATTCCAATTGAGAAGGCTTGTGAGACGACTGATGAGGAGGCTGACGCTCTTTTGCGGAAGAGCGCTGCTTGGAGATTGGAGGGGGAGAAGGCTATGCAGAAGGAGTGGCGGGAAAGAGCGCGTCTATGAGTCTTTCGTGCTTTTGTGTTGCATTGTATACCCTGTTGATTTATGCATTTTAACGATACAGCCTGTGTTTTGAGTACTAGATTTCAGTCAATTGAATGATTTTCATTGCAAGAGTAAGCTGTTGCAATTGCATTAGGCAGAAGCTAGAGTCACGATGGGCTAGGCTAATCCACGAGAAAATGATTCGCTGAAGTAAACAAATCTCAGCTGGCTGCAAAGTCAATTTACGGTGCAGAATAGAAGCAATCTTAGGCAGTCAAAGGACTTCATCGTCATCCATCGACGCTTGGTCCTCCTCCCACCGCTGTTGTTGATACGCATCCCGAGGTGGCCACACGGATTGAACAGGCTGCACAGGCCGCACATGTTCAATTGACTGCTTAGGCTCATGAGCAACAGCCTGAGCTGTCGGCGCCGACAACCAGGGAAAAGCAACAGGCGTTCCATTGATACGAATTTCACCAACAAGACCCGCAAGCTGGGGTGTCTCCTCCACATATCCATCCGAAAAGCCCAGCAATTGTGTGAACAGCCGGAAGACAAAAACGCAAATAGCAAAGATAGGTGTGAGAAGTGTCGAAAGATGTGACCAGCGCCACAGCATCGTCACTGTCACCAGCGGGAAGGAGGGTGCATCGGGACGGAGACAATAGCCCTCGCATTTATCTGTTATTTCAGGCCGGCTGAAATGTTCGCACATGAGGCATTCGAGGATATACCACGATAATGAAATGAGAGTAAACCAGCCGAGTTTTGTCATTTGAAGGCGTCCAGATGTTGGGTCCCGCTTCCACAATCGGGGAACAGGCAGTGCGGCGTATACTCGCCCATCGGAGTGTGTACCGCAGTCTTTGCAAGTTTCATCTGTGTGGATGTGTGATGGCTGTTTGCTGCTCTTCTCTGGGGTAGAACTTGATTTCGAAATGGTCGTGGCTCTGTTGACTTGGCCTTCGAGACCGTCGAGTCCTTTCTTGACTTCACTGATGTGTCGCATGAGTGAGTTCAGCTTGTCGTTAACGGAACCCAGGTCGACCTGGCCTTTTTGTGCTGAGTCTGACCGTGCGAGTTTCTCGAGGACTGCTTTTTCATAGGCCTCTTCGTCTTCTTCTTCGACTTTGAGCTCGGCTGGTCCATCTTCGTCATCCATCATACCTCGGAGAGACTCCAGGGTATCATTCCCGAATTCATCGTCCTTGCCCGAGCTTGCATCTTCAATGACAGTTTCCAGCGCACTTTTTGGCAGATGTGGTCGGGGCAATGGGGCTCTTGATTGTTTCTCCGATTTTGACTCAGGAAGAGGCTCCTCTTGTTTGCTTTCAATTGGTTTTGTCTCTTCAGGCGTCGATGTAGCAGTTTCCGCTGACTTTACAGGCGGTGTAACGGTCTTGGATTCACTTGCTGCCCGTGGAGGAACAATGTCTCTAGTCAAATCTTCAGGGAGTTCAGGAACCCGATCTGCCACTCGCTCAGTCACGGGAGTATCAATCCATGCGCCAGTTACCCGCGGTGTCTGGTCGTAGATTTTACCACCGAAAAAGTTCGATGGCTGAGGAGTCTTCATATGATCAGGCTTGGGTGTCTCAACTCTGGACAGCCTCCGCAGCAAATCTCTTGAACCTCGCTTGCTAGGACTAGGTCGCGTAAACTTCGAGCCTTCGTACGCGGTGTCGCTCTTGAACACAGTAACAGGGCTGTTGGGAATGGAATTGCCGTCGCCAGTAGGAAAAACGGGCTTGGACGGAGGTTGTTTCCACGCTAGATCTTCTTTCGGAGCCTGATTATGAGAGTTAGCGGTGCGTTCTTCAAGAACACCCCTAGCAGGAAGACCGTTCCGCACCGGAGAACGAGGAGACGTGCGAGCAGGCCTGGCTATCGGGTCGCGTTCCCCATTCGTGGTAGGCGCCGAGTAACGATTCGACGGCCTAGTTTCCTCCTTTTTCTCGGAAACACTGGGCTGACTGGTTTTCCTCTGCCAGTCGTGAGGGTAATTGGCGCGACTGCCCCAGCTAGATGGTAGATTCAGCGAAGGACCTCGACCGGCATCATCCTCCACGATATGTTGTTCCACCTCAAGCTCCTCTTGTTCGCGTCTTTGTAGATTGTCCGCTGTCAACGAAGGGGATCGTCCCATATGCGCCCTGCTGAAGACCGGCGAGCCCTTCTTCGTAACGCGATTGAGACGCTTCTCGTCCTCGGTATAATCTCTAGCCCTGGGAGGTCGGTACGCGCCGAGATCACCATTGAGACTGGCACCGGATATGGAATTCCCTTCTGGGGACCCGAATGCCCGACTCGCCTCCTGTGCGCGTGAAGACGAGCGACTCAGTCGACCTGGGGAGCGGGCCCTTGATCCCCAAGAATCCTCGCGCACAAACTTGGCCAGGGTGCCGTCTTCTTCAATCTGTCTGTAGGAGTCCATGATTTCGTCAGGCGGAGGGGAGTTTGGGGACGTCGAAGTGAACGCGTTCATTGAGTGACGCTTCTGGCGCGGGCTGGGTGTTGTTGCCTGTGGGCTTAAATCTTTGGCAGTGAAAGGCATGTTTTGTTTGGACGCAATGTGGTATGCTGCTGCTAGACTGCCGGAACGGGGAGGACCTCGTCGCTGCGTATCATTCTTGAAGCTCGACGGGAATTGATCTATGTCGAATTTGGAGGCGTGTTGAAAAGGCGACCGCGGCGCTTTCTGAGACACTCGGTTCTTCCTGTCGGATGACATGATGTCGCCCCTTGCAGAGGAAACGCGAAAGTCGGGAGTGGAGGAAGACGCGAGGAAGAGTAAATACGGGGACCACTCATTCCCCAATGTGGTTAGCCTGTGGAATCTCCGAATTACGTCTTCACTCTGAACTTCTGTCTTCTCTACTCTGTACAAACAATTTATTGCCTGACGATATCTCAAGGCTCAGCTCATGTGCAAATGACATTTGATATTGACATGTGACCCGTTCATTCGCGTCGATCCTCAGACCTCGAAGCTTTGATAAAAGCAACACATTCCCAAGCTCACCTGGGCAAGCTCCAGAGCTCCTTCACCAACCCGACCAAGCCAACCAGCAACCAAACCCAAGATGGCGAAATCCGCAAGACGATCAGGTCGCAAAACACCGGCGTCAACACCAGGCTCATCAGGCGCCTCAACACCAAGCTCAGTCTCAGGCCCAATCCCACCCTTCACCAAAGTCCCAGCAACACTGCAGTCCTTCGTCGAACCCCTCTCCGAAAAAGAAGTCTACCTAGTGCACCTGGACATAACAGCCGAAGAACTAAAACGGCAAACCTTCACGGTCCCCCTCATCGTCAACCTAATAGTCGGCGCCGTAATCGCGCTCCGCATCTACCAGGGCATAACCACCTACCCAGCACTCATCGCAACGCTAATCGGCCTCCAAAGCTCGATGACAGTGGACGCGGCCACGACCCCGTGGACGGAGGGGTTACAAATCGTGCTACGGCGCACGGGAACCCTGCTGATCGACTACTTCCTCGTGACGATGTTCCTGTCGTGGCCGATTAATTTCATCCAGGGGCCCGTGCGCTGGCGACGTGCGGTGGGGTTCCGGGAGCGCGAGGTCATCGTGCGTCGCAGCCACCGGAGCTGGAGTCGGAAGCTTGAGCGCAATAAGTGGATCCGCGAGGATGAGGCGCGGCGGGATAAGATCGTTGCTGCTGTTACGCCTGAGCGTATTGGGAAGACGGGGTATTTGCTTGTTGATGAGGATTGGAATTTGGATTATAATGCTATGATTCGGGCTCATGCGCTTGTTGATAAGAACAGGCAGGGCGATGGGGTGCAGATGGATGAGTTCCGTACTGCCGTGCTCGTTCATACTGATCCTGATGGATGGTTGATATGGCGTGTTGGGGATGAGAATACTCCCGCTGGTCGTCAGCGCTCTGAGCAGCGTGATCAGATTCTTGCTTTTAAGGATAAGTTGACCGAGATGGGTAAGGAGGATCTCTTCCTTCGCTGGGTTGAGTTGATTCAATGGGAAAGCTCGCAGCCTGGTGGCTTCACTCCGGAACGACAGCGGTCTGCCATGTTCCAAGCAAAGCAATTGTTTGAAGATGAGAATGTGGACTTTAGCAGTTTCTGGGACGACATGGGTGGTATGGAAGGAATCGGTGAATTAGATTAGCGTTTCTAGTGTCACATTGCATTTGCGTTCAAGCTTCATCTAACTACTATCAGAAGGGCTTTATGGTTCTATCTTGTTGTTTCTATAAATCCGCAGGCCATCCCCGACTCGATAGATTCGTAAGTAAATTGCATTGTTGGGTATCTGAAATAAAATGACAAAAGCAAATGACTCGTAGATGAAAACCAACAGCCGCAGTCTTAATGCCAAAGAAAAGAACAAGAAAGAAAAAAAGTAAGAGCAAGCTGAAACAAAACGATGAACCGCTACTCCATTCAACCCGGGCAACAGGCTATCATGCACCACCCTCAAGTCGATAATCAAGCGACCACAACTTCTCCCAAGGACGAGATCGACCATTCTGTTGACGACCAGACGTCGACCGGGAGGGCGACGAAGCCACGTCCCCAGTGGGGTTAAGCGACGAGTGCCCAAAATCCTGAGGCAAGAAAGCACGTTAGCCTCTGACCCGAAGTATATAAAAAACAGAGCAGACCCGGGAAAAGAAGGAAATCAATATATATCCTACTTTTCACGGGCCGGAGAGTAGGTCACGGCGAACCTCGTCAAAGATCGGGGCAGCCTCTCGAGGCTGTGAGCCGGCATCAGCTTCGGCAGGCCGGACGAGATCCGCTGTGGACTCGATGGCGTGCTGAGATGGAGTGGGTGTTCCCCGTTTGGAGTTGGCACTTTCACGACGGCTGTCAAGGCTCCTTGATAGAGTTTTTTGAACGGCCCCTTCGTCCGCAGGTCGCTTGAGGCGAATGCTGCCTTTGGCATCGACATTATTTGAGGCAACTGTGCTCTTTGCTAGACCCGGGGTGGCGGGTGCCCCAGGCTTTTCCTCAACGGCTTCGAGGAGGTACCAGCGTAGACCGTCTGATAGTTCGAATGGATTTTCATCGTCTAGAGAGGCGCCATCACTAGCGTCTCCGAGAGAGCGACGATCTGGCGCGATGCTATTAAGTGATTTGGAAAGATCAACTACGCGCTCCTCGATCTTGGTGATGCGGGCAAGAAGCCAATCCCGAGCCTGAAGCTTGTGCGTATCTTGTTCGCGCAGGAAATAGTGTGGCGCACCCACATTGAAGGCCGCCCAGGAGCGGATAGCTTGGTTTCGGGTAGGAAGGAAGAGAGCAAGATCGCCTTCTTTGAAAGATCGATAAGCAATCTTGTCATGTGCCTCGCTTTGGACTCGATGATATTTATCACGGTAGCCCCGAGCTTCCTTCTGCCACTTGCGGGCTAGCGTTTCGATATCTTTGACGCGTTTGACGACGACATCCCCAAACACGGCGACATCAAACTGAGCCAAGCTTTGCATGAAAGCCGAAAACTGAGTCTCCTCGTCTTCCAAAGTTTTTGCTTGCATCCAGCTGAGAAGGCCTGCATCTGGTTTCATGGAGACAATGCCTGACTGGGCGAGGCTTTCACCCAGGCTGAGTGAGGCACTGAGCTTGGAAGCGCGCTGAACAGTGAGTTGGCCATCCTGCTGAATGACCGTGAAACCCAATTGCTCTAGCATTCTTCCTAATTTCTCGACCTGCGCGAAGAGCTGCTTTGAAAGCTCATGGGACTTGGTGCCTCGAGCTTCGAGTCGGGTCACGGCCTGCTGCTCCGTCTCTGAAGTCATGCCGGCCTTGCCTTCCCGTTCTGCCGCTTGATCTTTCAAACTTTGGGCTTGGATCTCAGACTCAGCCAGTTGTCGTGACAGGTCGGCGTGTTTCCGTTCCCCTTCGGCGATCTGTTCGCGCAGAGCTTCGGGGCTAGCCTCTTCGGCAGTTATTTGATCATGCAGAGCATTGAACTTGGAGCGTTCCTGGTCTAATTCCGCAGTCAATCCTTCGAGCTTTGATCGTTCCTGTGAAAGTTCTTCGTTTAATCGAGACAATTGGGCCTCGCAATCTTCGAAGTTTCTCGTCCGCTCCTCTGCCTCCGCCTCAAATTTGGCAATTCGTTCTTCAAGAATCTTGTTCTCGGCGATGGCCTGTGTGGCATTCGTTTCTGCACTGCGAGCATGGATCGAAAGACCTTCAGAGAGAACCTCAATAGATTTGATGATGTCGGGAATTTCGGCGGGCACGGTGCTTCCAGGAGAGAGGTTCATGAAGATGGCCTCGAGGGCTTGGTAGTTGTCCTGATTCTTTTGCTCCAACTCCGCTTGGCGCTGTTCAAACTCATCAATTCTCGTCTTCAGTCCACCTTCGTTGTCTTGTCGAGTTTGTATTTGCGTATTGAGATCATTGATCTGTGCATTGAGGCCAGCGATATTTGAATCAAGATCGACAATCTTCTGTGCCTCATCAGCAGCATTGTCATGAGCGTTTTGCAGCTCAATCTCAAGTTGGTGTATCTGCTCATCGGTCTCTTGTTTGCCATGCTCCCGGCTATCCATGAGTCGATCAAGTTCTTCTTCCACTTCCTCGTTGCGTAGTTTGAATTTCTTCAGTTCCGAGTCCAGGAATCGGCGCTCATCCTCGAACTCGCGCTGGCGGGCTTCGAGATTGCCAATAAGATCCTTCTTGGTAGACTGAGCTTCTTGGTACTTGTCAGAGCTAGTTTGACGCTCGGCGTGGGCCTCCTTGTGGAGTCTTTGAACGACGTCTCTCTCAGTCGCCAACTCTGCTTCGAGGGCAACAATGCGCTGAACAAGCGCTTTGTCTTCCGGGGACTGGGTTGCTGAGACCCGTCTCGAGGAGACTGAGGATCGTCTTGAGAGCGCATCAGGGTGGGGAGACGCCGGCGAACTGGGGAATTCAGGTGCGCCAAAATTGCCGCTTGATGGCCGGCTGAGATGACTCTGGCGATGGAGGAGATCTTCCAGCTTTCGGACCCGACTGTCTGACCCTCTGAGTTTCTCTTCAAGTTTCGTCTTTTCTTCTTGCAAGCTGCGGACAGAGTCATCCGCGCGCAAAATAGAACTCCGACTCAAGTCAAACACACTTCCCTGTTTGAATGCCTTGGCTCGTCGTCTCTGCTGTCGGCTCGGTGCATCCAGTTCTTTGAGTTGCTGAGTCAAATCGTCTGCCACTTTCGTCAAAGAATGATTTGTCTTGAGATCGTCAATATAATATTCAATCTCTTTCCGAGCGACCTCCGGCCATTCATCATCTTGGCCCTGGAGGTTGACTTCAAGACCCGGGGCTGTGGAATCAGTCACGGTAACAAAATCACTCATATTTTTCAACCACTTCTTTCTTCTCCGTTGCTCCTCGTCTCTTAATATGGCCATCTCCTCAGCCAGTGTCAGTGAGTCAGTCTTGATTTTATCACTCCACTCCCGCCGCCGCACTGATTCAATAAGAATAGACCCATACACCATTGGCATCTGGAAAACAGAGTAGATCACATCAAATGCGTTGCTACCTACATCCAAATTGACCAATCGTGAATGTGCATCGGCAAGTCGGGACTCAAGCAAAGAGATAGTGCGCATATGCTCAATGGCGGTTTTTTCAGCGGCCGCTCGACGTTGCACGGCTTGCTCCAGCGCAGTTTGAAGCTCAATACTGATTTCCGATAGCGACGGAAGAAGGTCTTGGGTATGGCTGAATGCCAGTCTGGAGATATTGGCCAAGTTGTTCTTATTGCTTGGAAGACTGAGAACATGCTCATAATCCGAGGCAATCTTCTTGGCAATTGTTTCCATTTCTTCCAACAGTCCATCGACACTGTCTCCGGTTGAAGGGAACGCCTCGTCGACTAATCGCTGAGTATCCGAGGAGATGTCAGCGATGGAGTTTCCAATTTCATGGATGTTATTTCCAAAGGCCGATGACACGCCTTCTGCCTCAGACCCGGCCCGTTGAGCCTCGCCCACATCGACAAAGTCACGGAGCGTCCCAGTTGGTCTATCCTTTTCCATTTTCGGTGTGGACGGACGCCCAAGAAGGGGGAAGTCTTTGCGAGCCGGAATGTCATCCAAGGTGGAAAGAGCTCGCTGCCAGCCATCCAGGGCGGCCTTTTGCTCTTCGAGGAGGTTGTTCGCCCATGACTGAGCCTCTTGGAACCGATGCTCCAGATTGCCCACATGGGACTTGAGATTCTCGAGAGCAACGCCCACCGCACGATTTATGACATCGGTCCGCTCATTATGGTCTCGGAGACTCCTATCGATAGAGCCGCAGCGACTAGACAAGTCCATTGCCCAGCTGCGTCGCGCCATGTAGAGGTTCCGCCATGCCTGGAGGTCGTTCTGGTCTTTGAGGGTCGCTGGGGGTCTACCGGGTTGGAAAGGTTCAGGTAGAGGAAGCTCCGGGAATTCGACGTCGCGGGGTTCGCTGATGTATTGCCGGTCATATACGAAGATCTCATTCTATCGTGATAACGCATTAGCACGGTTCAAGGGATGCTGGGATTCGGGATAAACGGCATTGTACCTCTGTAGCAAGCGTTTGAATCTTCACGTTCTTTCCCCGAGCTGTCATCAATATTTGCCTTTGAGGCTGAATAGACGTATTGCGGACAATCCATGACCTCAAGGCATCTGGACTGGAGGGTGTCAGTTGGCTGGAGAGGCATGAAGTGAAGGTAGATATCTATTCATCATCCATCATAGTAGATGAAGTACATACGATGCAAAGGCTACTGGATCAGCCAGGAAATGCTCACCCGTGTGAGCAATGTAGATGTGCAACGACATACCCCCTCCACCAACGAGCTTAGAAGCTCGACAGTCAGTAAAGATAGATATGAATAAATAATCCCACGGAGTACAGGAAGTATAGGAGTGAGAGTCCTGAAGCCCTGATCCAGGCTCTGGTGAAGGTTGCAGGATGTCAACCTTGTCGGGGAAGCTGTCCCACCGCCTCCGCCTCTCGATATCATGCGCCAGTCACCACGGGATCTAAGGCCATGGCTGCAAAACATGGCTGCAAAACATGGCTTATTGCCTCACCTGCAACCGGGCGAGGTGACTTTACTGGACTACGCTGCGGATGACTCTCGCGATGTCGTGACTTTATCGGACAAGGAGGCTCTGGTGCTCCAGCTCTACAGCCGGATCCAGGAACAACAACTGGAGAAAGCTGTGCTCGAACAGAGTATGTCCATAGCCCCACGCCGTTTATGTTGCTTCCTTTTTTTTCTAATTTTTTTTTTTGCCAATAAGATTTGGAATCGCTTTCCGGCGAAAATGCAGAAGAGCAGCTCGCGATCGCGGAACGTGAACTCTTGGAGGCGCGATCTACCTACACGGTCAGGAGGAAGGCAGTCCACACGATCCTCATGACCGACCCGATTCTCAAAGCCGTTCACCTGAAGGCTACAACCCCTGCTGAAAGGTACGTACCCGTACAAATCCCCTGGGCCAGAACCCGAGTCTTATTAAGGATTACAGAGCACTTCTTCGTCTGGTGAACCGACGCGACGTGCTCGCGCTTGCACATGAGAACCTAGCCTCGGCACATGACCTAGTGCTGAGACAGCTCTCAAACCTGCAAGTAGAAAATCTACAGATCAATCGCGAGAACCAGGAGCTGGTGCGACAGCTACTAGAGCTCACTAAACAGGATTCATCGTGGCGAGAAAAACTTGACGATCCCGAGCTCTTGTCGCAACTGGATGAGCTCGAAGTGGATCTGAAGGGGCGCAAGGCGCACTGGGAGACTATGAAGAATATCGCTAGCGCGGTTGTTGTCGGAAGTGGACTAGACTGGGCAGATGATGATAAGCTTCGCGCGCTGGTGCTGGATGAAAGTGATGATATCTGAATGTTTTTGTTTCAGTTTTGTCATATCCACGGGCGTGGAGGCGTACAATACCCAAGATTCTATTTCTGTCCATTTCTATCAGGCCTAAATGATAATTACATATACCACGGCTGCACACATGTCGGTGTAGAGAAGTACTAAGTAAGGGCGGATTAATGTGCACCTTTTGACTAAAGGATGCGATATATAAAATTACCAATACGCGACTCTATGACGCCTCTCGGAAGGCGTGGAACTGATATATTACGGGGCCTTCCCTTACTGCGGTATGGTATGTAAGAATGTGCGGATACTGATATCCGTGAATCACATCTTCTATTCCTAGTACTGTACTTTATGACTGGGGTCAGGGCGCGCTATGCGATACGGTCTGAGGGAGAAGACATCCTTCATTTGGCTTGGCTTGTGATGATGTGATCCGGTAAGGAAGCTTCATTTTGGGAGTGTCTCACTCTGGGACATACTTAATATTACTTATTCCTTACTATCGGTTACTATGTATTTCCTGTATTATCAAACTATCAGATTACTGAAGTTATGCTGATCCTGCCAACACCTGTAGCCCATGGTGACTCTTCCGTTCAAGGCAGTAGCCCATAGCGCGAGGGTCAATGTCCATACCTAGGTACCTCTCTGCAGCCGTGTTTCCAATTGGGGGTTACGCTAAAAGGGTACGCCACGCCATGATTGAGGAGCAACCGTCCGCCCTTGCCTGAGAGAAGAACCTTGAATAATAACACCGGTCTCTTTTTGCATTAGGTTTGGGCTATTACACAGATTGCCTAGACCATATATCACACTGCGGGTTTGACACCGAGAGCCTAAGTAAACTTTGGGCTCTGTTTATTTGACCCTGGGAGAGCACTGTATAGTACCTATGATAGTGGCCAGGGACTTGTCTCTTAGAGCGGCAAATGTTTCTTATACATGACCAGGGCACGGTCTTGCCCGACAGGCAGCGATAGCTATCGTACTGTACGTGTTTCTCTAATAATCCTTGTCAAAGTGCTTCAATACAAGTTGTCAAGAACCACTGCTGCTTCTCGCACTGCCTAGGTCAATCTTATGATTTTTGATACTGATACATCATTGCCTTGCATTGATTCAGGCAGTGTAGTCACCCTACCAACGGTCAATTCAACAGAGTTTTCAACAAAAGAACACGGTAAAGTGAAGTAAACACGATCTATAGAATATTACAAGTACTAGTACTTGTCGCGGGACAGGATTACTATAGAATACCGCGTACCCAGTACCTGTATGTTTGCGCGACTTATTAATAAGAAGCAAGACGTAATTCTCCACGACAATCCACCACCGGAATGAGCGTACCGTTTCATACGTATTGTGGCCTTTACCTCACCATTAATCAAGAACTTGTAGACCAAACATGATAATTAGGCCAGAAAAGAAGAGATTCAATGAAAAAGAATCAGTACTATTCACCCAGCAGCCTAATTACAGACTAAACGAAGAATGTTTTGCTATGGAAGCCACTCTGGCAGTGTAATATACGCGTATGTACATTCCCTGCTTACATTGTCCCCTCTCACTTTGCTACTACTACGGCCCTCCCCCCCTCTACTCTTCTTCCTCTCCTATTCCTCTCTACCAACTCCCCCATACAAACTCGCTCCCCCATACAAAAAAAAGGTACTGCATATCTTCCTTTCTATAAGCCCTCTATACCCTCACATTTCAACCACCACCAATTTTCCCTTTTTTTTCCAATTCTTTTTATCCTTTATTTCACCTATTTTCACCTCATTGCCCATGTCTTTTTTTGTGTCGTCGGCGCAACCTCGTCGCGAATCTACTTTTGGTGGTCGCAAAGCTGACTCGAACTGAACACAACAGATTTTTTTTCACCACACATATTCAATTGCTTTCTGAAATCAGGTAAGACAATTTTGCTCGTCGATTCCTGATTTTCCTCGGTCGCGCAAGTGCTCAAAGTGGTTTGCGCGCGTCGCGACTACTCAGTCTACGCGCCCTCCCACACTAAAACACTTCTCTATCTTCCCCTCTCTCCCAGCTCCAATCGTTTACTTCCCTGTAAACAGCCTCGCATTTCGCTCCTCCTGCACAAAGCTGCGTACTTTTCGCATATCGCAACCGCAATCATGGCCAGAGCCACCAGGTCTAACCATACCGCTGCAGACAAAATGCCTAAGGAGAAGTCCACCCGCAAGGCCGCTGAGAAGCCCCGCGTCCAGCGCCGCAAGAAGGGTAAGTTGATTCCAGATCCAGATGTGACGCGTACCATGTACTGATTCACTACAGACCCCAACGCTCCCAAGCGTGGTCTCTCCGCTTACATGTTCTTCGCCAACGACAACCGCGATAAGGTCCGCGAGGAGAACCCCGGCATCAGCTTCGGTCAGTGATCCTGCAGCTTTCTCTGTGACCCCCCTATCTAACAGTTTCTACAGGCCAGGTCGGCAAGCAGCTCGGTGACAAGTGGAAGGCTCTGAGCACCACTGAGCGCAAGCCCTACGATGACAAGGCTGCCGCTGACAAGAAGCGTTACGAAGAGGAAAAGGCTGCTTACCTTGCTGTACGTGTGAAATTCCACTCTCTTGGGTTTTTGTGATTTCTTGCTAACTCCAATTTAACAGAAGGCTGATGAGGAGGATGAGGAGGAGTCCTCCTAAATTTAAATGCCTATTTCGCATTTTCACTTCGTCTTCGGCCTCAAGGTGTTTCTAGTTTTCATGGATTTTCCCCTGGTTTCTTCTTTCGGATGGTTTCGTGCACGGCTTTTGGGTTAGGATGACGGAGGGGTTTTTATTTGCTTCTGACGGTTCCCCTGCTTTTATCAAAGGCTATCAACTTATCAATGGGAGATCTGATCCTTTAAACTGGTCCTGTTTCTTTGTAGCTCGAACAGTGCTAGACCCCCAAGGTAAAAGGTGAAGCTTCTAGACACGGCCTCGGCTTTACCTCGGCTGAAGTTCAAGCTCGAGCTCCCGGAGCTTTTATTTTGCCCCGCAAAAATAACCTACCGCCTGCGTCATTCACCGCCCCAGAATCCGGGGTTGCTCGGGTAAACTTTGTTTCGCTGTGGCTTCAACTGGATCGAAGTTCCATGGGTCACCATTTGGCTCTAAGCTAATTTCAGAGCTTCTCCGAGTCAAGCCAAACTCTACAAGAGCCTTGTATGCATCATGGGTGAGTCCTCACTGGTCTCTGCGGATAGCCGATTACATGTACTATAGTAGCCTAACTGAAACCAGGCATCTCCTCGATAAGGCGTGTAGCCCGTGACTGATCTAGACCTTACATGAAGCCTACTTCATAATTGAAACCTCGAGGCCGATACAGCTCTGATACAGATCAATCAAGAGCACAGAGCAACACAAGCTGGTAGGTCCAGCAGCCTTGGAGAGCTTGCAGTATGCATCTGACGAATACTACTACGGAATGCCAAGCCTTCATGTCAACGACGACAACTACTTTGAGATCCAATCTACTCTCGCGCACGAAGTGGTTCCAGCCCAAGACATGCGTGAAGCTCCGAAGGGGAGCTCGAGGTGGCTATTCTACCATATGATTCCTGGTAGACAGGAAGTGAAATTCGACGGCTGCAGCTTCGGCTATTCTGTCGGCTACACCGTGAACGAAAACCAATCTTGGAGAACACACGATGGTGGAAGATGTGAACTGAAGCTGCACTCGAGAGCGAGATGATGCAGCACCAGACTAAGCTTCGAAGACGTCAAGACAGACCTGAGGGAGCTTGGGTCAGAGGACTATACCAGGGGATCACGGGGCTTGGACATCCGAAGAGGGCACACCGGCTGTTTTGATTTCGGGTCCAGTGTGTTTTGGTGACCGGGCAGATTCCACGGTCGCGTATACAACAGTACACAACACAGTCCATGGAGCTAAGGCTGAGGTTATCTTGACTAGGTGGTGGTGATGGTGGTGGTGGTCGTCGTCGATCAGGGCTTCTAAAGTCCGCTTCCACCAATGACGACCTACGATGTCCTTGTCAGGGTCTGGGAGCTTCTCGGGGCTGTGGAAGAATAAGCCCTAGTCCATGATGAGCAGCTGTCGGCACATGCATGGTGCCACATGCATGACATGATACTCGGGTGGTATCTTTCTCCCGGGTACATCCAGGCCATCGCCACGAGGTCAATGTCTCACTTTGTACAAGTGAACGAACTCAACATCGGATTCACTGGGGCATCTGGCCCAACCTGAAACTCTCGCAGTGTTAGGCTCCGGCTGCCTCCGATGGGTGCATTCAGGTGCCTTCGGGTTCTATTACAGGGTACATGTATACTCATCCGCATGTTGGTACCGGAATCTGATTCGCTGTCGCACGAATATGACAGAACTTGGCAGGCATTCAGAATTATCTCATGCTCCATACCATAATCGACATATTCTCGCCTAACCAGACTACATACTACAGTAGATCTGCTGGACACCCTCAGATTAAGCTTAGCAGAGTCCAGATTAGCGAACCCTTCAAGGAACAGTAATCGGGTGAATCATCCCGATCGGCATGTAAGACAACTTAATCGGAATCAATTAGGCGGCAGCTTTTGCCTCTTGACTTTATCAGCTATTGGTTCCCTCGTTGGTTATTTCTTTCCTTTTATTTTCTCTTGTGGTTTGTTTGTTCTGACCTCACCTATGTTGTCTATACTTACCACTATTTGGGTTGCCACCAGTCTCGATCCGTCTAGTATACACAGTGTCCAGGGTCTAACAAGGGTATTTTCTCCACATTTAGGGCTACAAACGCGAACCATGGAAACCTGAGACAATCAATGTCCATGTCAATGTCTATGTCCCTATGCCTTTGTGTCTGCATCCTCGCGAAGAACTGCAAATGCAGAGACACTCCACTATGCCCCGCCATTCCCGCGTGAACACGTCAAAGACTCACAGGGATGCCAGAGCCGCACACGTGAGGGGTTTTTGACAATCTTAATTGTGTCTATGTGAGCTTATTGGCTTTATACCCCTCCAACTTTCCCAACTTTCCCACTCCATGGCCTGACCCGTCTCTACTATGGCTCTGCGCACATCTGCTGAGAACGCCGAAGATGTCGCTGCTGGCTTCGCAATGTTCCGGGGCCCAGTCCCCGAGATTTCATCCGAGGTGACATCGCTTATCGCGGACTTATACGCCATAAGCTCATTGCTTTCAATCCTGGAAGACCTAGGCAAGGATTACCGCCGTCAGCTCAATCTCGCCCGTATCCAACCCGATCTGAGCATGGTGCAGGCAAGTCTGAAATACACTCTCGAGGACATCGTCAATTTCTTCGGTCGTCTCAGCGGCCCGGCTGTCGTACCGGATACTTATAAGCACACATGGCTTTCCCTCAGTCGGTTCTTCTGGGACGAATCGAGATACACGCTCGCAACCCGCCTGGCCAAGTACAAAGCAATGCTTAGAGAGCTAAGCGAGATGGCGAAAGAGTAGGTAGTCCGCCAAACAAACGTAAAAAAAAAGACATCGTACTCATTCCCGCCCACAGTAAGCACTACAGCTCCCCGCTCCTCGACGGCCTCCGCAATGGCATGAACACCCTCCTCTCCATCCAGGACAGCCGACTCGCTTCCCAGCTGGGGCGCATGTCAATGGGTCGCCGACATCCGTCAAACAGCAGCGCGGAGACGCCCAGTCCTGTCGGTGATCGGAGACCCAATCCTGGTCGCCGGCAAAGGTCGTTCGACCGCCAGCGTCCTTCCCATGCATCCCCTACATCGCCGCAATCGCCCTCTTCGGGCAATTTCTCGGATTTCCCGTCATCTATTCCGGATGTTCCTCTCTCGCCGCCTGCTTCTACGACTAATACTACTGCTACCAATGGCACTAGTCGCTCCACTGCCTCTGATACTATCAAATACCATTGGGCGAAGGAGGTATACGGGACTTGCGATACGAAGACTCCTCTCCCGCCTGTATCTGCGACGTAAGTATACACTACCATATGCATCTTGTCAATGCTTGCTAATGCATCTGCTTGTAGATCTGATTGTCGAGGCGAAAACCATCCAGGAGTCAAACAAGCAATCAGAGAAAAGGGTTTTGAAGAACTTTTGAAGCTGTAAGCAGATACCAATAGTACAATACGTATTCGGGTCATCACTAACATACCAATGTCTATACCTAGATCCGTCAACGACGATTCAGACATGAGCGTATCCTTCTGGCTACGAGAAAAAGACCACCGAGCCCGAATAATGTGCAAGACCCCTCGCCGCGGTAATAGACCAAGTGAATACTTCTGCCTTCCTCTCAATCTGCTTGAGATTTTGCGAGAGCGGTCTTGTCTTCGGTTGTGTAGACGACGCAAGTCTGGGACTGAGCTTGTTTTGTGGACTTTGCTTAAGTTTACTACTATGGAAGGTTAGTATCATCCAACCTGACAACGGAATGGAATGTATCTCTATTGACAAGATCATTCATACTAACTGTATGTTCTAGACATGGTTCTATTCCATAATACGTTCATCGCCCTGCGCTCCCAAGACGCAGGCCACCCTCTCCGTCAAATCCTAGATCACGAACTTCAAGATGAAGATGAAATCTTCGGAGGGTGAGAATGCCGCACCATGAAAGCACCCGGGCCCAGAAAGAATATCAGCTAACAGGATGAAACACAGTAAGATAAACGACGACGAATACCCCCACGCTCTCCGCGTCTACCAAGACCAAGAAACAGGAGCTGTACGTCTCCAATCATCGATAATGGAAGGCGGAATGAGACAGTAAGTTGAAGACAACCACACCAACCCTTTCTCCCTCTACAATTGTACCTCTGATTCCGATGCTAACACCGGTCATTGTAACTAGAACACCCGTCTGGACAGCCTTCATAACAAAACACATCGTAAAACCACGCCTGTTCCAGCAGCACGACTCAACAACAATCCACATACGCGGTCTGAAACCTGTTATCTTCATTTCGGCGGAGGAGTACTCGCCTCCAAGGAATAGGCATGGGGATCATATTTTGAAGTTTACGACTGCATCAGGTATGTTTTGTCCCTGCGTCTTTGACTCGCGATGTGTGTATGTATATGTATATGTATCATTGGCTAACTGTTTAACGTGATATGGTGTGGTGTAGATGCTGAGGGATTCCTCGATATCATGCATGACCTTTATAGATCTTATACCAGGCGGCATTAACTAATAATCTTATGATTTTGATGGGATTTGCTTAGCCTTGCGCTTTGGTGGAATTTGATTTCTGCTGTTATGAGTGATGAGATGATGCTTATGATTGCGATAATCAATTTAAAAGTCGTTGGCTCTTTCTATAATGATGTTGGCTATTGAGTACTGGATGCTGATTTAAGTTCTTTTCTGCTCTGTGATTGAGATCTGGTCTTTGTCTATAATGTCTGAGTGTTGTCCTGGGCATTGCTCCAATTGTGGATTGACATATACGTTAAGAACTACTCTGCTCTGATCTATTCAACAAAGAAGGATTCTGATATTTGCTTCGCTAATCGTTCATTGTGTTAATAATTGGGGATCAATTGTACATTGGGGGTATCATAGACATTATTCAAATGTGGGTAGGTGTGGCCCTGGATTTGGGGGGCCACAATGTGCATTGGGATGTGTTCACTCGGTCTTCTCGGCTCTCGGTTCGTTCGACGTTGTCGGCTGTTCAGGTTTGCGTATTTCACTGCCGACGTGTTCAGGTTGTCCTATTGGATTGCCGACCTATTCGGCATTGTCGGTCTGCTCAGAGCGGGGGACCTGTCCAGCGTTGCCGGCTGGTTCAGTATTGTTGGACTGCTCGTCTTTTTTGACCTGCTCAGCTGGCTGGGTAGGGACAATAGTCGTCTCAAGCTCCGTCATGAACTTTGCAGCCATCTTCTTGTTCTTCAACTCCTCAATCCTCTCCAGTCGCCACTTTATAGTGGCCTCGCGCCGCTCCAATCGTTCCTTGTTGGATTTGCGCTTGTTCAAAGTCTCCTCTCGAACCCGAGAGAGTTCCTCCATCTGCTGGGCACGATCCTTCTCATTGGTCGAAAATGCATAGAATCCAGTTCCTCGATTGCGCACTTCCCAATCAGCATCATAATGCTTCTGCTCCGGCGGTGTAGCAGAACGGTCACGGCGAGAAGCGAGATGGGACATGTGTGACACAATGGTAGCATCAGGGTTGAAAGCCTCGGCCTGAACAGCAGCTCCATAGATCAGATTTTCAGGACGAGCAGGACGCCAACGTTCCTGACCAACTCTCCCCCCATTCGCCTCATCAATAGCGTTGGATGCTTCCGCAGCTTCGGCACGCGTTCCACGGCGCGTCCGGCCAAATTCATCTTCGTAAGAAATGATAGAAGTGTTTTCGTCATCCGATAAATCTTGGTCATTTTCTTCTTCATCTGCATGCTTGCGGTCAAAGTCCACTAGCCCTTCTCTTTCTTTGCGCCGAAGTCGCGCCAGGTAATCTTCTGGCTGAGATGGATCGTACTGGTCATCATCGTCACTGTCCTCGGCAAGGTGATGGCCTTTCTTCATGTCATCGTATATGCGCGCTTTCTCGTCCATCCGGCGACGGGATCGGCCCAGAGCGCTGGCATCGATATCGCCGAGATCCTTGCTGCTTTTGTGGACCTGCTTCAGTGCCCGATTGTCATCTGCAAGGTCGGCTGCGGCTCGCTTTAGGGATCCTTTGTTATGTTTTGAGAAGATGTCTGACTTTGGGTTCTTGGAAGGACGCTGGCGACCTCGTGCGGAGGTAGAGTTGGAATCTTGAGAAATGAGGGAAGAGAGTTGGGACGCGAATGCGAGGTTGGAGGATGTTGTTTCATTGGACTGGGCCTTTTGGCGACGCTGGCCATAAAGAGAGGAGTTCTTGTCTGCAGACATTATCGCGAAATTGTGGATGAAGCAGAATGTCAAGAGGAGGCAATGGATCGGCCAACGTGAACTTGCAACAATAATACCTGCGACCTTATCGATAAGGCGTAATCGTATCTACACCGCCATATAGTTTTGCCGGATGACTAATGCCGATGTTCGCAGCCCCGCGCCCCACCTGATATCCGATCGTTTGACTCAATTGAAGTGTTTCTCAGCTTTAATCTGATACTTAAACTCTTAATTGAGCATCAGAAACAGCAATTGACTCGATATTCCCAAAAGTTTGTTCAATTAGTACACATCATGTCCGCTAACCCCATCTACCTTGGTGTCATTGGTAAATGCCCCTCACTACTATGTGAAATTCAATTCTAATCATGACTACCAGGCGTTGGAGGTGTTGGCACTGCCTTCCTCTCGCAGCTTGCCCGCCTGCCTAATGCTCCTCAGCTTGTCCTCCTTGCCCGCTCTTCCCAAACCCTTCTTTCCCCCAGCCCTTCCTACTCGCCGGCCATCCCCGCCGCCGATTGGGCTACTGCTTCCGCTACACCCTCCTTGACCAAGAAGGGTGCTCTCCAGGCTGAGGAGATCGCTACATACCTTGCCTCCGCCCCTGGTCGCGCTATCCTGGTCGATAACACCTCTGACATCAACCTCGCCCGCCAATACCCCACATTTCTCAAGAAGGGCGTGTCAGTCGTGACACCCAATAAGAAGGGATTCTCCGATGACCTTTCCCTCTGGAAGGACATCTTCGCCTCCGCCACCGAGGGCAAGGCCCTCGTCTATCACGAGAGCACCGTTGGCGCTGGTCTCCCCGTCCTCTCGACACTCAAGGACCTTGTGGCCACCGGCGACGAGGTCACCCGCATCGAGGGTGTCTTCTCTGGCACTCTCTCCTTCCTCTTCAACACCTTTGCCCCCGCCTCCGGCTCCTCCAATGCTCAGTGGAGCACCGTCGTTGCCCAGGCCAAGGAGCTTGGCTATACCGAGCCCGATCCCCGTGACGACTTGAACGGCATGGACGTTGCCCGCAAGCTCACCATCCTCGCCCGTCTTGCTGGTCTTGAGGTGTCCCGCCCTGACTCCTTCCCCATTGAGTCTCTCATTCCCGCTGAGCTTGAGTCCTTACCTTCTTCTGCGGATGGTATCACTCAGTTCATGACCCGTCTTCCTGAGTTCGATGCCCAGATGGCCAACATCAAGGACACTGCTGAGAAGCAGGGCAAGGTTGTCCGCTACGTTGGTAGCATTGATGTTGCTGCTAAGGCTGTCAAGGTTGGCTTGCAGTACTTCGATAAGGACAGCGCTATTGCTGGTCTTAAGGGCAGTGACAACATCATTAGCTTCTACACTAAGCGGTACGGTGCCAACCCCCTGATTGTCCAGGGTGCCGGTGCCGGTGGTGATGTTACCGCCATGGGTGTCTCTGCTGATCTGCTCAAGGTTGTTGAGCGCCTGCGTTAAATGTTAGATAGCGAGATTTGAAAAATAAAGCCGAACTTGAACATTGTATACAAAGAAGATTTGCTAGAAATCTACAAGCATGTTTGTTTCAAACCAAGCGATTCCATCTTGATATGTTAGATCTAGGATCTCAAGAACTCCTTCAACGCTTCTCCCCATACATCCCCCTTCTTATAAACATGCATTTCAGGCACATTCCCCTTCCTCAACCCATCAACAGCAACAGCCATATCCTCGCCAAGCCCCTCATCCTTAATCTGCCGAATCGGATAGGTATACGTATGAAAAGCAAAGACAAGCGCCTCAGACTTCGGCATCCGATGCAAAGTCTGCCGCTCACACCGAAGAACAGTCTATGTCAGCGTCAGTACCATCCCACAACCCACAATCAACCATTTCAAGCGATATACCTCATCAACATCCAGCATCCCAGGCTGAATAGCATCCTCCTTCTTCCCAACAACAGCATGCGTCCCCCCAAACGCAGCAAACAAGTCCGTGGCAATCGTCACACTCCAATTAACCCTCCGAACAAACTTTCCAACCTCGATCCGCGTAAAGAACCGATCCATACTGCGCTCGATCTTCTCTTTATACCCCGGCACGGGATTGTGGATATCGGCCAGTCGTAGACCGAGTTTCTCGCGGGTATTGAAACCAGATGGAAAGCAGGCTGCATAAGCTTGCAGGATGTATTTTGGTTGCTCTTTATCTTCTGGTGAAAGTTCTGGTAGGAGAAATAGGAATTCCTCGTCGACGCTTTGGGTTAGGATTTCTAGGGCCTGGATTGTCGGTGTCGTCGGACACAGGATTGTTGGATATGTTGCTCCTGTAACTAGGTTTTCGAAGATGGGGGTTGAGTTGGTTGTTTTCAATTTGAACATGCTTGGGTAGCGGGTTGGTAAGTATTTGCCTAGTATGAATGTGTAGAGTTCGCTGACGGCGCTGCGGGTGCGAGGATCTTGGGTTTGCGGTTTGTCGTTGACTGCTACTGCTATATCGTGGTGTTGGTCCAGGATTGATTTGCGGAGGCTCAGGCGGTCTTTGTATGTTTTGTCCATTGGGATCAGCTCTGATGGGTCGAGGTTTTCAATTGCTTGTAGATGTTAGCCGAGCTATGTTCTGTGCGGTTTGATATGATACAATATATGTAGAAGAAGTATTAACAAGTACTCACACATGGTTAGGTTAAACTTCTCTTTGCCTTGAAATGGTCGAAACTGGAGTGGCTCTGTTTTCTCCCAGTCAAATCCTTCTAGAGGTATAATGACCGGTTCCTTCTTGTCCGATAGAATTGGCTTTGTCTTCACTGTCGCACAAGTATAACGATATTGTCGAGCTTTCCAGGCCGCGACACACAGACCCATGATAAGAGCACAGAGGAGATAACTCATAGAAGGCATGGTGTGCCATGGTCCAACCAGATCTAGTTTGTTATATAGAAGTTCCGCCATTCCTGTAGTCTCGAATGTATGTGTGTAAAGTAGGGATTGGTATGCCACAGAGCAATGTAAGGGTCTGCTGGAACCAGATTTTATATCTCTTACTCATTTCTACTCCGCATGGACTCCGCAGTGACAGCCACCTGCAGTTGGAGCTTATCATGAACCCTCCGCTTTGACTGGCGGAACCGTCCGCTAGTTGCCGCTCATTGACTCACACAGCCGAGTTGACTGGGCGGGGTTGATACTCAGATAACATAGTAAGTATAGGCAGATGCAAGAGGGCCAGATATGAGTATGTATAAGAATGGGTTACATTGTGCGAGTATTGTTGTACAATCCTCCCTGAAGCGTCAGGGAGACATATAGAAGTACAATCCCCGATCGTGCCAGTCAACTCGTGATATCAGATGATAGAGATAGGACCCCAGCAGAAGCCATAGAAAAAAGGGGAAAGGGGATCGCTCTCATGATGATAAAACAAACAAACAATGCGCATAGGTATAAGGGTAAACAGGCTCAAACTCCATGACTATGGAACCCACAGGAGGCCCGTATGCGCAGGCAGAAAACAATAACAAAATCATCAGCTTCGTCATTTCTCACACCTAGAGAACCAGATCGTCAATTCAGACTCGTGCCCCTATGTTTCAAGGCCCCATCTCCACTTGAAGGTGGATTGACACCAACAGGATTCACATTCGCCTTTCGCGACTCGTCGCGATCGTTCTCTCGCTTCGATATCAACCCATCGCTTTGGTCCCCATCACTTTCACCAATATCAGTTTCCACCCCGCGCAATCCGAACGCCCTCCGCTGCCCATCCGGCCGTTCACTCAAGCTCGGCGCGCGTGGACGCTGTTGACCCCGAGCGCGTCCACCAATCCACGGGAATTCCCAGAGAATCATGCGATAAAGCCATATAGTTGCATCGAGGAGGACGAGGAAAGCCCAGGGGCCGATGGTGATTAGGCCGAGGACGAACTGCGAAATCCGGGGTAGGTCAGCGACTGCGTCATAGGGCGTTCGGGAAAGGGAGCGCATCATACGAAGACACGAGCAGCCCAGCTCTCCAGGTGGATGAGCTCCTTTGGAAGGATGGAGTACCACGCCATGGGGGGATTGGGAGTGGTGAGTCTCGGGGGACTACAGCTATATCTAGCGCGCGCTGGGTGGGGCTTTCCTTGCTTGCCGCTTTGAGGCTTGAGCCACACTTTTGTCGACTGTTAAATGTGTTTTACATGTATCACATGACAGCTTCTTTTTTGTTTGAGCATGGGATCTTTGTTGAGTGCCTAGTAGCACGGGCCCCTTGTTGGTTTCTTTTGATTGGTGGTGATCGCGGAACTCTCAGGAACAATCACCCTGTCACGCAACCATTTCGATACCCAAGTATGCCAATGAGATGTGCTTAAGGGACACATAGTCAGTATCGAGCTGTAGGAATCTAGATCATGGAACCTGAACGAAGGTATTATACAGAATATCCGCCCTCGGCTGTATCTACGTTCGCGTTCATCCCCAGGTTTCTTATTTAGGTATAACGTGGGTGTCTTTCAGCCAAAGGCGTGTCGCGTTTTACATTGAGATTTTTATGTAGACTGACTTGAAGAAGACAGGAGATGCTATTTCTGCCCCTCCACCTCTTCATTTAACCAAACTTGAAGAATTGAGAAGCCCAGTGGTGGATTCTCGGTCTCCCGGACGTTCCTGCCGCGCTGACCAAAGAATATCTGCAAGCTTCTCAGTATGTTGTTTGCCCGAATCAGTCGGCAATCTCTCGCTCATGTAGATGGCAAAGACTTGATTGCCATTACTGAACAGCTCCTTCATGAGAGATCGGAAAAGCCCACGAACCTCGTCGGTCGTACAGCTATAAGTTTCTACCCGGAAAAGTGGTTCGTTTGTAGCAAGGGGGAAGAAGGCAATGGTAAAGTATCAAATACCCTAGAGCCCATATGTCAACCTTCTCATTCCACACTTGCGGTTGGAGTAACTCAAGTGCTGTCCGCGCTATTGATGGAAGAAAATCATCCTGTGTTTTCCACATAGCTATCATCATAGTCAATAATCCACATTCTCGCATCGCTAAAAAGGATCTAGACCCCCGCCCATATCATCTTAACTGTAAGTACCGAGAAGAGGGTGCATCGTCTAGTATTTGGAATGTATCCTCGAGGAACTGGGTGGTAGCCTCCAGCACGATACTCTTCCAAAGGTTCAATAACATCGTGAATGCGCTCAAAGCGACGCATTTTCCTTGATATGGATAACTCGCGCCTCTAGATAGCAAGACTCACTGGGCTTTGGCCTGATGGTGGTTATAGATGCCGTGATCCGGACGCAGCATGAACTAACCGCATTTGTCCTAGTACGTATAGCATACTTGACTGCATAAATTCAGTCTGCGACGGGTCTGTCTCTTTTTTTTCTAGATTTTCTTAGATACAGATCAACCGAGATACCAGATAGCTTTATATTTGGATCTGATTGACCTAATCTCATGCTTCGGAATATTTTGATGAGTAGTAGAACGAATTTATACAAGCTGACCAGCATCCGAATAATCCCTCTTACAAGTTTATTTCCTTGGCGTCTGTGGGAGTGACTTGGAATGTCGAAGTGTACAATATGGCTATGAGCCCTTCCCACCACTGTATATTTAACCCCCCCCCCCCCCCCCCCTCCTGCTGTCGAGATAGCTTTGAGCCAAGGCACTCAATAATAAGCAAGAAAGAGGCGAGAAAGAGGTTAAACACGAGATGCCAAAGTAAGACCAAAGAGAGACTAAAGAAAGACCGAAGTAAGACCCGACTAATGCCAAAGTACGGCCCAATCAATGCATAAAGCGGTATACCCGCGTTCAGGGTCAATGTGGAAGATACTCAATGGTTACCAGTGGCCCTATATACAAACTTGTAGCCCCGTTGTATATCGGAGGGGTATACCCCTGCACTAGCGATCCAATCGCTATTTGCGCAACTTCGTGGCGTGGAGAGCTAGAGCGGCGAATCAGCTGGGGGTTAGCGTCTCGGGTCTAAGTACGTCACCGAGCGACCTCACCTCACGCTCCCCCCAAATCAACCGACTTCTCCGCAGCTTCTCTTCTCTTCTTTCCATCTTCTCCTCCATAATCATCCCAGTCGCATTCTACCCGCGATCATCGTGCCTCCCAATCGCAGCTTTTTATCCGGAGCACCATTCCGATACTTGATATCATCTATCCACTATGGCTACTGAAGCCGCTCTCGGGCAAAGTCCCTCTACAACTCCAGGTATGTACCTTTATCTCTCTGTATGTTCGTTGAGGCTGGATTGGTCGAAAGATATACCGAAGTTTTAGGATTTCGTGGTAGAAAGGCCGTTCTTTGCATTCGTACCTGCTCGTGTTAGATGCTGACTAAGTGTTCTAGAGACGGCCCAGATCGTCAACGACCATTCGCATGCATTCCAAAACACGTTGAACACAACACAGACAGACAGTGCACCTGAAATCTTAGATGCAGGAAAAGCTGTAAACGACGAACCGCCAGAGGCACACAACGCATCCAAGCCTGTTGCTAAAGAGACAGAGCCACTTGAGCCTGAAACCTCTGGTGTCGATAATGCCACCGCTATTGCCAATGATCCCGGAGATACAGTAGGACCAAAGGATGAGGTACCAGTCGTCGAACCAATTACTGGCGTCAAGCGTGATCTTCATACATCTGAGGCTCCTGCTTCGACTTTGCCTGCTGAGACTGAACAGCGTGACCCTAAGAAGCAGAAGACAGATGAAAAGCCCAAAACAACTTCCAATGGCAGTGCTGCCTCTGCTGATTTGAAGAATCCAAGCAATGGGCAAAAGAAGGATGGTCGACACACAAAGGACAAGATCAAGGATGCTGTGAAGAAGATTATTCCGGGAGATACTATTGGAAGCCGCACTCGCAGCCGTACAAAGGGTGCTTAGTTCTGTCCTTATTGACTGTCTGCCCTCTGCTGTCATGTTTGATCCAATGATTGATGCATGTTCATGGACTTCTCATGGTTGAGGCTGTACACGGGCTTCACTAGGAAGATCATAATCAAACCACCTTGGTATCTTGACTACCAACACAACTCAATTCGATTTTTTTTTTAAAAAAACGGCGTAGAGAAGAAGCAGCGTAATCATAAGACAGATAATGCCCTAACTTTCTCGTAAGGGGGCGGCCGATCATCGGGCTGAGTCATTTAATCGGAACGGAACAACCACGTTCCCCCCCGCTATCACCGGAGGGGCAAGTGTGTGTCATTGGCGGTTACATTCAATTGCTTGACTTCTTTTAATTTTCTTTTGATATTTACACCTACAACTTCACTATGTCTGGACAGAAGATTTGGCTGCGCGCTGAGACCAAGCCCGCTGAGGCGCGGTCTGCTTGTGAGTTGCTTCTACAATGACGGTGATGGGCAACAGCTAACCCATCCAGTGACTCCCACTACTTGCAAGGCATTGATGGATGCTGGGTATGATGTGACCGTTGAGCGGTCCACTCAGCGCATCTTTGATGGTATGTCCCAGTTCTAGTACAACCAATTGATTGGACTTCATGGCTAATTGTGCTGTAGATGAGGAATTCGCCAAGGTACGACATGCTCGCCCAACGTTAACGCGATGATTTGTATTCTTCCTCGATCTTGTTCTAAATACCTTCACATACAGATTGGAGCTCCTCTCGTCGAGGAAGGTTCCTGGGTCAAGGATGCCCCCAAGGATGCCGTCATTCTGGGTCTCAAGGAGCTGCCCGAGGATGACTTCCCTCTCGAGCACGTCCACGTCACTTTCGCCCACTGCTTCAAGCAGCAGGGTGGCTGGGAGAAGGTCCTGAGCCGCTGGCCTCGGGGTAAGGGCACACTGCTTGACCTGGAGTTCCTCACTGATGACTCTGGACGTCGCGTTGCTGGTAAGAGCTCTACATCTTTGGGGTCAAACTCAGTTTACTAATACTTCTTATCACAGCCTTCGGATGGTCCGCCGGTTACGCAGGTATCTACACTTGAGAATCGTTATTTAGACCAATACTAAGACAATAATAGGATCTGCTTTGGCTGTGAAGAACTGGGCATGGCAACAGACCAACCCTAACGAGTCCTTGCCTGCTGAAGTCCCCTATGCCAACCAGGACCGCCTGATTGAGTCTGTCAAGCAGTCTCTTGAGGCTGGCAAGAAGATCGCCGGCAAGGAGCCCAAGATTCTTGTCATTGGAGCTGTGAGTACTCTTTCTGTCGACAGAGAATCCAATATCTAATAATTCTATAGCTTGGACGCTGCGGCAGCGGTGCTGTTCAGCTGGCTCGCGATGTTGGTATCCCCGCTGAGAATATCATCGAGTGGGATATGGCAGAGACCGCCGGAGGTTTGTTATTGTTTCTATGACTAAATTGCCAATCTAACAGTTTCCAGGTGGTCCCTTTGAGGCAATCTCTCACCAGGCTGATATTTTCGTCAACTGCATCTATCTGTCCGCCAAAATTCCTCCTTTCGTGAGCCCCGAGTCCCTCTCCAAGCCCAACCGAACCTTGAGCGTTGTCTGCGACGTCAGCGCCGACACGTAAGTTGACCCTTAAGTTTGATCCGATAAGCATGTTCAGATTGCTAACTATCATCAGCACCAACCCCCACAACCCTATTCCTATCTACGACATCACCACCACATTCGACAAGCCCACTGTTCCTGTGAATCTCCCTGAATCCAATGGACCTCCCCTCAGTGTGATTAGCATTGATCACCTGCCCTCTCTCCTCCCCCGGGAGAGCTCTGAAATGTTCAGTACCGCTCTCTTGCCCAGCCTTCTTACTCTCAACGACCGGGCCAATGCTCGCGTCTGGCAGCAGGCTGAGCAACTCTTCGATGAGAAGGTTGCTACTCTACCCAAGGAGTACCAGGCTTAAGTTTGTTCGAATTTGGAGGGCTATGGACAATGAAGTTATATGATTTGATGGTACATTGATAGAATCCGATTTGGAAAAATACCACAAAAGTTGCATGTTCAAATTCAACAATCTTGGCATATGTTCGGCCACGTAGAAGCTTCTTCTAGAAGGGCTGCACCTGCAGTGTCTATTTGAAATTGGAAATTGGTACGACAGGGTCCAAAATGTATATAGGTTATCCTAAAGACTTGGCTCCAGCCTTTTCCTCTCCCATTTCATTGCTTCATAGTACCTGCATCACCAGTCATGACCTGTCCAAAAGTCTACATATCAGAGGCCTGAGCATATAAAAACTGTCTCTCGACGTGGCTTTACCCTCTACCCCAGACTTAATCCTGAGTGCGGGGATCTCTGCGTCAGACGGATATCCGGAGAATCCGTCCGTGGCGGTCCCGCTAGGTGCCTGAGCTAAGAATGTATTGGGCGAGATGATATCGCGAAAACGAGGCCAGGAATGTATCCTCCTGAAACGCCCTGCCCGGGACGATCATCGGATATTCCTCATTGCGAATCCTGGAGTTTCGTCTCTTTCTCCGCATGAACTCGCTCCACTCCCTCCCCCCGGCCGAACCCGCTCAAGTGAGCCCCCCGTTCTCTCAATCCGCTCTCACCAACCCCGGCCACTGGCATTAAACCTCACTTTTTACCAAACCGGACACACCCCAAGCCACTATTCGGGCCAAACTGACGATGGGGCAATGAGACCGAACCTTCCCTACCTCGACACCTTATTAAGACACACGAAATACCGAACCCCTCCAAAACTCCTACACCGATGCAAGAAAAGCCGACAACGGTCGCGGCCTACGCGGCCGGGGCCTCACTGGCCGCCGTGGCACTATTCTACGTCTTCGGACCAAACTACACAATCGACGGCGATGAATCGAACGACAGCAATCGCAAAAAAAGCATCGTGGGCCTGTCAAATTTGGCCAATGACTGCTTCATCAATTCGGTGCTGCAAGCCTTGGCAGGCCTAGGCGATCTGCGAGTCTACCTGATCCACGAACTGCACAGGCGCCAACTGGACGGACCGGAGACATATCACGCTGTGCCGAGTGACGATGAGCTCACCGGGGCCCGGGAGGACAAGCTGCGCGAGTTGCAGCAGGGTATCACCACGAGGGCATTGAAGGAAATGTTGGATCGGTTGAATGAGCGGCCTATATACAAAAAGACGATTTCGGCGCGTGACTTTATCCAGGCTTTGGAGTACGCGTTCCGTACGCGTATTAGTCGCAATCAGCAGGATGCGCAGGAGTTCTTGCAGATTGTTCTTGAGAGATTGTGTGATGAGTATCATGCGGGTGTGCGCGCTCGGAAGCGAGCTCTTGGTTCTGCGGCTGAGGTGACACTGGGAGATGCGCGTGATGGGAGCCCGCTGGAGAGCTCTTCTGAGGTGGAAGTGCGTATTGATGATGGCTCGACTAACGGATTGCCTGCTATTATTGATACGAAGCTCAAGGAGATTGACCAGGAGTCTGGTTTCCCCTTTGAAGGCAAGATGGAGTCTCAGATTGAGTGTCAGTTCTGTCACTATCAGTACAAGCCGAATCAGACGGCTTTTGTGAATTTGACATTACAGGTGCCGCAGAAAAGCTCGACTACGCTGAGCTCCTGTTTCGATGGTCTTCTTAAGACTGAATATATTGAAGATTTCCGTTGCGATAAGTGTCGCATGCAGCATGCAGTGGAGGTCAAGTCGCAAGAGCTAGCCCGTGCACGAGCCCAAGGCGACAAAGATCGATTGGGGCAGGAGATTGCACGCATCCGTGAGGCAATGGAGATCGACCCTGAAGCCGAGCTCGAGGGGATCGTGTTTCCTCCGTCCGAGACAGTCCCCAAGCGCCGAATCGCACGGCATATGCGTATCACGGCGTTCCCAAAGGTCATCGCTATCCACCTTTCACGGTCGATCTTTGACCGGAGCAGCTCAAGCAAGAATGCCGCCAAAGTCTCGTTCCCTGAGCGGCTTCCTCTGGGCAGCATCTTAAGCCAGAAGTGGTACAAGCTGCTAGCCATTGTCTGCCACAAGGGCAGCCACCACAGTGGTCACTACGAATCCTTCCGGCGCAACCATATCTACCCTCCATTTTCCACACCAGAGGTCTTCAGTTCCTACGCTCAAAGCCGTGCAGCCAGCGAGAACCCCTCGGCCGCCCCAAGCCCGCGTATCGCGCCACGCAGCAGCCCCGACCCCGACATCAATGGAAGCATCTCCACCACCAACTCATCGACCTCACTCTCGGGCACCTCAGCCTCCGCAACCCAACTCACACCTCCCCTCCCGCGACCCACGACCTCCAGCTCCCGCCGTTCCTTTCAGAGCACCTCCTCCAAACACGCCTCCCCCTCGGACAGTAACAGCCCAACAGCGGACCAGGGCCGCTGGAGTACATCTACATCGGCCCCGCGCCCCTCCCGTAGTATACCCCGCCCGTCGTTGGATACTCCCACGGGGGTCAGTTCGCGGCTTCGACGCCGTCGCAAGCCGATGGATCGCTGGTGGCGCATCTCAGATGAGAAGATCAAGGAATGCAAGACTTCTGATGTGCTGGGCATGCAGAGGGAAGTCTACCTCTTGTTCTATGAGTTGGAGAAGCCCGATCCTTGATCGCATCGGAGGATTCAAGTACAAAGGGTTCAGTTGTAAATAGGAGTCTAGAATACATGTGCAAACATATCTTGAGATCTTGTCCAATGGTAGAACTCAAGGGACGAAGCAGTCACGAGAATAGTATAGTTACCCTGGCGACAAGTGCCCAACATGTGAGGCAATTGTTGAGGTGTTAGTGCCGAATAACGGTTGTTCTCTTTCCGATGATGTCATCTGCAGATCGAGTTCCCTTTCATTTTTTTTTTCATACTTGTTCGCGGGTGGAACCAGAAACATTGGGTACAGGAATTAGGTGTAGTCAACCGGATTGACGAATTGAACATGTCAACCGGATGTAGAATAGACCGGTTTGCTTCATGGCTTCAAGGTGGAAATACGGCGAACGGCCTCGAAACTCCTCGGTTCCCCGCTACGAACAAAACACGGAGGGGGGTCAATCCTTACGGACCACTTGGTACATGTAGATGTACAGTCGTTATAGTTCCGATCATCAAGTCTATGGTCACTAGATGTTATAGAGTCATATCTATGGGCTCATCCATAGCGACAACGTAGACCTCAATCCCTATGTTCATAGCTATAGCTCAAGCTCTGCGGCGTACACGATACTCCGAATGTATAACCGGCGTCGGGCTAGAACGGAGTATGGAGTAGACCGGGATACAGAGCACCGGGCCATACATAAAGAAGCTATTAACTCTTTGCCAGCCCTTGAAACTCCTGAAATCATTCTGACCTCAGTTCCACAGCTCCACTGACCGGTGAGTTTGCCTTCACCGATGACGCTCTGCCCCTCCATGCCCCTCCTATTTAAAATCTGCCCGCTTTCGTCTCCCGGTAAGGATTGACTACTTGTACTGACCATTTCCCCCTTTTCATTTTCCAGATATCATCTTCTTCATTTTATTGTACAAACTTCATCATGGGTGTCCTTGAACAGCTTAACCGCAAGTCCGGCGTTATTGTCGGCGACGATGTCCTCCGTCTCTTCGAGTACGCTAAGGAGAAGCAGTTTGCTATCCCCGCCATCGTGAGTTCTCATCGTCATCGTCATCGTCATCGTCATCGTCTCCCCTCAATCCAGTATACTAACCGTCTTAGAACGTCACCTCCTCTTCTACCGTGGTCGCTTCTCTCGAGGCTGCTCGCGACCAGAACTGCCCCGTCGTTCTGCAGATCTCCCAGGGTGGTGCCGCCTACTTCGCCGGTAAGGGTGTGAGCAACGGTGACCAGAAGGCCTCCATTGCTGGTTCCATCGCCGCTGCCCACTACATCCGCAGCGTCTCCCCCGCCTACGGTATCCCCGTCATCCTCCACACCGACCACTGCGCCAAGAAGCTCCTGCCTTGGCTCGATGGCATGCTCGATGAGGACGAGCGCTACTTCAAGCTCCACGGCGAGCCCCTCTTCTCCTCCCACATGATCGATCTGTCTGAGGAGCCCGTCGAGTGGAACATCTCCACCACCGCCGCCTACCTCAAGCGTGCTGCCCCCATGAAGCAGTGGCTCGAGATGGTAAGTCAATGTCCAACATGAAGCTCTTAAGCCTTGAGCGAAGCTAATATCATTGTAGGAGATCGGTATCACCGGTGGTGAGGAGGATGGTGTCAACAACGAGGATGTTGACAACAACTCCCTCTACACTCAGCCCGAGGACATTTTGGCCATCCAGAACGCCCTCGGCGCCATCAGCCCCTACTTCTCCATTGCCGCCGGCTTCGGTAACGTCCACGGTGTCTACAAGCCCGGCAACGTCAAGCTCCACCCCGAGCTCCTCTCCAAGCACCAGAAGTACGTCGCCGAGCAGACCAAGTCCAAGTCCTCCAAGCCCGTTTTCTTCGTCTTCCACGGTGGCTCCGGCTCCTCCAAGGCCGAGTTCAAGGAGGCCATCAGCTACGGTGTCGTCAAGGTCAACGTCGACACTGACATGCAGTACGCCTACCTGACCGGTGTCCGTGACTTCGTCCTCAAGAACAAGGACTACCTCATGTCCCAGGTCGGTAACCCCGACGGTGCTGATAAGCCCAACAAGAAGTTCTTCGATCCCCGCGTCTGGGTTCGCGAGGGTGAGAAGACCATGAGCAAGCGTGTCCAGGAGGCCCTTGAGGACTTCAACACTTCTGGCCAGCTGTAAATGTTGCCTATCTCTTCTTTTTCTCTTTGATTCCCATATCCTCTCTTCATGCTGCCGAAAAAGCGTTGGGCGCCTGGGGATGATGGCGTCTGGGTTGTATGTTGCGTTGTATTCTGACACGCTGTAATGAATGTCCGTACGGTCTTTGACCGCTCCTTGGAATATGAATTTCTGATGACAGTATTTTTTTTTTTACAATAGTAAATAGTAGAGTAGGTATACATTCATTGAAAACAGATGAACTAGATGTGTCAGGTGAAGTCCTGTGGCTGAACTGCCGAGTGAGATCAGGCGGAAGTTGAGTAAATTCCAGTAGAGTTGCATCACTGGATAGTTTCCTGCACAAGTGAGGGGGAGTAAACTCCAAAAATATCTCTACAGAGTTTTCTAAGACATTCCGGAGTAGACCTTGAGGATACTCCATACTTCCGAGTCAAAAAGTTATCTAAGTTTTCAAGTAGATGCCTCAGGCGACAACGAGATAACAGAGAACAGGGGAAAACACAAACTGTTCTCCAGACTCGAACCTCAAACATCACAGTGGGCACGGTGGTAAACGGTACCTACATGGCTGATGTGTTACCCTGGACCCGACAATCGCAATGTTCCAGATTATCCCCTCATGAGGTGCCTGATTGGCCTGCCACTTGATACAGGGCGGCGGTCTGCCAATGAAGCGGATGGGTATGGGTCGGATGGAGAGAGAAAACGTGTTGGAACGCCACAAGGCACGTACAATGTTGACGCACCGAGAGCTGATCTCAAGAGCCGTGGAAAGTGATATTACGGAGTACGCTCTTCAGAGTTAAGAACCTGCCAAGTTGGAGACCGTTAAACTCCGCATCGATCGGCTTCTAATAATAAAGACCTAGACCTGGTGTCCACTTTTCTTTCATTCTTGGGCTTGTCTCACTTCTTTTTTTTTGCCTTTGCTTCTCTATTCTCTATTCTTCAACATTCATGCTCTGAATCTTCGTCCTCTCCGGCCCCTCGTTTATGCCGGTTCGACATTCCTTTGATCTGTCGCTATGGATGTGATCTCCAAGGTCTTGAAGGCCCGCGACGACGGGACGGACGAGTTCCTCAAACTCATTCAGAATCCCTTCCAGTCTTCTGTATGTTGAATTGGTAATCACGAGAGTAATCGCCGCTAACTCATTCCAGTTCGCTATCACTGCCATCTGGACCTCGCTAGGGACCTCCATCGGCGTCACTATCCTCCTCGCCCTCCTCTTCTCCCTTGTCCGACCCCGTCACTCGTTAGTTTACGCTCCCAAGGTCAAGCATGCAGACCTCAAACATGCTCCGCCGCCAGTGGGCAAGGGTTTCTTCTCCTGGGTAAAGCCAGTAATCAACACACGCGAAGCCCAGCTCATCGAAACAGTCGGCTTGGATGCCGCCATCTTCCTGCGCTTTACCAAGATGTGCCGCAACATCTTTATCCTGCTCAGCATCATTGGCTGCCTCATTATGATTCCGATCAACGTCACAAAAAGTGACACCACAGGAGACGGGACGACCAAATCCACATTTGCGTTGATGACCCCGGTCAACGTGTACGGCACACCAATCTGGAGCCAGGTCGTCTGTGCCTGGGCATTCGATATCATCATCGTATTCTTCCTGTGGAGGAATTACCGCGCCGTGCGGAATCTGCGCAGGCAATACTTCCAGAGCTCGGAATACCAGCGCAGTCTGCATGCGCGAACTCTGATGATCACCGATATCCCGCCCGCCGATCGTACCGACGAGGGAATCCTACGACTTACCGACCAGGCGAATCCAACCGCTGCCATTCCCCGCGCTGCGATTGGCCGAAACGTCAGGGATTTGCCCCGGATTATCAAGGAGCACGAAGAAGCGGTCCGAGAGCTCGAGTCTGTTCTAGCCAAGTATCTGAAGAACCCCGACCGAATGCCCGCCAAGCGACCTATGACACGCCCTGCTCGTAGCCAGCGAAGCAAATATACCGGTGGGAAGGTGGATGCGATCGATTACCTGACCGTGCGGATTCGAGTCTTGGAAGAGGAAATCAAGCACGGGAGAGCGTCGATTGATCGCCGGAATGCCATGCCTTATGGTTTCGCTAGTTGGGAGAACATCGAGCATGCGCACGCTGTGGCATGGAGTGCTCGCCGCAAGCGTCCCCAGGGAACGGTTATCAGTCTGGCGCCGCGGCCTAGTGATCTCATTTGGGAGAACCTGCCTCTTTCGAAGGGAGCGCGCAAGTGGAAGCGGTTCATGACTTTCATTTGGGTTGCTTGTCTGACATTGGTCTGGGTTGTTCCTAACGGTTTGATTGCTATCTTCTTGGCCAATCTCAGCAACTTGGGTCTTGTTTGGCCTGCTTTCCAGACGTCCTTGAATGCGAACCCGAGTGTGTGGGCTGCTGTTCAAGGTATTGCCTCCCCTGCGCTTACTTCGCTGGTTTATCTGGTGCTTCCGATTATTTTCCGTCGGCTTGCTATCAGGGGTGGTAGTAAGACGAAGACTTCTCGAGAGCGTCATGTTCTAGGTCATCTTTATGCCTTCTTCGTGTTCAACAACCTGATCGTTTTCTCGCTTTTCTCGGCTGCTTGGGTTTTCGTTGCAACGGTTGTTGAAAAGACCAATAGCGGTCATGAGAATGCTTGGCAGGCTATCGTTGATAGTCGGTTCTACGCTACGCTGATCTCTGCGCTTTGCAATGTTTCGCCGTTCTGGGTGACCTACCTTTTGCAGCGCAACCTCGGTGCTGCTATTGATCTTGTTCAACTGGTCAACATGCTCTGGGTCTGGTTTGCTAGGACGTTCCTCTCGCCGACACCTCGGCAGTCCATTGAATGGACTGCGCCTCCGCCGTTCGACTATGCCAGCTACTACAACTACTTCCTCTTCTACGCTACTGTTGCGCTTTGCTACGCCACTCTGCAGCCGATTGTGTTGCCTGTGACAGCCTTGTACTTTGGTGTTGACGCCATGCTGAAGAAATACCTATTGATGTATGTCTTCGTTACCAAGAACGAATCAGGCGGTGCATACTGGAGAGTCTTGGTCAACCGTCTGGTCTTCGCCACCGTCCTCGCCAACATCATCATCGCTTTCGTTGCCAAGTCCAACGGCAGCTGGACCATGGTGTACTGCGTCGTCCCCCTGCCTTTCCTGATGATCGGTTTCAAGGTCTACTGCCTGAAGACCTTCGACGCCGACATCGAGTATTACAACCGCGCCAATCTAACAGATGCGGAGGCATTGGGCACACAAAAGTCCAGCAAGAAGGCCGCCGAACGTCTCAACTCCAAATTCGGCCACCCAGCCCTCTACAAACCCTTGATGACACCAATGGTCCACGCCAAGGCAGCAGAAGCCCTAAAAGAAATCTACCAAGGCCGCCTAGACCAAGGCGACACAGGCGGCGAATACTCCGACATAGCAATGAACCCAATGCTATCCTCTCAACCCGGAAAATCAGAGCCAGCGCCCTTCGAAGTCGTCCCCGAAAACCACCTCGACTTCTCCTACTACAAAGACCGCGCCGACTTCCGCGATGAATTCGGCGGCGGCATCTACGGGCGCCCAGAAGACCTAATGACAGAACGTTCCCAAACCCCGCGCTCAACCCTAGGCGGCGAATGGTCGCCCAGCTCCTCGCGCGCTTCCTCTCCAGCCCCCTCCCTCCCTTCAATCACCCCCCTCAAACTTCACGAGGGCCACACGCCCCCCGCCGACCCAACAGGCCTTATCCACCCTGCCTTCCGTGTCCCCCTTTCCCGTGGCGATAGTGGTTCCTCCGTCCTCGGTGCTTATACACCTATGGACGAGAGCGAATCCCATCTTCTTAGTCATGCCCAAACGCCTGCGCAGACAGATGTTAACCCGCTTGATCGCTGGCGCTCGCGTGGTTATGGCCCTGTTGAGCAGGAGGATGAGCCGAGCTTTACTTCTTATGAGGCTTATCGCTCGCAGAGGTAGTTTGTGAATATTGTATACATGTGCATTGTGCATGTTGCATATCTCTGGAAATTTGCATATAAAGTTGGGATTTATTATCGATTTATTGGTTTGGCGATTTGGTTAGCGGATTGGTTTTTTTTTTCGTTCATTTTTTCTTGCTTTTTCTACACGAAGGTCACGATTCATTCCCTTGTTAACCCGCTTGACTGGTTGTTTGTTAGATATAGAGTTGTTTCTTTGTATTTTTGGTGCCTTATATATCAGTGTCTACATTATCGATCTTGAGTCTCATTGGATTATCCACTTTTCTTGCCATGGCTCTGTCTGTAATATCATGGTACTGGGTGTCCTGGTAAATATCAATTCGACAGTATATCTGCCAAGATATATAGCTTTATTGCCTTCGTAGAAAGATATACAGTGCAGATGGTAGACCTACACAGACTGAAGTCTGAGGTTTGCTATACCAAATATCAACCAAATTCGGTCTCAAATACCTCCTCTAATACCTCCTCTGGAACATTCCGTGTTGGGGATATATAAACGACTTAGATGTCCATGTCAAGCTTCCCCTTCCAATGCATCTTCCTCTTCAGCTTGACATCTAACCTTGACTATACCTTGAATGAAACATAAACATCCGAGCCGTATTGGGAGATGCATATCTGGATAGTGAGGTATCTTCTCTTTTTATCTGAATCCTGCGCCCCTTCTCCATCCGAGACTCCTTTTCCATCCCGGTTGAAAGTGATTCACCTAACTCGTATGGTCATACAGAGATGCCGGAGCCGTATGATCTAGGTCACATATTCCTCGCTGGCCCGGCCTCGCCGACACCCTCCAATCCTTTGAAGTGGGAGGCAGCGGCAAGAGCTTGCTCTCGAGTCAGACACGCATTCTGATGATGAGACCAGCTCTGACGAGGACGCCGCCGCCACTTACTTATGAGGAGACATGACATAGGGAAGAATGTGTACTTTGAACTACGGAATTGAAAAATTACATTGAGCTTAATGGAAATGGATTATTGTAGATTGGAGCTGGTGGGTAAAGAGGTTGCTTGATATGCCATTGTGTTGGATTTCATTGTGATGCTGCTTTGCTGTTTGTACAAATTCGGTCATAGAAATCACAGCCTGTGCTTGTTACAATTTTTCCGCTTTGTATTCGTATGCCAGTGCATAGCACGGAGCAAGCGCATGAAGATGACCGATAGATGGCTATCCCTCGATGGCGCGATGAGAGTGCCATAGCAGCGGTGAGAAGATCGTCACGGCTATATGAGATTCCGGAGCGAGGAGGCCGATCGAATTGATCGCTCGGATCGCTTATTCCTGTGCATTGTGATGCACGAATATGGAAGCAATTTGAGTCTTAGCGGTGTACCTATCTGTGGTTATAGACCTTTCCGCTGCTGGGGGCATGCTTGCGCAAGGGTATGAGATTCGTTCAGTCATTAACGTAAGGGTATCATGTAAAGTTCCAGTTCAGGCGGGCGAGGTCCGCGTCGGATAGATGTGTATCAGATCTTTCGGTAGTTGATGGCGCGGGCTTCTCCGGCAGCATGGCTGAAATATTTTGTTCCAGGCGGGAAATATCACGAAATCTCTTTTGTTCAACAAGTACTCGGAGAGCCTCGGTGCCAATATCGAAGAATGCATCTCGTCTGACATCGTTCCAGGCTTGAAACTTGTTCGGTGACAAATTATCCACGAATTGCAGGAAGGGACGTGCATCGGGGTTTGTTGGATGACAGACGGCGACCGATGCTACCAACAAAGATCGGGGAGATAGCACGGAAACCACGTCTTTGAAATGGTCGTATACTGCCTCTGATACCTCATATTCCGTTGGATTTTGCTCCACGGCCATACGGTTAAGGTGAGCACCCGCGGCCAGAAGCATCGGTTTCCTTGACTTGTGGGAAGATGTGCTTTGAAAATGCATTTGGCATACACGCAGGTAGGTTGCAATTGCGGAGCTAAAGCCATTACCGGTGTGTAATTCGGCATCGACAAGATCGACGAGGAGATGACTGAACGTTTGCCTGGCGAGGCCTTCAGTCATCTTGCCGTTTTTGCTGCCTAGGTCATTGCTCATGAGTGCTTCCAGCCACTTCAAAGCAGTGCTTTGCAGTCCCTCGGCAACCATGAATTTGGTCAACGAGATCGTCGCTGACCGAGTGCGGAGAAGTGACTGTCGGGAAGCACCATCTGACGCCCAGTACCAATCCACGATTCTCCCCGCAGCTCGGGATGCTTTCATATCTTCCGGGGACCTGGCAAGAAGAAGCTGGGACTTAAGACAGTCATTGATAGTGGCTGCAGTGGCAGAACCGGCGGCAGCGAGTTCGTCAAACACCACCATGGGTTCTTCCGATAGCCGTCGCTGTCCCTCGAGGCCACGCAAGACCGCAGTTTCTTGTGGGCTAGTTTTTGCGGGGACTATCCGGAAAAGAGGATTGTCGAGGATGTTCTGCAGGTGCAAGTCGGTTGCATGCGCCGATGATTCGGGGTTTGGGAGAGGTCGGTCATTGCTGACTGCGGGATAGGCCCGGTCTAACTGACGACGGAACGAGGTCGTGAGGGCATTGAGAAGCTGCTGAGACTCTCGTGGAGTTCGCGGCAACGGTTGATGGATCTTAGGCCAAGATTTGAACTGGAAAATCGAGGTGCCCTTCATCTTGACGGTGGGCAATATAGCGATGATGGTATGATGAAAGCGTAAAGAAGTCAGGTCTCAGGGCGGTGAGGACCACCAGGTGCATGACGAGTAGAAGAAACACCAGTCAAACTGTTCACCATGCGAACAATAAATTAAATTGGACACACCAGCTAGCCTAAATCGCTTCGTAAACCACATCTCTCCACTCATATATAGCACCATCTCTCTCCCGTAGCCCCAACCCCATGTTCTGTACGCCTCCCAGCACCCAATAAGCGCCACTCGCTAAAAGCCAGGCAGTGCCAAGACCTGAGGGAGCAACTCAGATTCCGTTAGCTTTTGATCCTTTCTTCAACTCCATCTCCTGCGCTTTTCTCCCTCAACTCTTTTGTTTTATTTTCCTGTCGATTCCGGCCCCGTGCCTGTGGTCTTGGTGCTGATCCTCTTTTCTGCGAGGGTGCATCCCCATAAACTTTCCTCCCTTCGAACAAAACTCCATCGTGACCTCCTACCCAATTCCGACCTCTTCATCACATCCATTTCCCAATATGTCCGAAATTCAGAACCGGTCCTCCGCTTCGCGGGGCAGAGTATCCGCCCGTGGTGGCCGTGGCGGCTTCAGCTCTAGAGGTGGCCGTGGCGGAAGCAGCAGATCTGCAAACGATAACTCAGACGTCTCATCCTTTGAGGAAGGCGAAATTGGACAGATGAAGAAGAAGTACTCCGACACTTTGCCCATGCTTAAGGAAATGTTCCCCGACTGGAAAGACGAAGATCTGGTCTTTGCTCTGGAAGACTCCAACGGCGAGCTCTTGGAAGCAATTGAGCGCATTAGTGAAGGTCGAGCCCCCGTTTCCTTCAAATCCCCGATTGATTCAAGATTGCCAAATTCCTTGTTTCAAGGAGCTGTGACTGACGAGCTGTGCAGGTAATGTGTCCCAGTGGGGCAAGGTTGAGAAGAAGACCGCAGACCGGACTCGCCCTAAGCCCAAGGAGGCTCAGAACCCCCCGACCGAAACAAATGCAGCTTCGGCTCGTGCCACCCGTGGCCGTGGTGGATTAGACACTCGTGGCGGTCGTGTTCGCGCAGACCGTGGTCGTGGCGGTCGTGGTGGTCGCGCTGGCGCTGGAACTGCGACGAACGGAACTCGCCCTGTGGTTAGTGGTGTAGAGACGGCACCTGCTCCTGCAGCCCCCGCTACATCCGCATGGGAAACGCCCGCCAAGACCGAGGAGACCGACGCAGAGGCTTCAACCGGTGGGGCATGGGGTTCGACCGAGTCGCCTGATACCAAAAGCACTGTGATCCCCGAGGGAACAAAGAAGGGGTGGGCTAGTCTGTTCGCCAAACCAGCCCCTCCTCCGCCCCAGAAGAAGCCTCAGCCTACTGCCCCTGCTCCTGCCCCGGAGCAGCCTGCTGAACCCGTCGCCGAGCCTACTGTTCCTGCTCCCGCCCCCGCCCCCGAACCTGCTCCAGTGCCCGCCGCCTCGCAAAAGACCCCCGTCGCAAAGCCCATTCAACCCGTCATTCCCGCCGTTCCTTCCACCTCTGCCAATGCTCTCAAGAACGACTTGACTGAGACCAACCTCGAACGTATTCCCGATGTGTCCGCTCCCGCTCCCACTGCGACTGCCGCCAGCACTGTTGGAAGTGGCATCGACCCCGCCGCTGCTGCCGCTGCTGCTACTCCTTCCCGTTTCTCCTCCTCTGCCTACCCCCCTAGCGCTACCAAACAGGGTCGTACCCCTGGTCTCCAGCGCCGTGTCATGGAGCAGCAGCAAGCTGTTGTCATGCCCGGCAACCATGCCGTGGACCGTGCTGCTGTTCAGTTCGGCAGTATGGGCTTGAACGGGGACGCAGTTGACATTGATGACAACCGCGAGGAGGCCGAGACCCGCGCTCAGCCCCCTCAGCACTCCCCCGTTGCTCCTCGTGCCTCTCTCCCTCCTTCCGGCCAGGCTCCTTCCTCCATGGAGACTGGCGCTGCTGGCCGCCCCGCCCCTGGCCTGCCTCCCGTCCCTCAAGCCTCTGCCGCCGACTCTTTCAACGACTTTGCCCGTTACTCCGAGCCTCAGCAGAAGCCCTTCGACCCCTTCACCCAGCAGGTCAGCCAGCCCCAGCCTCAGATCCCTGAGCCTTTCGCCAACCAGGCCCAGGCCCCTGTTCAGCCTACCGCTACCACCGGCAGCGAGTACTCTCCCTTCTACGCCGCCGACCAGCAGCGTTTCCCCTACAACTACTACGGCAGCTACGGCCAGACCCAGGATGCCCCCACCGGACCCCGCGCTGGAGCTGGATTCGGTGTCTCCGGTGCTGAGGCCCAGGCTCAAATCCCTACCACTCAGCCTCCGAGCCGCTACGGCCCTGTTGATGCCAACAACAGCGGACACAACACCCCTAACCCTACTATTCCCGCCACACAGCAGACCCCCACTGCTCAGCACATGCCTGGCCAAACTGCTCAGCACGGCTATGGTGGCTATGGCTACCCCTACTACAACAACCCCCACTACGCTTCCTACATGAACCAAATGGGACAGCAGTACGGCCGCGGCAACCGTCCTATGTACGATGATGCCCGCCGCTACGAAGACCACTACATGCAGCAGCAACAGCAGCAGCAGCAGCACAATTCCCAGTACTACGGCAGCCAGTACGGTCCCTATGCTGGTAAGGGTGGCATGTACGGTCAGCCCCACGCTGGCTTCTCCTACGACCAACACTCGTCTTCCCCCGCCAATGCTGGTAGCTTCGCTCAGGCCATCCCCGGCCGTGAATCTGTCTACGGCCGCACCGGCTCTGCTCAGCCCTCGGACAGCCAGCAGTCTGCCACTGGCGCCAACGCCTTCGGCACTGGAATGTCCGATGTCTTTGGCCGCTCTCAGGGTAGCTTCGGCCAGAACCCCCCCATCGCCGGCCAGGCCCCCGTGGCTGCCGACGAAACCAAGGGCTTCGAAGCCCCCAAGGCCGGTGGACCCAGCCCCTCCCTCGCTCAGAACCGCCCCGGTTCCGCTACCAACAGTGTCCCCGGGCAGCCACAGGCTCAGAGCGGTATTCCTCTCCAGGGTCAGCAGACCCAGGCCTTCGGCAGCTACCCCCAGCTGAACCCCCAGTACGGTGGACTCGGCGGACTCGGCGCTCACCAGGGCGCAGCCACTCAGGGTCACCAGGCCACTGGCTACGGCAGCTACGGTGCCGGCTTTGCTAACTATTATGGCAACTCCAACAACCGCGGCGGCTGGGGTGGCAACTACGGTCACTGAAAAAAATGAAAGAAGAAACGAAAGGGGAGACATAATGACCCACCAAACACATATGGCGTTGCATTTGCGGGTGATTTGAAAAGGGTATGGTTTTTGTCTACAATAACGTTACCAGGGTAAACCGCATGTCTCAAAGGCCATGACGGAAAAAACCCAGAACATTTTCGCTTCATCTTTCTCTCTTCCTCATCTGTGTAATCTCTACTCTGGGGAGCTTGGCCGGTTTTTATTTGGGTTTTGGGGGACTGTTCCGTTATGCTTTATTCTATTTTTTTATTGTTGAGTCGCTTTTTTTCATTTTGCTCTGCTCTCTTCTGATGGGCCTGTATTAAATCCACCCCTTCTTCTCTAGGTTTATTTCACTTTTCTTTTCTCTCTACCTAGGTAGTCGGTGTCTGTGTCTCTTCGGGTCCGGTGTGTCACTTGTTCTGACGGTTCTGCTTGCTCTTCTGCTTTTCTTTTTCTTTTTTCTTCTTTTTTTCTTTTTTTTTTACGCTTCCTTCTCTTCTGTGTCTGTTTCTTTTCTCCCCACACCTTGTGCAATATCGGTCTATGATTATGATGGCTCAATGGGTCTGGTAGAGGTAGATCCAATGCTCAGTTGCGTTCTGGGCTAAAAGTGTGATGATTCATGTATGTCCTATACGATCAGTATGGAACTTCATATGGAGAATTTTGGCTTTTCCCTTGTAGACTTGTAGACCAGCAATCCCTTTCCAGTACTTCAATGTTGCACAACGTACTTTGCTATTAATATTTGAAGTTACTTGCACGCATTTATCTACTCCATGCCTTGTATCGCATAAATGAAGATACCATATCATTAGATGGAATGGTTAAGCCCCAATCCCATGCATATAAGCAAGTAAGCGGATTCAACCCGGACCGGAAACTATATACAATCGAAATGCAACATGACACGGTACAAAACAATAGGAATCCAAAAAGCCAACTCTATGTGGGGGCAAGCAAGGCTGAAGGCCAATTCAGATGAGAGTTCCCTATTTACTCAGTAAGACCCAGACCCTCGCCGCCAACCTTGAAGTAAGGCGGCTGAGCACCCTCGGCCTTCTTAGCATCAAAGCGCCAAATACCACCAGTCTTGTCAGTCTCAAAAGCAAGATCGGCCTCCTTAGCCAAAGCTTGGACCTGGGCGTCGTCGCTCTCAATACGGTTGAAGAAGCGGCGCTCCCACTCGCGTCCCTCCTCCTTCTCAACACGGCGCAGTTCACGCTGTGCGTTCTCAATGCGAGACTTGTATCCAGAGACAGCGTCCATATCGCCTTTCTGGATGTTCGTGGCGACGTCGCTCCAGGCGCGGCGGCTCTCGTACAGATCCTGGTGCTCGAGAGGAGCCAGGGTCAGCGGGGTGGTCTGGTTTTCCTTGGCGGACCAGCTGTCAATGACATCCTTGGAGCGGGCGTCCTTGATGTTGAACTTGTCGGACCATTGACCGTCTACCGTGTACAGGGGCTTCTTCTCGCCCTCGGCGGTCTTGTACAGGCTCGCAGTGAAGGTGTTCTTCTTGCCGCTGAGCCAGCCCTTGCCGGAGAAGTCGATCTTGGCGGTGTAGCCGCTGCTGCTGACTATCTTGGAAGACTTCTCTAGCTCGACAAACGGTGAGCCGTAGATCAGCGATTCAATATGCAGGTTTGGTAGCGTGATCATGTATGTTTCTTTCTCCTGGGAGCCTGAGGGGGTGAGAGAGTACAGGGCATGGCCGATCTGCTTCACGAGGATGGTGCTTGAGAAGGAGGCCTTTTGCGCGTTGTAGCCTTGGAGCTGGGGTTTGTTAGTATGGGATGCTTTTTTGCGGCGGTACTGTCTCTATCCTCTTACCTCGACTCCGTGTTTTTCGTTCCGGATCGCGTATGCGGTGGCCGGAGGGTGGTGGCTGCGATTTTTAGCTGCTGCCTAGCTTTCTGAAGTGGCTTTCGCATACCTGACTTGCTCACTGATCAGAGAAGTCTCGCCTACATCTGCGCCTCCTTCCCATTTACCAATGAAGAGCTCTCCAAGGAAAGGGTTCAATGGCTTCTTCTCACTACCGAGCTTCTCGCTACGGCTGCAGTACTGCTGGTGCAGGGTACTCAAGAACCACTTAAGGACCAGGAGAGCACGCTTCTCCGGATCGGCTTCCTTGGCGGGGGCCACGAAGACATCGGGGTGTTCGGCCCAGTAGGCAGAGTACTCGGTAAGGGAGGTGGTCGACAGAATAAAAGGAGGAGCAGTCAATGAGGAGAGATCACCGTTGAACGAGGCGATCGACTGGGAATCTGTTAGCCTGGAGTAGACTTGGCAAGTGGTGGAAGCTTGCCTTGAGGAAACTTGTCCATGAGCCCTTGCTATGGGCGGGAACCTGGCTTTGAGGGGACATCTTGGTGAATATGGAGTCAAATACAAAAAAAAAAGAGATCGAGGGTGGGGGAGAGGTGTCGTTGGCGGTCAGAAGCGGATAACGTCATGATCAGGGGTCGATCGTGAACAGCCACACTCGAAGATGACGACGTGCGATCTCCAGGGCTTTTATGCATTTGCATACGACTATCACCGTCAAGTATAAACTAACTGTCAGGTCAACCTGCCCACTTATCACGCATATACACACTTTCTTTTGTGGACCACCCCGCCACTATGTCGCTAGGGCCTGAGAGAGCACTTGGCTAAATCCGGTCAAATGCAAGTGCTGGCATGGCCTTCTTCTATCGAAATACACTATGTGGGAGAGCCCAATTGCCCCCGGGACGGATTCTTTTCCGCCCCTAGCCCTGCTCGGCTACTTCCCCGGTCTTTTCCCCGAATCACAGTGGCCGATGGACCCCTCAAAAGAGATAGCAAGTCCTCTGTTTGGACAAGAAGGCAATGTACGGCAAAGGGTCCGCCGATCTCGCAGAGACAAAGCAATTGGTCGTGCATTCTCACTCTGACTCACGCTACAAGTGTGAAATGTGCTTCGCTGTGTACAATTCTCTCTTTTCATAGTTCCTCAAACCAGTTTCTATTCAATTGAAGGCCTTTCTTGCGGATATACCAGCCGAGCATACCCTCGGAAAGTTTCCGAGCTTGAATACTTTCAATTTCTTCAGCCTTAGATGTGCATCGCGAGAGGACTAGCCTGGTTGCCCATAAGATAGCGAGTGCTCGTTGACTACCGGATACCCAATATGCCTCCAACATCCAATGCCTCCAGTGACGAGGGGTGGGACAACGAAGAACGAATCCAAAGGTCTCAATCGCAGCGGGAAGCAGATCGAACCAGTCTCGACCATGTTCGGAGCCATGTCTCTCACCATGATATGCCGGCGACAGATGAATTCCAAGAAGTCGACGCCGAACAATATCTCCGTTTCTCGCCAGCTAGAAAGGTTGTCATTGTTGGTATCCTCGCCTTTTGCTCCTTTCTAGCACCCATCTCCTCGACCTCTATCCTCGCTGGTGTTCCTGAAGTGGCAAAAACATACAATACCACTGGTAGTGTGATCAACGCCAGCAATGCCCTGTACATGGCGTTTATGGGCATTGCAGCACCTTTCTGGGGGCCTTTTAGTCAAGTCTGGGGACGACGTCCAGTAGGTCATCCGACAGCCAGCGTGGTATACATTTAAACTAACTGCACCTAGATCTTCTTCATAAGTGCATTGCTCTTCTTTGCTTTCAGCATTGGCACAGCTCTAGCCCCGAATCTACCAGCATACTACATCTTCCGAGTCCTAACTGCCTTCCAAGGAACATCCTTCTTGGTCGTTGGCAGCTCCGCTCTAGGCGATATCTACGAGCCTCGTGCTCGCGCCACAGCCCTAGGCTGGTTCCTATCAGGAACCCTAATCGGACCAGCCTTTGGTCCATTCATCGGGGTAAGCATATAAACCCACCTCCTCCTTTCAATCAAACCCGGCTCAAACCACTAACCCGACACAAACAGGGCGTAATCGTGACCTTCCGCTCCTGGCGAGATATCTTCTGGCTCCAAACCGCCCTAGGAGGCTTCGGCACCGTCCTCGTCTTCTTCTTCTTTCCAGAAACATACCCGCACCTAACAAAGAACGACCTATCAGAACGAACGCTCCTCCAAAAAGCCAAATTTCTCTGGAATCGCATCTCCCCCCTCCGCGTCGCAGTCATGCTATTCACATATCCAAATCTCTTCTGCACGGGTCTCGGGGCTGGCGCTCTAGTCTGGAACCAATATTCCCTCCTCACACCCATCCGCTACGTCCTCAACCCCCGCTTCCACCTGACAAGCCCCATCCAATCCGGTCTTTTCTATATCGCTCCTGGATGTGGATATCTCGTTGGAACATTCATGGGCGGACGATGGGCCGATTACACCGTTAAGAAATGGATCCGTAAGCGAGGAGGTGTCCGCGTCCCCGAGGACCGGCTTAAATCCTGCTTGTTCTTCCTTGGGGGTGTTGTGCCGGGCTGTATTTTGATTTATGGGTGGACGGTTGAGAAGGCTGTCGGTGGGATTCCGGTTCCTGTGCTCGCGATGTTTTTCCAGGGTGTTGCGCAGTTGTTCTGCTTTCCGAGTCTTAATACTTATTCGTTGGATGTTATGCAGTCTAGTGGACGGAGTGCTGAGGTTGTCGCGGGCAGTTACATGTTCCGCTATTTCTTTGGTGCGCTGGGCTCTGGGCTTGTTTTGCCTGCTGTGGAGACTATGGGGGTTGGGTGGTTTAGTACTATTAGTGCTTTGTTTTTGTTTAGTTCTGGAGTTGGGGTTTGGCTTACCACTATCTTTGGGGATCAGTGGCGGGATAAGATTGAGAAGAAACAGTTGCAGAAGGCCGAGAAGAAGGCTGGAGCTACGCAGCAGGATTCTAAAAAGTGCGAGGTCGCGGCTTAAATCTTGCTTATTGGCTGGTAATCTAATTATAGAATGATTAAATGTTGAATGACCGTCGAATGGTTAAAAAATGCATGTCTCTTCGCTACTTGGAGCGCTAATTCTCCAGCGCGGAACTGCTCGCGTGCCGATTGCCCAATTCGGGAATATCTTCAATATTAACGGATTGCTTCCCCTTCGCAATAGCATCAGCATCTAGTCCACTCTCCGCCACTACGCGGTCCATCTTGCGCTGCTCGGTGAACTTTCGACAATCTTCTCGGCCTTTTTCTACATCGACAAAGCCAATAGTGACCATGGCCCCGGCGCAGATCGCAAAGAGAAATGGGAAACCCATCCAATTGTTGCGCGTATTGTTGATGATAGCCTGGATGACATTCGGACCAATGATTGAAGACTATTCGACAGATTTAGACTAGTAGAAGGCAAGTGAGTAGATGACTTACAGCTCGATTGGTGATTCCAAATAGAGCAAAGAACATATTGTCATAGCCGCGAGGCATAAGCTCACTGATCATTGTTTGAGCGTACTATCGCAACCTTAGCAAGAGACCGTGAGAATATTTGCGGATGGAAATAGACCTACCGCATAGTATGGAGCTTGGAACAGTCCAAAAACGACGTTGTAAAAATAAAACTCCCACTGCAATGTTGTCAGCATTGTAACCTTGTTGATCTCTACTTTGTACCCACTATATTATGATACCCAATGCGAGTCGTCCACAATCCAATCATGCCCCAAAGCGGAATGAGGACGCTGAAGAAATTGGTGAACAAGAACATGGTCTTTGTCTTGAACTTGAAATACTGTTGTATGTACCAAAAGCCGAAGGTTGATGTGATTGAGCAGACAGCTTGGGTGATGCCGAGATAGGTGATCTGTAGAAATGAAAACGAAACGTAGTCATTCTGGATGATGTTGACGAGGGTACCTGATGTACATTAGCAAGATTTGTGTATTGAGAAGTCAGGTGTCTCAAACCAGTTGTGTTCAGGCCGTCTGCTAACAGGAAGTAGGCCAAAAAGTACAGAAATGTTTGAGGAAGCGATCTGATCTCTCTGATGGCGAGCCATATCTGCTTGAATCCGATAGTTGCATAGTTTGAGCCTTTGGGGATCTTTGGGCCCGGTCGTTTCTGTTGGAAGATGAACCACCAGATACCAAGGACGACCCAATCTATCAGACGTTAGATGATACGGTGAGCCAATGGGTCCGGAGAAGCTCACATGAGTTGGTAAGACAAAGTGCCAAGTTATTTGAAAAACTATTGTTTTGCAAAGGAAGCAAGACACTCAGATTGAGAACGAGTGTGAGCAAGTATCCAATATTACTGTGCGCAGTGGAGATATTGCTGTATCAAATCAGTATCCACTCAATCACAGGCAACATACCTGCATCTCACCTGATATGATTCCTCTCCAAAGACTCAATGGCATCATATTCCTCCTGCTCAATCTTGCCCTCTCTCAAATCCTCCTCCCTAGCCTTCCGTACATGAGGTGTATAGCGAGCCAAACGGGGAAAGACAGCAGCATAGAAGACTAGCGTTGCGCCGTAGGCAACATACGCCACCACATACATACCCATCGCCGCAGGCCACTGACTCGGTTGCCGGATGGCCATCATGCCGTATTGCAGTGCCCAACATACTACCGTCAACGCCAAGAGAAGCCATCGACCAAAGGTGCCGTAGTCCGCGGCACTCCCGAGCCACACGAAGATCACCGTCATGAATGCGAAGCAGAGACCATTTGCGATGAGGACCACGGAAGCTACAGATCGCGTGCCGCCTGCCCATGGTAACACACATGCCGATGAATCGCTGCAAGGCTTGGGCGGATTCGTGTCCGGTTGATGTCCGGCGCCATTGAGGGCCCATTGGAAGCTTGAGATGTTAGTGTCCGGTACTTCGGTGATGTAAATGTCCTTACAGGGCTTGACTGTAGGATCCCGGGCCGACGCCATTATCACCTGTGGGATTTCCCAGTCAGTCTCTCATACTTATCCGACGGAAGCTTCGAAGCTTCGTACCGTTGTAGTAGAGATAGTAGGACCATAGTTCCTTCCTTGTGGTCGTGGGCTGTTCGTATGCGTCCTCGTCAACCCCGAACAGACGTTCATACTCTTCTAGGGTTGGATGGAGCTGAGTGGTGATCTTGACTCCATCGTCCTTTGCGGCAGCCTCTCTCTCGGTAATCTGTATGTCGTCCATGGTGGTTGACAAGGTTGTAATTGCAGACCACCGAACAACAGAAGGTTACCAAGGTTACCCCGCATTCCATACTTCTTATCTTTGCAATTCGAATATCCCTGTTCCCGGGGTTTTCTAGGACGCTTATACTTGATAAAGCTATTCGGGGACTTTAGGTCCATTACAGAGTGCCAGGTATTGAGAAATCATATTTGGAGGTTCTCCCCAATATGTCAAGAAGTGGCCTATACTATTTCTCACTCAATTCCAGTCTGTGTCTCGGTTCATGTCCGGTCATGGCGAGATATAAAAGAGGACGAAGGAAAGACCGGGCTATCGGCCCATTTCCCCCCTACCCCGCATAGTCACTTCAACCTCGATGTGACACTGCTGCACTACCTTGCCTGAGATTTGAGAGCCACGACGTGTTGTCTCAGAGAGGCAGTGGTGTTGATCAATGAAACGCTGACTTGACACGAGTGTGGACCCGGGCTGATCGTCATTCCCTTCGCCTGACCAGGTGGACTCCGAGTCTTTGAACCGCTTACTCTTTACAGACCCAACCGGCAAAATGGCTTCGGATCTTCAGAAGCAGGTTGGCCAGGTAGGATAATCCCATCCGATGTCCATGTCGCGTCTTTCTTACAGATCGAATCATAGCTGTTCGCGGTGGGGTTCCATGGCTGCACCCCGAGTCCTGAAATCAAAACTTTGATCCATGACTACCACGTCGGGGGCATTGTTCTATTTTCGCGAAACTTTGATGATGCAGTACAGCTTCAGGTGCGACCAGTCAATTGTAGATCGGGCTACCGAGACTAACTTTCTGCGGCAGGCCCTGACACTCGCTTTACAACATGAAGCCAAAGCAGCTGGCCATGAGCGACCGTTGTTCATCGGCATTGACCAGGAGAATGGGCTCGTCACCCGAATTTCTCCCCCGATCGCTGCACAAGTCCCCGGGCCAATGGCCTTGGGCGCAACGCACGACCCGGAGTGCGCCTACAGTGCGGGGAGAGCCACCGGGGAAACACTAAGCTTCTTTGGCATCAACATGAACTACGCCCCGGTCGGGGACATCAACTCCGAGCCTCTGAATCCTGTGGTGGGTGTGCGCAGCCCTGGTGATGATCCTGAATTCGTCGGACGCTTTGCGAGCGCGGCCGCGCGGGGTCTGCGGGAACAGAACATCATTCCCAGCATCAAGCATTTCCCTGGCCATGGCGATACAGCCGTGGATTCGCATTACGGGCTGCCTGTCATCCCGAAGACGAGAGATCAGCTGGAGCGTTGTGAGCTGATCCCATTCCGGCGAGCCGTGGCCGAGGGAATTGAGACTGTCATGACTGCTCATATTTCGCTGCCTTGTATCGACCTGACCCGTCCTGCAACACTTTCGCCGAATGCCATGGGTATTCTGCGGAAGGATATGGGGTATGACGGCATGATCATTACCGATTGCTTGGAAATGGATGGTATTCGGTCCACCTATGGCACCGAAGAAGGCTCAGTGCTGGCCCTGCGCGCTGGTAGCGATAGTATCATGATCTGTCATACGTATGAGGTGCAGGTGGCTTCAATCAAGAGAGTTTGTGAAGCCATTAAATCCGGCACAATTGAACAATCACGGCTGGCGGATGCTGGTCGCCATGTGGCTACTGTGAAAGACAAGTTCTTGAACTGGGATGCAGCATTGCGACAAAAAAACCTGAAAGAGCTCGGTCTGCTCAACACAAAAATTGCCGAGACAACCATGGACATATACTCTCGGTCAACGACGCTTGTTCGGGATAAGTCGGGTACCCTCCCACTGTCAAAGACCTCGATTATCATCTTCCTTTTCCCGGGGGACAAGACTCCAGCAGGTGGTGCTGTTGATGGCGAAGGAATGGGACGACAAGGGTCATATCAGTCCAGCCGGTATCTAGACGTTCTTCGTCAACACAATAACTCAATTGCTGAGATTCGATACGGAACGTCGGGTCTATCGCCAGAGCAATGGCAGGTCATCGAGGTTGCCGATGCCGTCATCTTCACATCTCTCAATGCGCGCGAATCACCATACCAAGAATCTGTTGGCCACGAACTTGCTGGACGTATCAGCAACTTGGTGCACATTGCGGCGTGCAATCCTTATGACTTCCTCGATGACCTCAAGGTGAAAACCTACATCACCACATATGAACCAACCATCGAAGCATTCTCCGTGGCTGCCGATATCATGTTCGGCGCACTGATTCCGACAGGGGCCCTTCCAGTGGGTCCCAATGCTTTGACCAAGACTTCGGCGGCAGTAACACCATTCGACGCTGAGAAGGACTTGGATGGCATTCTCCACGTCTGGGCTGAGGCATTGCCGACCTATAAGCTACCCGAAGACAGCCTACGCTCTCTAATAATTCGCCCATACGGCCACCATTTCGTCGCTCGCCTTGGATCAGAATTAGTAGGCTTCTGTCTAGCCTACACAAATGCTGACGGTGAGCCCCACACCGTTCACATCGCGGTCCTCGCAGTATCACCAAGCTACCAGCGTCAAGGCGTTGGAATTGCCCTGTTGGAAGAAACCCGAGCCAACGTCCGGGCCAAATTCGGCATAAACGGCGTGAAGCTAGGCAGCTCCTTCCCTCGCTTCTGGCCTGGAATTCCTCGCGAGCTCCCAGAAACCATCCAGCACTTCTTCACCCATCGTGGCTTCCGACTGAGCCCAGAAAATGCCAGATCAGTTGACCTGTATCAGGATATCCGCAACTTCCAATCACCAGAGAAGTATATGACTCGAGCGAAGGATCGAGGCTTCCGCTTCGCACCTTTAAAGGCTGAAGACTACGATGCCTGCCTGGTCGGCCAGCGAAAGAACTTCTCTCATAACTCCGTACGTTTTTTTGACATGACCCCAGTACCTACTCTCACTGACCTTGCCACAGAGCTGGGTACAAGCCTACGTCATCTTACATCCGGACCAATATCCCGACAGTGTGATGGTAGCATTTGACTCGGCAGGCAATCAAGTCGGATGGACCTTGATGTTGGGACCATCACCTGCCTTAAATCACATCTGGGCATTCCCGCAAATTTGTGGGCCAAAGACGGGACTTATCGGCTGCGTGGGAGTTGATAGGGACCAGCGCAGCTCTGGTATTGGTCTGGCATTGGTTTGCCATGCCATTGAGAATATGAAACAGCGAGGCATTGAGGGTGTTTTTGTAGATTGGGTTGCGTTGGATGGGTGGTATGAACAGGTTGGTTTTGAGACTTGGCGGAGTTATCGACCCGGAGAGCTTTAGCTGTCTTTCAGCTATCTGAACTCGGTCTTAGAGGGTTAGAGCTGGGTTATCATTATCAGAAATTTGAATATTGATATTGCAATGGTGATGCTTGTTTCATTGGATTAAACGACTGAGTCGGATCGTTTTTTAGACGGCAAGCTAAACAATGTCGGTTGCTCCTTTGTCTTCCCATCAAGACATGGACTATCTCTGCGTGTTGACTTGTGCTCCGCTCTACCTTTGACAAACCAAAGACCGCTAGCTGCCAGGATATAGGTCGCCAGAGAAAGCACTACAAAGGTGGCAATAAAGGGTGCCTTCGAGGCAGAGGGATCGTCACCTTGGTCGAATAAATGCATTCCATAGAAGGACTGGCATACGTTAGTAATGTCATTCAATATGTCTTCGAGGGAACTTCATACCGTCACAAAACTCATGGGCAGATAGAAAACAGTAGCAATAGTGAAGACGAGAATATACTGATTTTGTCGCCCACTCATCTCAGCAAGACTAGTTCCTTTCGAGGCTTCTCGAACGGAGGTAGCATTGAAAAGCTACGAAAACAGACTTAGCAAACATCATATATTGTTCGGTCGAGGCTCTACTTACACCATCGCGAAGACTTTTGACTTCTTCAACCTTTCTCTCGATGCGATCCAACCGCGGCCGAGATCTTGCCTCATTCTCAGCCATGACGATAGAAAACATCTCGTCTAGTTGTTTCCTCTCATTTGCTTTGTCTTGAGCCGTATGTGTGTTGGAATCATCGTCACTATCATCGTCAAGACTAGCCTTCGATATGTCAATCTGACCATGCAAAGTCTTCAATCCCTGATTCACCTGTTTGATCCAATCACTGCAGATGCGAAGAACCTGCAACGCAGTGAAATACTGATCTGACTTTGCAAATTGATCATTATCAAACATCAGATCTTGCCTCCTGCTTCGTTTAAGCTCGCTCAACTATATCCCCGTCAACAAATCCCACAGCCGACCAAAAGGGAAGGAAGCAAAGCTAAGATATACTCACACTTGTAACAAGAGTCTCATCAAGCCTATCTAACGACTCATCCCAATTCCCAACAACAGTCTCCAAAAGCACTCCCAAAAAAGCCAAAAAGAACCCAACGGCAGTCAACCGACCCAAATTCCCACCCCGCCCCTTAAAGACCCTCTCAGCCCTCTCAGCCAACTCAACAGCAACATACTGCCTAAGCGGTCCAATAGCACACGGCTCCCGATCCTGCAGTAGGAGCAAGGAATAAAACGGCAACGGCTGGATTGTACTAACAAGACAAAGACTATGCTTCACCTCCAACAAATGTAAATCGGAAGGAACTTTCCGGTTTATGTGTGGTATATCTCCTGATTCGCGCTTGATCTGGAGACCTAGGTCTGTGTTGTTGTAGGCACGTGGCAGTTTGCTTATATCCATCCACCGGATGTTGAAGTAGATAGAGATGTTTTGGCTGAAGGAGCCGATTGGTTGGGGGAGGGCGTTCCAGCGGGAGGTGAATGATAGGATGTATTCCAACGCGAAGGTTTTCTCGCGGTGCGATGGGTAGCCTGTGTCTTCGGCGTGTCGGAGGCGCCAGAGGATGAAGGCTATTAGGGGCATTGGGAGGATGGTTGTGTCTTGGAGGTTCATGTCGCTGTTTGTTGTTGGTTTTTGTAGGGTTTGGGAGGGTATCTGTGAGGGTGGTCTTACATTACTGTGCCACATCCAAGGCCCGTCCAGGGTTTGTCTGTTGAATGTCTTTTCTTGTTCTTCTTGCGGACTGGGCTTGGTTCCCAGAGGACTAAAGAACCTTTGGGGATGTTCTAGCATAGTGAGTCAGTGAGATCGTTCGTGCAGAGAGGAGAGTATCGACATACCTCTAATAGAGATTCCTGCATGCAAGACTCAGACACAAACATAGGACATCCCTCATCATCATACTCCATCCGACAAATCTGAATAAACTTGCTCTTCTCGCCCTCATCAAAGACCCAATAAAGATCCTCTTCGGGGCAATTAATATGAGAAAACTGCTTCTGCAAAGCCCTAGCAGAAAAGAAGGGATCAAAGCAACCAGGATCCCAAGCCAAATGCTTAGGCCACGCATCAAACAAGGGCCTCAGTGTACAATCGAAAGGCTGAGTCCCCCATGGTAGCAAAACCAATGGATTTTGACTGACAATCATAGGCGCGGCATTCTTTCTACTAGGTGCTAACATCCTAATAGGAAACTCGTCAGGGTGAGCGCCAATACTGACGCGGAGATTTGTCGTTGAATTACTCAGACTTGCAAAGAACTTGAGTCTGATGCGTTCTAGTTTTGATTGAATTGGGATCAGTGAGCGTAGCCATTTTTCGAAGCTCCTCTGGTCCCAATCTTCGGTTTGGGGGAACCATTGTGGTCCAGGCTGTTTTATCGTAGCTGCTGCGTCTCTTTGGGAGTCTATGTGGCGGCCAATCTGTGTCCTTATTGCGTTTAGAGTTTCGTTGATTTGGTTGAGCTCGTCGGATTGGGACTTTTTCTTAGAGATATCATCTTGCGAGATAGGAAGAATGGATGGTGATTTCATGGCTGTTGTTTCATGCTTTCATGATGAGCTTCCAAGCAGGAATACAGATATAAAAGTAGAAGTAAACAGGAGCACTTTACCCAGGCTATGTGAATACGAGTTTACGAGAAGCTATACTGTATAACCAAATCACGGGAACCAAGCTTGGAAACGCCTCAGCTGGGGGCGTTCATCAGATGGCAGGCTGAAATTCTGTGAGGACCAATCAATCTCTAGAGTACTACTCTCTTACATGTTTGTTGGATGTCAAGGTTTTTTCGTAAAATGTCCAATTCGTATTCTGGTGCCCATTTTGAAGCGGTTGTCGGCGATACTCGGTAGCATATGCAAGTCCAGATCACTTTTACTATTATCCCTCGGGTATCAGATACATACTACTGGTATATCCATTTGACCGCGCTGTTGTTGTATCTTTCTTAGAACAAGTGACTTTGGGGTGAATGTGAAGCTATGGAGGTGATCCCAGTTTTGTATTTCACACCACCCCAGAATATATATCTTTGTTGATAATGACAACCAAGGCCCTGTAGAATTGGGCCCAAAAGCCAACTCATAGCACATGGACATTTTGCAAATCTATTTAGTAAGGCATGTTCTTAGATAGCACGACAAGCTAAATGAAGAATTTCAACTTGTTTACAATCTAGAATCTTATAGTTATTCACCGCCTTGCGGACTATTCTGCCGCATGTTAGCCCAGGGTCAAGCTACGCAGCTCGACATCTACTCCGCAATTGCAGCTTCTCCAGCAAAAACCACCCAAGTTCTTCAAGATGCCACCACCAAAGGCAGCCAAGGGTGAATACATCGAAACGGTACGTCAAACTTCGCCAACACCCCAGCTCCCAGCATCTCCCCAACCCGACCCCATACAATCCAATCTAACCAAAAATAACAGGACACAGGCAACAAAATCTCCCGCCGCTCCCAAATCCATGGCACACAACACATTATCCTAGGCGGAAAAACAGTCATCCAAGCTGAGGCCGTAATCCGCGGCGACCTCTTCCGCACGGCGTCAAGCGTCGCAGCCCAAGATCCAAAGAACCCAAGCACACCCCCACCAAACGCACCCAGTGTGGCAATCACCGTCGGTCGATACAGCTATATATCCAAGAGTGCGATTCTGCGTCCCCCGAGCCGTCTCCACCGTGGCATGCACTCGTTCTACCCGCTGAAGATTGGTGACCATGTCTTTGTTGGTGAAGGTGCTGTTGTCGAGGCTGCGTCGTTGGGGAACCATGTTCATGTTGGGAAGGGGGCTAATGTAGGTAGTATGGCTATTATTAAGGACTTTGCTTATGTTCTTGATGGGGCGGTTGTACCCCCTGGTATGGTTGTTCCTAGTTGGTGTGTTGTTGGTGGGCGGCCGGCTAGGATTGTTGGTGAGGTCGGGGAGGGATATGGGGTTGAGGGTGCTGAGGGTGGTATGGCGAGGGAGAGATATCGGGTTGTAGGTAGGCCGTGATTGTTGGATATGTTTATGTGCTTCTTGTGTTTTTGGTGTGCTCTGGCATACTGGTCTTTGTGATACCCCCTGCTGCTTTGTTGCATTTGCATAGTTTGAGATGATTGAATAATATCTATGGATATTCATTTGGTATTGAGGTCAAATGCAGGAACCAAGGTACATGATACAATTGGTTAACGCCCGAGCTCTAAGTAAATTAACGACTAGCCCATCTTGTCGACTTCGACTGCGCGTGTAAGCTGTGGCCCATCTCCTACAGGAAGACCGATTTCCTCGAATGCGAGATCATTGATCCAACGTCCATTAGGCCGGACAGGTTCGCCACGGGATAGCTTCGATGCAAGGTAGAGCCAGTTCAGGGCATTGCCCACGGTACTGACTTCATCGCAAACATGGTGGGTAGCATATTCCGACATACGGCCATACATCTCATCATCCGTCCACAGTTCAAACAGATGCTGTGCCACGGCATCAGTGTCCCCGACATCAACTAGGAAGCCGTTCTTCCCATTCTCGATCTGTAGTGGAATACCACCGGCACGCGTTGCAATCACAGGTTTGCCCTTGTGGATTGCCTCAGAGACTTTAACCTCGAACCCTTCGCGTGTTGATAGCTGCAGGGCGATGGATGCCTTGGACAAGATGGCATTTAAGACCTGATCGGATGGCCTGAGGCGCATCACGCATATCAGATGCCGGATGTCGGGAACATTGTTCTCAAGGTGGTCGATTACTTCGTCGTAAATGAGGGCCCCGTCGGGATCGTCTACCGACCCATGCCCGCAGATCAATAGCTTTGGGGGCACCAGGTCTGGCCGCTCCGATACCAGTCGGTGGTAGAACTTTTCGTAGGAGTCCAGCACATCGAAGATTCCCTTGGACGGATCAAATCTTGAGATTTGCACGATGTATGAGTCTTAACATGTGTTAGACAATAGTGCAGACATGACAAATGAAGAGTGACGCGGGCGTATTGTTCAACTGCTTACCCTCTGGGTATTGGATAGGCGCCATCGCCGCATTCCTGCACGCTGCATTAAAGACACGGCCATAGTGTGCCACATCCCAGTCCCGCATGTTCTTGTTCAGTCCATCCAGCCTACGCCACGTCAGCGAGATAAGGCACGGCTATCGGGTCATTTGTTCCTTACCAGTCGGTTGACGCAGGCATATATCCTACAGATTCTGGTGGTACATCCTGCGGCACAAAGGCGCTCACAGGGTGACTGATAAAGCAATCGGCGAGTTTGATCTGCTTCCATAAAAAGCCCCACGCTTCCGCCTGGGGAGTTCCAGCCTGGGCGACTAGGTCACTTCTAATCTGGATATGACTTCGAAATATGACTGGTCGATTTGGTGCTAGATCTTTGGCAATCGGTATCAGCCCGGGCATCTGTGGATCGTCGACGATGATCACATCTGCACCGCCGTCAGATGGAGCGAGAAGAGGCCCACCAGGGCGGGCCCAGTATCTTTTTGCGTTCTCTTCGATCCAACCTTGCAGCAGTTCCTTGTTCTCTGATGTCAGGCGTTCGTCCGGATGTGCAACACCTTGGAGGATGTTGTGATTTGTTTTTGTGACCCGAAAGACGCCGGGTCGTGGCTTCGGAACGTACCTATGCACGATCAGTATCTCAGTTGGAGATTGGGAATCGGTATAGGTACCATTTGATATCAGTGCCAAGAGAATGAGAAAGTCGCACGAGCGCATGCCGCATCAAAGCCACACCTCCACCCTGAGGCGTTGCGCTGAAAAATGCAATTTTCACCTCGCGTTCTTTCAAATCAGCGGTGTAATGTTCTAATGCTGACCAGTTTCGACTGGAAACAGTGTTCTTGAAATCGTCTAAGTCCGCTAAGCGCACATGAAAGGCTGTGTCTACTTCCACAAGACCGAGGAAGCCAACTTGTAACAAGGGAATATTTTCTGGTCCAAACAACCTCACACACTTGCGTGCCATAGATTCGGCTTGCTCATCAACGGCTTTTTGACCCCACGCACCTGCTGCAGACGGACCCCGAGCCTCGATCAACTGACCGACACTTACCCTCTCCGCCAAGGCCGATTCCGACAGAACCAATGGAATGATATCGAGTTCGGCCCAGAGACGAGAGCAGAGTACTGGACAGTGGTCGGCGACATGTTTAGGCATTGCCAAGCCGACAATCTTCTCTAGATATTCCTTGGAGTAGTGCTTCAACTCGGATATGATGAAGTCAGTTGCTTCTCGCGCACATGCCGGGCCATCTGTAAAGTCCTTCTCGATGAAATCCAGTAGATAGGTCGTGTCGCGAAGTGCAATTGCAATCAGTGATGTGTGATGATTTGAGAAATAGCTGGAGACACCCGCGTAAATGATCTATCATGAGTTAGTATTGGCATCTTCGTCGCCAGTATCAGCCACTCGTACATCAGATGGCGGTCCCAGCCAAGCATTGCGCTCAAACTGCAACGACAGCCGACGCTGCTGGGCCACTGAAGCGTGGCGCTCGAAACTGCGTTTATCGCATTTATTGTCTGGCATAGTGCTACATGGAGGAAATGAAGGAGGATGACATAGGACAAGATTCTACGGGTGACTTCATATGGTGACGTAGAAACCGCAGACATAACCACGGTAGCTACTTGCAACAATGACACGGGTCAAAATCAGCATCCTCCAGTATAACAATCAACACAGATCAACACATAACAACATGATCAACAGTATACAGTGGAACCCACGAGGTGCTGGTTTCACCTCGTGGGCTGAGTCAGCCAAGCCCCTTTTCCCCCGCCTCAGGGAAATTGGAGGCCGATCGGATCTCTTCTTCTTTTCCTCCATTCTTTGACACTGTCTCTTAAGCGAATTTCTATACTCAAGCCCAGTGCTCAGTTGCACTTACGCGGGTCCCAATTGTTGACATCCCGCTCTCTCAAATTCCTGATCTCCAAACACCGCTTCCAATCTCGCCAACATGGGTGGACAAGTATCCAAGATGATGGGGAAGATTTTTGGCACGAAGGAGATGCGTATCCTCATGCTGGGTCTAGATGCTGCTGGAAAGACAAGTATGATCCCAGACCCGTCTCAATTGAGACGCGGACAAATGTTGGCTAACACCTGTTCTCTCCCAGCTATTCTCTACAAACTTAAACTCAGCAACCAGGATGTGACTACCATTCCTACCGTCGGATTCAACGTCGAGAGCGTGACATACAAGAATGTCAAGTTCAATGTCTGGGATGTCGGTGGTCAGGACAAGATCCGACCCCTTTGGAGACACTACTACTCCGGTACACAAGGATTGATCTTCGTGGTTGATTCTAGCGACACGGCACGTATGGAGGAAGCTCGCTCGGAGCTGCACAAGATCATCAACGATCGCGAAATGAAGGATGCTTTGCTTCTCGTGTTTGCCAACAAGCAAGATATCGGTGGCCGTACGTATCGCGCATCTCTGATTGGATGTTCGATTCACTAACAATGTCTAGACTTGAGCCCCGAGGAAGTCACCCAGCAGCTTCAGTTGACCAAGCTCAAGGATAAGCTGTGGTACGTTGCACCCAGTGTCGCGACAGATGGCACAGGTATTTTCGAGGGACTGGTAAGTTATACTCTTCTTCTGTTTGTTTACAAGGTCTAACGTCATCGCAGGCCTGGCTCTCAAACAACGTCAAGACCCAACCCCAGAAATAAGATGCTCGTGGTGATCTCGAGAGGCGCTCCTGGAGCAGCTTCGTTGTACAACATCTCGCATTTCCTCTTCATGTCCGTGTTTGATGACAAGACGACGTAGCATTTGGGCTTTTATTTTCTTGATGTTTCCTTTGTGGCCTTTGTTATCTCGTTGCCTGTTTCATTGTCTTACCTTCACTTCTATGATATCCCCTCCGTTCTTATATGGGCTTGTTGGGTCCAATTTAATCTTTTAATCTTACCTTGCTTGATATCGGGCGATACCATTGTTTAGTCTGCCGGGGGTATTTGGAGAATTTGCGAGAGGAGAACTACAATTTGGTAGAAATGGACATGACATCCTTTTGACTAGCCATCTCGTCATTAGATCTGACGATTTAGTTCCCGCGGAGCCAAGCTCCGCTTGATCCATGGCCATGGATTACCTCGGGGCTACCCTTGATTGTATAGGTCAATGCCTATGGAGAATCCACTTGGAGAACACAATTATTAGCAACAAATGACACTGAACACCCGTGTCAATGTGACGACGGCGGAAATCTTTCCCATACAGATTACACTATAAGTAAGACCGCACACCAGCGCAGCCGCCAACAATACTAACCTAATGTTGAGAATCCTGTTGAAACAAACATCAACAAGATCGCCCGAAAAATTCCTCATTCACTATCTACATCTCACCATCCCACTGGAATCGAAATCGAACTCAAAACAAAAGCCATGCCCAACTACGAGAAAGGACAAAAGGTCAACTACAGACCCGTCGGTGGTATGATATATTTACCCTCTCGCCTCTCTTGTTCAATTGAATTAGAAGCATAAGCTGATAGACAGCATCACAGGCGCAGACTCCAAAACAAACAAAAGCGTCGGCATAATCCGCGATATCAGTACCAGCAACACAAACTTGACTGGCCGGTCTGTTTCTGCTTCGGATGATATGCCTCGGTATGAGATTGAGAATGTGAATACTCATAAGAGGTCGGCTATTAAGGAGTGTAACATTGACGGGCCGGCGGAGTAGGGGCGAGGCCATTGTTTCCTTAGTATCTAGATCAATGGAGTATGGTTCGAATTATCTAGATCCATGGAGTGTGGTTCGATATATCTAAATCTCATCCAATCTCATCGATTTTAGGAATGTAAACTGCTTTGACATTGACCCTTCCTAGAGAAAGATGAACGTAGCCTCTTGCCACGTCAAGGTATAAGGTATGATTTGCACGGCCATCTAGCGTCATTCGTGTCATGGGGACCTTGGGATGCTCTCTAAAGGCTTAAGACTGCCTTGCCCCTCTCTATCTGACTTGTTTAATCCCTCATTATCATCCGACATTCTTTTTCTCTACAAGCCAAGAGTCCATCCTACCCTATCAACACCCCATGATATGAAAGTTCAACCCGATCAATTCAAACGACGCTCGTTGACTATCCCAGAATAAAAACGTTAAGTGGGCATTCAAAAAGATAAATCATAACCTTCGTCCAGACCTCCCAAGAAAAACACGCTGCAAACCAAGAGGTCCCAACCCGATCACATATGTTGAAAAGCAACCGAGAATGCTAGACCCCCCCAGTCATGATGAAAAAGAGAAAAATGTACAAGAAACAAGTGTTGGGTAGGTCATCATACTAAAACAGCCTAAGCCTGGTTAGGCCAGATATCATTGGCGATATCGCGGACCAACTTGAGCTTGTTGATCATACCATCCCAGTCAATAGCATTACCTTCACGGTGCGAAGCAAATCCACACTGAGGACTAACACCAACCTGGTTAAGGGCAGCATCGAGAGAAATGTTGTTACCCTCAGCAATGAACTTGGCGGCATCAATGACACGGGTCTTCATCTCCTCCTTGTCCTCCATAGTAGCGAACTTGGATGTGACAACGCCCAGGATGACGTTCTTGTGCGTGGGTAGGAACTTGAGAGGCTCGAAGCCGCCGGCGCGGGGGGTGTCGTACTCTAGGTAGTAGGTGTGCACGTTCAGCTCTTGGAAGAGCTTGATGGCGATGCGGTCGTAGCCACCTTCGGAGAAGTGGCGGCTGCCGACGAAGTTGCCGCGGCACAGGTGGACACCGACGTGCAGGTCGGCTGGGATGTTGGCGACGATGTCATTGTATTGCTTGATATACTTCTCGAACATGTCGTCGGCGCTGTACACGTTCAGGAAGTCTTCCTTGAAGCCGTTCAGGAATTTGTCGGAGCAGAAGTCTGGAGTTTGTTAGTCTTTGGTGGGTTTAATGTTTGATGCATGGGATATATCTTACAGGCCAGGTTAGGGTCGTCGAACTGCACGTTGCGGCAGCCAGCGTCATACAGGATCTTCAGCTCGGCCTGGTAGGCCTTGGCGATGTCGCCGAAGTAGTCCTCATCGTTGGTGTACACGGACTTGGGGTAGGCTTTGCCCTCACGGTAGCGAAGGTGGTACCAGTTAGGGGCGGCGAGGGTGATCTTCAGGTTGCCGACCTCCTCGGCGGGAACCTGGCTGGCGAGGTACTTGAACTGGTCGATGTAGGTGCTGCCAACGTGCTTGATCTTGCCAGTACAGATGACACTCTCACCGGGCTTGTGGCCGGCCTCGAGGAAAGCAGCAATATCAGGGGCATAGGGACGGAAGTCGTCGACATCGACGTTGTTCACCTCCTCGAAGCCGTCAAGACCGGGGAAAAAAGTTCCCCAGAACACTATGACTGTTAGTTGTACTCGGCTGAAAATCTCTGGAGCTCTCACTGTGGCGGCGGTACTCGCCGTCGGACAAAGCAGCATATCCGAGCTTTTGCTGGGTTGCAACAATGTCCTTGACCTCCTTGTCCTCAACGGCAGTCAATTGAGACTCGGGGATCTTGCCGGCTTCAAAAGCGAGCTTGGTGTCCAAGAGCTCGTTGGGGCGCAAAAGCGAGCCAAGGTGCTCAGCGCGGAAAGGAGGACGCCGGTGAAGTTGAGGAGCCATGGTGAAGTATGAAATCAACTACTGACAGATGGTAAGTGATGATTCAACGTATGAATCAGATGGAACGTACCTGGGGATCTGAGACAGAGAATATCTGGAGAAGGAAGAAAGAATTCGGGGAGAGCCAGAAAAAGAGAGGGGCCGTTCATCCATTGCCAATTCATCCGTATACGGTTGCCCCACTGACCTGAGGCTCTCCACACTCCCTCGCCTATAAAACTTGGTCCATTTGATACTCCGACTCCGATCTCGCCGATCACTGGGATCTTTCGGAAATTTGAGCTCTTTGCCATTGCACATAGCACTTATAGATTGCCCCAGCATGCCGATATAGGAGCTCACTGCAATATACTCCAATGCGGGGACGTATTCAGAGCGTTTAGTTCTTGGCCTGGATATAGTGCACGGGCCACATGGGGGATTCCCGAACAAGCTTCTTGATAGTCCACTGCACCCGTTGGCTCTGTAACTCGACGCTACTTTACATATCCAATTCTTCTAATTCTCCAAATCTTTTGAAGCCCACCGTTGTAACATCTTGGAGAACATCCCCGGCTGAGTCACGGATGACAAAGAGCCAAGTGGAGGCCCCAGCAAAATCAAGTGGGGAAACCGGCACTTGACGTTGTTCGTCTTTCCCGACAACGTCTCGACTCTATAAGTGTCATGTGATGATGATATCCAGTGATGTCTGCTTTTTCCCCAGTAGAGCTCCTTCCCAATGAGCTCTGGGACCAGATCATAGGATATCTTGAAACAGAGCCACCGTCGGCAAGACGACTACATCATGCACCGAGTTTACAACTGACCGAGTCTCCAACAAAAGACCTCAAGCATCTGTCCCAATGTTCATCAGGCTTCCTCCAGCTCGTACGACCTCTGCTCTTCACACATGCTCGTTTGGAACTACATGATGAACCGGACTTCCACTCCTTCATGACTAAAGCAGACCTCACGCGACATGTTACCTCTATCATCATAGCAGTTGGAGAAGACAGTCCGGATCACCGAGCAGACCCATTCTGGTGGCGTCAGGTTCTCTGCTATCTGGATCCTGCTCATATCATGGTCTTAGCGCCGCCAACATTCATCGGTGAGACCATAGGCAGCCCGATCATGGATGGCCATAGCTGGGCATTCGATATCCCCCTCCAGATCCTAGATATGAAACGACAATGCAGATTTGACAGCTCGCACAAGTTACCAGACTTGAAATCGTGCACTAGTCTGCTACGAGCTCGTCCCTGGACCTCAATCACCTTCAATGAGTCATCTTCTTTAAAAGCATACAACCACTACGAATACTTTCTCTCCTGTGTCCCATCCATCCTCAGAGAATGGGGAATAATGCGCGGCGAAGGCCACAACATGCCGCTTCAACGGCCAAAGGATTTACCCCTGCTATTACATGGCCTAAGCACCTTCTCTTACACGGCCGTCTTCCCATTCTACAACCACGTGCAAATCGTACTCGATGCCGTCTTGAGAATGGGCTCTCTAAAGCGTCTTGATGTACAACTGGCGCCTGATCGAAATAATCATGTCACCGAGATTGAACAACGAGGCTCTATGGATGCCAATGATCCGTGGATGGAGCTTGCGACTTCATATTCTTTGATTGGGTTTACTGTCCGCCAAATGGGGAACTTGAAGGAGTTCAGATCGGGTGATTTACATGTGGAGGCTGTTCGGGATGATCTGCTTGCGAATTTGAACGATGTCATTGGTGACGGGGGCTGGGTGCATGATGGCCGTGGAATTTGGAAGCGTAACTAAGCTTGGTTGATTGCATTGTGATACCTACGTTCAATAATTTGGAAATATTGAATCTGAGCTATATACTTTAACCTGGCATTTTGTGATTACTTGTGATGTCAAAAGATGTTGCTACGTTATACATTGAGCCAAGAAGCGGTGGGTCTTGCGCTCCCGCACTTCATCTCTTCCTGCCATCCACCAGTCGTTGCTACGCGTAGTAGGTCCACCTAATGTCACGACTGATGGGAATAAAACGCAGACTTGTGAACAGGTAGCAATGACTTCTAACACGAGCGTTTATGCAGCGGAGCCTGCATTGCCAGTCCTGGCCGATTCCCTACTCCACCAGTCAGAATCGAGCACCAAAGAACCCGCTCCCCAAGCCAATATCCCTGCTGCAAATAACGACTGGAACCTAAGAGACGATTGGAAAAGAGGTATTCAAAAAGACAACAAAAGTGTCTTCCGCTGCGGCACAGTCCTCGGATTCTCCAGGTTACGAGGAAGAAGCGATGAAACACACGAATACATCGGCGAGGTATAACAGTTCCATCTCCAAACCCCAAATATCCACTGAAGCTAATAGACGCAAGATCCCCCGCTATCTGCTAATAGCTCATCTCCGAAATATAACCCAACACAAAGAGCCAAGCACATTCATAATCTACCCCGGCAACTTTGACGCCTTCGATCCGCAAAACCTCTACGACGATCTAACATTACCAAAAGACCAAGACCAGCAAGCCCTCTCAGAAAAAGAAGCAATCCAAAAAATGGACACAGTACAGCTCCTAGCAGTCTCAGATTTCCACGAAGCAGCACAAGCCATACGACAATATTCAGACGTGGTAGACTCACTCGAGCAAAAGCGTCAAGAAGCGCGAAATAATCCAAATAGCGTGAACCATTCATCCAGTTTTGATCCAATCATGCTACTAGTCGTTGGACTGGATTACCTCGTTGAAGGAATAATCCGCGCTTCGAATTCTGGGAAGGGCGTGGCTATGTTGACTGCCGCGCTGCGTTCTCTGACAACGTTTTCGAGGATTCATGAGTCTTTTCTGTCTATTGTTCTTGTGAACATGAATGGATTGGGACCGTACAACCCGGATTGGGGTGGCTCTCACTCTTATCTGAACGGGAATATGAACGTGAATACGAATTCCCGTGATGATAGTTCTAAAGCTCTCGACTATGCCATCCACTCCGCGTTTCATTCTGAGATTCGCTTGTTCCCGAATATGCTTATGAAAACACTGGATCAGGGGACTGATACGCATTTCCTTGTTTCAGATGTTCGACGAGCTCAGGTACTTGAGGTTATTAAGGATCGGGTTGGGGGAAGTCTTGGGAAATGGGGAGTTTGGAATGAACACCGGGAGATTTTGTATTAGTTACAAGAAGAGGGCATGTCTAGCTTGATGTATCTTGATGCAATCAATGCAAATATTCATGATCTTACAAGAATTATCCTGAGACAACAGATGCACCCCCTGGTGAGTAAAGTAAAAGCGCCGGTTAACATGCAATAGGCCCCAGACAAGGCATTAAGATATGCCCTCGCTGCCAACAAGAGCAGCAAAATATGATAACCCGCGAAAAGAAACAACTCCAGCCCCAACCTATGGATCTTTTGGTAAACCTCCCCTGCAGTGATAAAAAGGAAATAAAGCTTTTGTTGTCAAAGGCCAAGTAAAGGTGACCTTAGAAAGGAAAAAAAACGACCATCTCAGAGTGTGTTATCCTTCTCAGCCCATTTTCGCATAACACCCCTCTCAACGACAGATTTCGCCTCTTCCTCGCACTTGGCAAGATCCTGCGCTGCAGTCTCCTCTTCGAAAAGAATATCCTGCTGCTGAACCTTTATCCATTGCTTATGTCTCTCGCACCGCTTCTTGGTGCAGACGCCTTGCGTCAAGGCTGTAATGCTGGGGTCTGCTTCGCTGTCCATGGCTGTATCGCCGTCTGCATCAGTGGTAGAACGATAGCCTGCAGCCAAGGCTTCGACTGTACCCTCTGCCAGAGCCCTCTGTCCAGATTTCGAGAGTCGCCATTCGTCGAATTCCTGGTCGGACCAGGAAAGTCTCGAGTCGAAACCGCAGATATCTTTCCATCCGCCCTTTGGTTCGTGCTGTTTTAATCTTTCCACGATGCCTTTTGCTCGGGGGCGGAGGAGGGATACGAATGTTGAGCGTGCAGTGAGCATTTCTTTGCGGTGGATTAGTTCTTCGTGTTGTTTGCGGAGTTTTTCGATCTTGGCGATTTCGTCGGGTGAATATTCTGTGCCTTCGGCATAGACATCGACGCTTAACCATTTGCCGCTCTTTGACTGCGAGGCGCGGTTTTCATCGGTCGGGCTGGATTCTGTCTCGTCGGCTTCTGGTGGGGGGAGACGATTCGGTCTCCGAGAGTCCGGAATTCTTGTGTGGATGATACGCCCATGATGGCGGCTTTCAGGTCGCCGGCTGTGAGAATACCACCCATGCTACCCAGGTCTTCGAAGCGGCCCTTTGTCTGACCGGCCTTGGTCTTGAGCTGTTGGGTCTGCTGGCGCATGAACTCTCGGCCATGGTCATCAGAGCAGTATTTGCTCGGGTTGTTTCGCGTGACGCGCGCGGGTTTGCGGCATTCGACTAAACGGCACATTGGTTTCCATGTCGTGTATCCCTTGCCCTCACTTGCACACCTCGGGCCTGTTTCAGGGTTAGCTTTTATCATGCAAAACGTGGTGCGAATGACTTACAGATGTACCGATCGATCAGTTCAGCATCCCGAGGGTGCATGTTGACACATTTTCCATGGTACCAATCGTCACAATCGCCGTCGCATCCAATCATCCAAGTATGATTATCAGGTCGGCGGCAAACACAAAAGACTGCATTTTCGTCAAAGTCTTCATCATCATCTTCGGCGGCTGCCTTGGGTCCCTTCTTTCTAGACCTTTTCTTCTCTTCAGGTGCTGGCGAGCCTGCTATCGAAACGGACCCTTGTTTCTTTCCAGGAGTCTTGCTGGTCCGAGAGACTGGTGTATTGGAACGGCGCCCATCGACGCTGTCTGCGTCTGGGTCGGCCACCTTCCGCTTTTTTGGCGCAGGCTTCTTGGCAGTTCCTTTCTTCGCAGCGCTGCCTGCGGGCTTTTTGTTTGATAGCTTCACCGAGTTTGCTGGCGATGATCGGTCGGACGAGGATGCCCTCGACGTCAGCCCATGCTTCAAATCAGAGACTTTCTTCGATGTAGGCCAGTCATCTGGGCCATCAAGACCGACCGACTTGGTATCGAAGTCATCGTTGTCGGGGAATCTGTCCAAAGTAGAGCTTGTTGGTTCAGTTTTCACGGAAGGCAGAGCTGTATCTTGATTTGCGACTAGCGGAGCACTTTTGGCGGGGTCATAAGCTCCATCGTAGAGGTCAGCCCAGGTGTCTGCCTTTTCGGAGCTGCCGCTGCTGTTATGAGATACATCTCTGAAGAGGCGGTGGACCTTGTGAGATCTGATGATGCCAAAATACCCGCATTGTCGCCAACCAGCAATTCCCACGATTCGATCATCTCGGACGATAATGTTGCTTCGAATCAAGTCATTGTGTGTTAGGCACAGTTCCTCGTCCTTGCCTTTTTCTGTGAACAGGATATCTCGCTCGCGAGGTTCGATGGAGGGCGGTGTCTGGGAGTTGAGTGCGGACGATACGTAGGAGGGTTCGTTGGAGGGCGAGTCAATGGTACTGAGGACCTGTAAAATCTGACGACACTGATTCTTTAGGACATCAATCTGATTTGTGTCAAGATATCTCCATGCAACGTCCAGCGAAACTCCCGGAATTCGAGACTCAATTGTGACATTCCTCTCCTCGATCTTCCCGCAAAAATATGTCACAGGCACTGAAACACCGATTCCTCGTAGCGCATCCTCAGCCTTGCGCGCCGCAGATAACTCATTATCATTGGCGCAAGTGTATCTCTCCGACATATCACCATCTGCTAGCTGGCGGTCAACCCAAATGATTATACTACCAGCAGCGAATGCCTCCCTCGGTCCCGAAATGTGAAGCGAATGGTCCGGGGTACAATATTTCTGCGCAACGCCCTCCCAAAACGCGTTCACCTCCGGGTCGGGCTGATACCACTGCATGAAGCGAGGAATGAAATCAGTATCGCTCGGCGCATAGCGGCCGTATTGCGCACTTTGAGCGAGAAATGGGTCGTCATTGGGGATGCGATTAGGTCTTGTTTCGTAGGGATTTGGCGTTTGCGTGGGCGTCGCGGACCCGTTCATATGGTTTGCGCCGGCTGCCTTCATATCCGCCATGTTGGATTTGTCGAGTGGAATCCAGAAGCAGGATTGCGCGTTTCAAAAGATAGTTTGATTGACGCTGTAAATGCGCGTTTTGCGGATACTTGCGAACGTTTCGGCCGGGTAGGAAAAGGCGCGGGCAGAAAGCTAAACCGATACAAGTTTCGCAGAGAATGCTGGAGGCATTATGGAAATTGCATCGGGGATATAAAGTCTCGCGGTCTGTCTGTAGGTTTTGAAGATCACGAAATCTGCGGTTTTTGGGTGGTTGGGTGGGAAATTGTTCGGAGGACGTGTGTTGATGTCGGATTCTGGGGCGATCCCACTGTCGATCGGAGAGATCAGTCTGCTCCAATATCGTCGGGATGGTATGGTCTTGCTGGATATGAGATGTGAAGACCCGAAAAACACCTCTGGAATATGCAAATCCTTTGAACTGAGCTTGGATATATGACCTGTGACTTGAATCTGGAGAACATTATCGGAGTTGCGGAGCTCAGGGACTGAAAGCAAAGGCGGTGAGCACATCCCCGACACGCGACAGCGACTCATCTCGACCATGTACACATTCACACACTCACCAATCCTCTTAATTTGTTGCGTGAGGACAATGTACCACCTACGCTCCTTTGGCTAATAGGTATCTAACTGCCGAACCAAATACGGTCTCTGGGTATTCCTCTGGCGAATGTTTCTCTTCATTTGTTCACTTTTCGTTCATTCCCAGTGCGAAGGCAAACGTCTGATTTCTACTAGCAATGTTGCTACTAACTGTCCCCGTGACTCGGAACTTTGGTTAATTGACCAGAGTTAAGAAAAGTACCTGAACACCAATAGACTTCACGCTTACCAGAAACTCGGCCACGAACTTCCTCCAGAAGCCTCCTGCGGCGTGACGTCAAGTCTCGAGATGGGAACACTGGGACCAAGGGATACATTGCGCATGAGCCATCCCGTGCTCATGTCTCACAGTAGCCCCGGACTCATCAACGTTTCCGAGACGTGCCCTGGACCCCTTCCCGCTCCGCGATCGTTCGAAAGTTTTTGGCCCCATAAGCAATATACACGATTGGACGGGATGACACAGGGCGGGTCAGTGTATACTGTAAGCAACTACATCGCGATAGCCGACATGCAGGTCCTTGTCTCAGCTTTCTATTCTAAGCACGCTGACGGTTTGAGTGGCGTTGATGGGCTGTCCCCCACTGACACCGGTCAAACCAGGGCCATTGTCCCGGAAAAGCATATGTACCAACCCTTGTACAATCCTTGTACATCGCAACCTTGTTTCATTGTCGGTGTGTATGGTCTCAGCTCTACCTGTGGCCCGACGGAATGCCTGTGAAGCAACAGCCACAGTGGGCTCCGGGGGCTTGCAGATGAATTGGCCGCAGTACATATATTGGCCGGATTACAACAACACTTGATCCCCGTTGACCATCATTGACTGACCTTCCAACTGGCTTTATCACCCACAACCGGATCATACTCGGGCCCGATTATTGCAAGGCTGGGACTTGTCCTCCGCGCAGACCTACAGGGGCTCTGCCTTGCAACACTAGAATATTCAGGGCCGAATCGTCACTGTGGACACCGGGAAACTCTATAGTGACACCACCTTCAAGTGAGACAAGTTTAGCGAGTGGCGTTGCATTTTAAAAGCACAGTAATATCAGGGCACTTTCGCATGAACACCCCTGCCAAAGATATACACGATATCCACATGGTCTGAAATCTACAAGACCGGCAGCGTAACCATGGTATTTGTCTCCGGTACGGGGAACGGAGAATCCGAAGGAATTAGGATGTCTGCAGCGATCCATATAAACTGGTGATCAACCAAAACTATGCCTAGCATGGTATGTCGTGGTGGAGACAAAGTAAGATTCAGTGGGGGCGGAGACTTGGCAATTTGATACTATACATGTACCTGGCAATAGAAAGATATTGCTCTGAAACAGTGATCAGGATGGACTGAAATATTCCAGTCTGCTCCAATATGTGAACCCGACAGTATGGGGCGCTTACGGCTCATCTCTAGCGCAATGAACGTATGTTAGTCCCGATTAGGTATGCTCTACGACCGTTGCCCGGGACAAGAATAGCACTTTTACATGTAGTCCTGCCGCACAGAAGCCCCAGTAGTCATATGCCACACTCGAACCCTTGCATCCCTACAACGCGGTACACCCCAGGGCTGAGCATCCCATTGCTGATCAGTGCCAAGACCCAACCCGACACTAACGGAATCCGCCCGAGACCCTATACAGCTAAGCTCTCCTACGCCTCCACTTCCAGTGCTATTCGCCAACTGAAACGTTCAAAGAGCACAGGCAGTCTGCCAAAGACATTTGACTGTTGCCCAACTCCTGTGCAGTTGTCCTGCATTTCCCGCCAGTTTCCGGGATACGCCTCCAGTGGAGTGGCTCTAAAATGTGGACTGCATCGGAACTAACCCGATTTGGGAAAGGAAGGGCGAGAGTCGATTTCGTCACATTTTGGACTCGGTGAGATCAGACACAGCGACTCCAAAAACACCAGTTCACGTTCATTTTTATGCTATTACTGCATGACTCGAGCCGAACCGTCTCATCCGGCCTCTAATTTCGGCCCACACGTGTCGGCATAAATAGGCCACTATTCCAAACTTGTTTAGTTCGGTCAAAGTAGCTTAATCACCGGTGGGGAGAACCCCCTGCCCGTGGATCTTGTGTCTCACAATTCTGACTTTTCCGTTCTATATTCTCTACTCACGTCCTGAGAAGTCCTTTCTATCTGTCTCCGCCTTTTTATGTACGGACGTTGCGCTCGGTTCGCCGATCCACCCGTTTTTATCAATCTATCCCCAGCTGCCTTCTTTCCCTGGCTTGTTCCTATCTCCTCTCTAGAAATATGTCCAATCCAGATCAACCCAGCTCTAGCAATCAGGACTCAGGCAACATGCGGTGGCAATTCATCGACTCGTCTAACAATAGTCGGACCAATTTGACCCAGGTCAAGCGCCATGTTATGCAAGAATATATGCGCCAGAAGAAAGGCGGCAGTCGCCAGAGTGAAAGCGAAGAGGAAACTCCACAACCCAAACGGGGGCGACCGAAGAAGACTCGCGCTTCAAAGCGAAATATTGAAAAGAAGTCCAGGGCAGGCAGCAAGGAGAGGAAAAGCCCCGCCAAACAGGATGAGGCCCCACCGACAGAGGACGAAGACATTGAAGAAATCAACCGCAATACGTCTACTCAACCCATCACGTCAAATTCTCTGTTCAGTCAGGAGGAGGAAGTATTTTCATTCTTTCCTTTTCGACCCTCTCCAAAGCAATCTCATGCTGTCATCGCGCCACATGAATACTTTGACACATCCCCACAAAGCACTCGAAGCCATGGTCTAGATTTCAATAGCCTCCCCTCTTGGTCATCTGCGCCGACAACGCCGTATGAGCTCGTGCATTCACCGAAGACAATCATGAGTGCAGCTCGAACAGATCCATTCAACACTCTTCCTGTGGATTTGGATCTAGATGGGCAGAGATTATTTGATTTCTACGTGAACACCATGCCCGCGTGCTCCTACGGATCTCATTTCCGGTCGCCCAAAGCACACAATTGGTATACTGCCGTCTTTGTACCGGAAGGGATGAAAGGTGCCGTTGCTTTCCAAAATACCATCGTCGTTCATGCGGCAAATACATGGGCCTGGGTGCGCAACGAGAGCGAAACGGCAGATACACTTTTGCATCGAGATCGCGCTGTTACTATGCTTCGCGAGCACCTTTCCAACAATCCCCGTGACATCTCCGATGTCGCAATCATCTCGTGCCTCAGCGCCGCAGCCCTAGAAGACTTTGACCCAAGGCCAGGCCACAAGGAGATCAGCTGGGTCCACATGCGTGCTGCCCGCGAGATGATTAGAGCCCGGGGCGGCCCCGCTGCGTTTGCATATACCCGTCTAGGCAAGCTCATCAATTGGCAAGATTATATCCTGTCCGGGTATGAAACCCATGGACCAAGTTTCTTTTACGAATATGAGCGACCAGCTCCCATCGCCTCCGAACAACCCCACCAATCTACCCAAAACCTCCACTCGATGCCATCACCGCCATATTCTACCTCCTCCGCTCTCGACCTCTCACCGAGTCCGGAACCAAAAACCCAACCCACATTCCCACCTCCCACAACAATAACCCCAGTTGAAGAACTCAAGCTTCAATGCGAAGAGTTCCTTGACTTCCTTCGTCGCTGCGAACAACTCTCCTTATATCAACGTGACAATCCTGAATCATCTCATCTAACCCGCCAAACCGCCGTCCAAGAAGCATCCATCCTCCATCAAGTTCTCTCCGCACCCCCAGGTGCCCGTTTCACCTCCGTCGGAGACAGGAAACAAATGGTCGCCCGCATTACAGCGTTAATAATACTCAACGCCGCACTCTGGGACTATCGATATACGCCCGCCCGTGCAAGCATGTTCCTCAGCACACTCGAGAAAGCAATGATCGACAGCGAAGTAGGAATGAGCGGCTCCGTCGAAGCAATTCTTCAAATCCTATTGGAATGCAACGATGGCTGCGTACAGGTAACTTCAGCTGCTACGGTCGAAGATCTGCCCGACTTCTCACAATACGGACCGACGGCTCATTCGCCTGCTGACCGTCCGTGGTACGCTGGTCGCATGTTGAAGATTGGGAAGCGGTTGCGTGCTAAGTGCTGGTATCGAGTTAGCGATTTCTTGTTCTCATGCCTGACGTTGCAAGTGCGGGAGCCTTGTATGGCTCTTTGGGAGGCCGATCTTCGTCAGGAGATTCTTGATGCACCTTTGACCAGTTATCTTATGCGCTCATTGATTGAGTGATTATACTACGGTCTTTTCCTTTCATCTATATTATATGCATGGCTGTGTGTCTGGAAAGCATTGCCATATGGTCTAAGATCGGTTTGGAAATTTGGGGATATTTCGGGTTTATTTTGACACTCCTCGTATACGACAAGGGTTTCTTTATATGCCTTCCATATTATTATCGACGGTACCCTTTTAATGATTGATGATATGGGAATCATGTGAGATACAAAATCACTTTCTGATTTCTTAAGCGCCATTTACTGTCGTACGACGTCTGTAAATGAAATATCAACAACATGATATCCACCAACACTCATTGCATCACATCCTTCATAACATCACCAATAGCCTCAGCACCCCCACCGCCTCCTAACAACTTCTCATTCTTAGCCTGAATAACAATACGCCGATAAGTCGTCAAAGCAGGAACCCCATTATCTTTCACCTCCAAAATAAGATGTAGCAACTGGCCCGTAGCAATAGCCTCACGACTAATAAGCTCAACACAACACTTCCCAGGAGGAGGCATCTGAACCTCAACAACACTCCCAGCCTCATTCAAAGGCTTAACCCCGAGTTCCCCAACCTCATACTTCACAGCCCACTGAGTCGCACTCGGCTCCTTATACTGATACCACTTGAACGTAAGCGAATCCTCAGGGTCAGGATCATAAGAAGCGGAAGCATCAAGCCGGAACACCGCCCCAGCCTCAACCTCCAGCTCCAGCGGCGCAGGGCCAGAAGTCCTATTAACAATCGCCACAGGATGATGATTCGCATCCCTCAAGTCAGAAGAAAGAGACCACTGCATCCTAGCCGCAAAATCAACCTGGAACGCCTCCCTCCAGCGCCAGATAGTCGCATGATTAGACTGAAAGCTCCGCCCATCGAGTCCAACGACCTCATCAGCAGTGTCACTATAATGCCCACTCACCCCAGACCCACCACCATGCGTAGAAACATACCTCCCACCCCATCCCCCAAACCCAGGCTTTTCAGGCACCCCAAGCCCATTCTGAATGAGATAAAGAAACGTAGGCGTGTCCCCCTCTGGAATAAACATAAAGTCAGGATAACAACCCCCAAACACCCCAATCTGAATATTCTCCTTAATCCACCCGGCACTAATCATCCTCGGATCAGGACCCCCCTTATCAAACCCATACCACCCATCCCCCGAAATTCCCGTCCAAGTCGCATTCCCATATTGGTTCCAGCCGTGCACAGAACAGATGTAGAATAGATCTGGGTAGGTCGTTCTTATCCAGAGACCTGTGTCATCCTGATCGGAGATGGCGTAGATGCGGAGCTTAGCGCGCAGCTTTGCGGAGTCTTCTGGGCTGTGGGTTTTGCTTAGGTGCAATAGGGCGGAGGCTAGCACGTTTGTTCCACCCCAGCAGAGGATCCAGAGCGGGTCGTTCTTTGTATCGTTTTCTTGGGTTGTTATGCGCTCTAGCAGGGCTTGTGCGCCTTCGCTCAGGGCAACGGTGTCGCCTACGGCTGTCATGCCGTAGCTCTGTGGTTGGGGTTTGATTAGAGGAATTCAGACTTTTTGGGAGGTTGTGAGGTGGGACGGTACCTCTGCACCCTTTTTAATGAGGGATCTTAGGTGGTCCGCTGTTGGGTATGGATCGTCTGGATGGGCGTGGGCATTGAGGTTTTCCACTACTTTCTCGTAGCCGTCGACTATCTTGTGCATGTCCTGTGGACAGACTTTGTTTTTCATCCATGTTGATGTACAGGCGGTAAGACCCTCGGTGCGGAGCTGATTTGAGTACAGTAGGTAGCGGACTAGTGACTCTGCGTCGTCTGGTTCGTTTGAGATGTCGCTGAGGATGAATACGCGGGGTTTGGAGGGGAAGGATTGGAGTTTGTCTTGAGATACCATGGCTGTGGTCGGTGACGGGAAAGAATAAGAATCTGCTCGTCGGATTTTGGTCACTACTTATTCATTGTTTCCAGACGGCTTCGTCCGGGGAAAGCCCAAAATAGTAATTGTAGCCACTTCGGCCTCGTGCGGAGAACGTGGGGAATTGCCGAAGTTCAGCCGGTTCAAAGCAGCAGCTGTAACCGCCACTAAGCCAAATCATTTCTCCTGGGTTTGGCTTCTTGGTTTGGTGTATGAATGGGAATCATTAGCGAGGTTAATTCTAGTTCCATGGAGGTTGTTTAGCGTGGTTCTGTTTATCAAATCCACATCATGTATATGTATCCAGGAAGTTGCTAGTAAATGTTATCGCTCGAAATATTATTCAGTTCCAAGAAACTACTCTTCAAATTTGTCAATTAACGCTCAGGTAGCTATAAATTATTTAGTAAAGCTCGTTAAATCTGAACGTTGACCAACCTAGCCATAGTATTCGAAGTACACGCACTTACCTACTTACAGGCTCTACTCTGTCTACGCAGTGTAGTGGGGGAGCTGCTTACTGCGTGGATTAGCGGTGTATCGGATGACTCAGGCTTTTGTGATATACAAAACTTCCTACTAGTAGGATAGCAACTTAGACACACCCTCTTCTTCACTACCACCTCTATGTGCTCTCCTCTCTTATATTCCTACTACCCCTAGTGGCCGACCTGGTTCGCAGACAGACAGGCAGGGTCGGGTTCCCCTCCGTATTTCCCTCTTCGGTAGTTGTTTTATAGCTTTTATCCTGGAAGTTCTGGGCTTCACATGTGGAATAATACCCTGCCTGTGGTCCCATTTTGAGCTATTTACAGTTCATCGGACCGCTTCAGTCTTACCCTAAGGCAGCATTCTACTGTTCTAAGGCTGACCTGAAAAAGACAAGGCACAGACATCCCTGTACTCATTTCAATTGTGCTCACTTCAATGAATGATGTAAGTGTGTAGCATTGGCAATATGTTACATATAAAATGCAAGGCTACGTGATATTAATACTCGCTGCAAGGACTCTATCATGGAGTTGCCCGATCTGGTCTTTCAACATCTTGTGTGCTTGATACTGTTTTTTGATAGCGCGATTGGCCGCTCAATATCTCTCAGCTAAATTGGTATTAAGCATTATCCTGATGATTTATCTATTCTCTCGATCAGGAAGCACCTCGCCAAGGACTACAAAATGAGATTTTACTACTTGATTACAGGTCGCCCGTCGGGCCACAGCCTGTAATTTGACGTTGCTAGAATTATGAACGGAACAATGATCCTTTGACGGGGCAGTTAAGAGATTGTAATGGTACCAGGTCTCATGTATTTCCTATGATATCTTACAACCAGCAAAAAAACTTGCAACAGCTTCTCACCAAGCAGAGAAGAATGTTGAGTGTCTTTGCATATACTTGTTTCATTTAGAGTTTCCGCTGCTTTTTGATACCCCTTACAGCTACCCAGTTCCAGGGATACGGGAGGGGATCTACTGTATATGAGTCTAGTAGCGATTGACTCCACCTAAAAAGATCTCCGTATATTGGCGTGTGATTTTACACCCCCTGTATCGAGGCGAGTTATCTGCAAGGATATTTGTTGAGCTTTCTGCAAGACGCAGCTCATGATTCAGGAAAGTTATCCTCGCTTTTGGTGCAGTCAAAATCCCAGCGGTGGGCGAGAAGGCTCGGCAATACTGCAGATTGACAAAATTTTCTCGTCTGAAATCCTGACTACTCCTATTCACTCGATTTCCAGTCTAATCATCTCTCTCCGGGTATATTTTCCCAGACATGAAGCAAGATCAGGAAGCATACGCAAGGTAGTATCTAGACCTCCAACGGTCATAACACACATGAAAATTGTCCTTTCCTGTTGATTTTATCTTATATGCATTAATGTAGTTGTCTATTGCCTTTTTAACGATCCCATCATCTGGGCTTACTGTCTCAGTCGCCAGAAACATTCTTCTCTTGCCCTACAACCCAAAGACAAGACTTTGACAAAAAACTAGTGCCCACAATGGCTAACCAGACTCCGCGTCATTTCACTGTGGTGATTGTTGGCAGTGGAATTGCAGGGATTAGTCTAGCCCGGGCCTTGGCACACGAAGGCATCCATTCCATCGTCTTGGAGAAAAGAAGCCAAGCTGCTGCAATTGGTGGAGGTGCTTCGATAGGCATCTTCCCTAATGGAGCCAAATGGCTGGATGAACTCGGGTTATTTGACGAAATCCTTCGTTCGTCCGATCCTATCCTGAAATCGTATCTCTGGAGTGATGACGCTCTTCTTTCTCGTCGGAATTATCCTCGGACTGTTTTCTGCAGGTATGTACCCGGGCACATGAATGGATTTGACTTACTATGTTAGGCTTGGTTATCCCATTTTGTTCATCCAGAGACACATGCTCCTTGGAACATTGCATCACGGTCTCCCCAAGAGGTTCATTCAGGTAGTATACGAGAATGAGGTCATCTCCATTGAGCAAATGACAGAGATAGTCAGTATTACATGCGATGACGGATCAGTTCTCTTTGGCTCATTGGTGGTTGGCGCCGATGGAATGGGCAGCATCGTTCAAGGGAAAATCAAGGAACATGACCAGTCAGAGAATTGTAAGCTATGTAAGTGAGACTGCACTCGAAACCGGTCCTTTGTGTTACGCGATTGTCATAGTCAACCCCCCTGTCGAGTTCTCGTGCATTTACGGCGTCTCAAAATTTACCGAAAACTTCACGAAAGATACACTGCATCAATCATACAACTGGGGGTATTCCGTGACGGCTGTGAATAACCGTGATGAGACATACTGGTGTGTTTATCTTAAAGACAACACAAGTACTGTATCCTCTAATGTCAAAACACACGAGCCACTGGAGACATTGTTACAGCCCATTCTGTTCAAGGACTTTGCATGCGGTACAAATCTGTCAGAGCTCCTAGCAACTGCAACCGCTCGCTGTCATTTTCCTTTGAAGGAAAGATTGAGTACTAAATGGTCTCATGGTCGCTTGGTATCTATAGGTGACGCCGTACATAAAGTGAGTGCTTCCTCAAATAGCTAAGGGAGGTTGCTCATTTCTCTGGATGGTCCCAAACCTGGGGCAAGGAGGCAACATGGCAATTGAAGACGCGACAACTCTAGCGAGCTGTCTTGCAGATCTGACCTCTATCTCCCCCTGTCCCACAACCTTCGAAATAGACCAGTGCTTGTATGAGTGGCAAAAGATGCGCTTCCATTAGATCCAGGGAGCCTGGAGTGCCTCTAGTCGGCTCATTCGGCTTGAAACATTCTCGTCCACTAAAGATTTCATACTGGGCCGATTTATTGTGCCCTTGCTTGACAACTATATTGCAAATCAATTGTGCTCTATCTTACAAGGAGAGGCCGCATACCAAGAGCCGTTGCCATCACATCATCAGAGATTTCTGGGAGTGGGAGAGTTGGCATGGAGCTATCAGTCGTTCGTCGTTCTTCTAGGGTTTGGAGCTACGGCATTCTTTGTATTGGAATTTCTATGCCTTTGAGGTAATTTGAGTTGTTTTATTCCAAAAGAGTGTGTTCACTGGTGTTGCCTGACAAGCAAAAAAGAGTGAAAAGGAAATCTCGTGCTGAGTTCAAACCCCTTTATTGTGAGATGTCTACAGACATTCTCGTGTATGTTTTAAGACATGGACCAACTTCTCGCAAAAGGATGTAGCATGAGTGACATACCCATGATGCCCACCAGGGAAGATTTCCAGGCTGCAATTTAGCACAGAAGAGAGTCTAGCAACGGGGGATATAGCCAAAGTAGATGAAGCCACATCCCCTCTTGCCAAGCACAGCTGATCTTTCGGTGGTAGAAGGTCTTGCAAATCAAAAGGGTAATGCGATATGGCTTCCATCTCATATTCGAAATAAACATCCACTGGATTGGGTGGCAATGCTGCGAGTTGTTTCAAAACAGGAGCTGATTTCAACGAGGAGATATCCGCAGGACTGCTTAAAGCAGGAATCAACAAACGGTTTGCAGCTGTAGATCCTGATTTTTTATAAACTCGAGTCGCCTTATCCAGTAGTTCCATAAGTCCGAGGCGGTCAGATGGAGAAAGCATGGCAGTCAAGATGGGCTCGTGCAAAACAGCTCTTACGATCAAGTGCGGCTTGATTCGAAGGAGCTCCAGTGCAATTGTGGCACTACCCGAGGAAGCAAAAACGAAAGCGGGTCGTTTTGAAGACAGCTTTTCAATAATGCAGGCACAGTCTTCGGCGTTTTTCGTGAGGATATCACCGGAGAGTGACTCGCTAGACTCGACCATGCTGCGGTAGAATCCACGACGGTCGAAGGTCATCACAAAGAAGTCGCGTGATAGAGCAGAAGCAAGTGGCTCTAAGAAGACTGACGTTCCATTTCCGGCACTGACTAGAAGGAGAGGAGGATTCTCGGGCTTGCCACAGGTCTCATGATAGAGTGTTGCGCCGTTCACTTGTATATGTCCCGATTGAGGCGTCATGGTATATTGGTTGATTGTGCTGGGGAAACAAGTGACGACTGACGAGCTATGGTAATCTTACCACCGAGAGTGAGGAAAAATTGGACATTGATTTATATTCGGAGTTCGTCCCAGAGGATCTGGGTTAAATTGCTATAGCTACAAAAATGCAAGGGATTTTCATGGCCACGAAGCCCACATAATATCCTTCATAGCCTACATGTGTACTGCATACTGCACACTGGATCCTAGACTGAGCTACGTGGATTTCCCTGTTTATTCGAGTGCTCCACCATTGTCTTAGTTTTTTTTCAATCCTCGTTCTATAAGTCCCTATGTCACCGCTAAAACCCGAAGCAACCTTGATTATAAAGGATGGTATGTGATACCTGAAAAAACTGCATATGCATTACCTGCTCCTTGAAAATCCTCATTATCATTTAACTAATTAGGGCGCTTTTGAAGGAAAAGAAATATATATAAAAACAAATAACTGACTCGTTCAGGAAGCCCTGACTTAAGCCTTGTAAATAGACAAGGACGACGGGTAGTCACTATCACCACCACATGCCTTGTTATAATCACCGAATTGCTCAACTCTTCCTTTCACGAAACCATGAAACTGCTTCTTTGAGCAGCTTCCACCAGGCCCATCCCGGCAATCCACCAACGGCTGAGGACCAGCATTGTTCAAGATCCGGTAGTAATCGCCTTCATCGAATCCATCACTCTCACACGACATCTTCTCAATACCAACATTCGTGAGGAATGGAAGAATCTCACTACTCTTCCAAGCACGGTTATAATTGATTCTGTTCTCAGGCATGGTACCATTGACATGGTTCGCACCCGAGTATGCGCTATTATTATACAGTCCCAGCGCAGTGATAACAGTAGGCGGAAGCTCACGGTGAGTGAACGAGACATACAGCTCCTGAGAGGAAGACTCATCATCCAATGCTGCGACACTGGCATTCACCCACGGGATTCCGAGGCTGGCAGATAACGGCCGACCGTAGCCTGTGTTGTGGAAATACATCAGGTCATTTGCGTACTCAAAACCTAGCCATTCGTCTGAGTTGAAGAGCTTTGGGGAGCAGAACGCTGACGAGCCTCGAATGACAGTCTCGTAACCGCACAGCTCGAACATGCCGGTGATGTCATCTTGGGTGAAATTGAAAGACCGGGCTTCGGCGTTCAGACGGGTGATGATGGGCTTTGTGTATACTTTGCCGAATGCCTTGTTTGTTAGCGTAGACCATCATGAAAGATAATTGCCAAACTTACAGATGACTGGTCACTACCGTAGGAAGAGCTGTATGCAGAACAACCCTTGTACGGCGTCAGGGAATCAGCGCCCGCCTTTTTGCTTTCCGCAATTTGCGTCAGGTTGATTGATTTTGTGTGATTGTTTGTAAATCCCGAGATGAAGCTGTGCGCGCTGTTCACCGTTCGGTCCGCTGTCGAAGACCAAACTTTGGCAGGGGTCTGGAGATGCGCATATTTTTTGTGAAGGCTGATTCCAAGCTTTTGTGCCTGTTGCAGTCCAACACGAGTAAGCTTCTCCAGGTGCTCCTCGTTAATCGGGGCAGTCCAATCCGATAAAAACTTCAGGGACTTTGTTGAAGACCAATTCTGCGTTGTGTTTTGTAATTTCTTCACGAATGGCTCGAGGTATGTTTCGTAATCGAAATCATTGGCATAAATTGCCGCATGGCGAACTAGATACGATGCTCGAGTGACATTGCAGCCTTGTGGAGGAGATGATTCGAGTGGAGGGTCGTTCGGGGTGTAGTAAGGCGCGATACCGGCGGAATGTTCTAAGGGATTGAAGTGGGAGGAGGATAGGACCGGAGCGGCGAGTGCCGCGAGGAGGTATGTAAAATACATTTTGCTGTCTTGTCAATCGTGCAAAGAAGGACACAATCTTACTTTATAGCCGTGAATCGCGTCTAATGTATCGCGATGTCATTGTTGATGTACTAAACAGGGAAAAAATATTGACGTAGTGATCGACAGTGGAAGTAGCCGTGCCAAGCTCTGCGCCTTATGAGGTCTCCATTTGATTTCTGGTTCACCGCATATCCTCAGAATACCAAGGTATAAGGACTATATGTGCATATTATGAAGGCTTTACAGAGCTACAGAGGCATATATTGTATTATTGTGTCTCAATTGAGCGCTCTAGGGACCTGATTGGGGACATTGCCAATATGGTAAAGTATCCGTAGTGGGCCTGGGCCTTGCAAGAAACAACCAGTGGAGGCCACGATGATCTCCGGTAAACCGAGTCGGCAAGCCCGGATCATAGGCCAAGTTATCCCTCGTGCCCTGAGTTGCCCCGTGAGTGGATGCGAGCTATACTCATATCATCTGCAGAATGAGAAAAAAACGGACCACCAACTTGCGAGATTTGCATAATTGTACTCTCAATCGAAAACCCAGATCTTCATTATCGTCGAAACTCCGATGGAGGCCTTCAATGTTGTCAACCATGTCTCTCGCCTCATAGCAAAGCGTCGTTAGTCCCCTCTTGAGGGGACAGTTATCTCCTGCTGCGCATCTGTGATTCAGGCTCATTTCAGCCTCTGGCATGCGATTTACCAATTTTGAAGCGTAATAGGTTTTGAATGGTTTTACGCAGGGCCAAATCTGTGCCATTCGTAAAGTCAAAATCTCCGCTTTTCTATTTTCGAAGTACACTGCTGATCTGACCGCTGTCTCTCGGGAATTGAAAAAGTCTTTCGGGTGTCTCTAAGGGTGCTTTCGACCGATTGAAGTTTCGGATGGATTTGTTCGAGTAATGACAAGGCACGGTCTGTCAATTCATCTAGTGTGTGTTAGATAATGTCCCAGAACATGTCAATAGCCTTCGAGCATTACTTATAACCGTGTCAGGTAACGCTGCAAGAGCCTCAATACTCGGCCACTTAGACAAAGATTCCAGGGATAGCTCTCTCTGGGCTTTTACGGAGACCCTGACAAATGCATTGGCATTGCGGAAGAAATGCGGCGCAAGAAGAAGCATGCCATATTTTAATTCGTTTTCAGTTTCTGGAAGTCCATAGTGGCTTGACCAGGATCCTAATTGCAGCTCAAATTGAGTGAACCATTGTGAAATCCAAGGTCGAACTGCCTTCACGCAATCATACTTGTCACAGTGCATAGGAAAACTAGCTAGAATTGCAGGATCCACCTCGGCGACTTCTTCTGGGCCTTGAAGTGAAGCATAGCAAGCACCATATGCATTGTAGTGGTCTTCATGGTTAGTAATATCTGGGCAGCTATACTTCGCCAACTGAGCTTCTTCAAGAAAACTGGGACCAAATTGTACCGCAAATACAGGCGATGCAAGACTAAGTACCTCCAATGATACTCGAAATTGTTTTGCTCTGTCTGGCAATGTATCCTCGACATTAAGAACGACGTCCCATTCGGATCTAGTTGCGTGATGTATACAGCATCCGCTATGCGCTTTTCTTCTTCAAACATTTTGGTTCGGGTTTCAAAGGTTTCAAAACGCCCTGGCCAGGAAGGAGACATTATCAAGGGAAGATTTTGGGAACCCGAGGCAATGGTTCTTTCCTATACAACTTTCGGATGATTCAAGGATGACATGCGTGCATCTCTTCCATCTCTCCGTGACTGAATCAGCCAATGTGACGCGTTCATATAGGCATCTTCGGGCCCTGGTATTATTGCTGGATGTACATTGAATTTACTGATATCCTGGAATCAACATCGTTCCTGTGCCTACGAGTGCTGAGCTTTGCTTGCTTGATCGGTCTGCCAAAGAAAGATCACTAAGTCATTTAAAGCGACATCACTACATAAGTTGATATCATCCTTCTTACTAGCTTCTCGCTTCTCATTTGCTAGGCTAATTCAACTCCAGTCATCTGAGCTTTATAGATCACTAAATACTTCCGTGTCGGGACTGGCTTGGATCGCTTCAAAAAAAGTTGAATGCTGCACCTTCTATTGACCATCCACGCATAATTTACATAGGGCTTTACCAAAGTATCGGCATCTTCCTATGACATTTCAGTCGGACGTACACCGTGGGTTTCCTGATACCCTCGAAACAACTAAATCGTATTTACTTGGTGGACACAGCGCTCGTATGTATACATATTGTAGTGGTGAATTCCATGACAGTCACATGTTAACAACCTGAGGTATTGTAAATGCCTTAGCACGCATGCAGTCTTCTCCTGCAGGGAGATCTCAGCATGATCCAACCACCTCAATATGACTACAGTTATTCACCGGACTTCTTGATTCATGATATAGCATCAGGCTCAGCACGATTGACACCTTCAGAGACTGCTCTCTACGTCTACATCAGGCCATGGGAGTGGTTGTGTGATCTCTTCGTTAGCATCGACCCGTCTGCTATGTCAGACTGCCATCGTGCCATCCCCATTTCAATATGTAGAATTTTGTTTGATTCGTTTTGTTCTGTGAGCCTCTCTGATACTAAAAATGCATTAGGATTTAAACAGAGAGGCATCAGTTTCTTCTTCTTTCTCTCCTTCTTAGCTTCCCGTTCTCCCTAGTCAGTGAAGATACAGTCAGCTCACATTCGATATATTTGTACTTCAATATATTATCTAGCACTTCATCTGTAGTAGTCGCAATGTCCCTGTCCCCGGCTACTCTAGCAACAATAGGAGCTCCGAAAACAAGTTCGACATCTTTAGGAAGGAGGAGTGGCCGGCATTTGCCTTTTCATCTTACTTTTCAAATTCCTGACCTCAGAAATTTTTCCTTTCCATATCGTTCTCATCATTACGAACGACCACCGATCCTCACAATCCACACATTGCCACCTCGAAATTTCCCTTCTGTCTTTTATCGACTTGCGATTCCAAACTTCCCAGTCTGGGACTCCTCAGCTGCCCCGAAAAATACCCCTACCGGGTGATCCGACTTGGAGTTCTCCAATCACACAGGTTACCAGCCGCTCATCTTTTCTACCCTGGAAGGGATGGGACTTGATATGAGGTTATAGCCACGCTTTGGTGTTGCTGTTTGGGATTTTAATCGAATGTACAACGCATGTCTGCTGTTGGACCAGCCTGTTTCAACCCCCCTCCGGAGATTTCCCGAGGGCGAAGTCAACCAGCAAGCATCAGACTTCGAAGTGTTCTTTATTTGGCTCGATTTGGTGAAGAGAGAGCGTGGATACATTATTCAATCACACCATTCCTGACTGGGCCGATTACATGCACGGCCGGAAACAACGATCAGTACGCCACTGAGGATGAAGTGAAAATGTCGGAGAATGGGTGTCTATCTTGATACAGTAGGATCTGGCTGGGAGCTTGCGAATATTGTATCTATTTTTCACAACTAGAACATGAGGACCTGTGGAATCGAGGCCAGAAACGACCGCCTTTCCACCCGTTACTTTGGACGTCTAGCCGCTCTTGGCCGCTCACTACCCTGTAACACTACTATTCTGCACCCGCCTACTGTAAGCCTTCAGCCTGACAAAAAGCCCGATTTCCTGTTGTAAGAATAATCATGATTGACATGGACCTACGCGGTCAGTTCGGCGGCACTTAAAGCGGTGAGTCAAATCATTGGTTCTGAGGTTTTGATCCGAACCTCTCCGTCGTCTTCCCAATTCCATGGTTAACTTACCAGGCTGCCCTCAAAGCCTAGAACTCTATATGTGACGTATCGAATGGCGGGGGGGCAGAAAGCCGTTTTAAGCCATCTCCCGTCGACTCGTGTAACTGACTTCTTGGCCGCCGTCAACTTGTTTCATTCGGCAATATTTACAACCATGTCGCCTCCAATGGGCTCAGATATTCCCCTTACGGAAGAAGCCGTCTTTCCAGTACTATATAATGAAACGGATGATATTGCGCAAAGATTCAACGAGAGATATACATTGAAGCAGGGCCTTCACCAGCGGCACATTCAGATGATTGGTTTGGCCGGCACAGTCGGCACAGGACTATTCCTCAACTCTGGCCAAGCACTCGCAATGGGCGGGCCCCTAGGTGCCTTCCTTGGGTATACTATTATTGGGGTTGTTGTCTGCAGTGTTGTCCTCACTACTGGAGAGATGGGCACTTTAGTGCCTCTCAGTGGAGGCCTTGTCCGATATGCAGAACTCTTCTTCGACCCTGCTATGTCGTTCGCTAATGGATGGAATCAAGTATTTTCATACTTGGTGACTATCCCTGCTGAGATCGTGGCAGCTTCGATCTTAATTGAATTTTGGATTACTGTGAGCAGCGCAATATGGATCACTGTTTTCGGCGTACTGATACTCGTCACTGCACTATTGTTCATCAGAGTCTACGGCGAGATTGAATTTACATTTGCAATGCTGAAAATTTTCCTCATTATTGGGCTAAATATTATGGCCCTTGTGATTACGTGTGGTGGAGGACCAAGTGGCCAATCGATTGGATTCAGATACTGGAAAGACCCAGGGCCCTTCGTTCAGTATCTTGGTATCAAGGGGCCATTGGGTCGATTTCTCGGTTTCTGGTCAACTCTGAACAATGCAGTGTTTGCATACGCAGGAGCTCAAAATATAACCATTGCTGGAGCTGAGACGAGATCTCCAAGGCACGCCATCCCAAAGGCAACAAAGCGCATCTTGGTCCGGGTCTTTGTCTTCTATGTCCTGTCCATATTCATGGCTGGTTTGGTTATTCCTTCTAATGACCCAAACCTCCTTCATATAACCGGCACAGCTTCCCAATCCCCGTTCGTTATTGCCGCTCATCGGGCAGGGATACACGATGTACCCTCGATTATTAATGCCGCTATAGTCACTTCGGCCTGGTCAGCTGGAAATTCATTTATTCTTTACGGCTCGCGAATCCTCTTTGGCATGGCCGTCCAGGGACATGCTCCTGCGGTCTTCGCGTGGCTGAACCGATTCAGTGTGCCTTATGTGGCCATCAGCTTCTTCGGGGCCTTTATGTGCTTGGGGTATTTGGTCGTCTCCAAGTCAGCAAACACAGTCTTTAGCTGGTTGCAGGCTCTTGTGGCGGTCTCGACTTTGGTGGACTGGGGAATTATCTGTGTCGTATACCTCCGATTCTACTACGGTTGCAAGAAGCAGGGGATTGACCGCCACAGAGAGCTTCCGTGGGCTGCCCCTTTTCAACCTTACTTGACCTGGGCTTCGCTTGTGCTGATCCTCCTTTTAATTCTTACAGGAGGCTTCAGCACATTTATTCATGGCCACTGGGATACCAAATCATTCATGTCGTCGTACATCAACGTTCCAATCTTTCTGGCTCTATACTTTGGCTATAAGGGCTGGAAGAAAACAAGCATCCTGGGTTTGGCAAAGATTCCCATTGTTGGCTTGATACAATTCTACCTCAGCCAAGACGAGCTCGAGCCTGAAACGACACAGAAGAAGGGACTTGCGAGACTCAACATCCTCTGGTCATAGGTTCACCGGCTGTAGCTTAGGCTACGGGGACTGCAATGGCGAAGTTTTCTCTGGAGTATGGATCGGATCGATCGGTGGATGAATACATAGCTCTGTTGTTACACCATATGTATATGGAAAAGGAGTGCGCATCTAGTTGTGGCAGTATAAACGCTTTTCAGCGCACAGTGGGGATTACGTTATGGTGTTTTGGAGTGATCAGATCGGTGGTAGATTATGATAATAGTTAACGCGTGTTGCATCATTTTGCCTTCAGTGGGATTGGTCTCATATCGGGTCCTCGGCAAAATAATGTGATTGCGTTCGAAGTACATCATGAAGAAGTCAGCCATGCCACCTCAAGAAATGAGGCCATGCAGCAGCCAGTCAGTGCCGTGTGTGCATTGCCCAGACTCAAATCGCAAATAACATATACGTTATATACATTCCAAACCAAAGCGACCTCCAACCTCCTCAAACTTTGACTCACAAAAATGGAGACAGGAACGTTCACTTATTAGAATCACAAACAGGCTGCCGTTTCTTTTGTCTGTTCTGGAGGAACTGGGCAAGCCTTAAACTTTGACCGCTGCGACTATTAGGGATTGTGGAGCGAAGCCATCACTATTATACGACACGTTATTGAGATTCAACCGGAAAAGAGAGAAGAATTGACAACGAGAGAGGCCTGAGGGACTGGTGCCGATTTTGATATCCGTTGTTCATGATCGGTGTTTAGACGGTACCATACTGAGCACCCGGTGGCAATATCACTCCCTGATTGGAGTAGAATGATGCCATAGATACTTCTTTTCGGAAAATAATCTAGCCGTTGGCAAAGACTCTCCCCAATTCCATACTAACGGGTGGCGGTCAATACTTGCTCTGATGACCGATGACGTCAACAGCATCTTAACATAACGACTATGCATCACACACCATGCCCAAGAGGCACTTTACCGATTAAAATAACTCTTTAGAATGGCTCACAAACAGAAACCTACCCAGCCTAATCTACGAGACCCGGCACATAGCGGCAGCTTCAACGCCTGGCTACTCGGAAGTAGCATTGCGTCGTTGGCATCAGCAATTCATTTGATTCGGGATTCAAATGTTCCCGCCGCCTGTATTCACCTTGTAGAGTCCCGCAGAGACTCTGGAGCTGACCTTGCTGTCGTGGGTGATCCCAAGAGCGGATATGATCATCGAGCTGCATGCATGCCAATTTTGAGCGATACCTGCATCAAAGAAATTTTTACCTCAGTGCCCTCGACGACAGATTCAGGGAAGACTGTCATGGATAATATTGAAAAAGCCAAAAAAGGCCAAGCTCCCACATGCCTCTTCATCCAAGGTGGCCATGACCTGGAGATGATAGACAACAGCAAGTTCAGCGTCGGCTTGAAAGTTCGGGCACAGTTGGTGGTTTTCATGATGAAGCCTGAGAAGAGCCTGAGTAGGAGGGAAATTAAGCATTTTTTTGAAAAACGCTTTTTTGACAGCAAATTTTGGGCTATCTGGTCTTCTATGTATGCTCTTTAGGCTGACTTTGCTTGATGGTTTTGCTAATTTTGGACTGGGGCGAAAGCTTCAGCTTCTGTCCTTGGCATAGTGCTTTGGAGTTCCGTCGATGCCTTCGCAGGTACTTTCGTCAATTCCAATCTCTAAACACCTTCGCCATGCTCGATCGCTGCCGATACTGTCCATATGAAGACATCATTGGGCCGCTGACCCGTTTCCTCCAGAATCAAGGGGTGGATTTTCGATTCAATAGCAAAGTCACTGACATGACCGTGGATTCGGGTCAAGACAATGGCGCGGTTTCGGGATTCAAATTCATACAGAACGGATCCGAGAGTATTGTCAGCGTCAGCCCTCGCGACATCATTATCATGTCCCCTGGATCAGTCATGTCCGGATCCACTGGAGGTACCAACTCAATACCACCTTCATTAGAATTGCTGGACGTAGAGGACAAGCTCGATGAGAATTGGTCGCTCTGGCTGGGAGTAAGCCCGAATCTCGGTGATCCATACAACTTTTGCACCCGCATCAGTGAATCCAGGTTGGAATCTTTCACAATCACAATCAAAGATATCGGATTTTCAAGCCTGCTCCAGGTGTTGACGCATAGCAAGGGGAGTTCATCGTCTTTAGTCTCACTTCGGCATAGCAATTGGTTCCTCTGTCTATATATCCCGCATCAACCTTTTTTTCCGCATCAGCCCAACGATGTACAGGTTTTGTGGGGCTATGGCTCGTTCCCTGAGCGCGAAGGAAATTTCGTCAGAAAGCCGATGCTCCGCTGCTCTGGGAGAGAGATCATGATTGAATTGCTACAACACCTCGACGTCCCTTTGGAACACCCCATTCTCAATAATTCAATCACCATCCCGCGGCTGATGCCAAGATTAACAGCACCTTTGCTATCTCGAAACTACAGTGATCGCCCCGGCATAATATCGGAGAGCATGGCCAACCTTGCAGTGGTTGGGCAATTTGTGGAGATGCCAGACGAGTCATGTGCGACTATGGATTACAGTGTGCGAGGAGCCCAGGCTGCTGTATATCACCTGATGGGTCTTCAAAAGGAGCCAAGGAAATCAGAACAAAGCTCGATCCCTAATATCCTGGGCTTCTAATAGCAGCAGTGAAAGAGAGAGAAAGTTGGCAACCCACAGGAAAGCGTACACTAGCTCACCCTACCTATTAGTCTTTACGCACGGAAGTCTGATACAATTTCCTCAGCTATAGCTAATCTACAATCTCGTTACTGGGGCTTCTAGGCGTGGAGAAGGTAAGAGCGAGGATCGGGCTGGATAGATTGAGATCCTGTGAAGAACAGCTATCTCACGGGAGATACGTTCGAATTAATCCAGTCAAAAGTCGTGGTTATCAACGTGTAGGGCTCTCGCCTGGGGCAGAAACATCTCAAATTCTAATTTTAGATAGAACACGCTCTCGCTGCTGATTAAAGCAGCTCTACCAATAGATCTGGGGCGGACGGGACGCAGCCTGCCCAAAACGAGTGCGTTGTTAATTTCTGCATGTTGCAATCTGCCTTCTCTTGCCATTTCGGACACCCTGCTGCGTGTCACGATAGTCCTGGCTCGTCTGAGAGCCAGACGGTTGGCCAAAGTTGAGTCCAGACAATGAACGATGCAGTCGTGTAGTTAGCGCTTTGGAAATTCCGATGATGTAGGAGTCTGAGCTGCATTACATGGATCGAATGGCGGATACGACTTGAATGAACTGTGTGAAACCTTGGGAGCCATTGTACATGTATGTGGGAACTCGGGAGGGTCCGGGGAGCAAGTGCCGTGCCACTATTCCCATTTTGGTATGTGGGCATGTGGGCAAGTGGGTTGTCAAACATCATGCTGGTGGACATGAGGGACTGGGGTTCACAACTGTGCTTTACAAATATTATATGGGGACTTTTCTACTGCTTCAATACTGTTGCCAGATATGTGTAACTCAGTATGGTGCTCTGGCATTCGAAAGTAGTTTTTGTGGGTATGTTGGTGGCAACCGAGTCCATAGTATTACAGAATGGAATCTCTTGTTGCATGTCTGGCTCCTCTAATGGATTGTCTGCAGAAGACCTATCAATTGACTTAAAGCCAGAGACCTGCAGTAAGAAACAAGTTCAGGGGCAGTGGCCAGCTCAGAGCAGACACCGGGTGTGGGGGTCCGTGCGCGTGGAGTGAATCACCAATCAAGCATTTTTATCATCTTGGCTGCCTCATGGAGAATAGCAGTGTCTCGGGGGCAAATCAAAAGAAGTAAGAAGGTATAAGAAACTATCAGAACCGGAATCACGGCCTGAGGCAGAAATGCAAAGTGTTGGGAAAGGACCTTCACATGTTCGAGTGGGGGCTGACATGTGAAAGACCCTCCCCTGTTGAGCTTCATTATACAATAGACGTCATAAAAATGAGGTTATACATGAACATATTCAGAGAGAGAAGCAGAATGTAATATGGAAGAGCATAGCTATCATGCATACAGCCACCAGGTCCTGTGCGCCGGAAAAAAACCGCGCGGGGAAGCGATTGGACCCGATACGAATGATTTAGCCACGTTCATATCCAAGTTAGGGCCTAAGTTAGTTCCAAGTCATCTCTCAACAAAACCGTGCCTATTTCTTGATCTTGAAAGGTTCTATTCTTTTGTTCAACTACACCTCTCCCCTGCATTAGTGTCGTGATTCCATGAACGTCTTACACCATTCTTCGTTTGAACTTCTTTCTAGCGTCTAATTCTTTCCTTCACCATGGCTATCCTCGATATCACCAAAGATCTACCTACACTCTTTAAGAAACAGGTGCAGGCCACCCCGAACGCCATAGCGCTAGAAGATGAAACAACCTACACATACCAACAGCTAGACCACGAGGTCGAAGCTCTCGCCAGTCGATTGCGGACCTATGGGGTGAGTCGTGACACCCTCGTGGGTGTACTTCTGCCACGCAGCGCACATTACGTGATCGCGTGTCTGGCAGCTCTTCGTGCTGGAGGCGCCTTTTTGGTGCTCGAACTGGCTTACCCCGCGGACCTCTTGGCGGATGTCATTGAGGACGCTAGTCCTGCCGTCATCATCACCCATCGATCAGAGGCCGACAAGATCAAGGCCCCTCTACCAGTGATCGCCCTCGATGATCCTGTGGCTGATACCAATGGGTCCGCCAAATATCCTGCTCCGGTACCCGCCGATGATGATTTGGACCGTTTAGCCTTTGTGTCGTACTCGTCTGGAACGACGGGAAACCCCAAAGGAATTGCCAATCCTCACCGTGCGCCGGTCTTGTCTTATGATCTCCGATTTGCGGTGCAGGATGTCCAGCCTGGGGATCGGGTGGCTTGCAATGTCTTCTTTATCTGGGAGATGTTGCGTCCATTGTTGCGCGGAGCGACAGTGGTGATTGTGCCAGATGAGACTAGTTATGATCCGGCTGCCCTGGTTGACTTGTTGGCGGCCAAAAAGGTCACCGAGACCCTGATGACGCCCACATTGTTAGCCACGGTTCTGTCCCGCTACCCGCGCTTCGGCACACGTGTTCCCGATCTGCGCATTATTTGGCTAAACGGCGAAGTGGTGACCACTGATCTGGCTCGCAAGGCTATTAAAATTCTTCCCAACACTCGCTTGCTCAATTGCTACAGTGCGTGTGAAACACATGAGATCGCCTGCGGAGACATCCGCGAGATCATTGACGAGGAAGCTCTCTACTGCCCAGTTGGCCCGCCCCTCGATCCTTCACATACATATGTTCTGGACGAAGCTGGCAAGGAGGTTGAGACAGGTACATCTGGAGAGCTATTTATCGGAGGTCCCTTGTTGGCCCGTGAATATATTAACCTTCCCGAAGCCACTGCCAAGGCTTTCACACCTGACCCCTTCGACAATACACCCGGGGCTCGGGCTTACAGGACCGGCGATCTAGCGCGGAAATTGCCTTCAGGACTCCTCGAGATTACTGGCCGAGTTGGCGCAATGATCAAGCTCCGCGGTTACTCCGTGGTGCCCGCAAAAGTGGAGAGCGACATCTGCCAATACTTGGCTGTCAGCCAGTGTATCGTAATTGCCTATGGTGAAGGCCTTGAACGACAACTGGTTGCGTATATTGTCGCCGATAAAGAGGCGTCGGCCGATCGCCCGGCTGTCACCATCAATGAGTCTGGCCACAGCCCCTCGGCGCGCCGTGTTCTTGAGAAGAACCTCGCCCATTACATGATTCCCGCTCTGTGGGTTGCATTGGAGGAGCTTCCAACTAGCGAGGTCTCTGGAAAGGTCGACTTGAAGAGCCTCCCGACTCCCCGCAGCGGCAGCCCTAATGGCAGCGAGCAGAGCGCCGGAAAGGACCCCATCGGTCTCAGTGATATCGCCGCGGTCTGGGAAACTGTTTTGAAGATCTCGAAGACCCTGCTGAAGCCTGAAGATAGCTTCTTCGATCTTGGTGGACACTCTTTGTCTCTGGCCGATCTTTCATCGAAACTTTCGAGACGTTTCGGTTTCCGCATTCCCATTCCCCGTCTTGCTGAAAACACCACCCTCTCCGGCCACCTTGACACCGTGCGCGCGGTTAGAGATGGCCACACTGAAGAGGTACAGGCCAATTTGCCCGCAGTGCTGCTTTCCGACTCTACACTGGATGAAGACATCAAGCCTTCAAACACTACCATCACTTCGATAGCTGAAGCAAAGACCGTGCTTTTGACTGGTGTGACTGGTTTCCTGGGCGCTTTCTTGTTGAACGACCTGATTGAGAACACCACGGCTCGAATCATTTGTCTTGTTCGCTTCAGTGATCCAGAGCAAGATGACCAGGCTGGAGGTGTGGCTCGTATCCGTCGCAACTTACTGGACATGGGACTCTGGCGCGACTCCATTCTGGAGCGTGTCGAGGTCCTTCCTGGTAACCTTTCGCGTCCTCGCCTGGGTCTGTCCCCCGAGGTGTTTGATGACATCGCTTCTCGTGTTCAGGTCATTGTTCACGCTGCCGCCACCGTCAACCTTGTCTACCCCTATGCCGCACTTCGCGGTGCGAACGTCGGTGGAACCAGAGAGGTTCTTCGCTTGGCCGCTAAGGGAGGCTCGACTGTTCAGTACGTCTCAACCAACGGCGTTTTGCCGTCATCGGGAGAGAACGGCTGGCCTGAGACCACCATGCTTTCTGCGGAAGATGTTCCCAAAAAGTTGCTTGATGGCTACGGTCAGACCAAATGGGTTGCCGAGCAGCTTGTGCTCAAGGCTGGTGAACGTGGATTGCCAGTCAAGATTCACCGATGCGGTACCATCAGTGGCCACAGTGTCACCGGTTCTGCCAATGCCTGGGACTTGCTCACTGCTTTGATTGTGGAATCTATTCAGATTGGATACTTCCCAGACGTGGAAGGCTGGCGTGCGGAGATGACTCCTGTCAACTTTGTCAGCAAATCTATTGTTCACTTGGCCACTCAAACCCAGACCGACCAGACTATTCTCCACTTGGGCGACCCCAAGCCGGTTGATACCCGATGCGTCTTTGAAGATCTCAAGGAGCTTGGCTACCAGACTCAGCCCCTTTCTTGGGATGAGTGGGTGGCTCTTTGGTTCGAGAAGAGAGGTTCAGCAAAGGGTGGCGATGGTTCTTTCACCGTCGACATCCTTCGCAGCGGTATGCCAACTGTGGAGTTCCTCCGGGACATTGTTGTCCTCGATAACGCCCTGACCAGACCTCTCCGTGCCGAAGTCGAGCGACCCAAGGTCGACAGCCTCTTGCTGGAGACCTACACTCGTCACTGGTTTGCTCGAGGATGGCTGCCCCGGCCCCCCTCTCGTCAACACGCTCTCAAGCGCCTTGCTGAGCCTACCGTGAAGGGACCTCTAAGCGGGCAAGTCGCCGTGGTCACCGGTGCATCCTCAGGCATTGGCGCGGCGGTAGCAGCCGCCCTTGCCAAACAAGGCTGCGCTGTCGCTCTAGGCGCACGACGCCTCGATGCCCTTGAAACCACTAAGCGCAAGGTCGAAGCCCACGGCGTCAAGTGCATCCTCCGCTCAACTGACGTAACAAGCAAGACGCAAGTCGAAGACCTAGTCAAAGCAGCCAGCGAAGAGCTCGGCCCAGTCGACATCCTCGTCGCCTGCGCCGGTGTGATGTACTTCACAATGATGGCCAACACCCAAATGGACGAATGGGAGCGCACAGTCGACGTCAACTGCAAAGGTCTCCTGCACGCCCTCTCCTCCACCGTTCCCGGCATGCTCTCCCGCGGCCGCGGTCACGTCGTGGCCATCTCCTCAGACGCTGGCCGCAAAGTCTTCCCAGGTCTGGGCGTCTACTCCGCCAGCAAGTTCTTCGTCGAAGCAACCCTCCAAGCCCTCCGTCTCGAGACTGCCGGCGCTGGCCTCCGCGTGACAAGCATCCAGCCCGGAAATACATCCACAGACCTGCTGGGCATGTCAACGGATACGGAAGCCGTCAAGAAATTCGGTGAGCCATCTGGAGCCAAGATCCTCGATCCTTCAGACGTTGCCAACTCGATTGTTTACGCCCTTACCCAGCCGGAACACGTCTCTGTCAACGAGATCCTGGTTGAGCCCCGTGACGAACCTATTTAAATGATGTCCCTGTCTTTCTGTTATGCCCAGTACTAGATCAGGTGCGATGGTTTGCGGAGTTTTGTATGTGTTACTTATCTGCAAGTTTGCTAGCTGTGATTCTAGGGGTTCTGAGATTCTCAAAATTAGACGGTCGTATAGCGGTAGATTATAGACTTAGATTTGTATATTAGACATGAACATAGAATACGGTATTCATTTCCAATGCGCTTTCCCATGCAACATCGATCGATTCAATGCCCACACGCTGTGTTATCCCATGCAAAATATCTTTTCTTACAGTAGCAATCATCTCGACACTTGGCAAGTAAAACGAGTACATGTATCTCTATCAACAATTCAGTAAACAAGTACATACCGCAAGTACACCACCCCCTTCTAAGCCTAAGCAAAGATCCTCAGAGGATAATCAGCCAAATAAAAACCAGGATCATTAAACCTCAACCCACGATCCAAAGCCGAAATACCCTCAATCTCCCCATCTGTCAAATCAAAGCCCAAAGTATCCAAATTCTCAGCTAACCGAGTGGGGTTATTCGACTTGGGAATCACTGCAATACCCCGTTGAGTAGCCCACCTCAACAAAACCCTAGCAGGACTAACCCCCACCCTTTCACTTACAGCCTTAACAGGCGCAGCATCAAAAAGCAACTCGATCCCCTTCGCCTCCTTCGAGAACGCAGGCGGCCACTCGACAAACGATAACGGCCCGAAAGACGAGTACGCAGTGACTGCAATCCCGTTATCTTGCGCCATCTGAATTAGCTCGCCCTGTACGAGGTACGGGTGGTGTTCGATCTGCAGTGCTGAGATTGGATGTCTTGCGTAGGTCTTTATGTCGTATAGTGTTTGCGCTTGGAAGTTGCTTACGCCGATACTCTTTGCAATGCCACTATCGACGAGTTCTTCTAGGGCTGTCCATGCTTCCGAGATTGGAATGTTTGCCGGTGAGATTTTATCGGCGTCGTCCATCCACCAGGCCTGCGGTACTGTCAGTTCTGTGTATTCTTGACGTATGGTCGTTGTTTGAATTTACGGGATACTCCCGCTCGGCGGGATCGATATACTCCAATGCAACGGGGAAATGGATCAGGTAGAGATCGATATATCCGAGGCCCCAAGCTTCGCTCTGTCTCTTTGCCATTCGGAGTGCATGTTCGCGGCGGTGGTAGTTGTTCCAGAGCTTTGTTGTGACGAATATTTCGGCGCGGGTTACGAGTCCTTCAGTGATGGCGCGTTGGATTCCTTGGCCAGCTAGCTTCTTTCTCGTTTTGGTAGTCGTAGGCGCCGTCGAAGAGTCTGTAGCCTGCTTTTATGGCCTGCCATACGTTAGTTCTGTTTTTGTGTGTGTAGGAGTAAACTGGTATGTTGGGAGGAATATGGTAGTTGGGCAAAAGGTAGAAATACTCACGTTGTAGACTGTTTCAGCGGCTGTTTCTTTGGGGACTTTCCAGAGGCCGAAGCCTACTAGGGGCATTTCTCTGCCAGAGGCGAGAGTGATGGCTGACTTGGCCATATTGTTATCAAGGTAAAACTGCTTGTTCCAGCGAAAAGCTGTATAAATAGTGTAGATGCTGGACTTTGTATTGGTGGTTGAAATTGCCTATTTGGGATGTGGGCCATGAAACCAGACCGAGTCCACCGAACCACCAACCCTGATCAAAGTGGGACATCAATCCGATCCATAATGAGATATGTACGGCTATGAGTACCTTTTCGTTCGATAATACTAAAAGCAGAACAAACAGCGTTGATCGTTGGACCGGATCTTCATTCATAATATCATAACGGTCTCTATAATACACTCTCGACCTAAACCTCTTAACCTTCCAAGCCCTTCTCCGACCCGCTGAGACTAGTACTAATCTCCACACTGCCAACCGTATAATCAGTAGGATGCATAGAAAGCGGATGCAGCCCCTTATGACGAATCTGCGAACGCGGAGCCGTAGCCACACTCGTCTCAAGGTCACCCTGGTCCGACACCTCGATCACAGCCCGACTAGAGAAAACATCTTCAACCTCTTCCAGAGACCGGCCCGCAGTCTCAGGATAAAAGGCCCAAACGATAACCATAGCCGCCCAATTAAACCCAACAAAACAGTAGAAATACTTGTATCCGATGTTTGTCAGTGCAATAGGCGAGCACTGCGCGAATATAAGATTCAGACTCCAATTCGTCGCTGTAGCAAGCGATGAACCGCGCGCGCGGATAGGCGTGGGGAAAATCTCGGCTGGGTAAATCCAGGAAATCATCCCGAGCGCCGTGAAAAAGAGGCTGAAAACGAAGAACATGGCGATAGCAGCGCGCAGCGCATTCTGGTTCGCGTGTGGGTCGCTGAAGTCGATATACCGTGCTAGTGTGGCTTCTACGCACATCACCGCGCCCATACCTAACAGGGAGGGAATGAGCAGTTTGCGCCGGCCGACTTTGTCGATGAAGGTCATGAACACTGTGTTCCACACTAGGGCCAGGGCCCCCCAGACTCCGATGATCATTAGGGAGGTAGAGGTTGATAAACCGAGGGATTTGTATAGACGTGGTCCATAGTTTTGGATAACGTTTGTGCCGGAGCATTGCGTAAATGCTTGGAGACCGCAGGCTAGGAGGATGCGGCGGCGCCAGGCTGGGGATGTGAGGAGCTGGCGCCAGGAGCGTACTGTTGTTTGGTGTTCTGTTGAGAGGCTGTCGTGGATTTGGGAGAGTTCGTGTTCGAGAAGGTTATTGTTTGTTGCGGTACGGTTTAGGTGAAGTTTTGCGAGAACTGAGCGGCCTTCGCCTTCTCGGCCTTTTTCTATTAGCCATCTTGGGGATTCCGGGAGAAACCAGATGCCGCTCGTTAGGATGAAGGCTGGAACTATCTGGAAGCAGAGAGGGAAGCGCCAAGAGAAGACTCCGCCGTGGAGGGAGCAGCCGTATCCGACCCATTGCTGATTTTGTTAGTATGGGATCAGTGTAGTAGGCGAGTATACTCACGGCAATCATGATGCCCAGACCGATCATCCATTGCTGCATACTGGCCAATAAGCCTCGAATCTGAGGTGGGGCAACCTCGCTCTGGATGCACGTCAGGCGAAGCTTAGTGGAGAGTGGAGAGCGTTCACGTACACAATATACAGGAATAGTAGCTGACATCTGGCCGATAGCAATGCCCGCAATGAATCGACCAGCGATAAGCATCGCAATGGTAACCGCGCCCCCCTGGAGGGCAGCCCCAAGACTGGCAAGCAGACCACCAAGGAAGATGACCATTCGACGGCCATAGTAGTCGGAAATGTACGGGGCGAGGACCGAGCCCACGATAGCGCCGCCTGATCATCCATTAGATCCCGATCGCGGCACGTTCCGAAGGAGGATTACCGGTATAAGACGAGATGATTCCTCCCGCGGCGGCATCAGATAACCCCGGAGAGCCGAATCGGGCTAGAAAAGCCTCTTGTTCGATACTCGATGAGATCACGCCGGAATCATACCCGAAGAGGAATGAGCCCAGCGCAGCAAAAGCGCAGCAGAAGGTTACGAGGAAGAAAGCCATGGTCCATAGTCTTTACAGCACAGCTGCATGGCTAGATGGTGTGGACGGGTTTCATATAAATGCAAATTTTCGCGTGTAGAATGCCGATCCGCGGACGTGCCGAAGGGATCAGTTTATAGGGAATGTCATGGACGCGAGGAGATCAAGCTTAATATTTAGTCGCTTAGTTTAAGACCGCTAAATCGCTCAATCACAACCGGCCCCTCCTGGAATGACGCTATTGACTTGGGGGCGTCAAGAGAACTCGTGTTTCTTCTCGGCATTTCTTGGATCCTCAGATCGTCCGTGATAAAGATGACGCTAAAGGATCCCTGAGGTGTTTCAGAATTGTTTTCATTCTTCAGCGCGTCACAGGGCTGTCAATTGACGTTTTGAGGCCTTGTTTCAACCCTGCATGATTGATCCCTTTTCATGGGGGTTGCAAGGAGTATGAAGTGCGCACTTGCAGGTAAAGTGCTACTTCGTTTAAAGTATTAAAGTATTAACATATAACAGGGTATATTTCATCTGGTCAGCAGACCAAGAATAGCAACTGAGTGAGCACTAGTAATCTTGGCTACGATTAAGATCTTCCCCCAATTTGGGGGGTCCAACCTTAACATTGATCTCCAACAGAGAGTGACAAGCGAAGTGACAGCAGATTCTGCAGGTGGCACTGACGTGTCGATTATTCTGGATGAGTCAAGGGATATCGGGGTTTTGTGCGAAAAACTCATTGAAATTGGTTGAAAATATCTCCTACGCTTAGCGCCGGAGTTGCAAAAATTCTCCACGTCGCTTTTGGATAGGCCTACAACATCGTGTGTAATATATTGTAGGCTAACACAATATTGAGATCTTTGATAAGTGCGGATAGGGACATGCTGAAAGTACCAACTGCAGACCGGTTTCAAACCCCGACAGTCAGAGTCAGGCGGGCGCAGGGCGCGGAGAAACCCTCTACACCAATATACTTCGCCGAAGTCCTTCTCCGAGTGCGCCCTACGGTTAGACTGACCGGTCCATCGACTCGGAGGTGATTAGAAGTGACCTCGGCATGGACTTTGAGAGGCCGAGTCTAGACAGAATTAGGGTCCAGTGGGGATCGGGTAAAAGTCTGAGATGGCATCAGGGGAGGCCATTGGAAGAGCGCATAAATGCCTCAGGGCAAAAACCTGGGAAATGCGGGAAGTCGGCGATGCGGCCATGAACCTCCGACTGAATGACTAAACCTGCTAACCTCAGTTGATCTGGCGGGGGAAATACGAACTTGGCCTTCCATTCTCTCCAAGCCAAGACGTCAGGTGTAAAACGTCCTTTGTCACCGCTTTCGGGGTAATCATTTCATCACCTCTTTATATTCTTACTCTCACCAAAGGGCGATCCCTATAATTGTGACTTCGGATCGCCCGCCAAGGCTCTCCTTACATGAATCCGTGCACATTACGGACATCAGATCTCCAGTCATGGCGTCTATCGGCCCTCATGGCGAGGAGGACGATCCCCTGAACGACTTCAAGTACGATGATGACGCCGCCCCGTCGGAAGCGTCGCCAGATCCTAAATCGCTGCCCATGCAGAAGAGGCGTCGAGTCGGCCGTGCATGCGATGAATGTCGTCGAAAAAAGATCAAGTGCGATGGCAAACAGCCCTGCACCCATTGCACAGTCTATAGTTATGGTACGCCCTCGTTAATCCGTGAAGCCCCCCGTGGCCTAACAATCAGTAGAGTGTTCGTATGACCAGCCCTCCAACCGCCGTCGCAATCCTGCCCCGCAATACGTCGAGGCTCTCGAAAATCGTCTCTCCAAGGCCGAAGCCCTTCTCCGAACCGTTCTCCCTAATGTCAATCTCGACGACCCGCAACTAGATGTGCATGCCCCGGAACAGATATTAGCCGCACAAAAAGGACAAGATGCGACCGAAGATGTCAAACCGTCGGTTTCTAAGTCTCAGTCTCAGCCTCAGGCGCAGGCGGATGCGCCAGATGCAGGCGATGAGGGATTACTTGAAACGATGGTCGATAATTCGGGATGTTTAGATCGGGATGATCAAGGCCATTGGGATTATCATGGACATACGTCTGGGATTATCTTTGTTCGTCGTTTGCGCAAACAGTTGGGCGCTACCGATATCACTGGTCCGATGTCACGATCGCGGGCTTCGATCACTTCACACATGTGGGATAGTCCAAAGTCGATGTCTGAATCGCCTCAGGATACTTCGATGCCTCCCACGCACGATTTGCCCTCGCGCGCGGTTGCCCGCCGCTTGTGTCACAATGCGATCGACCACGCCTGTTCTCTCATGAGATTTGTGCATGAGCCTTCGTTCTTCGCCAGCCTGGAGCGCATCTACGATACTCCTCCTGAACAATTTAGTAATGATGAGAATTCATTCTTACCACTGCTATATATTGTGATCGCGGTTGGTTGTTTGTTTTCGGATGACGGAGCTGGTACTCTGGATTTGTCTGGATACGAAGGCGCAATCGGCCAAGGGTAGGTCTTTCTACTATTCGATGTTGGCATTCACTAACTGTTACAGGTTCCAATTCTTCAAGGCTGGCCGACAATTATTGGAGGTCACCGATTGTCGCGATTTGCCTTCTCTCCAGGCCATCTGTTTCATGGTACTCTTCCTGCAATCTTCCGCCAAATTGAGTACATGTTATTCATATGTGGGAATTGCGCTGCGTTCGTCTTTACGGTTGGGTCTTCATCGCACGGTTGCCACAGACTTCAACCCTATCGAACGAGAACTACGAAAGCGAATCTTCTGGGTTGTCCGCAAGATGGATGTCTACGTCAGCACCCTTCTTGGTCTGCCTCAGATGCTGAGCGACGACGACATCGACCAAGAGTATCCCATGGAGGTTGATGGAGATTTCATCACCTCGCAAGGAATTACCCAACAGCCATCTAATTATACACCGTTGATGGCCGGATGCAACGCGCACACCCGCCTTTCCAACATCATCCTGAAGGTTGTGAAATACATCTACCCCGTCAAGAATGCGCGATATCGCTCAAAGTCAAACCAGCGCTACATGGTCAGCCATTCTAAGATCCGGGAAATCGAGCGTGATCTACAAAATTGGATGGAGGAATTACCTCCTGCTCTACGACCAGGCACAGAAGTGTCCCCTCAGCTAGAACGGTCAGTCTTAGTCGCAATTGAGATATCTGATTAAAATACTAACATCGCGCAGTGTCCGACAATTACTGCGTATCAGCTACGCACACGTCCAGATGGTCATGTATCGACCTTTCCTCCACTACGTCTCGGGTGGTTCCCAAGCGCGTGGTGTTGACAAGCGGTCGTATGCTTGTGCAGCGGCATGCGTCAGTGTGTCCAGAAACATCGTTCACATTACCACTGGAATGCAAAAACGAGGTTTGCTCAATGGGTCGTTCTGGTTTACCATGTATACGACCTATTTTGCTATTCTCTCTTTGCTCTTCTTCGTTATTGAGAACCCTGATTCACCAACCGCCAAGGACGGTGTGCTGAAGGATGCCATGGAAGGCAAGAATACACTGGCCGGTCTAGCCAAGAAGAGTTTGGCTGCTGACCGGTGCTCTCAGAGCTTGAACGTATGTATCGCCTTGTCCTCTGATCAACATCGACTAATTCATAGCAGTGCCTGTTCAAGACTTTGCCTGAAATGCTCAAGAACCGTCAAAGCTCCAAGACTCCTGTTAACCTCAAGCGACCAGCGCCATCCAACCAGCCGGCTGAGCCTGAGCCCGCTCCGTCTTCGTTTGAGAAACCACTGCCACACCGGTCAAGCACTTTCCCTATGCAGATGATGCCTCAGACCTCCGCACCCGAGGTTCCGACCCGTCGCCAACAGAGCCTTGATAACACGCAGATGATGAACAACAACCGCCCCAGTGAAAATGGTAGCCAGTCGACATGGATTTCAACAACTCCTGAGCTGCTTACGGAAACCATGTCTACCCCGGAACAGATCTCTTCAGCTAGCTCCATGAACGCTTCCATGCCCAACCAAGAGCCGTCTAGTCTTGCCTGGGCCCAGCAATTCACAAACCCGGCTAATCTCCCCGATCTGATGCCGATGATGTTCCCCTCTGACGACCCATTCGCCTATCCCACACAACCCATGTCCACCTTGGAAGACGACCACTTCCGCCACGACCGCGGAATGCCCCCAACCCAATATTCCTTCGATGCAGCCCCACAAACAACAGGCTTGGGAACAACAACACCAACCGAACAAACCAGTGGCGTCGGAATCTCAAACTTTGACTTTACCAATTTCCCCATCGGCAATGCCTCGGCGATTAAGTCATCAGTGCCAAGCCGCCTCCAACCCCATTCCAGAAGCTCATCACGTAACCTCTCCCCAATCTCTCAAGGCCAAACCCCAAGCGAAGTCCTCAGCAGCCCAGACCTGGTCTCAATCCCGAACCAGAACTTCGTCTGGCAGGGTTACAACTTCCAACCAAACGATTCAAACCCGAACCCGAACCCCAATAACCCAAACATACAACCCGAATCTGCAGCCCCACAGCAAGAATACACCAGTCCCAATGGTCTACCTGACGTCAGCATGGGCATGATGAACGAAAACATGGGTGTGAACATGGATCTGGGCATCTCGTTCGACGACCTCTTCGGTAATAACGCTACCTTCCGGCCTAACAACGGGGCATCAAATGATGATTGGACTCAGTGGATGAATACCAATGTCTGATCCAATTGATTCTTTGCTCGCTTCGTTTTGCTTTGCCATTGATGGGGGTTTCTTGGTTCGGTTTCGTTCCTATGAGGATATGCAATTATGAATGCCACTTCTCACTTTTTTGTTGTAAAAGCTGTTGATACCTGGTTTGGCGTTGTGTGTTGGTCTTTGGCGTGCTCTTGGTTTTGGTTTTGATACTGACTTTATATATATGCTGGTGATTTACATAGTCTGATGCTGGTAAGATTTAGTATAATTTATTCTGCTTTGTCTTGATTTTTTTCCCCCTGGAACAATGTATATCCATGTATAGTAGTAGTACAGCTGGGATCATAAAGGTGTACATAGTGCCACGGAGTACTAGACAGATTTTATATGAAAGGTACGGAGCGGGTATACATTTTGTGTACTGTGTACGCTCCTTCAGTCCTCTTTTTGTCTCTTTTCGCTTCGTGTGTCCTCTATTGTCCTCTTTTTTTCTGTCTTCGAGCGCCTCGCTGTGATCATTCAGATAACATGAATGAAGGGTGAAAGATTCATGACCATTCTCATAACCTGCTTGTGAGCCTAGCAGGGTGACACTAAAAAGGTCTGGCCTAATCGAGTAGAGACAACAAATTAGAGCTGGTTCAATAACGACTTAAAGGCGATCCGGACTCGAAATAGTCCTTGTTGAAGATAGTCAACGACTTTTTTTCACCCAAGCTGCGCATAACGCATGTGCCACTACTAGCGGAAGGATCACAATTTGTTGGTTTATGACTCGTTTTAATGCCCCTGTCCTGGATCTTGTGGTCCAATCAAGTCCTCAATAAGAGCGAGACCATCTCCATGGTTTGATTGGTAATGTTTGATCCGGTCTACTAGTTTCTCCCACTCTTGGAATATACAAAGCCTCTCCCAGACCAAGATTTACTCGTTATAGATCTTTAGCGGTATCAGATATCTCCGCGGTGGTGAAGGGGCGCTTGGTATACTTACTGACGGCGAGATCTTGTTTACTGGGATCCGATGGGATCCCGATCAGTAAGTCAGCCCCTGAAAATACAGTAGAGGTGGTTTTTGTACAGGCCAAAGCTGTGCTCGAAAGAAATTTCAAATAAGTACGGTAGGGTGAAAGACCAAAATATACAACTTGAAGTATAGGATGTGTAAAACGCAAAGAGCTCGGAAATAGAAGGATGACAAGCTCAGCTGTGACCAAACTTCATAAAAAAATGTCCCTATAATGGCTCCTTAGAACGAAAGTATCCTCCGACTGAATGACAATAAACTTCATTCCGCTGTCACCGAAATGTTCAGATGACACCCAGAGTAGCTTCTGGTCATGTCTCCTTATTCATGAGCCGTCAATCCATATTTCAGGATATGGCACTTTTCGGGCAGTCCATATGCCAGATGTCAGATCAAGCAAACCATGTTCTGCATTTAAGAATTTTCTATCTTCTGTAAGATACAAACCTTGACCCAAAACGCCGAAATTCAGAAACTTAACTCTTTTCATACTCTGATTTCTAACTGCTCATGCCGAGGTTCGCGAGCTTTGTGTTCTACAAGATGAATATCAACTAGGGGTAATACGTCGGTTCACGGGGCTACAAAGTATAACACAAATTTTAGACAAAGCTCGATAGTAAGTGTACCATTTCATGGATTGTTTGTGTATAAATTAAGCCTCGCTTTTGGTCTACCATTTTGTTAACTATGTTCGAGTTCCTCTGGTTAAACGTGCTAAATATATGCCTAAGCGGCTTTGAGACTACCCACAGTCGCTTCCAAAGCATACACTCCTTTTTCACATCTTTTCTCGCCGTCTGTTTGTCTACTGCCGAGCTCCTCTGGTTATCAAGGTAGATTGTGTGAGTAGTGGGGTATAGAGAGACATAATAGGCGCGGTTACAATATACTTGTAAAACTAAGGTGAGAGTGAGGATGGAAGGGTTTGGCTATATCACCACGACGTCTGTAGATAAAACAGCTTAGTGGATTCTCTCGAAGTACAGCACTTGTTACAATGAGTTATTTGTCAATGATACTTGATACAAAATAGTAAATTTGTAGATAGACGCGGCCTATCTCATACCGGAGGTCGAGGGATCAGTAGACCCACATAAACTCCATCGCGCATCTCAACGCCCTGACGCAACCTCTCCTTCGTACGCGATGGCCCTCCACACCATCACCATACCTCCATGAGTCTCAATTTCCCCAATTAACGAACCAACCAATTGCATGCGCCATATCTGCCATCACATGCAGTCCTAACAACCCACCCAATCCGATGTACATTCTATAATCGCCTGCATATTTCTGCTCCTATTTATAGCCACCCGGCGCACCATGCCCCCCCTGCCGAAGTTATCAACAGTAATAACCTGGTTCCTATACTCAATTCCGATTTACATATTCATCCTCGATCCACTACTCCGCGGATTCTTTCCGGGTCTCCTTCCGGCCTCGGACTCCTCGGACTCCGAACCCAGATCCAATAAAGACATCTTCGATTTCAGGGATGCAGCTGCGATAGGACCTGGCCTAAATCTTACCGATGATAGTTTCATTAGTCCGGAAGATGACGTGCCATTCGATTGTCCCAATGCCGAGGACTATCGTGTTCACCTCCTATCGCGCACACCGTTGGTGATGTACATTGAGAATTTTGTTAGTGAAGCCGAAGCGAATCATCTACTGGATGTCAGGTAAGCAAGAATGACCAGCAGGATACTCCAGCCAGACCCTATAAAGTATTGACACGTCCTTCCTACCAGTATCCCAAACTACAAACCCTCCATCCTCTACGACGGCCACACAGAACGTATAGACCCATCAAAACGCCTCTCAGACCGCGCCCTCCTAGACCGCGACAATACAGTACGCTGCCTTGAAGACCGCGCGCGCGCCTTCCAAGGCTGGCGCCCGAACCTATTTATCGAGCGCATGTGGGCCCAGCGATATAACACTTCCGGCCACTACCGGCATCACTATGACTGGACGGGATCGCTGGCGCGCGGGGGGGGACCGGCTGAGTACGTTTATGGTTTATTTGGATGCGCAGTGTCAAGGTGGGGGGACGAATTTCCCTAGGTTGAAGATGCCGCGGTCGAGGGAGTGGTGTCGGTTCTTGGAGTGCGAGAACCCGGATGGGAAGGAGGAGAAGAAGGAGGTGCCGGAGGGAATCACGTTCAAGCCCATTAAGGGGAATGCGGTTTTCTGGGAGAATCTAAGACCTGATGGGTCTGGATACCCTGAGACGTGGCATGCTGCTTTCCCTGTTACGGAGGGGACGAAGGTTGGGTTGAATATTTGGAGTTGGTATCAACCTGGCAGGCGGTAGGATGTTGTGAAGGGGGAGCACGTGTGTGGGCTTTCGCCAAGAGGTGCCGTTCTAGGGGTAGAATGCTTGGGCTTTGTGAAGATGAGATGAGATGTATGAGACGATTCTGGGTATCTAACCTGTCTGAACATAACATAGAATAAAATAGACTTGCAAGATGAGATCACATAGAAAAATGACATGTACTCTACGAATATCGGGGCATTTTTCTTGCGGTACCACTGAAACACGATTCATGCATACGACCAGCACCAGACTTCCAGGCAACCACATTTATCAAGCTACGAAAGGGATGGTAGCGATTCTCGGAGGGTTGGTCGAAGGGGGAAATACCAAGACCCAAGACTCGAGGTCTTGGTCCTCGGAGCGGGAATTATTGGCAGAGGGATCACTTGGCTGCCAAGAGGTATGGCCCCATGTTCTTGTGTGCTTGGCGAAGCAACCTGATCTCAGAGTTGCCACGCCTGTCCCAAATTTAAATCCCTCCGTTAACGAGTTGGGTAGGTGAATAGCGAATGAGAGGGATTAAATTACCCCAATACCCCTAATACCTCTAATTTACCATTTGCCTCCGAAGCACCCGTAGGGCTTACACTAGGCCTTATTAGGTGTGATATCTGTACAGCACCTAGAAAGCTCCTGGATTGCTTTAACTATCATTATACACAGTCTTCTACACCAAGTAAGAATCCCCTCGGAGTCCAACGGGAAGGATACGTGTTAGCACCGGAATGTAGAATACGCACAGCCCCTTCCATCCCAGACCAACCACTCACAAGCCATGGCGCAGCGCCTCTCGGGTCTTGGGGCCCACACCAACTCTTGGCCCGGTCTTGTCGCTTGGTCGTCTTGTCCCTTTCTTGTCACGCACTCCGCCCGGCTTAGCAAAGCGCTTTTTCTGGGCAAAGGCTCGGCTCTTTTCCCTTGCGGAGAAGCCCCCCCCCCATTTTCCCTCTTCCCTTTATCTTTCCCCGAGGTCTCCCCCCTTTTCTTTCCCTCTCACTCTCTATAATATATCAAATCATCGCCTGTCCAGTGTAACTGCTACTCGTGATACACATTTCCGTTTCAACTGTTCTCTCAGAGTTGTGTCTGGGCTTTCCGCTAGCACCAGATTCATTTCTTGGCATCATGACAGATACCAGTATCGCATCGACTACGACGCCGCAGGCTACTATCCCTGCGCCTGTCGCTGATCAGGCTCCTATCCAGGCAACTGCCGCACAAGCAGCGTCCGTCACTGCGACTGCCGCCGCCGCCACCGCTGCCGTCAACAGCCCCGCCATGAACGGAGGCGGCGAGCAACTACCCTGCCAATGGGTTGGCTGCACTGAAAAGTCCCCAACAGCCGAGGCCCTCTACGTAAGATCGTCGACTCAAGGTGATATGGTGGAATATTTGCTGACGCGATGGCTAATAGGAACACGTCTGCGAACGCCATGTCGGACGCAAGAGCACTAACAACTTGAACTTGACTTGCCAATGGGGTACTTGCAACACTACCACCGTCAAGCGTGACCACATTACCTCTCACATCCGAGTTCATGTGCCTCTTAAGCCTCATAAGTGTGACTTCTGTGGCAAGGCTTTCAAGCGCCCCCAGGATTTAAAGAAACACGTCAAGACTCATGCCGATGACTCGGAAATTCGCTCTCCTGAACCTGGCATGAAGCACCCCGATATGATGTTCCAGCAAAACCCTAAAGGTTCGTCCTAGGATTCCTTTCCGCCCGTGAGCTCCTGCTTGGCATCTCCCTTGGCACAATCAATTCCCTTGGCATTTCCCCCTTGGATTTGAGACAATGTCTTCCCTTTGGTCCCTTGGACTCTATCGACTTTTTGCATTGTAGGATCGATCGCTGACTGAATCCATGGCATCTAGGCTATGCCGCCGCTACTCACTATTTTGAGAGCCCCATCAGTGCCGTCAATGGCGGATACGCACACGGTGCGCCTCAGTACTATCAACCTCACCCTCCTCCTCAGCCTGCAAACCCACATTCCTATGGCAATGTGTACTATGCGCTGAGCCAGGGACAGGATGGAGGCCACGCCGCGTACGACCGCAAGCGTGGTTACGATGCTCTGAACGAGTTTTTCGGTGACCTGAAGCGCCGCCAATTTGACCCCAACTCCTATGCTGCCGTCGGCCAGCGGCTACTTAGCCTCCAGGCTCTCCAGCTCCCTATACTCAATGGCCCCGTGCCAGAGTACCAGCACATTCCGGCCTCCGTTGCGGTCGGAGGAGGCAGTGGTTACAGCCCCGGTGGTGGCCAGGCTCCTGGTTACCATCTCCCTCCCATGTCCAACGTTCGCACTAAGAACGACTTGATCAACATCGATCAGTTCCTCGAGCAAATGCAAAACACCATCTACGAGAGTGACGAGAACGTGGCCGCCGCTGGCGTTGCCCAGCCCGGTGCTCACTACGTCCACGGTGGTATGAACTACCGTACTACCAACTCACCTCCTACTCAGCTCCCGCCAAGCCATGTCACCGCGCAACCAGCCCCCATGATGGCTGCTTCGGCCCATTCTCCCTCTGTTGGCACCCCGGCTCTGACTCCGCCCTCCAGCGCACAGTCATACACCTCGCAGCGCTCTCCCATCTCAATGCACCACGCTCACCGTGTCTCGCCTCCTCATGAGAGCGGCGCTGGCATGTACCCTCGTCTGCCCTCAGCCACTGTTGTCGAAAGCATGGCAGCGGGATACCCCACTGCCTCCAGCGCTGCCCCACCCTCTACTCTGAGTGGAGCATATGACCACGATGATCGCCGTCGCTACACTGGCGGTACTCTGCAACGCGCCCGGCCGGCCGAGCGAGCTGCGACTGAGGACCGCATGGACGTTTCCCAAGACAGCAAGGACGAGGGCGAGCGCACTCCCACCAAGGGCGCCCACTTCTCCGAGAGCCTGATTGATCCCGCGCTACACTCCAGCACATCCCCGGACCCTGACCAGGAATCTGCCCAGCGCACCGCGCAGGCTGCTACTGAGGTCACTGAGCGTGATGTCAACGTCGCCTGGGTTGAGAAGGTCCGTCTCCTGGAGAACCTGCGCCGCCTCGTCTCTGAGCTGTTGGAGGCTGGCAGCTTCACTTCCCAGTTTGGTACCCAGAGTGCCCCTGCCCCTGTCTCTCCTACTCCTGGCCTCGATGCCATGGAGGGTGTTGAGACTGGTAGCGCACCCGAGACCAAGGAAGAGCCTCCCAAGGCTGAAAGCGAGGCTGTCTTCTACCCTACATTACGTGGTGTGGACGAAGACGAGGACGGGGATTCCAAAATGCCCGGCGATGAAGCGTAAATTGTATCTTCGAGGCTAAAGCCTGATTAACGCCGTAACGACTTTGTTTTTGCCCTACTCTTCTCTTTCATCTCGTTTCTCTTAAAATATCTTCTTTTTGTCCTCTTCTGGCTGGTTTCAACTTTCTCGAACACAAATTCTCATTTATTCTCATTTATTTCATATTTCATATTTCCTCTTTTTTTTTATATTATTATTATCTGTCTGCGGGTCCATGGATCCCCTGTTTCCATTTGTATGATTAGGATTCTGTTATTGACGAAAATAGTTGTTTGCGTCCTACCAATTGTGTTGTAACATGTAGATCGGGTCTGGAAGTGTTGATGCTACGGTCCACTGTGTCCGTTGGCGCTGGATCGACATGTCAAACCCAAAGGGGCAAGGCAACATTCCAGGCTAAACTGGATCCGGGGGTGACGCAAACGGTGGGGTGATTTGAACTGTTGATATGTGTTCATGTGTAGTGTTATAGTTAAGAATATTAACTTGAAGTATACCATGGCTATAGACCAAGGGCAACGCGTCTGTCCTATACGTGCAGTCATAGACATAGACAAGGACATAAAACATAGAGAATTTAGGTGCAGCCAAGGGTCAACACATCATTCCAAAGCAAACCTCTCGATCTCTGCATCTGGAAATGCTTCTGCACTCGGAAGCCTCGATGCCACCCCACGTACTGTATTGGTATTTACGTCATGTTTGTACCTGCAGGTGGGCTTCCCACTCGTATTATACATGTTTGTGACCAAAACCCACAGTTTTTCATGGTCACCTCATCTCATCGCATTTATTTTCTTCTCATCTTCTTGCTTTCTCTCTATCTTCTCTCTCTATACTTTGTGACTTTTTGTCAACTCTACTGTTGTGTTGTACTATCCCCACGCGACAAGGCGGTCACCCCAAACAGACGCCATCGCGCGTGTCGATCGGCCTAGGGATTATCGATAATAACATCCAGCCACACAATATCAACGGGGCTTGACGACTCACTTTCTTTTCTTGTTTACAAACCTTTGCTACGGAGTATCGTGGTTTATTTTCCCTTCCTTTTTTCCGGTGGCAAATTACAAATCCGCTGGCTCTGACGTTCTGGTTCTCTGGTTCTCTGAACACTCTTCCGATCTTGGGGGCGCTGAAATCCGGACCCAGACTTGACTTTGTTTTTTTTCTCTTTGCTTTTCGCCTTCGACTTGCCTCATCTTTGTTGCCTTTGTTGGGTACTCGGACTTGGACTTGTCAACACACTAAATTCCATTTGCGACCCGGCAATTACACTTTTAGAAAGGAAGATCCAAATTCTTGAGATATGCCGCTATCAAACCGCCGCCGCGCGCGGCGCAAGGAAATCCAACTGCAGGAAACCTCGGACGCAGAGGCACCGGACTCATCGCCCAGCCGACCCTCCGCAAAGAAGCGCAAGGTAAGTCAAAACAAAGCCAGTCCGAGACGCAACCCACCCCCGCGCAGAACAGGAACTAAAACCCGATGTTTTCCTCTCATCCAGGTTGACCGCCGCGCCTCTCCTCCCCGCAACGTCAAACACGAGTCCGGCGACGAGGCCGAAGACTCAACAGGCGACCACGAACCAGCCACCAATCAAGACCTGGTCGATCTAGTCATCTCATACTTGAACACGCCCCGCGAAGAACTGCGCGTCTCGCGCGACCACTCCAACACCAAAACCGAGAATACACAGCGCATCCAGGCCTACGCGAAGATCGCCGGCCGCAACTGGACCTATTACGTCAAAACCTTGCATGTCAATATCGGTCGCGAGCCGGACCGCGAGCCGAGAGCCCCCGAGCAGTCCAGCCCCGTTGCCATTGCCGCTCGTGCATTGCCCGATGTCCATGTCGACTTGGGCCCGAGCAAGTTCGTATCCCGTCTACACGCGGAGATCTTTTACGATGGCGAGGAGACGCCCGCCTGGCATATCCGCGTCAACGGCCGGAACGGCGTGCGCTTGAACAATGGCATTATCAAGCGCGGCACTGATGCGATTTTGTCATGTGGCGATATCATCGAGGTGGCTAATACTCAGATGATGTTCGTGACGCCTGGCGATGAGGCCAACATCCAACCTAGCTTTATTGAACGCGCTCAGCGCATTGCCAGTGGCCAAGAGCCGGATCCGGCTTCGGTTGCCTGGGATGCATCGCAACATGCCCATCCTCTCCAGACGTCTCAGAACAGTGAGGCTGCCCGGCCTTCTTCGTCTGGTGGGCCTTCGTTGGCGCCTGCTCCGCAATTCCTCAAGCGCCAGGTTACGCCGCCGCCGCGCTCGCCTGATACTGCCGGCCAGCGCACGGCCAAGCAGTCGCCACTTTATAACCGTGGTATGATGATGGAGAGCACGGAGGAGATTGACTACAGCAATGATTCATCTAAGGATTTGAAGCCGCCGTACAGCTATGCCACGCTTATTGCTCAGGCTATCTTTTCCAGTGAAGAGGAGAAGCTTACGCTGAACAGCATCTACAATTGGATCATGGACCGATATGCCTTTTACCGACACTCTCAGAGTGGCTGGCAGAACTCGATTCGTCACAACCTGTCCCTGAACAAGGCGTTCCAGAAAGTCCCCCGCCGGACAGATGAGCCGGGCAAGGGCATGAAGTGGCAGATTGCTGCAGAGCATCGGGAGGAGTACCGGAAGAAGCAGATGCGCAAGGGTGGCACGCAGTCTTCTGCGCCATCATCCCCAGCTACAAAGGAGCCCCCATCATCAGCACGCGGAGCACATGTCACATCCATCGACACTTCATTCTCCGGTACAGCAAAGAAATCCCCGCCAGTCTCATCGCCCGGGTTCAGTTCATTCCCCGTGGCCCCAGTCGAAGCCTACACCCCAGAGCGCGGCTCAAGACTCGGCCGCGGCGTTGGCTCCGACCATCCCCTCCGCCACATGAACCCACGCGACTACGAAGAACCATCCCCGCTACCCGCGCGCGCAAGCCACGTCCAAAACAGCAGCAACAACCTCACCCGCGCATACGGGATGTCCGACAATGTAACGGGCTCCCCACCTGTCCTCTCCTCCTCATACTACAACGAAGAACCCTCCTCGATGATAACGCCCGCACCCCAACGCCAACAACCCCGCCTCCCACCCCCAAGCACAGCACAGATCCCATCAAAGTTCATGCCCATGAGCTCGCCGGCTCAGTTCTGGAAGTTCGCTGATATCGGCTCTACGCCTGCCCGTCCAGTGCCGGATATGAGTCCGCTCAAGGGCGAGGTGGAGGATCGTATTATTGGCGGGTTCCCGAGTAGTAGTCCCCCGCCGGCGAACCTGGCTAGTCCTTCTAAGCCTGGGACGTCGAATGGGGTGGGTTCTGGGCAGAAGTTGCCGCCTATTCAGACGGAGCCTTCCGATCATGGGGCTCATGGTTCCAGGAAGGAGGAGAGAGAGGAGGAAGAGGATGATGGTTCGGGCTTCGATCTTGCTAGGTACGTTCATATCATACATATACTTGGCTTTTACGTTTGTGACATTTACTAATACTCGAACAGGGGCTTCCAACCTATCGGTTCATACCATCGCCAACTAAGTAACGCTGCTCGTGCAACAGCTACTTAATTTGCTTTTGTCTGTCATGATGTATAACATGTCCACTATCCGAAGGAGTGTTTATGTTTGTCTTTTTTCTCACCTCTTTCATGCTTCCGCATTACGAATGGTGTTGGTGACTCTGTTATTGGTTTTGTTTCTGTTTTCTTGTTGATTTTATCCTTTTTATCTGTCGAAATGTTTACTTGCAGACATTGCTTGGGAACGGAGTTCGAGTTGAAACTGTTTTCATTTTGCTTATCTCTTTCGCTTGGGGTTGTGGACACTCGGCGTTTTCTGCTTTTTCTGTTTATTTCTGTGCTGTCATTCTGGTAGATGGCTTTGTATGTATGGCTTCGACTTTGTCGGCCGTGTATGATATTCTCACATACAATAACGTTTGCATGCAACCGTGTTCCCTGGAATTGAGTAGAAGTAACTGAAATCATGGTTTTTTTCAAACTAACTCTATATAAATCAATTTATGTTTTACTTCCCCATGCTTTTATCCCGAAAACTACACCCAGAGCACCCTCCACAGCCTGGATACCACAAAACCTACTGACAGGGCTCAGCATTAGGCCAAAACCTCTCCTCCAACCAAAGAATCTGCTTCCACCACTCCAAACACCGGCCACGCATAGTCTCCGACTCCTCAGCCCCCTTGAGCTGCCCAGCCATCTCGTCAACCACATCCCCAATGGAATCAACAAACCCCTCAAACTCAACACTAGACCAATTCCGAATAAACTGGCCCCGCAATGCGCCCCCATCCGCATCCCCAGAAAAGTCCTTCCCCTCCTTCGAATGCTCGCTCATACACTCAGCAGCAAACCTCCACGCTCGCAGGTAACAAACCTCCGTAGCCCACAACACAGCCAACCCTTCCAAAACCGAAACCCCAGCACTACCAGCACTCATAAACATATCAATATACGCCCTCGTCGTCCGACTAGCAGAGAACAAAATAGTCCCGCACCGCTCAAGCTCGGTAGCAACATCCGTCTTTTCAAGCGTACGTCCTGGTCCCGCTGTGCCTGCATTCGTGGCTGTAGGTGTAGGCGTCAACACCTCCCCAAACGGCGAGAGGTTCTGAGCAGATGGTGCATCGAATTGCGGGAGTGGAACGCACGTCTCGCTCCCGGCGGGCATCTGGCACTCGCCCTGCGAACGGCACAGACCATGGTCTGCATTGTGTGCACCGGACCCGGTAGCAGCAGCGCCGGACGAGCCAGAACCCGAACCGGAATCGTTGAGAGAGGTGTCACGTGCTAGCAGGGCTTTGCCGTCGCGGCCGCCTGTGAAGCCCGGGCAGGCGCTTGAGCCTGCAGTTGAGATTCCGGCAGAGTTTGTGATGTATCGGCCTGAGCCGCAGGATGTTAGGACTATGCCGCCTTCTTCTGGGGAGATGGCTGTTAAGTCTAGACCGTAGTCGTTTGCGGTTTTCTCGAAGAAGGCGAGTTCAGTGCGAATGTTGACGAGGGCGTCGATGAGGACTGTTATTGCTTTTTGTTCGGGGCTACTGTGGAGTGGGGTCGGGCTTGAGGGGGCTTGGGATGGGAGGCGAATTTTCGCTAGGAGGAGGCCTATGAAGCGGATGTAGGATTGGGCGTAGAGACGGTCTTGGGAAAGCCATTGGCTCAGTGTTGATTTTGGGAGGGTGCCGCGTCCTGCTGCTGCTAGGAAGGGATGGTTTGTTGCTCTTGCTAGGCCATTGGGTGTGCTTCCTAGGAGGTAGGTTGTTAGGGGGCCTTGGCTGGTCATTTTGGGGGCTTGTCGTTGGAGAATTGGAGGGGATGGTCGATTTAGAGTAGGGAGCTGGTGGGGGCGATAGTGGGATGAAGATGTGGGTATGTCGTCAGATCTGAGCTTGGACTTGCCCCATGTCTTACCTGGTAATTAATTGTGTTATATCTTTATGTTCATGTATTTTCGATATATGCAGGGCATACTTATGGCCCATTTAATGTGGTGTTTTATGATGCGTAGACAAGATGTTCAACAAATAGACAACTACGGTACACACATATACCTGGAGCTCTTCTAGCTAGGTAGTCACGCACAACAACCTGACTGGCAGCGCAGTGGTAAAAAATTTAAGTCTGAATATGCATTTGTTTCCATAGCTACCAAAGCTCAAACGTTGATTGTGCACATTTCCGTAGTATCTTCAACTTGGACGTTTCCTCCAGACATACAATTCAGATCTCTGCGTTTGTCAATTCACCACTTATTCTCAGTAGACCTTCCACGCTTCATGTTGCGTCTCCTTGGGCTATTTCTCAAGTCACTCCATGGTGTCCTCCTTGGTATCCTTCTTGGTCCCCGTGGAAACTTCAACCTCCTCCTCATAGGCCCATGGCTTCTCTCCAGCAGCCTTTATCATCAGACGCACAAGACCATGCAGGATGTAGTGCGCATCGTTGCCAGCATTGTGCATGTTGACATGCAAGACCTGCAGCGATCTCAGAACATTTGCCAGGCCTCGGTTCTGAAGCTCGCCAGATTCGGCCCGGTACAGCTCTGCTAGGTCAAGAGTGTCATAGAAGATACAACGAGGCGTATCGTAATCAAGGAAAACCTGGCTTTTGTTGGTCTTGAGCTGTTTGATATCGCTCTTCATGTCCAAGCCAACCAGTACAATATTGCGAGTATGCATCTTCCACCAGCTGACCGGGTCTTTGACAGTGGGAACCATGTACGGAGGCTTGAATGCTCTATCAACGATCCGTCCGACATGGGCAGATGGGACAAGCTCGCTCTCGCCAAAGTCAAAGCTATCAGGGCACCCGTGGCAGAACTCCATGTTGACCCACTGGCGATATTCCTCCACGCGCAGGTGTCGAGACCGGATACGGGCTGCCCACATCTCGCCATAGTCGCCCGGAACCACACTTTCCAGGTCCATCGTATCAAGAATCGAGATGCCCACTTCGGTCATCTGCCGGGTCTCTCGCTCATTCCATTCAACATCAATGGCGATAAATATAGGCGAGTCTTGGAAAGTCCATTTGACGGTGCGCGTGGGATCGATCGGTTTAATCTCACCGTTGGCAAACGAAGACTGGTGCGTGTTTGCTCTCCATGGGGGTCGCAGACCAAAGAAGGCCATAGCACGGCCGAGATGTTCTTCGGCCTCTTGCTTCCTTTTCAATTGCTGGGCCACCTTCGTGGGATCTTTCTTCTTGATCATATCAAAAGACAGACGGATGTTTGCTTCGAATGCCTTCATAACAGCAGCCTCAACATTGTATGACCAAACTCCCCAGTCAGGACCAGAAGGAGGAATAGTCTGGACCAGCTGATCCTTCTTATCAGAGCTGCTGCTTCGGCCAAGAAACACCGGAAGCGGGATGTTGTCATTGTCAAAGGTAAGCACCATACCCTTTTTACCAGTACCAGTGAGGTAAATCTTGCTGTTCAAGGCTTTGCTCATCTCTGCAATGAAGGAAATGGCCTGGTCGGTGGGAATGAGAAGCAATGCTTCTCCATTGATGGCCATTGGAACACTCAGGTAGTACCTAGAGACATGTCAGTGGAAATTGATCCGACTCATTGTTATCCACATACAAATCCCAAGCGTGCATCCAGAACTTCCCTCCATCATAAAACTCCTTGGAGACTCTGTGAGCCAAGGATCCGCTCATATGCCTGAATGGAAAACGAGCAAGAGCAAGAGCCGGAGTAAAAGACGAGGTGACAGAAGACAGAGTGCCCTGATCCGCGAGAATGATGGTTGAATCCTCGGAGTGGCCAAGATCGGGGTTGGAGGCTGCGTTCAAGGTGGCATCGTCGCTGGGTTGTGTGGGAGAGTGCGGGGACTCGGGGTCCTGAGATAATGAAGTCAAATAATCATCATCGCTTTCCTGGTCAAATCCTTCCTGCACGCCTGTTCCGGGGACGTAGGTACGGATGTATGAAAGTGGATAATGACGAGTAAGAGGAAGCTGGGGAGCTGGTGGAGAGTGACCAGGGCCGCTCTCACTTACACCTTCCCCGGTACCGCGCTGCCTATTCAGACTAGCGGCAGGACTAACACCATCCATGCCGTCTTCGAAAAGCAACTTGAAACGATCACGAGGGTCCATCGTTGCGCAAACGAGATAAAGAAGATCGCGTGGAGAGAAGAGAAGAAGAAGATAGTCTCAGTTTGTGATGTCAAACAGACGCGTAGCTCTTAGCGCGCTTTCGCTGTCTAGATAGGAAGTCGTAGAAAGTCATTTTTGGAAGGAGCGACACAAAAGCGTAGAATATCATTGCTGCGATCACTGGCTAAGAACAAAGTCACTTTGAACTGTCCTTAGATGATGTGTTTACATATTGCACATGTACAGGTAGTTACTGGGTTCATTGTATCCCGTTTTTGAACACAGGACTCCAAAAAGGTGCTGGGGGAAGAAAAGTGAGGTTAATTGCGGAACATGTATAGATCGGACGTGCACGTGATGAGGAAGCTCCCAGGACGGGAACGGGGCAATGATGACCCGATGTTTGGGACCTCGTGCCGTGAGGCATCTAGCTACTGTGTCGCGAAGCAAGGCTTAAGATCGCCGATTCTTGTTGTTTCTTAATTTTGTTATCGCTTATTAGACCCTCCAATATATTGTGTTGTGATCTGGCGACACGACAACAATTTTGCGGCCCGCTACCTCCTACCAAACATGGCCATGACGGACGAGACAGACGACAGCGGGGGCGTCATCCTCGATGGCCCCTTCGATCCTGATGCCCAAGCAACCGTGACGGATTTCATAGACTATACCGAATATCTCCCCGCCGACCTCATCCGCTCGTTGACCCTCATCCGCGGCCTCGACGATCGATACCTCGACTCGGCGCAGGGAGTGCACCAGCTCACCCAAATATATGGTCAACTCCCCGGGCTTCCAGCGGACAATCGACCGGGCGCCATCGAGTTGCGCAAAGATATCTCACTTCAAATGGATCGCGCGATCAATGCGCGCGAGTCGGCGTATGCCGAGGCCTGTCGGCTGTACGACGTCGTGGATCGCGACTTCGACCGACTGGGTTGTATCCGTCAGAAGCTGGAAGCACTTCCCAAACCACCATCATCGGAACCGTCGCCGGCCCCAGAACCCACACCCAAGCGTGCGCGTACCAACAAGAAGCCAGAAGGAACTAACCCGACGCGTATCACCCTTCGCGTTGATAATCGCAGACCTAGAGATCGCAAGAGGAGAAAACACCATATGGGTCTTGATGGAGCAGGCTTTGACCCTGACTCCCCAATCGCTAGTACGGAGCAATCAGATGCGGAGACCGAGCTCAACACAATTATGCCCAAGCCATCCAGACCGAAGAAGGAAAAGCCACGCCGTCAAAGTTCGGGCAATGGACAGTCCACTGCTCAAGCTCTAGCACAGTTGAAACCACCACCTGATGATGCGAAGTTGGGTAGCGAGGACCTGCCATGGTTGCGGCTGACCGAATGGGAAATGACACGACTGCGAAAGAAGATGAAGAAGAATGCTGTATGGCAACCCAGTGAGGTAATGATTCACCGCGAGCTGGCTCTTGCAAACCGAGGATGGGAAGCCTATAGGTTAGCCAAGGCTCTGGCGGAAGAGACAGGCGCGGAGTTCATTGACTGCGACAACATTGAGCAGACTCGCCGGGGTGAGGCTGCCAAGGACCTGGAAGAAACGAAACTGAGCAACCGCGGAATGAAACTGAACGAAGCAAAGAAGTTGAAGCGCGAACAGTTGGCTCGTGAACAAGCTTTGATGGATGGCGATGGAGTATTGCCCAAGGCTATACAAAGCCCTGCTCAGCCAACACCTGCCGCGAACCGGTCTTCACGGAAGAGAAAGAGAGAGGAGGCTATGGTTGAAGAGCCTGAAGCCGTGCTGCCTGAGCCTACTCCAGTACCAGTCCCTGCACCGGCCCCAGTTTCTGCACCCGCACCCGCACCTGCGTCAGCGCCAGCACCCGCGACCTCTTCCCGATCTGGCGCTCGACGTAGATCCAGTCGAGGAGCCGCCATGGCCACAGAAGCCAGTAATGAAACCGTCTCTCCGATCAAGACTCGTGTCTCTCCTCCCGCCGAAGCCCATGTTTCCCCTCCCCTCCCCAGTCCCACTGGTTCCCGCCGCTCCAATCGATCATTCGTCCAACCTATTACCACACCTACTCCTCCCGTGACCCGACCCTCCTCACGGCGTTCAGCAGCGGCTGCATCAATCGAGGCAGGCGCCTTAAGTGGAATCCATGCCGCTTTAGCAGCCAGTGGACGTGACCAGCGCATCAAGAGCGCAACACCTACCCACAAAGCTCAGATTCGCGAATCATCACATGCCCCGAGCGTTCAAGGTCCTGTTCGTAGACGAAAGCGCCCTGCACCAGGTCCCATTTCTTCTGGCCAGGATGGTGGAGCAGCGGTGAGCTATGGACGCCGAAAGGCCAAGCCAGGAAAGAAGCGCATTAACCTCCGTGATTCTCAGGATGTTCGGGTTGACGAGGATGGCGTACTTGAGCAGATTGATGTGAATGAGCCTCGATACTGTCTCTGCGGAGATGTCAGTTTTGGGACAATGATTTGTTGTGAGAATCAAGATGTGAGTCTTACTTTTTTGTCCTCTCAATCAGATCAAATACTAACCTGACTTAGTGTGATCGCGAATGGTTCCATCTGGACTGTGTTGGTCTCACGGAAGTCCCCTCGCGCACAGCCAAGTGGTACTGCCCTCAGTGTCGGGTCAAACTTCACAAGGGAGAAGACGGTATTATCAAGGGGGGATCACGACGTTAGTTATGGGATGAATTGAATTTTCTTGCATGATACCACGAGATGCGTTTGCGGGTTTTCTGCACACTACTTGCTGATTTATGGCGTTCGGAGTCTTGAAACCGGTTGGCTGTTATGTCAAGCTATTTTTTCTCAGCCGAGTAATTTTTCTTTGTCCAACTATCAATCATTTTATCCAGACGTGGTACATCTGTCCTTGAATTCAAGATCTCTGCGTATCGTTTCTATCCTTTGAAAGAAGTATCATATGTAGGGTTCTCTGCAGTTGGCCGCTCCCGGGCAATCAGGAAAATATGCCCAGCAAACATGTTCTGAGACACACCTGTGATCTTTCAAAAGATCAATCTACGCCTATTGATTGGAAGTATTCTTCAATCTTAAATTTGGTACATTGTTCGCAATACTGTCTTACTAGATACATATTTCTCTCGTAGATAAACAATTCTGCTCTGTCTTCCTTGATCAGAGGGACTCAAAATGATACCCACCTAAAGCGCCATCATTAGAAGACCAGCCACCACAGCTCCCATACCAGAAGTCATCGTCAACCAACCGCTAACAAAAACAGCAGGACCAACAGTTCCAGCTGCAGCCCCCTTGGAGGTCGAAGTACTAGCAGAGCCCCCAGAGCCCCCAGTAGGATGAGAAGTAACAGTACCAGTTCCGGCAGCGCCACCAGCCTGGTTAACAAGGGCCTTACAGTCACTCGAGGCATCCTTGACAGACTGTACCTTGGCCGCACCATTGAAATCACAAGCAGAACTGGCCTTCTTCTGACTTTCATAGTATCGGTTGAACGCCTGAGACAGCTGGTCCTTGCTACCACAAACACTGTAGGCACCATAATCACCAGTAGTCGCATTATGCGCAATACCATCACAAATATGCTTCCCATATCCACAAACTTGAGCAAAGAGATCAGTGTAGTCCTCCGCCTTTACGGAATCGCTAACCACACATGACAGACTAGAAACCATACAAGAGCAAAGCTGAGAATCCGGAGTCGGGGGTAGAGGACTGGACTTGGCGAGCCAGTTCTCGTCAAGGGTAGGGCATGCACGGGGCGAATTAGTCGGTGAATAACTGGCGCTGTTGGTACCGCTAGGAGTCGCGCTTTGAATCTGGCTGGAGTAGTAGCTGAAATCGACCTCTGTGCTGACAGAACTGCCGTCTACAGAGACGAGGCCGTAATGGTTGTCCGTTTCGAAGTACATGTAGACGATGCCACCGCTCCATACGTCGCTCATTTGGGGGCCGAAGAGGACGGGGACGTCGGTGAATTTGCGGGGTCGCACGGTTATGCAGCCGTATTCTGAGAAGAAGACTGGGATGGAGTAATTTGAGTACTCTTCGGTTCGAGCTTTGTATCCTGAGTCTTGGAATGTTTGGTCGCCGCACCATTCGTAGATGTTATAGCCGAAGAAATCGATTGCGCTTGACTGATCGCCGCAGTTGAGGTAGTCTGAGAGTGTTGTTCGGATATTTTCTTGATCGGTTGTTGCGTAGCCGATGGCGAGTGAGCTGCGATAATTCTTGTCCGTGATGTAGGACTTCATATCACGAGCGGCAGCTTTGATAAAGGCCGCGGCGTTCGTTTGGTTTGGCTGGTTGACAACTTCGTTGCCGACGAAGAAACCAATGACATTGTCGTACTTGTGGAAAGTATCGATGACACTGGTGTATCGCTCGTATTGATCGACCGTCCACACGGGCGAGTTCGCTTCGATAGAGATATCGGGCGAAGACAGGTCGCTGATCACGTAGATGCCTGCGTCGGCCAGCTTTTGCATACAGTCATCGTGGTCCTTGGTTGGGTCCAGCGTGTATGTTCGGATCACATTTGTGCGCAATTGCGTGAGATAGGGAATGTCGCGCTCGCACTTGGTGAGATCGAAGAGGGGATCCTGGTAGCCAGAGTCGCTGGTCTGACCAGTGCCATCGGCTCCTCCGCCGCTGTAGTTCTCTGCGGGTTTATTAGTACTGACTGGAGGTAGCAAATGTTGGCGCCCTACCCTGGTAGGCTATGCCTCGAATGTAGCTAGTCCCTTGGGTTATTATATGTGGCTTGCATAGACCGAGTAAAACTTACAATTCAGTTCCATTGTTGGAGTAGAAGAACTTGGAGCCCTGAGGAGTATAATGTTAGTGTGGTGCTTCCGAAAGGGCCGAGGTACCTACTTTGATTTCGATGGCGGGGGTGCTGGCAAGAGCAGTTTCCACGAGCAGCAAGGCCGCCGTGAGAGCCCGGAAATTCATTAGGAATAAACGAATGTACAGTCCGAGAGATCCGGCGTGGCGACAAGCGAGCGTGGTGGACAAAACAAACGTGAAGTAGAAAGTCCCAGGGAGTACAGCCTCGCCTCCAAATGTATGCAGCAGCCTAGAAATAAGCCTCGCGACGAGGTCGCATGGATTGTAAGCGAGGCTATGCTAGCCAAACCATGTCTCGAATGTCTCAGGCTAATTCCTTTGTTGGGGGCATCCGACATTAGACGGTTTGAGCAGCTAGCACTAAACAAGCCCTTTTCAGGCGGAACCAGTGATCTCGCTAATCCGGAATCAAGCAATTCTCTATACTCCGTCCAGGCTCTACCAAAGGGCCCGAGCGTCTTGTGATTAAAAGCAGAGCTATTGGCAAGCTAGTATAAATATACGAGATTGCGATTTGGTGAGCCCAGGGGTCAACGTCGCTGTAGAAACCGTCTTCCTACTACTTCAATACAAGTGAAAATTTGCTTCTCGCTTCAAAATCTAAGACGAAGCCGCAACTAATACTGAAAAATCGGAGCTCATAGACATATGCCGAGTCAGTAATTTCCGTGCATATCGATCGCACTCCCCAACCCCTGGATGCCCGTGATCTCGAAAATAACCGGCGCAGAAGTTCTCCCTTTTGACGCCAACGCGGGTAGGGGGCCGTACCCACTCAGGGCACAGCTCGCTTCGTTAACTACAGTGAGTCACCTTCCTGAGCATTTCCCCTCTGTAGAGAGTTTTACAGGGGAAACTATATATACGGTGCAACAGAATCCATAATCCAATCCTCATAGATTTATAGGGTTGAATACAATCAGGCCTGAATACAAGCCTCGCCAAGCTTCTATGACCTGACCCGCGCCCACCACCGATCAACAATGAACTCGAGGTGCACAGGCCAAGATCGACTATCGCAGCTGCCTGTCGAGCTCCTGGTCATTACTCTCCAGCAATGTACAAACTTCACTTCGCTATGGAGTCTGATTAATACATCCTCACGTCTGTCCGCCATATTCAATGCGCGAGCTTGTGAGATCGTCAGCACTGTTCTGAACACAATTCCGTCCCCCACTCGAGTCCTTATGCAAGCTGTTTTCTCCATGCAAAAAGGTACCTTCGCATGCAAATCTCTTCGTGAAGCCCGAATCTGGGGGTCAGGACATGACCAATGTGAGCCTTTAAAGTACGTGTCAGGAACTTCCTCGCAGTTACGATGCTTTGTCCGTTTGTGCCATCATGTTCACGTTTTAGCTCACATGGCCATTGAATCTTGCATTCAACGATGCCTCAAGAGCCCTTTGGGACAACGAAGATTTCCCGAGGGCTTCGAAGATCCAACATGGACTGAAGAACAACGGATGCTGCTGGGCTTTTGGCGATTCATGTACTGGAATCAACTCAAAACAGACATGAAGAGAGGTTTGTTACGATGGACTCGCCTTGACTTGGCAAAGCTGGAACGTTGGTTGCCGTATGAGGATTCTCCTGCGGTCTTCGGCAAGCAGGCATACACTGCGCTCTTCTATATCGAAGATCTCATCGCCCCAGGAGCGCCAAAAAGAAAGCTGCCCGCGTTACATATAAAGTCATTTGAATTGCTTGAACTTCCGAAAGAAAAGGAGTTTGGATGGAAGTGTCAACCAGCTCCCTCTTCGCTGGCTATCACTCAACATTGGCAACCTGGTGAGAAGTTTCATGAATTGACTGCCCCTGAAGTCATTCAAAAAATTGCACGATTATATAGCGCCGAGCATGATGAACTGTCCGATCTTACTCACGTGAGTTGCCCGCGTGGCTATTGTAACGGAAGTTCAAGCGTCAAAGACGAGGGGTATAGCTCGGATTCTAGCTCAGGCTCTAACTCTGGAGGCGATATTAACCCCCAAACTGGTGAGCGTTTACGTATTCGTTCTCCTCATGGATCTACCTTAAGGTACCCTACCTCTGAAGAGGATACTGAAATCCAGTATTGGTCAGTATTGACGCGTCATTTTCATGACTGGAATCCACGACCAGTGCGAGATTTTGATTCGGAATTGAAGGAGAGAGATGAGTGGTTTGACTTAGGAAGACCGCCACTTGGGCTGCGGTTTTGGCGCAGCATGTCCTTGGATCCAGAAGGAGGACCTGCCAAGTACATGTGGTTCGAGGGCTACATACGGTATGGATTTGCCCTCTGGGAAGAGAAGCGCATGATTGATCTTGGCTTGTGGTCGAATGGCATCATAGACGATATGTCGGAGTATTACCAGCGGTGGTATCAATTTCTTCACCCCGAGGATATCTCCCGTTATAAGGTAAAGAGCCGCTTTCTTCGCTCCGAGGACGAACTTATGAATGAGGCTTAGTGGTCGTAATTTATATTGATCTAATTATCACACGGAAGGTTGTCCCTATCTAATTGTCCCAGTAAAGTCTTGTTATCTGTGTTATCGGTACAATGCGATGGAGTTTGAAATTACCCAACACGGCATCGTTCGAGTCGGAGGCTTGGCTCTCCAAATACTTGAACCGATATATTATGGAACAGCCCTATTGTGATGTATGATGGCACATGGGGCAATCAAGCATCGCGTTAGAGCCTCATCAGTGCCGATCTCTATATCAATAAGGCTCGGCCCGCCCCACCATGTACATGAGATCGGGGGAAATACGGGGATCTACCACAGATGTATCATAATAATATGCATGCCTCTACTTGTATCCAGATATATGGTCCGATGGTCGTAATTCGTATTTCTAGCGACGACTCAACTAGGGCTTAGGTTCCACTGATTTAGACGAAGCGCAGTATTTTTACGACTAACGTAGCATCTTGTTTAGTATTGAAAGAGTATTGAAAAGAAAATATACTTCACGGAGGATGAGGCTAAAAATTTGAAATAGTTTTGAATGTATATGTCAGAATATATAAGAGAGTATTATAACGAACAAAGCAGATCCACTTCCTTATGCCTCAATAGAAGACAAACATATTAACTCATTAACAAAGACCATCCCAAGCAAGCGAATGCTTCACGACTCCTTGGCCCACTGCTTGCCACTCCACAGACCGCCGGTAGTCCATAGCCAATAGTCCCGACCCTTGATGGCCCACACCATCCAACTAGGCACCTGGTAGCCCATGGCGGCGCCGACACCCTTGCTCTTTCCAATTGGCACAAGCTGCATTTCCCGCGTGTCCTCCTTGAAAATACGATCAGCAGCAACGGCACTTTCGGCCTTCCCAGTGGCAAGAAGCAAATCACGTTTAATATTCGCACACAGAATGGGAACCGTATTCAGGATGTTGTGTACCGCAGGACGTGCATGCGATCCCACATCACCAACAGCATAGACCCGTGGACCAGCAGCGTCTACACGCAGGGTTCCCGAATTGGTCTCAACCTGGCCCCTAGGCGTCAATAGAGACTCGTGGATGAAGCTGGTGTTGGGCTTTGCGCCAGTGGCTGGGATGTAAATGTCGGCTCCGAGGGTTTTGCCATCTTCCAGGGTCACTGTCGCATTGGTCGTCAGAGCACCCTCGGTTCCTGCGCCGGGTGGTGAGACACTCGTAACGCGAGAGCCCTTGATAACTTTCACGCCAACATGAGCGAGGAGTTCTTCGGCCTTCTTGGCGATCGCAGGTCGCAAAACGGGGAGGATCTTTGTGTCTGATGTCACCAGGGTAATGGGGACCTTGGGATTCTGCTGTCCATGGCTGAACCAGCCCGAGCGACCGTTTAGATATTCACCTAGCTCTCCAGCTGTCTCGACACCGGCTGGGCCTCCACCCGCAATGACAATGCTTTTGGCATTCGGGAGAGCTGTGCGGAATGATTTCCAGCTATCGCGCAGGGATTCAGAGTCGCGGTTCAGTGATAGTAGAGGCGATGCAGTGGATGCGCCTGTGGCAATGATAAGCGCATGGTAATCGATCTGCTCGGTGTTGCCGCCCTTGAGGATCACAGTGACATGGCGATCGCTGTGGTCGAGTGCCGTCGCGGTGCCTTTAATAAACCGGAAACCGCTCGGGTACTGCTCGAATTGCTTTGGTACGCTGACGAAGAGCTTGTCCTGGGGAAACATATCGTCTGAGATCAATGCGCGAGGGGTTGCTGGGCGACAAATGACCTCCGACGAGGTGCTGACAAGGACGACCTGATAGCTAGCCTTGTCGGGCAGCTGAGGAACAACATGTTTGAGAAGGTAGTGCGCGACGGACACGCCCCCGTAAGAGCCGCCCAATACGACAAGATTCTTGCTCTCCTTAGCCATCGTTAGTAGACACTGAGAACTTAGGAATTAGACAAGGCCGAGAGATGATAGAAGATGCAAGTAATAGAGGACTGGAGAGAAGTTCCCCCTCTCCTATTCTCTTGGCCTAGCATTACCAATCTAGCCTTCTCTGACTCATGGCTTGTGACGGGTTCAATCGCCTTTGAGTACTTTTGGTGGCTGACGGCCCAAGACAGGGATGCACTCGACCGAGCCGACCCAACGCGACTTCGGATCCCGACTGCCGCCCTGCGGAGGTCGGAGCCCGGACTTTTTTCACCCGACACTTTCAACCTCAGATTGTTCTCATCCGGTCGCCGAAGTAGAGGATCATGGAGAGAATGAGAATTGAAAAGAGATGGTTTGTGGGATATAGAAGAGCGATGCATCCGCGCTGGGTTCCTAATTGCCCTCTTGGACATCGCCCGTGAAATAACAACGAGCAAACTCAGCCTTACCACTATGGCTCCCACTCAATCTCCCATCTTCCAGGCCCTCAGCGAGGAGTCCTATTCGGAATCACCTTTGACTGACGAGGCAAAAGACAATGCCCTCTATTGGTGGAACACTAGTGCCCGCGACTTGGCCAACATGCTCCACCAGGCGAACTATACCGAAGAGGTGCAGCGTGGGTTTCTCAGCTACTACCGCGATAACATCTGCCCTCGTCTCGGTGGCAAACCAGACAAAGACTCGGCCCCGAGTGGCGTCGGATGGGATGGCAACCCGTTGGAGTACAGCTTTGAACTGAAGGGCTCAACCAAGAAGAAGTCGGTGCGATTTGTTGTAGATCTCACCGAGTGCCGGCCCTCCAATCCCGATGAGCCGCTCAGCATGAAGAACACGCAGGAGATGGTCGATCTGCTTGCGGAAAAGACCCCCAACTTTGATGATACTTGGTACCAAGTACTCAAGGAATGGTTCGTGTACTCGCACCTGTCTCCGGCTGAGCAGGTGGCCTTGATTGCCAAAGCCGGCCAGCAAACATCGGTAATTATTGGCTTCGATATCTACCCTCGTCTCTCGAGTCCAGAGCAACTGCCGGTCATGGGCAAGGTCTACTTCCCGCCATGCTATGTTGCCTCCGACAAGGGAATCACTCGCTGGCAGGCGGTGCGCCAGATCATTCAGAAACTTCCCGGCGTGGAATCATTCCCTAACATCCTGAAATCAACGGAGATCATCAACAGCTACCTCGCAGAGAAGCCAGAAGCATGGCAAATGGGAACTCGGTACCTGGCAACCGATCTAGTGTCTCCGGCCAAGGCCCGCTTCAAGGTCTATATGCGTTGCTTTGATACTAGCTTCGAAGGTATCTGGGACTACTACACGCTCGGTGGTCGTATCCCAGATCTGGATGAGGACAAGGAGAAGTTCCGCCAACTCATGGACATGGTCAGTGGAACGACGTACGCGGAGACACGCAGCACGGATCAGATGGAATTGAATCGATTCACGTCCGCTACGAAGAAGCTGACTGCCATATACTTCAACATCTCACCTGACAACCCTTACCCAGCACCTAAGCTCTGCATCTACCCATCTAACTTTGCGCAAGATGATGGAGTCATTGCGCGGGGCTTGGATGAATGGCTGGATAAGTATGGATGGAGTGATGATACTAAGTCCATGGAGGATCAAGTTAAGGGTGTATTGTAAGTGGTTTCCTCCAATCACTGTGGGCCGTCTTATACTAATTTCCTACCAGCACTCACCGTAAGCTCGAGGAGAAGGCGGGTATCTTTACCTTTATTGGAATTGGCAGGAAAGAAGATCCAACGAAAAAAGACTTGAGTATTCAGGTGTACATGACTCCAGAGTTGTACAGAGACCCTCGTTATTAGATAGATTGGTGGGGGTTTTCAAATCAACGCCTGTTGGAAATGAGTCATAGAGACCATTTCCCTTTCTCAGAGGAACTCAAGCGCTATTTTGAATCAGACGCATCACTTCCAATGATCAAACAGAATATGCGCCAGTTTAGAATGTTACACACAGCAAATTAGCAAGTAGCAGCTCAGCGTTTTATGTATACATCGGTGTTCCAAGTAGAAGAGATTTGCTAGCTTATAATCTCTATGAATCAAGTAGAAAGTGAGTATATCTAGCTTAGACTGGGGATAAAATGCAGATAACAAGGCACAGAATTTATAGTAGGTAGAATTAGGCTTGTACAAGCATTCCATGTCACCGTCGCTAATGTACTCAGTCGTTATCATCGAATTCTTCTGTCTTCTATTGCTAGCAGATCAAAATGCTCACATCCGTTCCTGTTTTTCTTTCGCCGCATTCTCGTACGAAAACTTACCTTGCGGCAGCAACCGATATATGCTACTGTTCCGGGTCATAGCAACACCTTCAGTCAACTTCCTTTCCATGATCGTATCTTCCAAAATAACCATCGAAAACTTCTTCAGTGCTTTCTTTCGCTTCTCCCGGGGTTTGATGCAGCAAACTAACTTCGTCAAATGGAACTTCTGCGAAGATTGAAGATCTTGTTGCCTCTCTATCTCTGGGGTTATATCCACCAGGAAAGGTACGATGCGCAATACTGCGATTATCCTAAATAGCAATACTTCTAGGTTCACATTTCCAGCGAGTAGTGCAGGCATCCGCAGAATAGAGTGCTCGTGAAGAAATTCAAGGACATGCTTTGACTCCAAGCCGCTCAACTTGGGCTGTTAATCACAAATTACTTCTGTGTGACAGGATGGGTACGAACCTAAAGCCATTGTGGTGTTTGAATTTGTATATAAAACACAAGAAGACTGCTGCACAGAAAGCAAAACTTACCAGAGGGTGCTCCGTCCTAAAGGTTTCCGAAGTGCCGCCAAGAGCAACAGATAGCGCATATGCTTGCTGCATTGAACTGTTAAATCGGATTTAAATGTTCCTCCGAAAAGAATTGGGCAGAAATTAATCTCGGAACTGTGGACGGCAGTAAGACCACTTAGAGACTGCTTCAATGCTTCACTATGGGCATCAAACAGCTTCGCTTTGCTTGTAAGCAATGTGTCGTCACCAGAGGGAGAATGACGAACAAAGCGCGATATGGTGTATGATGGCAGATTTACTTTGAAAGAGTGGTCCACGAGGTAGTCCGCGCCATAAGATTCGAATGCGCGGACATCGCTAAATAATGAGTCAGTTCTCAAACCGACTTGCCCTGTCTCGCCTCCCTAACCATATCTAACATACCCATAGGGTTGGAATATATTCTGTCGCCAATGGCGAGAACTAAATGCTCGATACAACGAATTTGATCAAAAATTTGCCGGTGTCTCATTAGAGGCTGACCACATTTTTGGCAATTTGGTGGGCTGTCGGCTACACCATCGCTAGATTACTTGCCTGGGCGCTTTTTGGATGTGCGGCTGATGCCGAAAGCTGCCTAAGTGCAAACAATATGGGGTGGAGATATGTTCATTTCACCTGTAGTAGATTGATAACTGTGCTGTCACTATTGCGAGTGTTCGTGATTCGAATGCCACAAAAACCGAAATGCATGATCACTCAGAATTGAGATTAAAGACATGATTGAGCTTCTCATCGATCTTGCCACACCCTATGAAGGTCCAATGTCATTTGACGTTGTAACTCAAAGACCAAGGTTCTGTTTTGGACTCTGTGTGATCATTAACTGGATTGGTGGTATCGTTGCGGGTTTTGATTGGAAGCTACTCCAATGTAAATACGACTACCCCCCTATTTTTATGTGGCAGCCTAGATGTATTGCTCGTAGGGACAAGTCTCCCTTTGTCCTTTGGGACCATGACCCAGAGAAATGTTTAGTTCTTCTAGTCAGGAATAAATTTCCTAGAGCACACTGAGGTATTTTGTACTGCACATAACGATGACCTTCAGTGATGACAAAAATATGTGCCAGTCTAGAATGTTGACTATAGCAAATCATTAAGGAGAAAGCCAGGCAGCATATGTACGGGTAGCTACAGTCAACTCGTGCTCATTGACAGATCAACAGCATGTTTTAAGCATCAGAATACGAGCAGTACATAACAAGCAATTGGTTAGGCACAAAAGGATCTTCATGCATACCTGTGGTTCAATCACGGGAGCGCTCCTAAACAAGGTGCTGCGAATATATTGGATCCATCGCATAATTATGAAGATCATAACTGTTCCCAGGGAGGTCGCATGAGGCCCGAGAACAGAGGGCATTTCAGCGTCAGCCTCCACGGTTTAATACTCTAGACTTCTGTGTACCCTGGGTTTTCTACATCAGCCTTTGCAGACTCTTGCGCCATGCCAAGGGCGCCCTGCTCCAAGTAAACCAGCTGAGAGTGCGGACTTGATTTGACCCTGAAGAAAAGTCCGCAAAATCGGCCCAGCAGTGGCCCCAAATCACTTGGTACAGTCAGACAAACTAGGATCATGCAGATGAGCGGTTGAAACACGGCAGTACGATTTGCGGAGAGATTCATAGGCGGGATATCGCTGTAACCCTGATGCAATATACTGATTGGCTCACCCCTTGATTGCGTAAATGTCATCTACCTCAATTGATAATGCTGAGGATTTGTATACATCCATTGGAGGACTTAGACCACCTTCCCGCTCCGAGGGGAAGGGCACGGGTCCACGGGTCCACAGGTTCGGGCTTGGGCCGAGAGATTAGTAATCATTCGGGCGAATGGCGTTTGATATGGAAATTGGCATGTTGCGCGATGATACGCGACAAAGGGGTCCAATATATCTAATCAAGAGTGGCTTTCAGAAGGTCTCGCCATAGATACCTGAGTCCAATGATGCTCTGTATCCTTATCAATTCTCATAATCTCTTCAGGCTTTGCGACGCGATACACTCTTGCAGAATTCCCATGCATGCCACGTTTTGATGATTTTCCATAGGAATTTTCGGCCCCCATCCATGGGGCTTAGACCAATGGTATGCACCGACTGTAGACCTGCAGTCAACCTGAAGGATTACACAGCCGAACTAGAGGCGTTAGCTTTGCGAGCAAAATTGCTGCCAATATGCTCGACACCTGGCCGCTTGATTCATTTAGATTGTTTACTAACCATTCTAGTCCCAGAAATTTAGTTCTCTTACTACCATATAAACTTCAGCCGCCTGAGACCTCTAGAGCGTTTACCTAAAAAGGTATTCCATCGCTCTGGGCGCTTCGGACCGGACCGCCCAGCTCCGGATGGCGAGTTCCGGAAACCATTTCGACACAGTAAGCTTCAAAAGGAGTCCTTAGCTTCGGTCAGGCAGTCATTGACGCCGCTGTCACAGATACTGTTCGACTAGCGCCAAGAAAGGGTTGTGTATCCGATTGGTCAATCTCCACTATCAGGAAGCCTAACCCGGTCTCGCTAACTCGTTCTGGTATAGTGCATATTAGGGCCGACCAAAGTATCGCGCTAGGCTGGATTAAGTATATCGTGCACCCTGAAGGGTTCTCGAGATCGTACTCGAGCTGCAAGATTTGGTAAGAAGGTGTGGCGGAGAGAGGGTAAGTGGGACACGATTGGCGGCGGACAGGACGGAAACACATCACCTGGTACGAAGTGCATATCTCCAAGGCTGATATTGTTATTTTTGTTTATTCTTATTGCATTCATCTACGCCCGGCGGGCCCTTTGGTTCTGAGATCTCCACGGGATGATGGTAACTGCGTGAAGCTATCGCATTGTTACATAGAGGTGGCAAATGGCGCCGAGAGCTCTATATACGAAAGGATCACCCTAATGCAAGGCCCGTGAGGCTGCTCACTCAGATTGACGCCATCTAATGTAACTCGTGGTAGACAGATATGATTACTCTTGGTAAGCCATATTGTTACGAGATCTTAAACTGTAGAGCTGGCGTCTTTGCTGAGTGTTTAGATATCTCTTTTATCACTCCGTACAGAATGGCCAAAGTTTCCAAGAAAGCAAGTATAGCAGTTTCCACCGATATACATGGATACTGACAAGTTAGAACTGGGCAACGCCCGATGGTGCATGCACTAGCTGCCGTGCCCGGAAGATCAAGTGCGATAGAGAGAAACCCCAATGTAGCAGCTGCCTCGGTGATCAACATGAATGCATTTACTCCTCCCCTCCAAAGAGGGTCAACCATATCAAAGTGCTGTATGCAACATTTCCCCCTATGACCGAGACATACATTTTGACCCCACTTTAGATGCGAGAGCTTCGATGAGATCCAAGATCGCTTGATCATGATGGAGAAACAGCTTTCTCAGCTGACAGCGACGCTCGGGAAGACGAATTCTACAGAACACGTCGATATTCTCGAAAAAGTCTCCCCGAGTCAAAATCCGACCAGCTTCGGTCATGTAGTGCGTGATACTGATGGCCAAATCGAGCGATACCATGGTCCCTGGACACTACTTGCCCAATGTCGCCAACTTGAGACTGACTTGGCATGCTGGCCCGAGGTTAGCACGCTTCTGACCAGGATGGTACATGACACTATGAGATTGTCTTTGGATTCTTTTTCTGCAGGACTGGCTGATATGAAAATTTGCCTGCCACCCCGGCAGCTCTTGTCTGTTATGGTGGAGTGCTTCCTGAAGAACGCTGATTACGCCACGAGCATCTTCGATCATCAATCTCTCTATCATGCAGTTGACCGGGTGTACCAGAATTCTGCCAATCCCGAGGAAAAGCCCTGGGTACTGTGTTTCAATCTCATCATCCTGCTTACCTTGGGAGCGGAACACCCCTTGCAGAGTGAAGACCCGTTCGTAAGACCCATGCTCCAAGCCGTCCACGTAGCTGCAGGAAACTCGAGATTATTTATGGAGCCGAGACTGGTTAGCGTTCAAGCCTTAGCCTTGTTTGTAAGTGATGAAGTCCTCTTGATTGTTTCGCCTCTGACAGCCTCCGAGAGCCTTTTTGTGCAGCAATGCTATACCGACAATGAAGCTCTCGGTGACTCCATATTTGCCCAAGCATGCCAGCTGGCTCGCCAGATGGGATTGTCCCAGCCTCGCGGACATGCGACAGCCTCCATTCTGACCCCGGCCGAGGCAGACGAGCGACAGCGCGTTTATCAATCGCTGTACATTCGCAATCGATACTCTACTACCGCATCTGGAGGTCTTGTGTGGTTGCCCAACGTTTCAGCATTCACTGGCACTGTTGCAGCACTTGCAGTACATTGGGAGCTTGCAAAACTACAAGATGAGGTGCATCGAGTGCTCGGGGCTTCCGATCTTACATCGTCGGATTGTCGCGTCGCCGTGGCCCAACTCCGCGAGAAACTCAAAGTATGGCAAGAAACATATCTTATGACATTCAGTACCGAAGCAATGACCGTGGATCGCGTCGTGCTATATTTGAACTTCCTGGGAATTCGCATGTATATCAGCAAGGAGAGCAAAGATACAGACCGAGAGGAAGTCCTAGACGATTGCCGCCTGAGCTGTCTCCTGGTCATTGTGTCATGCACCCAACTGCATAAGGTCGATTTGCAAAATCAGCTTTATGACCTTCTGCATAAATTGAGCTCCTCGCGCGAGAAATCAGACTCTATGTCGCAGTCGTCTCGGGCATCCACCCCGTCATCCTCATCCTCCTCTAATTCTACAGGTGACAAACTAGCGCAACCTGCCCCTTTGGCGGAAACCTCCTCAAACAATAACTTCTCAAACAACCCATCGATTCTACTTCCGCTTCATCGTCTTGCAAAAGTTTTCCCCATCACCGCTATATTCATGCTCGGACGACATATTCTTGGCGTTACCACAAACGGCAAATCTTCAACCACATTCAGGACTGAACACGATAACAACTCAGACATTCTCCTACTCCAATCTTTGCTACTATGCTTTCAAAAAAGCCCACCTTTCCTGGGGAACAACAAGCAGCCCGATTCATGCAGTTACAGACTTGGCCAAGCCCTCGACCACCTGGTCAACATCATCCATACTATGACATCTCAACGGACCTCCCCGAGGGGTCAATACTCCAAGAGCCCGAATAACGACATAGAAGCAAATGAACATTTATGCAGAAACTTCATGGCATCACAAAGCCTCCCCCAGGCCACCGATCTGTCAAGTTTCTGGTATTCGAGGGAGATGACCGGGCATACACCGATGGACATTTCAATATCAGATTTCCAATCTGCGTGGCCAACCCCACAAGATTCTCTAGGCTCGTCAACTATGCCGCTGCTTACATCTGAGGGCTCAATTTATACACCGGCTATGGAAGCAACGCCGATCATGTCCATGTCGAACACACCATTGGACCTCTCGGGGATTTTTGGTCCGACAGAGCCGGATGTTCAGGGAGGGTGGAATGTAGTCAGTGATGTTTCAGATATTTTACAGCACAGTAGACCACCTATAAAGAGACGGCGAACTAATGAGGATAAACTCTGATGAAGGCGCTGGTTCTTATTGGGCTTTTTATGTGAGGTTATCTATAAAAAGCGTTGCGGAATCATTTTGCGCCATTAATCTTTCGGTATATAGTCCTCGTTTTCCCTTCTTCTTGTTTGCTCGGTTCTAGTTATGGATTGTGTCTCCCTCGATTAGAACTTAAATCTAGAGAGTGTGACGAATTCTGATAAATGCTTCTCATGACCATTCACATTTGATGCAATTGACATCTTTCTCTTTATAGGACCGTCATGCCTTTCTAATATCTCTTCAAGAAACACAATGTCTTTTAAATCTTGAATTACCACAAAGATTGCAATAGTAGGGTAATATGTCCACATCCTCTATTCGAACAAGTTACGCATGGAGAAACACACGATATGTACGAAAGCAGGTAGACATAATATTGAAACAATCTATTGTATCTCACAAAACCAACAGATCTCGAAAAAGCATTAGCCCCGCTTCAAAAACTCAGCCACAGCCTCACCCATCTCGATCGTTTTAGGTCCCTTGTCCATCAATGTGAAGTGATTCACCTCACCAAGAACCGTAATACTCAACCCTTCCCTTCCAACAATACTAGCCCATCCATCTGCAGAGAAATCGGTACGATTGTTCAACAACCAGATCATCTCCCGCGGATCATCAGGCCGGATCTCCATCTTCGGTCCATTAGGATCCTTGCACACTCCATCGCGAGCATATACCATCAGTGAAGCTGGTGCGTTAGGCAGTGGAGATGGCTCATACTCATCCAGGATACTGATGAACGCATTGAAATGTTCGAGGAGCCATTCCGGGGTCTTGGGCTTGACGCCATTCTTAGCTGGTGCTGTGCCGAAGATTCCCAAGCTATCAAAGAAATCGAACATTCGCTTTGGTGGGTTTTGTAGACCGATAGGGTTGGGCGAGTCAAGCAGAACAAGGTGGGAAACACTGGTCGTGGTTTGCTGTTGGCTCATCTGTCGGATTGCTTCGAAGGCGAGGATTCCGCCCGCGGACCAACCGCCGAATGCGATAGATGCATTGGTATTACCCTGTGAGTGGACCGCTTGAATCAATCGCTGTACCTCTGGGAGGTATTGGGCGACCATACTTGACATGGTGATTCCTAGGCGTGTCATTTCGCGGGCGGTCTTGCGCCAGGGGCAGTTCAGTCCGTACACAGCCACGGTCTTGGGAGCCACGGCTGGGGCTAAAGCTGCGTAGGACGAGGCGGACCCGGAGCCATCTGGGAAAAGGAAGAGAATTACCTGAGCGGCCTTGGGAGAGCCGGACAGGAGGATCGAGGTGGCTTGCGGGAGAGACGAATTTGTTGTCCCGGGCATTGTAGACGAGACTGGGATTGGCTTGTCCCGAGTAACGGAGGATATATGAGTCTTGAGTAGTTTTGCTTTGGGGTTTGCCTGTGGTTTCTCTAGCCCCATAGCGTCGTACAGTTCTTCTTCCAATTCTTGCACGGTCTCAAGTTCCATCAGCATGCTGCCGGGAATTTCGACTTGCAAGAGCTCCTGAAGTCTGCCGCTGATGGTGAGTCCAAGCAATGAATCTACACCAATATCTGCTAGACAGGTATGGGACTTGAGTTCATCCATGGCTACCTGGGTCTCTTCGGCAATCGCTTGTCGCAGGACTAGGGCAACTCTCGCACTCTCAGGAGATGAAGACGAAGGCTCGTCACCATCTGGGGTGAGAACGCCCACCGAAGTCGCGCGAGTGGAGCCCTGGGACTCTGCAAAATAGTCTTCTTCGCCACTTGACGTGCCACTTGGTGTATCGTCTTCTTCTGTGCTTGCCACCAGGGTCCGCAACTCACCCACTGTGGGCTCGTCGACAAACAAAGATGGAGGGAAGTCGAGACCTAGTTCATCTCGTATTTTGGCAGTGATGGTCAAAGAAAGGAGTGAGTCTACTCCTAGATTTGCAAACTCAGCATCCGGAGTGAGATCAGGTATTCCAACGCCGACCTCCTCGCTTATCAAAGCCAATATGCTATTGAACACCCTCGACGGTGACTGCGAAACAAGCTTCGGCTTGGGAGTAGCTTGGCGGACAGACTGGGGCGAGGCTGACTTGGCAGGAATTTGCTTCGAAGAGGCTTCAGGGGCGACAGGCTTTGCCGCTGTGCTAGCCTTGGGGCTATTCCCTGGAAGGAGGTGGTCAAGGGCACGGCGTGGCACACCTTGGAACTATAAAAAGTTAGCTTGCTGCAATACATCTGGGACAAAGAAAACCAACCGTGACACCCTGGAATACAGCAATGATGCGGCCTTCGTCCAGTATATATGTATCTCCAGCGTATGTCGTGCCTTCAACCAACTGCATCCGATTGTAGGCCTGATAGGTCTTGTTCTCCTGGAGGGGTTCTGCAATGCGCATAGTCTCCCATCCGTGATTGATAAAGACCTGATCCTTGCTGCTAACTCCGTCATTGGCGTTCATGATAAAGCCAGCCACGCCACCCAGACTGTCAATCCATCGGGGGTTGATACAGAACTCATCCTTGCCAATCTGGAACTGAACGGTAGATACTGCTTCCAGCCGATGGCTATCAAGGATGATCTCTGACATGCCCTGATATTCCTTGCTGTAATCAACAAGAGCAGAAAACAGCTTATATGCTAGTCCGCGCTTAATGAGATGCGTTTCTGTGTTGGGATTGTGGATGCTGGCATTCAGGGCGTCGATCCGTGCAGTGATGAAATGAGTATTGCGTTTCCACTCTTTTAGCCACTGGTGATGTGGGAATACATTGACTTCAAACTTGGCGTGTGCTGTTGTGCGTTTTCCAGTAACATTAACGCTGAAGATCTCCATAGCAATGCGGTTAGCGGCCCAGTCTGCATTTGCTGAGAAGCGGAACAGGTGTGCGGTCTCATTATTTTTGGCAATGAGAGGGTTGAACACTTTGACGTTTGCCACATCCAGCCCTGTGGTGGCAGGTGGGAGCTTGTTGGGAGATTGGCGGACCAAATAGTCAGCCACAGTGAACGCAAGATCTGCGTACATTGACTAGGAAGTTCTGTTAGCTATAGCTGTCGCATAAATCTATTTACTAGAGAACTTACCGATGGACATAGTGCTGCTCCATTCACAAGATGTCCCTGCAGCACGGGAAGCAGCTTCTCGTTGAAGATGTCTGACTCCACCATCATGTATGAATGATCGGTTCCATGAGTCTCTTCAACTATCTGCTGCGCACATGGAGAGAGATACTTCCGCACTGGAACCGGAGGTAAAGCAACCTCCATAGGCGCCTCTCCGCCCTTTGTGAGAAGGAAGTCATTGCGGTATGGAATCCAATGATTTTTGAGATCCCATGAGTATCTTGGAAGCTCAACAACTTGATGGGCTGCTGGGAAGTGACGATGGTACTCGTTCCAGTTGATGTCAAGACCTGCCAGGTATAGTGTTTTCAGACCGGCAGTCAGCGTCTGATACGGATCAACCTTCTGACGAAGTGTTGCGATAGTCTTAGCGCGTGAGTCAATTGTACCCTTGATCATACCACTACACACAGGATGAGCACCAATCTCAAGCCAGATCGTGCGGTCAAGGTCTGCGAACTCAGTAGCAGAGGCAAGAGCCTTTGTGAAGTTGACCTGTTCTCTGCAAGCAGCAGAGAGATAGTGAGATGTCAAAGTACCATGCTCTCCCGCAGATACAACCCTTCCCAAGAGTGGCGAGAGAACCGGGATGGCAGGAGGATTGTAGACCACTCCTTGCGATGCACTCTCATCGAAGGCTGCTAAGATAGGTTCCACCTGAGGGGAGTGGAAAGCAAATGGAACCTCTAAATTGACCACTTCTACTCCCGTCCGTGCTGCTTGTCGCGAGATCTCGGCAATTTTGTCTCCAGGGCCAGCAATCACATATCCTGAGGGTTGGTTAGCACACGCTATCTCACACTCGTCATTAACGAGTGAAGCTCTCATCAATTCATCAACCACGTCCTGGCGTGCCTTGACTGCAAGCATAGAATGAGTACCACGAGAGCACAATTTCTCGAGTAGTGTAGCCCGGGTTGCCACCAGGTAGATCATGTCTGCGGTGTTGAGAACTCCTGCTGCATAGAGAGCAGGATATTCACCTAGACTATGACCAATCACGGCTGCTGGAGCAATGCCCCAGGATTTCCAAAGCTCAAAGAGAGCAACTTGGACACAGACAAGAGCTAGTTGCGATACCACTGCACTGACATTTGGAAGTTGTGCCGCGGTGATAGTCCCGTCAATCAGCCCAAGGAAGGATGGAAAGCCCTGGATTTGGGCTAGGCGATTGAGCTTAAGAAGGGTAGTACGGAAGGCGTCATTCACAGTGAATAGCTGTTTCCCCATCTCCGCATATAAAGTTCCCTGTCCAGAGAACATGAAAACCAGACGTGTCTGCTTCTTAGGGCTAGCAGGAATTGGCTTCAGGTCAGAAACTGCAGATTGATTCTCCTGCGTCCAAGACTGGAGAGCCGACTTGACAGATTCCAAGTCAGTGCCCGACACAATGACGCGATAGTTATGATGCATTCTTCGGGCTGTAGTGGTGTATGATAGCACAGTAGCCGACAAGGAGGTGCGCTTTTGCTCTAGCGATGCCACAAGAGAGTTGATATTGGACATCAATGACTTCGACGACTTAGCTGAAACAGTGACCAGATGGGTGGAGCGAGCGTCCTTCATGTTATCCATCGACTTTGGAGCTGGTGCATCTTCAACTAGCATAGCGGTATTTCCACCAGCTGCACTGAAGTTGTTCAGAAATACCGCACGTCGACCAGAAGGAGCATCCTCACGGTGCCATGGCTTGACTTCGAGAGCAATATTCACACCCCGCTGAGCTAGGTCCAGGGGGTAATTATGATTGATGCGGTTTTTGATACCACAGTGAGGTGGGATCTCGTTGTGCTTCATCATCATCATGACTTTTATCAGTGAAGAGACACCTGACGCAGACTCGGCGTGTCCAATGTTTGCCTTTGCGGAGCCCAGATATAGAGGCCGTGCTGGACGCATCTGAGTCCTCTTGTACTCAGGGACAAACGCTGACAGGACCGAGTTCATCTCAGTAGCATCTCCCGCTTGCGTTCCGGTGCCATGCATTTCAACATAGCCGACATCTGTGGGGTCGATACCTGAGTGGCGCATGATATTTTTGAAGACACTGACTTGATCACCCTCATGAGGACGGGTAATGCTTTCAGTTTGGCCGCAGTGGTTTGTGTTGGTACCTAGAATTACACCAAAGATGGGATCGCAGTCTGCCTCAGCATCCTCAAGTCGCTTCAAAATAACGGAGCCGACAGCGTCGGACCGGCAATACCCATTGGCTTCATCATCGAAGGCATTGCAGTTTCCTAATACATACCATGTTAGAATCTGATCACAACTCATAGATCTGAGAGACTTACCAGTTGTCGATAAGAAATGAGCTCGATCTAAACCCGCAAAATTGTCCGGGTTAGTCAGTACATTGGTACCACCAGCAATAGCAGTATCACACTCCCCTCTCCAGAGGTAGCCACATGCAGCCTGGATGGCAGCAAAACTGGACGAACATGCGGTGTCGACGCTGAGACTGGGCCCCGAAAAGCGGAAGAAATAACTGATACGGCCAGGCACAAAAGCTCGATTACCACCGGGAATGAAGTATGTGCCGATATCTTGTCCGCTGTTGACTTCTCTGTAGTCGTCGCTGGTAGTGCCAAAGAAGACGGCCACGCGGTCCTGCTGTGTGCTTGCTGTACGATTGCGTACCATACCAGCCATTTCCATGGCTTCGTATGTGGTTGTAATGGCCAACCGCTGGGCTGGATCTGTGTTTTCAGCCTCCTTGGGAGACATGTTGAAGAACTTGGTATCGAAGAGACCAGGTTCGTCGATCCAGCATCCATACTTGACACGACTAGTATTCTTCTTTTTGCTGGTCGGGTCATGGTACTTTTCCCAGTCAAATCGTTCCTTTGGAATCTCGCGGTGAACATCTCGGCCAGCCCTGAGGAGTTCCCAGAAGGCCTCGTTGGACTCTGCGGAGGGAAAGCGGCCGGAATATCCGATGATGGCAATCTTGGACTGATCAAACCGCCCTGTAGGCAAGTCCTGATCATCAATGCGACCGGAACCTGTCACATCACTGATCGTTACTTGGAGACTCTTTTGCTTGGTAAGTTCAGAGGCAATCATCGTGGCCGCATTGCTAGAGAATGGGAGAATTGCACATTCCTGAGCAGCCCTTTGGGTTAACCACGTCTGACACGAGTCAAGAATCAAGTCCCAGCGAACGGGCTCCAGCAGGGTCTCATGAACGACAGTGTGTAATAGAGAATCAAAGCTGGGAGCTGGCATGGCCCGTCCAGTAGCAGAGGAAAGCAAAGGCAGCTGTGGTTGGCGCTCGGTTGTCTTTGTGTCTGCTAATTGGCCAATTATCTCGTCAACGTCGGAGTCACAAAACAAGTGTGCTGCGTGGTATGGAGAATCAATTTCGAGCATTTTATACTTCAGCTGAGTAGAGTTGTTTTCGAGGAAATCTTCTAGGACTGGGGGATTGCCGCTGAGAGTGACGGTCTGGCCAGCAGTAACGGCACTTTTCCAAAGGATCGAATCTCGAAGAGGTGTCTTTGAATCAACAGATGTGAGTATACTATACGTCATGATACTCGCATCAAGAACACGTACCTTGACTGCCATATATTCTCGCGCCATTTCCTCGACGCTCTTGTCGCTTCGAGAACTCACGGCGACAGACCATGAGGAAGACTTTTCGGAGCTGGAGCGAGACCAAAAGCTTCGAGAGACGGAGAAAGAGAGGAGCGCTGTCCTGAAGGCTGTAATAGTGGCTTCAACTCCATTGGTGACGAAGTCTGGAAGATTATAGGAGCAAGCAAGGGCCGATGCGGCAAAGCCACCGGTACAAGGGCCAATGAGACAGGCATTGACTGGAGGGAATATCCTAGACCCGTGAGAGAAATATCTGCCTTATAATTAGCATTGCATTGACAGAGTAGATTGAAATGATCCCTTACACAATGCATTGGGCCACTTGCTGCACACTGAGAAGGAAGAATTCAAGAACTGGTGTTCCACTTGTCTCTCCAAGTCTTGAGATGAGATCAATGAGGGTAGTGAAATGAGGGAAGAAATCTTGCTGTTGTAAAGGCAATTCGGCGAGTAACCTCCGCAGCGAATAGTTAACTCGATCAAAGAATGAAGTAAGAAGGGGATTGGTCTTGACGTGCAAAAGGCTCTTGAAGGAATCCTCCAGGTTGACAAGGCTTAAGTCACCGAACAGAATAACCTGGCGCTGTTCTGCAGGCTGCTCGCCATCCAACACAGTCACTGCCATGGCTGGCATTCAACGGTATTGATTAGACGAATGACTATCGGAATGCCTTGCAATAGTCTACTGCAAAGTGAAAGCAAGACTTTAGTACAGCTCGTTTTTAAATATACATTGTAGTATCTGGCACTATAATCTGCCGACAATCGGGAATAAGCACTCGGGACACGGGGCCCGAAGATAGGTTTTACAGCTGTTGAAATCTAGAATCTGGCGTGGGAATAAGACAGTCAGCCCCCGGGTTTACCGCGCCCGTTTGGCTTGACTTTCGCCCAGATCCAAAGAGTTTCGGCGCCCGAATTGTTGCGTCTTATGTATGAGTAAGATTCTTGCGGCCACAGATATTCTGGCCCGATTGGACAGGCTCTAAATTGTCTAGTTGGGATTAGTTAAGCTAAAGAGTACGCCCATCGCGATATAAGAATCCTGCTGTTCGGGTGCCTATTCTGCAAGCCCTTCTTTCCAATTGAATACCATCTGCAGAAATCTTGATATTCTTCCAGTACAAACTTTTTCGGCATCATGTTCGCATTCACTGTGTTCGGGTACAGAAAAGATGGAATGAGCGAGGAGGACTACCACAACTATATCAGCACCGTGCATTCTGCCCACCTCAAGGCGCTCCTGGCCAAAAATGACATTGTTTCGTACACTATGGTATGAAAAACCCCAGCCACATCGAAGACGTTTAAACTAACATAGTTCCCAAAGCAACATAACACAGCTGCAGCCAAGGCCGAGCTCATGAGCACAATCTACAAAGACCAGATGCCAGATGATAAGATTGCTGACTGTGATGCTCTTGTCCGTATTGTTTTCAACGATGTCCAGGATTATGTACGTGTGAGGGAGGACCCTCACTTCTTGGGTGTGGTGAACCCAGACCATGCCCACTTCGCAAACTTCCCCAAGACAAAGTTTGCTATGGGATGGTATGAGGTTCATGTTGCGGATGGACAGGTTGTATCCTAGAAGTTGTATTGCTGAATTGGAATCAATGTATCTTAAATTTGTCATTTGAGGTCTATGATTCCACTATGGAATCTTGCGTGGATAGGCAAAATCTCGACTCATACATATATCAAGCATACCTGAATACACAATGTTCTGGCTTTTCTCATGTTAGTTCTCTAATTGGACTTCCCACAGACCCCGACAGCTATGGGATGTAAATCTCTCTTGGTACTTGATCTGCGCATTGGATTAATTGAAGTTCTCACAGCACGCTGGAGGTAAGAAACGCACCTTGAATTCTGCACTGGCAGACTGAATCAGGTTTCCCCATTCGGTGGATTTGCGTTGCTGCACATTGTGCATTGTCATCAGAGTCACATCTCTTCTGCGGAATGCCCTTTCCACATGAGTCTCAAATGTCGCCCACGAGGGAGAGACCAAATCACTGATCAGAATTAGAGGCTTGGTATGGTGCTTCATTGCAGGCAAAATGCTCTGCAATATGGTGAGAACTTCATCATCTGGATGGTTCCACAGCACGCCTCGCAAGAGGAAGATCGTGGTATCATGGCGATTGCTGATTTCTTCGACCTTCCTGGTAGCAAAGAGATCCCTTTGAGATAATATTACCTGCCACTTCAGCTCGGCCTCCAAAAGTTTTTGCCCTCGACCGATTAAGTCAGCCGAGGTATCTTGAACTTCGAACTGCATATCTGGGAATATCGTTGCCAGCTGAGACGAGAACGCTCCAGTCTTCCCTTGTATTTCAATGATGCAAGGTTTCTTTCCATTCCTAACATACTCCGACCCTTTGATCCACTCTATGACCATGTCATTTCCAGCATCAAGGCCTGGAAAATAGTGTTAGTATAATCGGATTTAGCACAAGAGTTCCGGATCCATACTTTTCGATACGCTCCCCATAGCCTCCGCAAATCGTTTCCCCATCTCTGGATTCTTCCTATGCCAATCATACATAGGCATGCCCCAGCTACATCAAAAGTCAGTTTAAGCTCAACTCACTAAGTCCGCCAGGAAGCGAAATACCTACGCAAGTTCAAATGCAGCTTCTCCGGTCCAGAAAGGATTGGGCTTCCGCAGCGAATCAGCTAGATGCGCACTCGCAACTCGTGTTTCAAATAGTTGAAATGCGATAAAGCTCTTGTAGCCCTGATCCTCGACGAGGGTTTCTGAAATAGCTGTATGGGCAAAGTCCCCCTCAGTTGGCTCGCGCAGAATGCCAGTTGTTGCGACAAGTCGGCAAATACGGAGCAACTTGTTGGCTGGCAATCCAGTTTCCTGCGCAAGCTGAGCGATGGGGATTGTTGATCCATCAAGGGGTATATGCTCGAGTACATTGTGATCGAGCAGTGTGTAGAGCGCTCCGTGTTCCCAATTGACGGAGACATACTCGTGCAGGAAGCCATGAGGACCCTCGAGGAGGGCTCCGAGACTTTGACTGAGTGCTATTACCTTTGACTTCAGAACATCGAGTTTCTCATCATGGGTGGTCCAGAGACTAGAAGTGGCGCCTATGTTGAGGCTGTCGGGGGGAGGAATGTTGACATCTTTCAGTTGCTTTGACAGCTCGGATGTGCTCGCCAGGATCTGCTCGGCAGTCGTTACGAGAATGTTTTCGTCCATTATTGGCTTGATTTGCGGAAGCTTTGGTTTTGACTCTAGAATACAACACTGCAGAAGAAAAGCTGGTACAAAGGAGAAAAAAAAACAGGTTATCCCACGGCGTTTCCATAGCTTATACAATGAAATGCATAGCTGTTCTCGGTCTCAAAGCTGTCAAATTGAAATCGCATCTCGTCTATCGGAGAACCGACTTCCGTTAGGTCGCAATTCCTTCCTTTGTCGGGACAACCTCCACGGGGTTCGGGCGCCGGGGCCGAAAAAAAGGTAAGCATCGCAGGCAGCTGGCTGGAACGTGCCTGGTACCTTTTCCAGAACCTTTTTGCTTCATTATTTCTATTGATAGCAATAAATACCCGATGCCCAAAGTTGGTATGGTACTACCAGACCCCCATGCTTTCTTCAGTGACTAGGTGTTCTATAGAATGTCTCCTAGTTCAGCCCACCAGAAAGGCGTTACCAATAAAATGGTATAAGGTTTCTATAATTGAGTAAAGATTTTCTCCAAATAGCTATCCATGAGATCTCATTTCCTAATTGAGTACGGGTAAAAACTGTAGGCAAGAAGTTGTTTGAAATACTAGAATTTGACTTGGAATATGGGAGCTTCGTTGGCAGTACAACTAAAGACAGCAGTGCATAGCCTTGAATCTTCAAGCCATTCATTTACGGTACATCTAAGACGTCTGCGCGATCTCTTGTCCCTGTCGAGTATCATGTCCATCCATCGGCTTAAATCCACGCCGGAACACGGGACTTTCCTGGACCTTGTTCCAGTCATGCAACATCCTGCCATTCTCAACCGAACAGGTGACCTCCTCTTTTCCTCGAGGAATCATCTCAGACTCATACTCTGCGATGGTCTCAGAGAGATTTGCTTCTCCACTGTGGACTGCAATAAGACCCATTAAGAGCTTGGATACATCGTTAACACAGTGGTTGAGTCCCTGTCCGCGATCTGGAATTTAGAAATTTTGTTAGTAGAAATTCAACAATTTGGTGGTTCATTATGCACTCACACGGTGGCATTGGATGCGCAGCATCACCAACAAGTGTCAATCGGCCCTCCCGATTCTCCCACGGTTGACTGATCCAGTAACTGATATCCGCTTTGTGGACTTCAGTGTCCTCGGGCATCCACATGAATGCGGACCTAGCAGGTTCTCCCAGTCCATCGGCACGTGCCTTAATAAGAGCAAGTCGCTCGGAGTAGCACATTGTGTTGTCACTTTCGCCCATCCAGGCCATGGCCATATGGAAGATCCAAGATTCGGGATGATCCGGACCATCGGGCATGCTCGAAACTGTAGCTGGTTTAGGAACTGGAACCACATGAGAATGCTAAGTACTTACTAGACTGGAAAGCGTGGAAGGACCTATCGCTCAGTGCGAGGTAGCTGGTAGGATACTTCTCACGCACGTACTTTGCCTTTTCGGCATCGTTGTAGCAGACCGTCATGTTAGTGTGGAAGATAGGGAATGAAGTGGTAGCGGCCAGCTCAGCATCTCCCATGGCAGTTTCGCGTACGCGAGACCGGGGCCCATCAGCGCCGACAATCATAGATCCAGAGACGAGTGTGCCATCTGAGAATGTGGCGACTACGCCTTTGCCGCTCTCGTTGAATGCAATGTCTACCAGAGTTTTGCCGTACTACTTTAAGGTCAATTCTTTTCTCCAAGGGCGCAGGATGGGGTCACTAACCTGTACGTCAATTCCTTCAGCACACAAAGCACGCATGCGGCTTCGTGGAACCCGCAATCCCTCCGTATAGGGAACTCCAGTGATCAATTCGCCTGTCTCACCGTGGATGATTGGATACAAACCACTGTGGATTCCCGCAATAGGGTTGCAAGCGATCGTGGGGAACTTGTCGTGGACTTCCTTTGGAAGGATGTCTTCCAACAGGGGACGTGCCCAGTGAATGGCCATTGTCCATTCATTACTGCGGTAATTCATAGAAGCATCACGCTCAAAGCAAGAATAGGGGATTCCGGCCTACAATATCGCGCTGTCAGGTATGAGTTAGGGCTTAGGGATACACGTCGCGAACCTTTTTGAGGCCCTGGCAAGTCAGAAGTCCGGTGATACCTAAAGGCCGTTAGCATATCTCCATAGATACAAGACTAAGATGCTTACCGGCTCCGATAACAATAACGTGCGAGTCAGTCGAGGCCATTTTGAAATTCAGAAAGAAGGAGGCCGTCTTGGTCGCCCTCTCCCCGTCTCGCAGGGGCCAGAATGCAATCTATATCTTAATTCTGACTCTCTGACAAACTAAATCCCGGTAACTGAATCCCTGGAGCCGAACCGATCGCATCATCCCATCGAAGTATTCTTTGAAATTCGGGTGCCGGTCTTAGCCCCCCGGATTTCGGGATCCGAGGCTCATGCAGCAAAGCAGTTCTCACCTGCATAGAACAAGTCACTGAAAATCAATTCCTTTATAAGGGAAGCCTTGCATATGATCCATGCAAGCAAGAATCGTGCATTAACTCACATACATTCTAGAAGCAAAAATGAAGCTATCTCTCCTCTTTTCTCTTGTTGCCTTTGCGGTGTCGGCCCTCGGCAGTAAGCCGACTCCCCCGGCCCTGACTCTTCTCTTCAGTGCTACTGTGAACAAAGGCTCTGCTCTTATTATTGAAAGTTCTTCGACCGGTCTGAAAGCTGTTCAGGCTATTACTGATGGTTCTTTTTCGGGTCCAAAGATGAAGGGTTAGTGAACAAGACGCAGTCTGCATAAAAAGCACATAATGTTCATTCAAACAAGGATTCTCGGGCTAATTAATAGTGATCTGCAGGTACCGTCACCACTGGAATTGCAACAAGTGTCAAGGGACCCAATGGGCTCAAAGTCGAGGCTACCTTTGTCTTGCAGACGAGTGATGGGGCTAATATCTTGATTACTGAGAGAGCGGCCATTCCTTATGTTGAGGCAATCTTTGAGACAGGTGCGGAGGCATATGACTGGCTCAATAACGTCACTGCATGGGCGACGCCACGCAGTTTGAGCAATATTGATTATCTGGACTACTGGCAGGTGAGTTTTGTTCGTGCCGATGCTAGGCCTTTTCAGTGCTAATAAATGCAAAGGTCGCCACGGCCTAGTGTAAGACGAGTTGCCTGTCCTGAAAGTTTGGATACTATTCTAGCTTGGTGTTAAATAGGTCTGGTTCGCTTGGTGTAAAGTAATCTTGGTATTACCTGCTAAAGCAAATCTTTCAACGCTGCTTCCTCTCCCACTTTGAGTAACCAATCAAATGCAATCTTCGATCTTCAAGAAATACGAATATGCTTTCAATTAAGAAGACATAATCTTTTAGATGCTAGAAAACACTGGGCACTCAAGTTACATATACTCCAAGCGGCAAAAAGTGCTTGCCTGTAATCCTTGCAAATCCAAGGAGATATCACATGCGATGGTGAGCGTCCAAGTATTTTTTCCATTCCCCTGTAAGGATTTTTTTTTACTGATAAAACAGAAATTAATTGTTTCAAGTGTGTGGAACTTGTTCAATAACCAAACAAGCAACACAGCCATGTCTATACCGCGAAGGGGACGCCAAGTCTGCAGGTGCTAGCCCCGACACAGTACCACAAAATCTCTCAAAAAAGAGGACTTCCACCGCCGTACGCTTGTCAAAGATAGGAGCTTTTCTTGGAGGGTATAATCTGGAATAGCACTTCCTCCGGCTGGTTTTTCAGCCGTCAAATGTGGAGCATCACAAAGAGAGTTACGCCACCAGAAACGAACAGAATCATCGCGCGTGGTAGCCCATTCTCGCCACACACGCCGGCAGAAATCTCCTCAACACGAACAGACTGAGAAAGACTTGGTAACACTGAAGACGACACCCTTATCCAAGTCCAAATTTGATTGGCGCCTCTAGTGGAGCGAGCTTATCACGTCAAGTCAATGTAATAAGGAAATAAGGTATATCCCGTTTAATTTGATTCTTAATATAATTCAAAATTACTTAAGTTCCCAGTGATGTCCCTCAGAGACAATCTCAACCGGGCGCCTCTCATCCAGCGACTTACGTCCAGCGTCTAAGATAGCAGTTGTGCCAATTGTGTTGCGGAGAGTGGGCAGAGGACGAGCGTCCAATTGATCAAGGGTCACGCGGCCCTCGTTCACGGCAGTCACGGCATCAATGAACTTCTCGAAGCTGATGTAGCCGTATCCGGTCTGTCCACTGAAGTTGCCCTCCTCGTCAGGAGCGTAGCGCATATAGAATCTGCGTTTGGGGTTAGTATTTGAAACTGGAATGATAGATAATGGAAGCTCTTACGGGTTCACCCAGATCAGACCCTGGTCATCGCCGGTCACGTCGTAGCCGCGCTTTGCTTGGTTCACACGGATTTCACCGTTGGCGGCCATGTCTAGTTCAATGTGTTAGAATGGTGCAGGGAACTATTTGGTGCTCGCGGGAATGTGAACATACAGTGGAAGTATTGGTTGGAGTGGACACCAGCGTTCTGAGGTGCGGTCCAGCTGGCAGTGTAGACACCGGTAGCAATCTTTGATGGATCATCACGACGGCGCCACTCAACCAAAAGAGTGATAGTATCCTCAGTCTCGGGAACACAGCCAAGTGCAGCAGCGGTACCCTGGGAAGCAGTAGCTGTGACCCGCACGGGCTTGTATTCAGGAACCATACTCTCACAGATATCGATGTGGTGAGAGTTCAGGTAGTAAGAGATATCAGAATCACGGCCGGCCCAGGCCTTAAAAGTCTCGAGCTGGCTCTTGGGCTGACTCATGTAGCTGTAGAAGTAGTTAAAGTCACCGAGAGTCTTGGCCTTGGCGCGCGCATCGGAGTATGCAGGGTCGAAACGCTTGTGGTGCTCGATGAAGACGAAGACGCCGTTCTTGCGCGCGGCCTCGACGAGGGAGAGGTGGTCGCCTAGGCGCTGGGTTGCGGGCTTGGTGATGAGCACATGGTGCCCGCGCTCAATGGCGTACAAGGCAATCGGGTAGTGGGTTGAGTCGGGAGTGAAAATGGTAATGGCGGAGCCACGGGGAAGGGCGTCAATTGCGGTCTTGTAGGCATCTGGGTCGGTCTGGTCGTCTGCGGGGAATGAGGCAAATGAGGTGTCGAGGTTGTTGTAGACTTGTGAGATGTTGCGGTGCAGGTGGTCGCCTATTATTCTAGTCAGCCGTCTTCTTTGGCTTGTGTTCTTTGCGCAACTGACGGATTCCGGGGAACTTCTTGCCCGACACACCGACCATGCTCAGGTCGCCAACCTTGCCTCGTCGGCGCAGATCAAACAGTGTGAGGCCTACCACGCCAACCTTTTTGTCTGATCCAGAAGCACCACCACCGACAAAGCCAGTGGTGTACTCGCCGGTGCCGACCTGTCAATCTGTTAGCTTGAATTTACCGCGGGGAGTCGCATGCCATACCATCAAAACGCTAGGAGGAGCCATGATGTCAATGATAAGTATTGTCCCTGGATAATCTGGGGAACTCTGGGGGATGAAGACTTTTAAGAAGAGAAAGCAGGGAAATCGGGATGTTTAGTTGCTGGAATAAATTCCTCCGGCATTTGAAGCTCAATAGCCGTCATATCTTATCGCCATGTATTTCTTTCCCTTCTTCGCCTTTTCACCACTCTATTTCTTAACCTATTTCGTGGCTGGATTTGAATGCTCTCAGTAGTCTCAATTGATTTACTTAATTGACTATACACTCCATCATGTCCTCTTTGCTTCTCGCAACGGCTGTTCTGCGTCGTTAGCCGTACCCCTCATGCCCCCACACACTGGCCCGCATCAGGTGATTGGTGGAATGAGATTCTCCGCCATACAACGCGCATCGGAGCATTCGCCGACGTGGGGGAAAGATGGCCCGAGTAGAACGATGTATAATTGTCTATATACCCCTCCCATCCAGGTATGTTGTTGCTCAATTCAATCATCCGATACAGTCCGCAATCATGACACTCACCCCACTCCGCCCCGGCGTCTATGCGCCAACAATGACCTTCTTTGATACCCAGACTGAAGACCTCGATATTGCCGCTATCCGTCGTCACGCCGTGCGCCTGGCCAAGGCCGGCCTCGTCGGTCTGGTGACAATGGGCTCAAATGGTGAGGCAGTGCACCTCACCCGTGAGGAGCGCGCGACCGTCACTCGCGAGACTCGCTCCGCGCTCGACGAAGCTGGCTTCAAGAACGTGCCCGTCATCGCCGGTGCCAGCGAGAACAGCATCCGCGGCACCATCGATCTGTGCAAGGAGGTTTCTGCCGCTGGCGGCGAGTACGTCCTGATCGTGCCTCCCAGTTACTACCGCTACGCTGTCGGCAACGACGAGACACTCTACGAATATTTCACAGCCGTCGCCAATGGCTCGCCCATTCCTCTTATCCTGTACAACTATCCTGGTGCCGTTGCAGGTATCGACATGGACTCCGATCTCATCATTCGCATCTCCCAACACCCCAACATCGTCGGCACTAAGTTCACCTGCGCCAATACTGGCAAGCTGACTCGTGTCGCAAGTGCCCTCGGCGCTATCACCCCCTCTTCCCCTCTGGCCCCGGCTCAACGCACTGCTACCGTCTCCAAGCCCGACGCCAAGCACCCATATGTTGCCTTCGGTGGTATTGCCGACTTCAGTCTCCAGACCCTTGTCTCTGGTGGATCTGCCATTCTTGCCGGTGGCGCTAATGTCCTTCCTCGTCTCTGCGTGCGCATCTTCACTCTTTGGTCTGAGGGTCGTCTCACTGAGGCTATTGAGGCTCAGGCACAGCTCAGTGCTGCTGATTGGGTTCTTACCAAGGCTGCTATCCCTGGTACCAAGGGTGCTATTCAGTCTTACTATGGATACGGTGGCTTCCCACGCCGCCCTCTTGCTCGTCTTAGTGAAGAGCAGACTAAGGCTGTTGCTGATAAGATTAAGCCTGCTATGGATGTAGAGCTGTCTCTCCCTGATGTCGCATAAAAGCTTTGCTTTACGAATCATTTCTATTAATATAAACCAAATTATACGTTTCTATTGGTTTAGCTTTGCAGCTCTAAACCTTCCCATGGCCTGAAATGACACTTTATTTATTGATTCTTCTAGTAGGATAACAAACTCGGGAATATTCAAAATTAGCCGAGGCCCATAAACTTCTACAATGTGGCAACGCATTCTCCCTGTCTTCTACGGCGATTGTACTCTTTAGCTTGTATTTCATATCCTACTCGCCAATTCCATAGAGCGTTCCCGCCCTCACATTGTGGGGGCTCGGTCTCAGCACACCCGAAAGACCGAAGCCAACAATGACACCAAAATGAAGTATTAAACTCATCAAAACACATCTAATGTGTCAAACAAGTAACCTCAGTTCTTATACCAAAATTTTAACCCCAGCAACCCCAAGCCCTAACCCCAAGCCCCGCATACACTTATCGCGATAAGCCCCGGAAATCAATTTCTCCCTTGACTGTAATTGGTGGAAAATCTCCAAGTCGGAGCTGATACGAGAGCCCCAACTGCCAGAGTAGAACTACACATACACACCCCTACGTAATGTCCATACAGTTGACTACGTAGGCAGATCGTATTGACATCTAGAAACCCCCAAATTAAACTCCACAAGAACAAGATAAGCCCCACACTGCACAGACATCTGACCTTCGCCCAGCGTATTGTCTTTCCTCTCGGACGAGAGACAGTCAATTCATCTCGCGCTCTGATTCCCGGACCGCATTTGCTAGTTCTGCCGGTGGAGTCATTTCGCGCTTTAATGTCCGAGCCTGTGGGGTGCTGTACATTGTAGAACGCTTGTATAGTGTCAGGGAGACTATATCCCGCATTGGTATTGGTATTGGCTTTGGGATTGCAACGGGAAGATGTCTCGCGATCCGTGCTTGCTTTGCGGTTTTCGTGGCGTTGATATACATACCCCCCTCCACCCCGCGCTTGTTCCTTTTCTTTTTTCTGCTACTCTTACTCTTTTATTGCTTTGTCTTGTGTCTACTGTCTGTCATACCGTTAGGCTCCTTGGTCGTGCTATCTCTGACGATCTTGATCAATTGCTCTTTTTTATCTTGAACAATGCCTTACCCCGAGGAAGCTGAGGGTTTCCAGGTCGATGGACCTGCAAGCTTTACCGAGTTTCACAAGCGCTTCGTGGGTTTTCTTCTGTTGGAGGTTTTTGGAATTGTGCTGACTTGGCTTTGGTAATAGTTCAAGCTGAAGCCTTTTGGTGACTATGGTAAGACTTGATTTTGGTGTTGTTGCGATTGGTCTGGTTCTAATTGTGTATAGATGTCGATGTCAAGATCGAGGCTTGCGGTGTCTGTGGTAGTGACGTGCACACCATCAGCGGTATGAAATACTCCAAGATCACGACTCAATCGATAAAAAGTCCAAACTGACAACCTCACAGGAGGATGGGGCCAGCAAATGTTCCCTCTCTGTGTTGGCCACGGTAAGAATCCATGCAGCAACCCTCCAAGATTTCCCTCATACTAACACCGCCCGAGAAATCATCGGCCGAGCAGTCCGCGTCGGACCCAAAGTAACCCTCATCAAAGAAGGCAGCCGGGTCGGCGTAGGTGCGCAGTCCTACTCCTGTGGCACCTGCAAGCAATGTAAAAACGAAAACGAAACATACTGTCAAGTCCAAATGATGGACACCTACGGCTCGAAGTGGCCTGAGACAGGCATTATCAGCCAAGGCGGATACTCCTCACACGTGCGCACCCACGAGCATTGGGTCTTCCCAATTCCAGACGCGTTGGAGAGCAACACCGTCGCGCCGATGCTGTGCGCCGGGTTGACGGCTTATTCGCCGCTTGTGCGGAACGGCGCTGGGCCTGGAAAGAAGGTTGGTATTGTTGGCCTTGGGGGTATTGGGCATTTCGGTGTTATGTTTGCTAAGGCGCTTGGTGCGGAGACTTGGGCTATTTCGCGGTCCAGGGCCAAGGAGGCTGATGCGCGCAAGCTTGGGGCTGATGGGTATATCGCTACTGCTGAGCAGGGGTGGGAGAAGGAGCATCTTTGTTCTTTTGATTTGATTATCAACTGTGCTAATTCTTCGGAGGGCTTTGATTTGGCCAAGTATTTGTCTATGATGGATGTTCATGGGCGTTGGATTAGTGTTGGCCTTCCTGAGGAGGACGGGCAAGTTATTAAGGCTCAGAACTTGATCTCCAATGGTGTGCTTATTGGTGCTAGTCACTTGGGTTCTCGGAGGGAGATGCTTGAGATGCTGCAGCTGGCTGCTGAGAAGCGTCTTAAGGGTTGGGTTGAGGAGATTGCTATTGGTGAGGAGGGCCTTAAGGAGGCTATGTTGCGGATGAAGAAGGGTGATGTTCACTATCGCTTCACTCTGACTGGATATGAGAAGATCTTTGGTTAAGGGGTGTATATGTAGAACATGGGGGGGTGTTGGTGTTCAATAGAGTTGGGTGGTGTTCGTGTTTGATAAGATTTTGGTGGGAAGGCTTATAGATCGCGAATTGATTATCTATGTGCAGTGCAACATCTGATGCATGCATAATCGCTTTCCAAGTTTAGCATTTCTTACCCGTACTTTCTTTTCTTTCTCGCCCGAACAAAAGTCAGCCCCCATGGATTAAAGATTGCCACCCGGGGACTAAATAGGAAGTACTCGGTACATGGACCCGCGGTCAGATAACAGGGCTATCGAGGTAGAAGTACTCCGCAGTTCGGTTCCCCCATATTTGCCCCCCGACACTCTAAAACTCTGATCCGTGGGGCGACGTCTTTGACAAGTACCGGGTACTTGTTTTCGTTACCACCCAGCTCCCCTCAGCTTGTACCTTGTACTCGCCAATACCTCGCCCTGGAACCAATCGCTCCTGTCCAATTCACCGCCCAACCCTCAGACCCGTTCGATCGGCTTTCTGGAATTCTTCCGCCCTTTTTTATCTCCCCTTGCGCCGTCATTTCTTTCTGTTTGTTTCTCCATTGCATTCATTTCCTTCTTTTCTGGGTACTGGAGTTCACAAACGGTCGTTGTCTATTTACTCGGGCATTTATAGATTTGCCTTTGAACTCCCGACGATCATATCGACTTACATCTGAGCAGTCTCAGCCCCTGTCATTCATTGTCCACCGCTATCGATTCGCGGTGATCAGGTTCAGACCGCTTGCATAGTATTTACCCCCTCGCATACGAAGCGCATTTCATTATGTCGCCACGAGAGAATACCTCCGCCACCTCCACACGACGACGCCCCTCGTTGTCGTTTCGTTCTCGCCCCCGAACAGCTGCTCCCGTTCCGATGTCGAAGGATTTTGGCTGGGATACCTGGCAGGAGCCATCCTTGGTGAAGATGTGCCAGGATGGTGAAGCCGCGGTGTTGGAAGAAATGGAGCCATTCCCAGATGCCGTGCCTCGACGCCGCGGTGCCAAAAGCTTCTCAAGCTTGCGGCACCCCGTGGACGGCATTGTTGCTCTTGGCCGCCGTCTCTCAGTCAGCCTTCGCAACAAGTCTTCCAAGCAGAATCTCACTGTGATGGAAAACGTTCATGATGATCTCGAGGATCATGAACGGTATGAGGATCGCCATTATACTCATGTTACGGATCGTGCCGGGCACAAGCGTCATATCGCCACCGGCAGCTGGGATGCCCGGGTGGCGCCGAACAATTGGCCTCAGGGGTATAGCATCAATCGTCGTCCTTCGTTAAACAGCGTGTCTGCTCTGCACGGCTTCTATGCTCCCACTGCTTCAATCCCAGTCCCCATTCCGGGTCGGGGGCAGGAACCTCCGATCCTACCGAACAATCGGTTTGGGGGTGCAGCGGCGCGCGCCGCTGCCGCTGCGCAGAATGAACAAATGGAGGTTGCTCGCATGGCCAAGGTTGAGCGGGAGTCGAATAAGATTCTTGAGATGAGAATCCCTCAGGACTCGGAGAGTGGCATTGGTATCGATCTTCGCGATCGGTCAGAGGTGCCCGATGTTGGTTTCCAGGGCATCCGGCGTATCGGTAATAATCATTCACGCATTCTTGTGAATTTTCTGCTAACGTATTATAGATCCCATTGGTTTCCTCCCCGCCGAGATTTCAGCTCACATTTTCTCCTATCTAGACCCTGATTCCCTGATGACCTGCGAGGCTGTGTCTCGTAGTTGGCTCCAGGCCTGTTCCTCGCCGGTGTGGAAGCACGTTTTTCGTGGTACATATGGCCGACGCCCTGCGAGCGACACAGCCTCCAAGATGAAGCAGTCTTCCGGCCTGGGCAAGTCAATTCCGAACCAAGACTGGAAGAAGATGTACTTGACCCGGCGCGCTCTTGATCAGCGCTGGAAGGATGGCAAAGCGGCGGCCATTTACCTGCAGGGCCACCAGGACAGCGTCTATTGCTCCCAATTTGACGAGTATGTTGCACCATTATCATCTGACCTGTGTCACGTTAACCATTCTATAGGAAGAAGATTATCACAGGCTCTCGTGACCGAACTATTCGCGTATGGGACGCTCACTATCCTTGGGCCTGTCAGAAGATCATCGGACCACCATCGCAGCGCGTGTACGGCCGCGGTCCGGTGAACAGTCCAACTTCCCAGGCCAGTGGAACATCACCCTTCCTGACTATCACGCCACCATTCGTCCACCCTGATAATGTCGATGAAGGCTCTGAAGAAGAAGATTCGGTGTATCACAGCGCCTCAATTTTGTGTTTGCAATTTGATGAGGAGATCATGGTGACTGGATCTTCGGACCACACCTGCATCGTGTGGGACATAAAAAACGACTACCGACCTATCCACCGTCTTTCAGGCCACCATGCCGGTGTCCTGGATGTATGTTTCGATGACCGATACATCGTCTCATGCTCCAAAGACACCACCATCTGCGTGTGGGACCGTAAGACCGGCGAGTTGCTGAGACAACTCGTCGGCCACCTCGGTCCTGTGAACGCCGTTCAGCTACGAGGCGACCTTATCGTCTCGGCCAGCGGTGACGGCGTAGCCAAGATGTGGAACGTGATTTCTGGCCAGTGTGTCAAGGAATTTGTCAGCAAAGACCGTGGCCTGGCGTGTGTCGAATTCAGCGATGATGGCCGGACCATCCTGACTGGCGGAAACGACCGCATAATCTACCAATTCGACGCCAATACCGGCGATCTGGTCAATGAACTACGCGGCCACTCAGGCCTAGTCCGGTCTTTGCACTTGGACAGCGATAATAAGCGCATTGTTAGCGGCAGTTACGATATGAGTGTCAAGGTGTTTGACCGTGACAGTGGCAACTTGTCTATCAACTTCCCTGGCTGGACCACAAGCTGGATGTTAAGTGTGCAGTCCGATTATAGACGTATTGTTGCGACAAGTCAGGATGCCCGCACTGTTATTATGGACTTTGGATATGGACTAGACGGGATCGACCTTTTGGAGGAGTGATCTATCTGCTTTTTGGTTTATATACTGTTTCTCTAGCGCTCTTTGCCTTTCATATGCGGGTTTCTTTGGCATATATATCATTTGAATTTGGGAGTTAGATTGATACTAGCCACGGCACCAAGTCAGGACCTGGTGGATTAGATTTTTGTTATGTCTTTCAGCATATGTATCACATCATCGCAAAAGTAGGTAATTTGGAAGTACGTTAATTACTTTTGATCTCAGTCTAACCGTTTCAACTTTCTATAACCGTTAGACTGACCAGATTATGCCAATGTATCAGGCGGTGGTGTCAACGGTGAGTCGGATTAACTAATCCTCCCGTGAGTCGCCGGCAAAAGCGGACTAGTGCCACCTGGATTGATCCGTGGTTTTTAGCATCAAAACAAACCTTCTACTGTTTCCCATCAAGACTGTCGAAAATTGACGTGTGGTATTCTATTTCGCTCAAGCATTTTCTCGCTTAGTGCTCATCCCATAATCTTCATTCCGCTTTAGCGTTTTCATTGATATCAATTCTACCCCACCATGGGTGAATCCAGGTTCGGCTTTTCTCCTATTCCCCCGCCTTCCAACTGATCGACCCTTACTTACGGTGTTCGGACTCTAGACAGGAATTGCTGGCATGGCTCAACAGTCTGCTGCAGCTGAATCTTACCAAGATTGAACAGTGCGGGACTGGGTATGATCTGCCGACCCCTCTCCGCTGCCTGGGCTTGCCTGGACGTTGACATATATCAGACGTGCTAACGTGTTTCTGCCTTGACAGTGCTGCGTTATGTCAGGTCTTCGACTCTATCTTCAGTATGTAACCACAGTTTCGCGGGACAATCAATCGAGAGGCGGTCAGGCGACACTGGCTGTATCACATTTACTGACTGGGCTATTTCTTTGTTCAGTGGATGTTCCCATGTCGCGAGTCAAGTTCAACGTCAACACTGAATACGCCTACCTCCAGAACTTCAAAGTCCTCCAGAGTACGTACTGCTCTATCCATCAACAATGCTTGTTTAACACGTCCTACTCGCGCAGATGTCTTCGCCCGCCATCAGGTCGACAAGCCCATCCCCGTCCAGTCCCTCACGAAGTGCCGCATGCAGGATAACCTGGAGTTCCTTCAGTGGGTGAAGAAGTACTGGGACCAACACTACCCCGGCGGAGAATATGATTCCGTCAGCCGACGTAAGGCCTCCGGCGCGCCTGCCTCCGTTGGTGGCCCAGCTCCTACCGCCCGCGCCCCATCTTCACACAGCGCTCGTCGCGGCGTGACCCCCACGACTGGCGCCGCTCGGCCCCGCGTTGCCGGTGCTGCCACCGGAGCCGCAACCGCAGCCCTGCAGACAGAGATTGCGACACAGAAGGAAGCCATTGCCGGTCTAGAGAAGGAGCGCGACTTCTACTTTGCCAAGCTGCGCGATATTGAACTTCTGTTGCAGAGCGCCATTGAGGAGGACCCAGAATTGGAGAAGGAGGAGGATACGCTTGTCAAGCACATCCAGGGCATTTTGTACTCGACCGAGGTTTGTTCGACTAAAACCCACACGCCGGAACCCCCGCACTGACACTGTCCCTAGGACGGATTTGAGATCCCCGCTGAAGGGGAGGAGGTTGTGGCTGAAGACCTCGAGACTTTTTAAGCGAGTTCTCTCTGCCCTAGAGATCTCGTTACTAAATACCCCTGTCACCTTGATTCTTGCGTTGTGCCAAATAAGATGAAACGTAGATATGGAACGCACCCACGTTTTCGATGGATATCCTAAAATAGTTGGAGAATGGATCGGCATCTTCATGACACATTCTTCCTCCTAGGGCTAGCGTAAATCTACAGTTCTGTAGACCTTTAGCGAGTAAGCCAAGACAGTATATAGTACTTGGCACTACTGTAAAGTGCCTACTGTGATCGTTGACTCCTTGCCTATTATATACATGTACGGTAAGCAGATAATTAAACCTGCATGGCACACTAAACCCCTTCCAGCCTAGCCATGGCCAGAACCTCATCGCTGCCCCACCTGTCACTTGCTATTCGTTGATCGCGCGTACCTGCAGTTCCCGTTGGTCTTTTCTGCTCTTCTCTTTGTCAACTACCTGGACATTTGACAGATTCTGGGGGGTGTCTAACAGTAGAGGAAACACGAAGCATTGAGAGTATCACAATCAGAAACAAAGTGGACCCATCTGATCTCACTGCTACGAGTTCGGGTCGGGTAGGGGGATTGTTTGGTTCGGTCTGGGTCCTCATTTCCGCCGTTTTCTGTCTTCTCTTCCTCTTCCTCTTCTATTGTTCCCCCTTTTCAGTGTGACACACGGTGTGTGTTCCTCTGGGGCTTTTCAATTCTCATCTCTGCTGTGCACTATGTACTAAGGAGGGGTTCTATTGTTTCTTCGTCACTCCTTTATCTCAGGTATGTGTGGACTCGCAGGTCAGCCCACATTGGATCGGAATCTATGCTAACGTATCTTAGTGCGAATTCACATTCTTTTGATAATCTAGTCGACTTCCTTCGATTAGTCGTACCTACCGACCTTGGAGTCGCCGTCCATCGTTTCATTGTCTGCGCTGTGTCCTTCTTTTGTGCTGCGCGCTATTTGGAGTCCTATCTCGTCCCGAGTATCCGTCGCATATTCATGCTCATTGTTTTATCGCATCGTTGACTGCACCTCGTCAACTTTCACTCTCTCATATCCTCTTGACTTGGTCATTCTTTTTGGGGCTGAGATCATCCACTCCATTCGATTTTTCGTCTATCTGTGCACGCCAGACCGTGCTTTTCTTTCGTGTCAACTTCTTTCGTGTCAATCTTGATATCACGTCTTATATCTTCCGCGTGTGGAACCTCAACCTCTGTGAGGATTTTTGGGACATTACTTTTCGCCCTCACTGTTTGATATCTTACCTTCACGTCAACAATTGTCCATATCTGTGAGAAGCCGACAGGATGCACCATAGCCATTTCCGCCATTCCCGCATTGAGCGGTTAATGAGCGCCAGGCACCACCTCCAAGCCGAACTCACCGACGATGCTATTGACACCGGCTTACTTGAAGACCGCTCTCCGTCAGCGACTTCCAATCTCCCTGCTACGGATGTCATTTCCGATGAGACTTGCGATCCGTCGACAAATGCCACGTGCCTTGACCATGAGATGGATGGATTTGATACATCACCTCAGAAACGGGACAAGACGACACCTACTGATACGACTGTTGTTGAGACTGTCTTGCAAGTAGTCGACACTAACTCGCATACGCTCTGGCAGTCGACTGGTGCTGCTTTTCCCACGACTTTTTCAGATCCTGCAGTAGGCACTTTCACTATCCCAACATCTGATAGTACCACTGCGACTGCGACTGCCGCTGCTTCTGTCTCTGTTTCTGCGACACTGTCAATAGCCACATTACCTCCACTTGTGTCTGCCACTCAGTCGACAACCTCACTGCTTAGCGAGTCCTCATTAAGCAGCATCACAAATTCGACTCAATCTACTACGAGTACGGCTAGTACCACCAGTCGTGTTCCTTTGTCATCAAGATTAGTGTCTGCCATCAGTTCTCTCGCAACTTCGACTCCTCTTGTTGCTCCATCGACCATATCGTCTTCTACTTTCAACTCACCCTATGGATACTACTGGTCGACATCGGAATCCAATTGGAGCTCCTCAACCTCCACAAGCTCAACGTACACTGTTGACTATTCGCCCTCCTCGACAAGTTCCTATGGAACCTCTGGCGAGACCAGCACTGAAACAGAGAGCGGTTCCACGCCAACAGCTAGTGAAACGACTGCCGCAGGAACCGGTTCATCGAGTCAAGCTGCTAAATCTAAAATTGTTGGTGGGGTGGTCGGATCGATTGCGGGTCTTGCTCTGCTTCTGTTCCTCGTTGTCTTCCTCCTTCGTCGCCGAGGACTTCTACGTGGCAAGAATGCGACTCATGCTCCTCTCTCCGACGACGCAGCAATCGGAGCTGGAAACAGAGAAATCGCCGAACGTCGCTCAAGCAACGACCCCCTTTTCACCGCATCATACTTTGCCCCCGCTTTCATGAAACGCTGGCGTCAGTCAACTCAAACAGTACGTACTGAGAGTACGATTGACTCAAATTCCAGCGAACGCGGTTTCCAAAAGATTTCCGGTCGAAAGCTTCCCCCCGTGCTCACCCATGGTGGCGATGGATTCGGCGGTGGCCTCGATGGTGACTCCCCCACACTCCCAGGCTTCGCCCCTACTTCGCCAGGCCCAGGGCCAAGTGGCTCTCCCGCTTTTCATGCACCGCCCCCTGCCTCGCCATATGGCATGCCCCTCGACTCGAATTACACCCGTGAGATCGAGGAGCATCAGCCGCCTGTCCGGCCCTCCCCCGTGCACCTTCCCATCTCCAACACGGTTCCTGTCGCCACACCCGTCACAGTCACACCAGCGCATCCTGTGGCCCAGCCTCAAAGTGCCATTCCCATCGTCCCGCAGCGACCAGATGGGTTGGGCCGTAGTTTGCCGAGCTTCGACGGCAGTCGAAGCAGTCGTTTCACGGAGGGCATCGACATGTGATTCCCTACCTTGGGCTATGTGAAATGACAGATATGATGTGCCGGTGGCTTGGTCCCACCCATTTATGGACACGACTGGTTTCTTGAGCGTTCGAGTGAGCACGGAATCGTCTTTTCTTGTTTATTTTCCTTGTTTGAGTCAGTGTACTTTGCCCCTTCGCCTGTTGGACGCTTTGTTGAGCGACTTCCTCTGTCTTTGAGTGTTTCTTGTTTTATATTTCTCACTTATTGATACCCCCACTTCTCTTTTCTCTGATCTTGGTCTGATCTCTTACTCACTTTTTTCCCTTGAAAAGTAAGGCATTCCTCCTTAATTCCAACTTCGCACTCCCCCTACTGTACGTCATTTTTGTCACATGTTATTTTGAGATCGGGCTTGTTTATATCCTCTGCCCGTGTCAAGGTCTGAATCATATCAGCCGGGCTAATCAATGTAATGTTTGGATCATCATTCATTCTCACCATTGCAGCCTAAATTGGGGCTGTGGCTCTCCAGAAGTAGAAAAGTAAAAATGATCAGCCTGTTCGAGGATCTACGCCGTATATGTATTGCCCCTTGGCTTACTGCCGGTGGAATAGGATACCTGATGACACCCGATCGTACAGCAGATCACGGCGCCACATCTGCACCGCCACATCAAACGCCACAGATGGCGAACTGCTACAAGCTGTCTAAGCCTTCCCCCGAATCGCAATCCTCAATAGTGTATTTCCCAACCCCTGCACAGCCAAGTTCAAGGACCACCTTCCTAGTAAGAAACCAATGACATCGCGTGCCCACGGCCTGACACGGCTTAGCCGCCCAAGTGGACCATCGCCATCATCCCCCATCGCAACACGCAGATCAAGCCCATGACGCAAAAAGACTCATCTCGCCCAATTAGACTCTGAGCCCAGGTCGACTGATGATAATCCAATATATCAATTGTATATACCAAATGTACATGTCTATGATGGGGTCCATATTGACTGTGCATCCTTATTGGATGTTCTCATCGAGGCGCAGTCGAGCGGTCTCCGGCGCCAAATCCCGTTGATGTCGCTATTGGATGGGATGTGCTTGGCGTATCGCTCATCTGTTTGATGTTTCTTGGTTCCATCCGTGGTTTTAGCTCTATGTCTGTCATGCATCTGTTACAGGAGAGGGCGCGTACATGCCTCAGCTATCTGCTTTGGGATTGGGTTTGGGGTTGGGTTTCTGGGTGCCTATTCGTATGATGGTGCTTCGCCTTCATTCTTACCGTCTTTCATATCATACTCCGTGCTCGTACCTGGTCCACCTCGCCAGCGCTACGCTGCCCAGACGAGGGGGGCTGTGTTCTCTGTAACTCATGTAATCAGTGATCGGTGCCACTCTCAACACTTTAGGCGTATAATTTATATTATTTTCGTTTCTTTCTTGATCTCTTGGAATCATATATGTTATCGCTACTTGGCATTGATAATAGAGCTTTCTTGCCGACTATTTGCACTTGCGCGGTATTTGTCTCTCGGCGTCTCTGGGCACAGCTACACAGCCCCATCCAATAAGAGAGAAATCTCTTGAGATAACAAGGACTTCTCTCCCGCGATATTCGTCGTTCGATACTTATTGTGAGACGAATATTGAGTTACATTTTTTTCATGGGAGGCTTGCTGTTTTGATTCGCAGAGTTCCTCTGTGATTGCCTCACTATGTCATCCTCTAACGATACACGCCGGCAGGACTCGCTTTTGAGTCCGGTTATAGTTACGGATTTCTCGAATAATTCGAGCAGAGAGGTTTGTCTTCCTATGCTATCTGATCCGATAGACAATACCTATTCCATCCCCTTCCTGGAACAACGCGACTAACCATCTTGCTATTTCTTTGCTTCGCTCTATATAGCGCTCTCTCTCTGCAGCTTCTTCTTCCTGGTCTAGTCCCACAGATCTAGATCACAGCCCAACATCCCCAGTGTCACCAACCATGGCCTGGAACCCTGATCCAGGCAGGCTGATGGTCCATCAGACCTCACACCACCATAACCATAACCACCATCACCACCCATCAAACTCAATAGATGGCGACACATTAAGGCCGCGAGCGGACTCATTCGCCTCATCGGCAGATACTATGGTCCGCTCGCGCGCTAATTCAGACGTCCATCCAGCCCACGCCGTCAACGCCGTCTACGACGACGTCTCATTGTCTGATGCTCTAACCCCAGACCCAAGAAATGAAAATGACTTCCAAGTTGAAGATAACAGATTCGCCTTCTCCCCGGGCCAGCTGAATAAAATGCAGAACCCAAAGTCCCTCGCTGCGTTCCATGCTCTTGGTGGTCTGCAGGGACTGGAGCGTGGTCTACGCACTGATCTTGACGCCGGCTTATCAGTCGATGAAGGCTGTCTTGAAGGTGCCGTTGACTTTGAGGAGGTTGCCCCGTCCACGCATATAAAGTCAACTGCCAAGTCAATACCTAAGACAAGGGAGAGCCCCCCTCCCGCGCCGGTGTCTTCGGGGGCTGGACAGCCCTTTGAGGATCGGATTCGGGTTTTCAGTCAGAATCGACTGCCGGCGCGGAAGTCGACGGGCTTCTTTAAATTGTTCTGGATTGCTTATAATGATAAGATTATTATCTTGTTGACTATTGCCGCTGTTGTCTCGTTATCGCTTGGGATATACGAGACTGTTGACGGCGGCACGGGCGTCGACTGGGTGGAAGGTGTGGCCATCTGTGTGGCTATCCTCATTGTGACTATTGTTACTGCTGCCAATGACTGGCAAAAGGAACGCCAGTTTGCTAAACTTAACCAACGGGTTCGTATACTTCCCATCCCCTTCCACGAGACGAATACCAAATTTAACACATCCCAGAATAACGACCGTGAAGTCAAAGTCACCCGCTCCGGAAAATCAACAATGGTCTCTATATACGACATTCTAGTCGGCGACGTGCTGCACCTAGAACCAGGCGACGCAATCCCAGCAGATGGCGTCCTGATAACCGGCCACGGAGTGAAATGCGACGAATCCTCCGCTACCGGCGAATCAGACGCAATGAAAAAAACGCCCGGTCATGAAGTCTGGCAGCAGATTGTTGATGGGAGGGCTACGAAGAAACTCGATCCGTTCCTTATTTCTGGTTCCAAGGTGCTTGAGGGTGTGGGCACCTATCTTGTTACTAGCGTTGGGCCTTATTCTACTTATGGAAGGATTTTGCTTTCGTTGCAGACTCCTAATGATCCGACGCCTTTGCAGGTTAAGCTTGGGAAGTTGGCGGATTGGATTGGGTATCTTGGTACTGCGTGAGTTTTCCTTTTGTTTTAAATCTGGCAATTTGGGAAGTGGATTGAGTACTGATGGTTTCTAGGGCTGCTGGTATCTTGTTCTTTGTTCTGTTCTTCCGGTTTGTTGCAGATTTGCCTAATCATCCCGAGAAGAATGGTGCTATGAAGGGCAAGGAGTTCGTTGATATTCTTATTGTTGCGGTTACTGTTATTGTTGTTGCTATCCCGGGTACGTTGTTACATTCCACTATTCAATATAGTATTTTACTAACCTATTTGCTTTATAGAGGGTCTCCCATTGGCAGTGACATTGGCTTTGGCCTTTGCCACAACTCGAATGGTCAAAGAGAACAACCTCGTCCGTGTGCTTCGAGCTTGCGAGACAATGGGAAATGCCACTGTAATCTGCTCCGACAAGACAGGCACACTTACCCAGAACAAGATGACAGTCGTTGCTGGAACCTGGGGCTCGGATCAGAGTTTCAGCCAGACGATTGATGGTGAAGAGGAAGCTCAGCGCCCGGTGAGCACTTCTGAGATCTCTCAGCAACTCTCAGCCTCGATTCGAGACTTGATTATCAAGAGTGTTGCCTTGAACTCGACTGCTTTCGAGCAGGAAAAGGACGGTGGTAAAGAGTTTGTCGGTAGTAAGACTGAGGTCGCTCTGCTCCAGCTCGCTCGTGATTTCATGGGCATGGATCTTGTTTCGGAGCGTGGCTCTGCCGAAATCGTTCAGTTGATTCCCTTTGATTCTGCCAGGAAGTGCATGGGTGTTGTATACCGTGTCCCTGGCTTGGGATATCGTCTCCTGGTCAAGGGAGCATCTGAACTGATGGTCCGCGTTTGCACTGCCCAAATTGCGAATATCGATTCCTCCAAGGAGAGAATTGATGTTGAGCAGCTTTCTGACAAACAAAACCTGCATATTTTGGAACTCATCGATAACTACGCTCACAAATCTCTTCGGACGATTGGCATGGTTTATAAGGATTTCGCCAGCTGGCCACCCGCAGAGGCTAAGAACCCTGAAGACCCTTCTTCAGCCAACTTCGAAGACGTCTTCCATGGCATGACCTGGGTCGGCGTTGTAGGTATTCAAGATCCCCTGCGCCCTGAGGTCCCGCCAGCCATTCGCAAATGCCACTCTGCGGGTGTGCAAGTCAAGATGGTGACAGGAGACAACGTCGCCACAGCCACAGCCATCGCATCTTCCTGTGGAATCAAGACAGAGGATGGACTGGTCATGGAAGGACCCAAGTTCCGACAACTGTCAGATGCAGAGATGGACGAAGTCATCCCCCGTCTACAAGTTTTGGCACGGTCATCGCCGGAAGATAAGCGTATCCTGGTCGAACGGCTCAAGGTTCTCGGTGAGACTGTTGCCGTGACTGGTGATGGTACTAATGATGGACCGGCTTTGCGAACTGCAGATGTCGGTTTCTCCATGGGTATTGCTGGTACGGAAGTCGCCAAGGAAGCCAGTTCGATTATCCTGCTCGATGATAATTTCCGGTCTATTGTTACGGCTATCTCTTGGGGTCGGGCTGTTAATGATGCTGTTGCCAAGTTCTTACAGTTCCAGATTACGGTTAACATCACTGCTGTCGTGCTTACTTTTGTTTCGTCTGTTTACAGCAGTGATAACACTAGTGTGTTGAATGCTGTGCAATTGCTCTGGGTGAACTTGATCATGGATACGTTCGCTGCTTTGGCTCTGTAAGATCCCCTTTCGTGCGATCTATCCGAACATCTTACTAACATATCGAAACAGAGCGACTGATGCCCCCACAGAACAGATCCTCGACCGTAAACCCGTTCCTAAACACGCCTCCCTCTTCACTCTTACTATGTGGAAGATGATCCTCGGCCAAGCAGTCTACCAGCTGGCAGTGACATTCATGCTCTATTTCGCCGGCGACAAACTCCTCAACGCCCACCTCAGCTCAGACCCTACTCACCCAGAGCTCCGTGAGAAGGAACTGTCAACTGTGGTATTCAACACATTCGTCTGGATGCAGATCTTCAACGAATTCAACAACCGCCGCTTGGACAACAAATTCAATATCTTCGAAGGCATGTTCCGCAACTACTGGTTCCTAGGAATCAACACTATAATGGTCGGCGGCCAAGTCATGATCATTTACGTCGGCGGCGAGGCTTTCGGTGTTACCCGCCTGAGTGGCATCCTCTGGGGTGTCTGTATCATCTGCGCTATTGCCTGTCTGCCTTGGGCAGTTGTCCTCCGCGTTATTCCCGACAGGCATTTCGGAGTTGTCTTTAATGCCGTTGTCGGTGCTATGTCTCTTGTCCTGCGGCCTATTCTCAAGGGCTGCAAGGTCCTTGGTCGGGGTATCAAGGCTTTCTTCCGTCCTGTGAAGCGGGCTACTCGTCGTGTCTTCAAGAAGTCGCAGCCGGAAGTTAACGATGCGGTTAATCCTCAGTCTTCTGAGTCTTCTGATATTGAGCAAGCTTCTGCTCCGTATGAATTGAGTAAGCAGAAGTCGATGTCCCCTGAGCGTCCTGTTACGCCTCGTGCTATTGCTGTTCCTCCTATTACGATTACTGCCTCTCCTTGATTGATTTTAGCGTTGGTGTTGTTGGTGTTTTCTGCTTGCTTTTTTTTTGTGAATATCGTCCTCTCTCTGTATATATTGTCAAAGTGTCTATTAAGACGTGTGTATAGACACCATACTATGCACAGTGACTTTGTAGGACCTCAAAATGCAGCAATTTCGCGAGATTTATAACACATTATCTTTGCAAATCATGAAAACAAATTAGATCTATCCATAAAATGCAATAAAGCTTTCATATGTTTTGTAGTAAGCAATGTTCCAGCAGGCAGCTGAATTGCGGTTGGATCTTCTTACATTTCTGCCTCATCCCTCAGGCCACAAGACCCATCAACCAAAGTGTCCAGCTCCATCTCCCTACCCCCAATTGACTGTTCATTCCTCTCTCGACCTACTCCAGAATTTACTTGTGACCGGTTGAATTGGCACTCCTCTCCGTGATCACCTCAACCTCACTCTCTCAATCACCACTCAATCCACCCCACCAGACACTCCCACGTCACTACCTAACCTCCCCGCTCCCCACCGCACCGCCATACCAAACAGAGCACCCTCCACAACCAGCTCACTTGGACAACCCTCACTAAATAAAACCGAATCGGCAAACCCATAAACATCCACCCTCAAAAACCAATTCCAAACCGCAATCATGTCCCAACTCAACTACCGCACGATCAACATCGACGCTCTGGACCCGGAGTCCTCAACCAACTTCCCCATGGACTCCCTCCTCCCGGCAACCCTCCCCCAATCCGAGTCCGCCAGTGACGCCGCCAACGTAGCGACCCAGGTGCGCCAGCTGCTGCGCGGCGGCGACCCTGAAGGCGCGCTCCGCACTGTCCTCGGTACAGCGCCGTTGGGCGGCGATGACCGCGCTAAGGAGGTGCACCTTGCTACTGTTATTGATGTCCTGCAGGGCATTCGGCAGGGCGAGATGACGAGAATCCTTGAGGGTGTTTGCAGTGGGGATGGAGGTGCTGAGCGCGCTGATTGTTTGATGAAGTATCTGTATGTGCATTGCTATTGCCCTGTAAACGAGAAATACTCTACCCCCCTAGAAAAATTGCCTTGGGGCACGGCTTGCTGGATGTGTGCTAATTTATCTGATATAGGTACAAGGGTATGTCCTCGTCTGCTCCTGGTTCTGGTGCCCAGTCCCCGCGGAAGAACGTTTCACCTCAGGATACTGGGTTCTCGCAGATCCAAGCTCGCAACTTGGGTGAAGGTGGCGGTGGTCAGCAAATGAGTGTTTTGCTTAGCTGGCACGAGAAGTTGGTCGAGTTGGCTGGTACTGGGTCTATTGTTCGGGTCATGACGGACCGCAGGACGGTTTGAGAGAAAACAGCATTCGATGGAGGTTTGTTTCTTTTATGATTTACTGTTCCTGTTCTTGTCCTGGTAGAGGATTGGTTTGCATTCCATACATCCATACATCTCTGTGGATGATATCCCTCCAGTGTCGCTTCAAGCGTAGTTTTACATTGATATATTGTGACAATATGTTGAGCTTTTCCCTTTTCCTTCCAATTCTGACCCTATCTTTCCCGATATGGTTCTTCATGGCCTGTCGAACTCCCCACCACCAAGGATCTCCTTGAGGTTAACATCACCACTACCGCGCTGCAATGGCTGCGCCTGGTTCTTTCCCTCCTTCCATCCAATCATATAGATCAATCGGAACGTAGCCGGGATACCAGGTGCACCATCTTCCATATGTAAATTGCGATAGATAGCCTCATTGGCCAACAACACATCCCGCGACAACGGGGCCGAGTCACGGTTCATAATCGCATTACTCTCACCCATAGCCTGCAAGTCCTGCATCAGAGCAAAGGTATCAGGGAACTCAACAACAATATCCTCAACATCAACAGTAAGCATCTTAAACCCAGCCCGGTTTAACAAGCTCCCAACATCCTTGACATCAGCCAGCGGCGACACATGCGGACTGACACCACCGCGTCGCTCCATATCTGCCAGCTGCAACGATCCCCGCAGCTCATACAACGTATCACCACCAAACATGGCAGCGATGAATGGCGCGTCCGGCTTGAGTATCGTGTTCACTTGTTCCAGCAACGCGGGCAGGTCGTTGATCCAGTGGATTGACAGTGACGATAGCACGGCGTCGAAGCTGTTCGGCTCGTATGGCAGCGTCTCCAAGTCCGGGATTATATCCCGCTGGATCTCAATCTCGTTGTTGAATGGTAGCTCCTCGTCTCGGTGTAGCAGAGCCCGCGATGTCTCCACGCAAGTCAGTTTTGAAATCTTATCTGCTAGTGGCGGCGAAACCGCTCCTTCCGGTGTGGTTATGTCAGGGTTGGGGGTTGTGAGGGCTTTGGCGATGTTGCAGCTGTTTGCGCCTAGATCGAGGACGTGGGGGAAATTGCGCTTGATGTCCTGTTTGCAGAATTTGAAGCTCTGTCAGTGGGTGTGCTCGTTTTCTCCCTTTTTACGGCCTTCCTTGCGCGTGCGAGAGCTACTCTGCCCTTGGGTGCGTTGCTCACCAGTAATCGTTCGCATAACCGCATTGCCACTTCATCTTTCAGGTAATCGACTTTTCGGCTTCCTTCGACATTCCGGGCTGCGCGGTCTTTCTGTAGATGCTTCGTTTTGCGGTTGAAGACTTCCAGCATGGGGTTGCCGGGGGTCTGGCTCGCATATGTGCGGAGAGAGATTGTCGGGGCAATTGAACGTCTTGAAAGACTAGAGCGGAATGTGTAGGATAGCATTGTGGTTGTACTATGTATGTGTTGTGAAGCTCTTAGGCCATTGTGCGGGAGGGAGATGCGAGGTCGAGCTTAAATTTTGTTCTGACGTCGATTGTTGATGCGGAACCTCCGCTCTCTCTCCGCAGACCGTCGACTCGCTGGCAATTGGGCTGTGGTGTTTTCTCTGATCACGAGGTCGCTCATTGTTGCATTGTTTATACTTTGCATAGTACATTGAGTGCCATTAGATCCATTGCGACCGCTGCTGTGGTGAATCCTCGCGCGCCAACCTCTTCCTTGCCTCCCTGATCTCTGACTTGGTGAATAGGCTTGGCCTAGACGGCTACACTATTCTGCCTACTAGAAAGAAAGGTCACTCGACGGCTAGAGCTTTGCACCAAGCCTTGCTACCTTCGCTCACCCCTATCCCGCTATCGACCCCGCGGGCACGAAGCATGATTTGACCGAAGTACGCGCCTGAACAGCTACCACATTTCATTTTGCTCGTCACGATATCTACATATCAAAATGTCACGCCCGTTCCCTTACACATACATATCTTGTCCTTGCGCCGATACCCCGGTCCCCGATCCGGCTAGGAAGCGAAGATCAAGGGAGTCGCCGCAGAAATCACCATCGAAACCCCCACCTGAGCGTGTGAACCCCTCAGGGGAAGATAAGAAGGAACCCACGAAATATGAACAACTCGAAGAGGATGAAGAGGAAGAGCAGACCTTTGACCCTCGCTCTCCGCGATCCAATTTCTCGCTGTACCCACCTGAGCAACTTCTCTATTGTGAAGAGTGTCACCAGATCAAGTGTCCTCGATGTATTACCGAGGAAATTGTGAGCTGGTTCTGTCCAAGCTGCTTGTTTGAAACGCCCAGCAGTATGGTGCGGAGTGATGGCAATCGGTATGTACTATCGAGAACAGCCTCACATTCGAGTATCTACTAACGTGCATGCCAGGTGTGGTCGAAACTGCTTCAATTGCCCTGTCTGTACAGCTCCACTGGCTGTCAGTACAATTGAGAATGCCACTGGGAATGGAGCCCAGCATGGTCCATGGGTGCTATCCTGCGGGTATTGTCTTTGGACCACACTGGATATCGGCATCAAGTTCGACAAGCCGACAAACATTCGCAGTCAACTGCAGAAGATGACCGACTCTACTGCTCAGCCTGCAATCGACAGGTCGAGACAAGCTTCTCGCACCTTTGGAGATCTGAAATCCCCACTTTCCACCTTTGCCTCTATCGATGAACAATCCGCTGCACGCGAGCACGAAGAAGAGCAATCTCCATCCCAAGAACAAGAAGCACCTCCCATGGGCACAGATGCCCGATTTGCGGCCTTGAAATCATTCTACCGTACTCAGATCGCTGAAACATCATCCTCGCCGAACGACCCTCTCAGCACAGACTTTGGGTTCTCTTCACCTGGTGCCCTCAACCGGCTGATGTCTCTCTATGCCTCCTCTTCCCGTCTAAGCGGTCTCTATGGCGGAAGCAAGAAGCCCAAATCCAAGCCACCAGTCATGCGCGAAGCCATAACAGCAAGCGAGGGACTTCAGCTCGCTCCAGAAAATGGCGACGAAGATTTAATCAAACGACTCACTTCTCCGAGCTGCGGCTGGGACGGCATGGCATCAACAGAGCAGCGCGCAGCCCAATCCCCAGACGCCCGCTTCACAGACGACCTCCTCCCGCTCCCAGCCCTCCTCCGCACCAAACGAGCCAAGCGCTGCAAGTCCTGCAAACACATCCTCGTAAAACCAGAGACAAAGCCCCAGTCCACTCGCTTCCGCATCCGCCTCATCGCTCTAAGCTACATCCCCCTGCCTACCCTCCGCCCCCTAGCCCTCTCAACATCCTCCACCCTCCCAACCATAGCCCCAACCCCCGACCTGAACTCCCTCCCACCCCTCCGACCCGTGCATGTTCTTCTCACACTCAAAAACCACATGTTCGACCCCGTCCGCATAACCCTCGCCACACCACCCGTCACACCCGGCAACGTCGCAACAAAAGTTACCGTCCTCTCGCCCCAATTCGAGATCGGCGCTAACAGCGATGTCTGGGACGAGGCTTTACAAGGCGCCTCGGCCCCGCTGAAGGGTGACGCCACTGCAATCGGTATGCGCGGCGTCCCTGAAGCAGGCAAGGTATGGGATAAAGGCCGCAATTGGACGACCGTTGTGTTGGAGGTTGTGCCTGGCACATTGCCGGGTAGTAGTGCCGAAGGCGGGGATGGGAATGGGGAGGGTGATGAGGGTGTTTTGGCTGTTGCGTCTCAGAAGGCTGATGAGGATGTTCTTGAGATTCCGGTGTTTGTGCGTATGGATTGGGATGCTGATGCGCAGCTTGATCAGGGGAATGTTGGGAAGGGGTCTAAACCTGATGACAAGGTTACTAGGGAATTGGCTTATTGGATGGTGCTTGGTGTAGGTCGGATTCAGCCTTCGTTGTAGATAGTTCGATGTGTTTTGAGGGTCTGGCTGTGGATAGTTTGCGTTGTGTTTTATACTTCCATACCCCGAGGTTACTTTGTTCCTTGATATATATACATCATCGCTTTTTTGTCTGATACAAGCATTAGAAGGACAGCCATATGGATATATTCATGCAAGATATATATATGCGAGAATACATGACATGTAGCTCAGGTCATATAGCCAGGCACAAATTTATACCCTACACTGGGTCCTAACAACAGGTAATTATTCTACGAGACAGGTCTGACTAAACAAATCTGCTACATCTAGAACACAGTGAAGGTTGAATTGTTGAATTGGAATATCGATCACATATCCGATCCCATCCTCATTAAAGAGAAACACGGCCCGGAAAGACCTCAGATCCTTTACCTCGCCCATGAACAGGGAAACAAAGGGGGAACTGGGGAGGACCAACCAAAACCAGCGAGTTAAAAAAAGAGAAAAAAACCGTCAATGCATTTTTATGGAGTCATCTCTTTTGGAACCCATAATGCCTATGAATCTAGCAACAATTCAAAACTAGAGAACACAGGGCATCAATTCCCCACGCATCGAAACCGAGCACATTCACAATCACATTCCAGCCCATCCCAAAGATAAAACGAAACGGCACAAGTCTGAGTACTAATTCAACATTTAGAACTCAGCACCGCTCTGGGGGAACTCGAACGCAACAGCGCGGCCAGTTAGGCGACGGTAGACCTCGCCGTAGGCGTCGAGGCGGTGGTCAACACCACCACGCTCCTTCTCGTCAAGGATGACCTTGAGGGTCTTGGAGCCGTCCTCCTTGGTGCGGATGCGCTTGCCGACAATCTCGACGGGGTAGACAAGGTCGGTGAGGATGGAGTCGTGGACGGCGGTCAGAGTGCGGGAGCGGGGACGCTTCTGGGTCTGGGTGGTGCGCGAGGTGGCGGAGCGCTTGGGGCGGGGCAGGATGCGGCGCTGGGCCACGAAGAGGACGTGGCGGTCGGAGAACTTCTTCTCCAGCTCGCGGGTCAGACTGGAAGGGGTGGATTAGTATTTGTGTGGTTTTTCGTCGGTGGAGGGGTTGGTGCTTACCGCTGCTGGATCTTGTGGAAGTTACCGAGGAGGGGGACGGGGACGAAGACAATGATGGCCTTCTTGCCGTGGCCGACCTCAACCTGTTGTGGGAAAATTGTCAGAGATTGTCCTTGAATTGTCTTGCATGCAAAATCGTGTCTCTGACACGGCGTCCTTGTGCGAAAATTTGGTCTCGTCTTCCGTAGTCCTCTGTTGTTGGTTGCTTCGCCTTCATGTTGATATGATTTTTTTTGCGTTGGGGGAGTGTGAATGGACACAATCCACAAATCCAACCTTGACCCCGGAGTATTGAAATCCTTCCAAATTTCGCAGGACGCCATTCCAGAACACACAATTCACATGGCGGAATCACTCTCGAACACCAATCCTTACCTCACGGGCAGAGACGAACTGCAGGGGGCGAAGGGTGGCCTTCAGGTCCTGTGTGTTGCTCTCGAGGTCGAAGAGAGCGCCGGCGATCGCGGTCTCCAGCTCGGAGGGGTTCTGCCGGGACGGCGAGTTGGAGGCGATCTTGTTGATGGCAGCCATTATTGCGAGCGACGGGGTGCTGCGGGTAGTGCTGGTGGTGATGTCGACGGAGGGGAGGTTCGCAGATTGAATCGAATGGGAATTTGCTGTGGGATCGGCGCATTCGCTTAGGGCGCGCTATTGCCTAAAAAGGTTTAGCGTGACTATCTTAGGGCTCTCTGGTGATTGGTGGACTGCGGGTTTGATAGGCCCCACTCTCTTCGGCTCTACCATTTCTATTTCGACCATACATCTGCGTAGGAATGTCACTCGAATTTACATCTAATCAATTGGGGAATAACAGTAGACTATAGGAGCACAAGTCTCAAGAGAAAATCAGAGACGCCTGTATCCATGGAAAACAATTGCACATCTTCAGTCCAAATCAGCAAGCACAACCTTCATTGGCCTTCGCAACGTTCCGATCACCCAGGTTGACTCGAGCATCCTCCCCAGTGCGACCCAGCGAAGTCTGGCCAGTGCCTGCGCCGGTGCCCCGACCAGTCTTCAGACTGCTCTCGGGGATGGTGTTGGCAATGGCCGTGAAGACGTCCACTACGTTAGTACCGGTCTTAGCACTAGTCTCGAAGAACAAGAGTCCCTCTTCCTCAGCATAGCTACCAGCCTCTCGTGTTGACACCTTGCGAGCATCACCAGACACAGCATCTTGTGGCTCATCCTCCTCCTCAGCGGCCCCCTCACCATTCTGTCCAGCGGACTCAGACTCGGCCTCGGCAACGACAGCGGGCTCGGAAGCCTCGCCGCCATCGTTGGTCAAGTCCAGCTTGTTACCGACAAGGGCGATGACGATTCCAGGGCTCGCTTGGCGCTGCAGCTCGGCAACCCAGTGCTTAGCTTTTGTCAGCGACGAAGGTTTCGTGACATCGTAGACGACCAGGGCGGCTTGCGCGTTGCGGTAGTACATAGGGGCGAGGGAAGCGAATCGCTCTTGGCCGGCGGTATCCCAGATCTCGAACTTGATCGTGCGCGTAGGAAGGGAGCATTTTTGCGTCAGAAATGCGGCTGAAAATATGACGTTAGCTCGGTCATCCTGGTTCGTACATGTAGTGACATCGAGGGGTCCGGAGACGCCGGTTGCGGGGGAATTGCGAGACAGTAGAGATTATGCACTGCCCTGATCAAGGGAAGTAACCTTTCTTCTATAATGGATACCTCGTGTCTTGTGGGGGACTGAGTTTATGGGGTGTTCTTACCGCCAATGGTCGGCTCCTTGTTCTCCTGGAAATCATTGTTGACGAAGCGAAGGACGAGTGAGGACTGTACTCCGACAAAAAGACATGGTTAGCAAGTGGCAATTGCATAGTATGCCATCAAGGTAGACGTACCTTGCCAACTGCGGCCTCTCCTAGCAGCACAAGCTTGACACTGCTGCTTGGCTTCGGAGCATTTGCGCTCGCTGAGTCGGACATGGCTGAAACAGCAAAGCGAAAGTAAGATAGAGATATCGGGCTCCTTCCTGTAGAAGATTTGTTTGTCGTTTAGGAATCAGGCGACCGGAGGAAGTATCAGGTTGATTCAGCTGGTGACCACAGGTCGGGATTGGGGGATGCCTGGAAGTAAGACACGAGTTTAGGTACAGTTCGCTGCTGATGCGCTCCTATTGACTGTGTTTCTTTGATCCTGGTCAGAAAATCAGACCTGAGAAACGCAAAGCTGATTATAGACGTTCCCGAGGATGTTGGTGAGAGCGGAGGTCGATGATGATGGGGAGCCCCGAATAGGCTTAGCGCATTTGTCACGGGAGGCCTATCCTATGAAGTATGACTTGTTTACTTCGACTTTACTCTGCTGAAAGGTTTGTTTGCTGTCTATTTTAAGACATGATCAAGGATCTAAAGCATAGGTGCTGTCAAATCTCAAATATGCGTTGAGAGTAGACAAGGTTCTCGGGAAAAGGAGAGTTGGGACCAGTCGTCGAGTCAGAACCAGGTACTCCGACGTCAGGCACGGTGCCAGACAGTTAAACAAAAACGTGTTCCTGGCGCTTTGACAGCTGTCATGGCAAAATAAACTAGTGCCCAACATCTCTGCACGATGATCTCGAATGCTCTCCGCCTAGCAAGTAAGACCCTAGCCAGGCTCGGGAGATATCTGCCGATGCAGCAGGCCGGCATCAGCAACCGTTCCTGGCTTGGCATTAGTTGGCAAGCAAATCAGCCCGATGTTAGCGCAATCGAGGTCGGTCAGGAACGAGCGGAGTTCGACGCGAGAATTGTGGATTGCAAAGCTTGGGAGGACGAAATGTAAAATGTAGAACTAGGCAGTGAAGGGTGGTAAAATATTATAAAAATTGATTGGCGCTGACAGTTTCGCGCAATATATAATACATAGGCATCAACATCAAAAAAAAATACACATACAAATATCCCGGGAGCATAGCCCATCCAGTAGTGAAACAAGAAAATCAAAACGTGCTATTGACCGTGAGGTCGAAGCTCTAGGTTCTGGTATCAACCCATGCATCCCATACAATATCCGTCCCGTCTATGCCAAAACGCCGGGTAGAAAAAAGAACCAACAAAGGAAATAAAAACAAAAAACAAAGGCACTTTTGAGAGGTCGGACCGTGGTATCGAGTCGTATCAGAGGTAGGAAGAATTTGAGGTGAGGCGGATGTGAAGGCTGAGGGCCCGAGAATAAGTAATAAGGCGCGTAGGCGCAGGCGAAAATGAAAGCTGTCAAAAGTGTCCACGCTTGGTATCCGAAAAAAAAATGCAGAAGTCGAGCCGAATTAAAAAGGGTATAGTGTCGCGTGAAGCCTATAGCGAGGCAGAAAAGAAGGATGGCTGAGACGAAAATAGTGTTACAGATATCTAGACCGTGTTAGTTTTGATGCCCAAAAAGTGAGGTGCGTTGGTCTTACCAAAATCAAGTAAAACTCCAAACGCATATGCGTCGAAACTCCAGCCACTGTGGGGCGCCAGACAATCCAAGACATGACCGAGTGGTGTAGAAAGCAATGTTGAGTATGACGAGGGATTCCGAGATGATTTATTTCGGCGGTGGTGGAGGTACACCGGGCTTCTTCACCCCAGTTGTATCGTATGCGCCGCGTCCCATGTTGAAGGCTGAGAGGTCTCGGAGAATCATGTTGAGGTCTGCAGAGGCGAGCATGATTAGAGAAGGGCGAGGAAATTTGGGAAAGGCGAGTGTTGCGATTGCAGGGCGAAGAATGAGATGGTTGAGACTCACGGATAAACAACGACGAAGCGCGGTTCTTATATGGATAAATTCTCAAACAATCGAAGGCCCAATCCACCCCCCAAAGTGAAAAAAGTCTAGACAAATGCTGGTGGGTGCAGCAGCAAATGCAGTCGAGATCGGAAAAGGTGACCCTTTTAAGGATAACCACTTGGGACAAATGCGGGATCAAGCAGAATCGTAGGGCAGGAATGTGACGAAACCCGACAAATCAGGAAAAGTGGTCCTCTCAATGCTGGACAGTTTGCTTTTTATGTGAAAAAAAAATCAAGTCCAATGAAACCGATATGAGGGTAGCTGCAGCTAATCCATAGAAATCTCGATCTGAACCAAGAAAACGGCGAGAAGGGATATGAACAGCAAGGGAGCAAAGGAGAAGTGCTCCGGAAGTGGCCCCGGTCGATCCGGGACAAAAGAGCAATCGACGTATCGCAAGGGAGAAGGGAGAAGGAAGGGGAGTAGGGAGAGACGGCTAGGTATGTCGAAAGAATTAAAATCGCAGGGGGAAATGATGTTGATATAGAGAGTTTTTTTTCTAAGGAGTTGATCTTCAGGATTATTGTAATTATATTTTTGCTAAATCAATAAAACCATTTAAAACATAAAAAAACGAAATGGAGTTAATCGTAAATCGGTAAATCGAGAAAAAAAAAAAGAAAACTAAAAAGGACCTAAAATAAATAAAAAACCAAAATAAATGAAAATGATAAACATATCCATATTTCTTTGTTTAGCACACAGCGGCTCTCCCGTCCCCTGGTCCCGGGGAAGAGGAACGCGTTCCCCCTTTCTTACATGTATACTTACACATGTACACATAGATCCTGGATTCATCACAATTTAATCTTGGATGCATCTAGCTCTTCTCTTATGTATCACTCCACCAAATCTCCGGGCCTTCGTGCATAAGTGGAGATCAGCCGCAGGAACGAGAAAATGGATCCTTCTTTACGTATATCATTCTCGCGTGGGTATACACACAGGGGCTGACATATGATGCCTAGGTCAAGCCCTGGAGGTCCCCTAGCCAACACCAAGTATTTTATTCAATCAAGGCCAGACATCCGGCCTACTAACGCGGTTCCCCGTGCAATTCACCATTTATTGCGGTAAGACCAGTCGCAAACCTCATCTCTCATCTCTCATCTCGGACTTGAATCGTGTTTCCCCCTTCCCCCTGTTACAGATCAGAAGAAAGCCAGTTTCCTTTAGGCGCCTGATTCTGAATCTCGTCACTTCACTTATTTTCTTATCTCGAGCAAAGACAGAAAGAAAAAAAAAACCGGTCTCCATCATAGGGGGTGGGGAGGCGCTAAGTGTATGAAAACCCGTCTCGATTACGTGAACATTCTTTTGGCCTTCTAGTTCCCGGAGTTCTGGGTCGTAATACCTTGACAGGGAAACATTCTGGACTTCTTCCTGACCCACCCCCATATCCCCTAATTAAGGGTATAGCTATACAGCTTGAATTCGCCACAATGGAACCCGACACATAATCCAGCCACAATTACAGGTACAGTGTACCTATCCGTGTCGGGTCGCCTCCCCTGCCCCGGTCCTAGACTCCTAGGCTGTTTCAGCTTATGGTCCACCTCGCCAAAAAAAAAGGAGGATTACCCTCCATACAATAGAATCGGTGAATCTGAGTTTCTCCCTCGTGGTAATCGGGTCCGGAGATCGACGGTTGATTGCAGCCTAGGACCGTTGACGGGATCAAGACCCATTCCCAACGCGACCAACGGACCTTCCGAACGGACATCTGGGCGGCTAAAACTTTGCGGAATCTAACGTCCACCAGTTCCCCGACGCAAACACTCTACCCAAGACCTGGCGTGTCTTATTCCCGAGACAGACCTCGGGTATAGGGGAACATTTTCACACTCCCGGATACAATTGGCGATCATCCCCTGTGGGCCAACGACCCATAAAAACTAGGTCATAGGAACGGTATTTACGGACTCAGGTGTTCCCCGATACCAAAAATGACCAAGTGTCCAATTGTCAAGGTAAACGAGCTTCCTATTCTTCCATAGTGGATCCCCCTCTGGGTCCCCTCTGGGTCCCCTCTGGCTATAGGAACTCGGGAAGACCCCGTTTCGATTACAGCTAGAATGACGCTAGAAACGGGAGAAAGCTGCTGCGCTACTCCATCGGTTAGTTAACCTTAATGGACCCAGTTAGGTTCCCCCTTTTCACCGTTGAGGTTGGTGAACGGAGTATAGATGGATGGAGACATGGAGACATGGAGAATTGTAGAGAGGCTGGACCGTGATAGCCTGATTTTCTAGAAAGGAACAGGTTAGAAACAAGAACTAGACTCAACGGTTTCCGAGACCCAGGGCTGTGGTTCGTGATTGCCCCGAAATCCCTCTAGCCCTTAGTACGTAGTCCAGAGTGATCTCAACGAGTACAAAGAAAAGAGTCTCCAGACCTCGGGTTGATGCATTAGTCTACAAAACAAGGTTACCGATTGCATGAACCGGCTTCCATCTGTTCCGGAACGTCTTAGCCGTAATGTAGCTCACCTTCCATTTCGGTCAATTTTCTTACTTTGGTATCCGCTCTGTCGCGGCCCTATATCTGCAGCATGCCTACGCAGTGGCGTTCAAATCTCAAGGGTGTCGAATAAACGGTCGCGAGTTCATCTCATGTTGGCTATCATGTTTTGCGTTGGGACCTAGGCAGGGGGGTCCCCTGGTCCCGGATGCTCCTTCGCGCCAGCCAGCTCTTTGTTTATTTGACAGGATTGTGGATGTGTCATTGCTCCTGAAATTGGGTACCTGTGTCTTGTGTTGGGATTCTCTTTGCTTTTTGCGCGTTCTCATTGTTTGTGGCGTTATGTGGCTTCAGATTGATTCACTTCTCTTGGGAAGATCACTAGACACAGGGAAATGGCGCACACTAGGTCTTCCGCGGATGTGAAGCCGGGCGATCCTAAGTACCATTTCCCGATTCTCTCTAGAATTCAGCTCCATAGACGGAAAGTTCTAGAAGACTATGCACTCCATAGTTTGATGGTAGCGGTGGACTGCCAATAGTGGGTGGTGTCCACAGCAGTAAGCCGCCTTACTCCGTTAAGGGCGTTAAGAAGGAAGCCAAATTAGATTAAACAAGAGCTTCCGGATTGACATGGGGACTGCGTTCCCCGTCCCGAACCAAAGGATGCGTCTATCCCAATTCTTAGCTCCCTGATTTAGAAGGATTTTCGAATCCCCAATAAAGGAGTGGATAGGTTCTGGATACAGAATGACAGGCCACAACCCACATCAGCAATAACCTCGGAAATGCTAGATGACGATCTCTCTCCGCTCACCACCGCGTCGGGTTCGATCGTCCCCCTTTTTTTTTCTCCCCCTGACTTCGGGAACTTAGTTTTTTGTTACCCATCACGACATGACGCGGGGCGCAGGGAGTATGACTGATCGAGCCATACACAGTACAATGTTGATACAATCTTGCATGACCCACTCACTAGGTCGGCTTCTCATCCCCTTCCGCGGCCCCTTCTAAGTGGCTGGTTCACGTTTCCATTTACTGCGTGAGGACCCCCTGGGCATGAACTAAAGTACTCTCTGCGTCACACATCAGCCTCATACGGGAGAGGATAGGTACGCTGTACATGTATAATGCACACTGTATGACATGCAAAGGAAAGGAAACGCCCGATCTGACGATCACTGCGATGCACCCTTAGGTACATACTCACAGTATACATGTACATGCCACATATTGCGAGCTTGGGACCACAGTCAGACAGACCGAACAATACATGGTACACGTCTCCCAAAACCGCTAGCCTGCAGATCAGAACCATGGTTGAACTCGATCGATCTTGCAGAGACCGGGGAACTACCCGCTCCGATAACCTGGTCCAGTAGATATGTCACATTCATTGCTAACATTGCAGGTGTATTTGGTCTGTCTAGGCCAATGATAGTGGTCTATAGGCTACACCGCATCCACCCCACAACTTGGTCCTTTGGTATGCAGGGACTTTGTGCTTTGGCTTTTTTCTCCCCTAACATACGACTGTACCTGTACACTGTGGAATGGTCATGCACCACCACCACATTGAGGCGCATAATATGACCGTGTACCTGGAACACCCAGCACTCTGGCATTGCTTCTACCCGATCCCAATATCCCCATTTCCGGGTCTGATCCACCCGGGACTGGGGGTGGGTTGTATCTGAGACTTGACGCGTCGGAGACTACCTGTCACTCCGGCCACACAAATACATGTACCTTTCCCTTCCATGTCAAAAGCACGCAAACCATGTCACATATAGAGAGTTTCGTTTATTTGGAATGATCAACTCGAGTATGTACATGTACATGTGCGGAGCAGGCCCATCAATATTATCAATCGTAATCTTAAGGTATGCTCAGCTGCTGCCCCCAGCCACTCTCATCTATCTGTGCCATTTGAAATACATACCGCGCGCACAAGTCGACACCTCGCATGTGAACTCAGCTCCGCGTACAGACGCAGCGGTATGCCATCTCGAACTGCAATACAACCCAATGTTAGCCAAAAATCCAACCCCAAATCAAGGACTTGAGCATAAAAACCGCTAGAAGGGTTGCACTGCTCAGCGCGCCGATTGTATCATCGAGCGACTGTATTGTGAGACAACTTACTTGCTCATTAGTTTGACAAACTAGAACCCGGGGCCCCTTGCCTCCACCGGCAGTTATGTCCTTCACCGTCTCATCGTCCCCAGGCCCGTTATCATTTGCTGCTGCGTCGACCGCCACGCCCAGACATTGGAGCTTATCTGCTAGTGTTTGGCGTAGGAGGGCGCTCTTTTCGCCAATACCACCGGCGAAGACGACCGCGTCCACTTGCCCGTTTAGCTTCACGTAGTAGTTTCCGATGTAGCCTAGGATGCGATCGACGAAGATGTCGAATGCGAGCTTGTGCGCTTTGGTGGGTGGGTTTGCGACTGCAATCTCGCCAAAGTTGGTTGTTCCAGTAAGTGCTTTCCAGCCGGACTTTTTGTTGAGGATTTCTTCAGCCTGGGTTTGGGTTTGGTTAGACTTGGAGTTCTTTTTTGGACTGTGCTGGGGGTTTACGCACTGTGCTGATATGCATCTCCTTGGTGCTTGCTGGGCTTAATTTGCCTGCTTCGTTGGTGTAGTGGAATACCAATCTAGATACAAGGCATGCTCTGTCAGTACCGCCGCGACAGAACGGGGGATATGGGATCAACTTACGAAGGATCAATATCTCCACTGCGCGTCGCGCCTGGTAATCCCGCCAGAGGCGTGAGTCCCATACTAGCCATAGTGTTAGCACATGTTCAACTTTTGTAGGTAGCAGGGTACTCACGAGGTATCAATCGACTTGCCATCCTTCATAGCACAAACCGAGGCACCACTGCCAATATGCATAGCAATAAGGCTAGTCTTTTCTACTGGCTTACCCAGATGCTGCGCGACAGATCGTAGGATAAACTCGTAGCTGATTCCGTGGAATCCATACTTGCGCAATCCATTCGCCTTGGCGACTTCCTGGTCGATGGGATAGGTGTACACGGGTTCGGGGATAGTCTGATGGAATGCTGAGTCGAAGAAGGTGATGCTCTTAACTTTCGGTAGCTCGTTTCTGCAAAGACGGATGATTTCCAGCGCAGAAAAGTTGTGGCTGTTGGTGAAGTGGGGTTAACACACTGGACAGATGTATATAGTGGGGAGCAGGCGATATGGTCGAGGTACGACGAGCTTACAGTGGCGCGAGGTCTTCCAATTTCTCAAGATGGTGCAGTGTCTCGTCATTAATCTCAACTTCTTCATGGTAATCTCCTCCGTGAACGACGCGGTGGCAGATGTAAGCTAGATCGTCGACACTGGCGACTTCGGAGAGCTCGGGATCGCTGAAACAGCGCTTCAAGAGGTAATTGAATGCATCCTGGGGTGTTGCCAGCTTCTCTTTGAGCTCTTCCTTGTGTTTTGAAGCTCCCTTCTGATACTTGAACGATGGTGGGGGTGCGGTGATCCCAGAGATCTCCGCATCTGCGATAGCTCTTGGCGGGTTTTCGAAGGTATAGAAGGTGATTTTGACGGAGGATGAGCCCGCGTTGACGGCAAGAATAGACCTTGTCATATTGTAGACGTTGAAAGTATGTGAAACAGGATGTGTTCAAATTATCGCAGTAGAAATTGACCTGGAAATGGTGAGTGACTGGTTTGTCGTGGTGATGTCAGGTAATGACGTCGCCGGGAACAAGGCGGATTAAATATCCTGTTGGGCTGACATAGCATGATTGTTTAAACAGTGGTGCCATCTATTAATTTATTCTGTTCATCTTTTCTATCTTTTTGAAAACACATCACTCTATCTACATTTGTCTCTCCCCAGACTTTGCTGTGGATCATACTTGCCGTACTTTTGTCGATCTCCCATACACTACACTCACAATGCCCGGAGAAGTCATAAAAGAACCAAATCCGCAGCCACAGCCGTCGCATCTGCCGGATTACCTCGAGAAACTTAGCGTCAAGTTAGACCATGAAAATCTAGATCAGAAGTCTTGCGATGCGTTGTTCAAGTTTCGCCGAGCGGCCTCATACATCGCGGCAGGTGAGCGATCAATGGCGATATGTGCTTGAATGTCAGCGACTAATTCGGGCTTAGCGATGATTTTCTTGCAAGAGAATACACTTCTAAAGGAAGATCTTACATTTGACCATGTCAAGCCTCGCTTACTGGGTAAGCTGCTTTGAACTATAGTCTGCGATCATAATCTAGCTGACATAGTATCTCTACAGGCCATTGGGGAACATGTCCAGGTCTGATCCTGGTCTATTCCCATCTGAACTATCTTATTCGAACAATGGACTTGGACATGCTTTATGTCGTCGGCCCCGGACATGGCGCGCCGGCAATGCTAGCCGCTCTTTGGCTAGAAGGCTCGCTGGAGAAATTCTATCCTGAATATTCGCGAGATAGCAAGGGCTTGCATAATCTCATTTCTACGTTCAGCACCCCAGCTGGTTTCCCAAGGTCAGTCTTTTGACATCTTACCAGCTTCCTCGGCTAATATTGTTACAGCCACATCAACGCCGAAACCCCCGGCACCATTCACGAGGGTGGAGAGCTGGGCTATGCCCTCTCAGTAGCATTCGGTGCTGCGATGGACAACCCAGACCTAATTGTCCCCTGTATTGTAGGCGACGGAGAAGCCGAGACTGGCCCCACTGCTACGTTCGTGATCCATTCTGTTTACCGCGTACTTGGCTAATAACTAACAGATCTTGGCATGCAATCAAATACCTTGATCCCAAGGAATCAGGCGCTGTTCTGCCAATCCTACATGTGAATGGGTTCAAGATCAGTGAGCGAACTATCTTCGGCTGCATGGATCACAAGGAGCTTGTGGCCCTCTTCAGTGGATATGGGTATCAAGTTCGCTTCGTGGAAGATATCAATGATATAGATACCGATCTCCATTGCTCCATGGTCTGGGCTGTCAAGGAAATCAATAAGATTCAGAAGGCTGCTCGCTCCGGGAAGCCAATTTTCAAGCCAAGATGGCCTATGCTGATTCTGCGAACTCCAAAGGTATGAATTTTGTGACTTATATGAATGCTCAAGCTAACACACTATTTTGAAAGGGCTGGTCTGGACCAAAGCAGCTCCATGGTCAATTCATTGAGGGCTCGTTCCATTCACACCAGGTTCCTCTGCCTAAAGCAAAGTCCGACGATGAAGAATTGGGTCTGCTTCAGAAATGGTTGTCTGGCTACAAGCCACAGGAGCTCTTCACAGCAGATGGCGGTGTCATCGACGAGATTCAATCCGTGATCCCGACTGTGGATGCGAAGAAACTAGGCCAACGCATTGAATCATATAACTCTTACGTTCCTCCAGATCTGCCAGACTGGAAGACGTTCTGTGGAGACAAAGGGTCCAGCGAGAGTGCGATGAAAATAGTGGGAAGCTTCATCAATCAAACTTTCAAGCAAAATCCACACGGTGTACGACTGTTCTCACCCGATGAGCTGGAAAGTAACAAACTTTCTGCTGTCTTCGATAGCACCAACCGCAACTTCCAATGGGATGAGTTTGCCAACGCGCGAGGTGGTCGTGTGATCGAAGTTCTGAGTGAACACATGTGTCAGGGCTTCATGCAGGGCTATACTTTGACCGGTCGGGTTGGTATCTTCCCATCGTATGAGAGCTTCCTCGGCATCATACATACGATGATGGTGCAATATGCCAAATTTATCAAGATGGTGAGTTCCCTTCACTCCCTTCCCTCTTTCACTTGATGAACCAGGTCTAACCATATGATTCGTTATAGGCACTTGAAACAAAATGGCACTCCGGCGTAGCCAGCATCAACTACATCGAAACCAGCACTTGGACACGCCAGGAACACAACGGCTTCTCCCACCAGAACCCATCATTCATCGGGGCAGTGTTGAAGCTGAAGCCCACCGCAGCTCGTGTGTACCTGCCACCAGACGCAAACACCTTTGTGACGACCGTGCATCACTGCCTCAAGTCCAAGAACTACATTAACTTGATGGTAGGCTCGAAACAGCCAACCCCCGTGTATCTCACCCCCGAGGAAGCCGAGACCCACTGTCGCGCAGGAGCAGGAATCTGGAAATTCTGCAGCACGGACAATGGAATCAAACCCGATGTAGTCCTGGTCGGTATTGGTGTCGAACTGATGTTCGAGGTAATTGCGGCGGCAGCGCTTCTGCGGAAGATCGCTCCAGAGCTGCGTGTTTGCGTTGTTAACGTGACAGATCTAATGATCCTTGAGAACGAGGGACTGCACCCGCACGCTCTCTCCACGGAGGCATTTGATACCCTCTTCACTCCTGATAAGCCAGTTCACTTCAACTACCACGGATATCCAACCGAGTTGCAGGGCTTGCTCTTTGGACGGCCTGGCCTCGATCGTATTTCTGTTGCTGGTTATATTGAAGAGGGCAGTACTACCACGCCATTTGACATGATGCTCGTCAACCGTGTCTCGCGTTTCCATGTTGCTCAGAATGCGCTTCGTAGTGCCGCAAAGTTTAACGAGAAGGTTCGGGTTCGTCAGCAGGAGCTGAATGCTCAGCTTGAGCAGGATATTGTCAGCGTGCGTAGGTTTATCCTTGCCAACCATCAAGGTGAGTATTCCTATTTCTTTGACAATTTGTGAGCACAGCTGACATGAATTCCCAGATCCCGAGGACATCTATGACACCCCAAAGTTTGACTAGAGTAGCTTAAACATTTAATCTACAACTGGAATAGTTTAGGCTCCAAGATATTATCATCTATGGCGATACCTACCAACATCACTCGATGGCCCGAATGGTGACAATTACAAGTTCGCTGCAACATTTGATCCTGCCTAGGCGTTGTTTTCCCCCAATGAGGAAACCACCTCTTCGCTCCTCCCGCATTTGAGTAGACTCCCTGGGGATTCATTGACGGGCCAATGATTCAAGACACACAAGGCATTTCGCACTTCAATATTTCACTCTTCGTCTCTCCACATGGAGAAGAGTCAACGCATCAGTCTCCTGCTTTCCATTGTCAAAACTATCAATCTAGAGTCTATTTTTATCGAATCCGCGTCCACGGAGCCAGATCCTAGAATCTGATTTGTTGAAGGGGCGATCGGAAGTAGACCGACCCCCTGTCCTGAGTCGCAGAACCATGGTCGCTTAACCCAATTCCTCGACTCCGCCGCTAACTGCAGAATACTTAATTGACATCTAGAGCAGGATGCTGAATATGTGAATGCCCTGGTTATTGTGGGAGGAGGCTCATTGAGCATGGTGTGTTTGTCCCACTGGGTAGGTCCGTGGCATTGGTATCTGGGCCGCCAAGACGAGGCTTGGTTCCCCGTTCGTTGGTCACTGTTCGACCTTGACATTTCCCATGGGAATTCCCATAACTCCCATGGGAGTTTTCACGGGGGCCTAGTCCCGCCAAGGGAATTTCCCATAGATGTTTAGTCCCATAGACCCACTCCCATGGACAGTCCCATAAGAGGCGTCCCATGGGAAATGTCAAGGTCTAGTCACTGTAGCTATGTGATTATCTGTGCTCGTTGATGTCTGGACTAGGAGGGTTGAGAATTGGTCTCGATAGAGTTGTTATCTCGTTGCAATGAGGGTGAACGGGCTGCGTTTGTGTTGGTACCTGAGGGTTTGTTACATTATCAGGTTTCTTATGCTCTAGGCTTCTCGGTATGCTGTGTTCATGTGGTGATTGGCGCCGTGGCAGGGCGGGAAGGCTTTATGACTCCATCCATATAAAACCAATGTATTTGGAGGTTATCGCATTTTGGGTGGAGGTATATCAAGTGGGCTAGGCTGAGTAGCAGTCTAATGTTCACACGGAGAAGCATGACGTCGCATAAAATAAAGTGTTTGAAATGTGCTAGAATTGCTTTTGTGTCTGTGTGGTTTCCGGGGCAAAGTAAATGTGCCATGTCTCCAAGCCGTAACGATATTGCGTATATCTATAAAAAAGACTATTAAATATTCAAACTTAGATCCGAAGTGTAGTGTGTAGTGCCTATAGCATGTACCATTTAAGCGGCAATAGGCAACGGCCCATGAGGCGTAGGTGGATCTGGTTCACGTTTTTTTTTTTTTTTTTTTTTTTTTTTCTCGTCCGCTTTCACATCAGCCATCATCCGATACCGCGGACCTGAATTGATTCTAGGGTCCGTTATTCTGGCAAAGCTAGGGCCAGATTCCAATATTTCTCGAGAATGCACTCTGCACCCTGTACCTGTAGCAACTTCGTGGCATGATGAATACGATCTCACCTCAGCATGGTTGAGTCGATAGGGCCAAAAGCCTATTTGGGCCGTCGGGTTTCGGAATATTTAAAAAACCACAAAAGCTAACGGTGGCAGTGCCCCATCATCAACGCTCTCTCTGAGCCCTCTTACCCTCAGATCGGAGATAACCTGGAATCCTGACATCAAATCATCCCAGGGCTGACTTGGCGACAGGTTCCACGCTAAACCCAAAAGGGATGGGCTTGCGAGAACGCATGTAGTTCGGCCCGAATCTCTATAAAATCTGAAGGATTTTTTTTTCTTCTGTGGCTTTGATGTCATATAACATACACGAGGACAGGGCCATGCACAGATGGCCCATGGGATTCCCACAATCTAACCAAGCATTTTGATGGTTCCCACGCCTTAATCGCCTTCTCGCTTCATTTACTATACTAGACAGAGCCGGCGCGATTATCAACCCGCTGGACAGGTCTCAATCTGTGCAGTTCCTGTTTTGCGATTGGATGCTCTGGTGCGGGTCTTATACTTGTCTCTCCCCGGTCAATTTAACATGCTTGTAGAGACGGAGTAGGCGTGCATTAGAAACCCGTGGCTTTGGCCTCGCAAGCTCTTCCCCGATGGTGGGGCTAGTGTCTGCCCAGCCATGCTATCTCATATTTATACTTCCTGACTCTTAATGTTGACGCCTGATATCTTGTCTTTTCTGGGACCCATCTGGTCTAGGGAATCGGTCTTGTTGTCTATAAATCTCTTCTGAGCCGCTTAGACATTATCGTCACATCACCCTATCCCACGATAGATTTACCGCCGGTCTTTACGTTCGATACCTTTGCGGCGCTCACTTGTTTTCTTTACCATGGCTGAACAACTTCAGCTGGGAGTGGGCTGCCATGCCTACATCGAGGGCGTGGAGACTTCATACGGATACGTCCCTACACTAGCAGCAGGCATCGCATACTGTACACTTTTCGGTCTCTCAATGATCCTGCATACAGTTCAAATGGCCTGGAAGCGAACATGGTGGACGAGCGTATTCAGCATCGGATGTTTAGGTAAGAACAGTATCGCATCGTCACCTACGACGCCGAACCCTAACTCGCGCAACAAAACACTAACAACCGCAACAGTCGAAGTAATTGGCTGGGCAGGCCGTACCTGGTCATCCAAATGCCCATATAGCTCAACCGCATTCCTAATGCAAATCTCCACCCTCATCATCGGTAAGCCCTATACCCATCGCCCATATCCAAACACCACCTAACAATCCTTCCCAGCCCCAACCTTCTACACAGCAGGCATCTACATCCTCCTAGGCCGCTTCATCCAACTCCTTGGCAACGAATCCTCAATTTTAAAGCCAAAGCTCTACCTCTGGATCTTCTGCACCTGCGATGTAATCTCGCTAGTCGTCCAAGCCGTCGGCGGAGGCATGGCCTCCGGAGAAGCGGGCCAGATCGACGGCGATACAGCGCCAGGAACGCACATCATGGTTGCCGGCATTGTCTTCCAACTATTCTCGATTACGATCTTTGTTTTCTGCGCGGCTGACTTTGTCCGTCGCACGATGCGCCGCCGCCTGCTGCAGTCGCTTACTGGGTCGGTTATTCCTTTGTTTGCTGCGATGGTATTGTCTATTGTTTGCATCTATATTCGGAGTATTTACCGGACTATTGAGTTGTCGCAGGGTTGGTCTGGGTATCTTATTACTCATGAAAGTTACTTTATTGCGCTTGATGGTGCCATGATGATTGTTTGTGTCGCTGTCTTTAATGTGCTTCATCCTGGTTGGTTGTTGCCCAGTGGGAAGAATTTCTCGTCCAAGCCTGACAGGCCATCTACTGATGGACTGGAAATGAATAGCTCTGTTGATGGGTTGGAGGGGAGCCGTGGTCCTCCTCTTCATTGGTGATTGCTTTTTCTTTCGTCATCGGTTTGCTTGTGGTGCTGTTGGTATGGCTATTTTTTTTTTCTCTCTATATACCTTTGCTTGTGCTTGTGTTAGAAGATAGATACCGAGTCAGGGACAATTTATACTCGGGGGATAATGAGGGTTTATATAGACTTTTGGATAGTCTCAATGGCATATGATTTTGGGTATGCCCCATTAAAACATGATCTGAAGGGTAATCGATGCGCAAAACAACCATCAAGCACCGAATGATAACATGAAATAAACAAGAAAGTGACGAAGTGGTCAACCTGGAATAAGGATATACTGCAGCATTGAAAAAAACAGCGACATTCTTGGGCTCCATGAAAAGAACAGAAGGCGCTTGTATTGGTGGCATTTCGCCCACCGGTCAAGCACCGGGCATCATAGAAAACACCCAATCAAACTCCGCGCGAGAAGACTCCCATTTCCATATCATACACCTTCCACGGACTCAATCCAGCCGAAGCTTGCTCCTGTAACAAGCGCAGAAACAGCCCAGACGGATCCCCATGTGGCAGCACCTACGACAGAGACATCACGGATGGTGCCAGCCACTTGAATAATGGTGTTAAGTAGGATTCCAACTGCAAGAATAATCGACCGAGAAACCAGCACTCTGGTCTTGGTCGATAGCTTGCCCCAGGTTTTGCGGTAGATGGCCGCAACCAAGGATTCGCCTTCGCTGCTGGCGCTTGCCGCCTGGGCATCGTTGATCGTGTATCCAGTAGAACTGACAAATAGGAAGTCCCGCGCAGCCCAGCCAGCAGGAGCGAGAGTCAGGAAAAGCACTGGCAGACCGGCGGGTCCAGCGTGCGCGGCGCTAATATCCGGGAGACTCTCAAAGTGCACGACCAGTTGCGCAGGAAGCCAGGATGCGTAGCTGATGTAGAGTACAACGCTGAAGATTGACGTTGCGAGCAAGCTCGTGAAGAAAGTGGTGAGTTTGTCCTGCAGGATGCCTCGGTTGGCAATTGCGCCTGGGGGCGTATGAGACAGATCGTGGACGGAAGAGAGCCGGCGCAGGAAGACAAATGGAAGCGCGGTAGAGGCGACTGTGATTCCGTAGGAAATCAAAGCTGAGGTTGGGCGCACCGCATAGAAGCAGGACAAGAGCGAGTAGATCGGTAGGTGGGTCAAGAACAGGAACGATGCGACATCGCGACCTATTTCACATGATCATACCAAAGGTCAGACTCTGTAGCTTATCTATATAGCTGCATGGAGCAGCAAGGGGATACAGAGCTTTGCTTACCGTCAAATCCGAGCACCCAGGCCACCCCAACCTCCACAGCTCTCCAACCGATCAGGACCCCCACTTCCCACCATTCTTCCAGGTGTTTACTGATGGGCCCGAGATCGCCCAGGGTCAAGCTGGAGGTGAGTGTAAACAGGATTGAGCTCACGATCAGGCTGCTCAAGACCACAAGGATAAAGCGTGCCGGAGAGGGAATGCGCATCAGCGGAGAAGACTTCGCCGCGACCTTAGGGTCGCGTGCAGCTCGTGTGGTGCTGGTTGATGCAGTTCGCTTTTTGGGAGACATTTTTGCAGATCTGCTTATGATAATACTGCAATGTAGGAATTGAGTCTGAAGTGCTGTTACAAAGAAGAGAAAGATGGCGGGAATGTGCCAGCGGTGAGCACGTGATGATGTCATTGTACAATTCCAAGGTTTGCTAATTTACAGTGGGGCCAAGCATATCTTTTGACAACCCTAAGCATCCTCCTCTGTCTCTGCCACGGCAAATTCCACTGTACCACTTTCACGTCCGTGGTTGTCTTTCACCACTACCCTGTACTTGCCCTGGTTCCAGAGGTCCTTAATTGTCAACTCACGAGTACGACCAAGACTCTCAATGTCGCCAATGCGCTCTAGAGTACCCTCCAGGTGCGAGTCAAATCTGTCGATATCGCAAATCTCGCGGAAGGCATTCTGCATAGGCACAGAGTCAGCGCGCACCATGGCTCGCGAGTCAATGGTGAAGATATTCTCATGATCGTAGGATTGAATGAAGTCAGCACGGGTCATAATCTCGCGTGCTTCGTGAAGCGGGATCTCAGGCAAAATGTGGCCTGTTTCTGGGTGGTAACGCTCCATATCTCTCTCTTTGTCAACAAGTGCCTTCGCAAGCACCATAGCCGCAGACTGGTGTGTATTTGGTTAGATTGAATTGCGTGATAGGTTTGAGGGTTCTGTGGGCATGACTCACTGAGAATTTCTGCTCGTCCATCACATCGTCGTCCATCTCCTTTCCAAGAATCCAGCACTTGTTCAGAAGCCACGTCTTTTCGGCGCGGCAAATGTCGTCGCATGTTTTGGTCATATCCTCAGATTTGGCGACACGGCTCAAGAAGGACAGACGACCGCCCACTTTGTCATAGACTTGCTCCAGAACCGATGATGGGAGAACCTGGTTATAATACTGCTCACGGTACTTCTTCAATGCGGCCATCGCCTTGTCCTTGGGTAGATCGGTTACGGGAATGACTTCCATGCGAGTTGCATAACGCTTCAGACGCTCATATACCCAGTAATCATCGCTGTTGAGGACTGAAATCGATCAAGGTCAGAAAAAGTAACGCAAAACACTTGTTGGGTGCTTACTAGTTGTGACAAGGCCACTGGCAGCCCATTGCTCTGCTCTTTGCTGAATCATCTCGAGCAAGTCCTGTCCATCATGGTCATCCCGAACCAAATGAGTGCTGTTGATAATCAGGATCAGGGGAGATGAGCCGGCGCGTCTCCTGGTAAGTGCCACTTTCTCCAATTTATTGAAGGCACGTTCAATGTCCAAGAGAGCAGTAGTGTCTCTCGGGCCACGGATACTGAAAAGACTGCCAATGTAGCTAGAACTATATCAGTATTGTGCTTGTCGCTGATGCCAGTAACAACTTACTCCTCGTGGAATTCGTAGTCCAAAGCTTTACCCAGTCGAATGCGGAAAATCTCTAGATCAGCATGCGCTTCGAACATCGCACAACTGTTGCCATTGATCTTGCGCATAGCCTCGAGAAGCATCGAGGTCTTTCCTGTCCCCTTTTCACCAATCATTAGGTAATAGTGGCCCGTTCTTCGCCCGGCTACAATTTCGTCAACCTTGGGTTGCTCATTGCGAATAACCCAGTGCTCCTCATGTTGGTACTGGTGTTTTCCAGATACAACGCCCGCAATCTCGAGGGCGGGATCGCCTGGTTTGAACGCATTGTCCATCTTGTCCAGGATCAAGTACTTGTAGTACTGGTGGTACCCATAACCAGCCGCACTTGAGAATATTAGCGATAATAGTATATAGTCCGCGCGATGGATCCTTACCCTAGGATGAAAATTGATGCTGCAGTGGTTGCTGCAGTTTCAAGCATCTTGAGAATCGTAGATTTCAAGTTAGGGTCTGAGTCGCCATTGCGACCCTGGCCTTGACCTTTACCCTCATCTGAATCAGGCTGGTCAGTAGGACCCGGGGTATATTGCCCGGTGTTTTGAGGGTTTGAGTTGAACCGCTTCGGTGTATACACCACAACGCGGTTATTAGACCAAAGTCTTGGCAAGCCCCGCTGGGCATAGCACCTTGCCGGCTGTACAAGTCGATTCCATGGCATCCTGGTTCGTCTTGGCGTGTGTATATGATGCTTTGAGGTATGACGTTTCCAATTGTTTACACAAAAATTGGTGATAAGCCTCCAAAAGTAATGATAAATGAGTGTATTGTTGAAATGGGGTCACAGCGCCACTCTGGGGGATGACGCGTCGTTTAAAGACAAACGAGAGACTCAGCTGAAAGCTGTAAATGGAAGAAAATGAAGTTGAAAGAGAGGCTGAAGGATCAAAAAACAAGTCAGAATACGAAAGAGTGTGGCTTAGTCGGAAGGTGGACTCGGACCTCAGCCTCGATGAACCAGGGATGCGAAAGGCTTGGCGTTTCGATACGGTCACACTCTGATCATCTATATGCTTGAGTGTATGGTCTTCTTTGATTCTATAGTCAATGCTATTGTGTGCCCGTGGCTCTTTGATCTAGATATTCCCATACAGCATTTTGCTCTCCTTTATTGTGCCTCAAACTCATTGGTCTTCAGCCCCAACAAAGCTGACAATGAGATAATCTATGCATTGGTGAGACTGCAAGGCACTTCAGTGCATGAAGGTACCAGTGAGCCGGGCCTAATAGGCATTAGCAATCATAGTAATGCATCAAAATCACAGGGACAGATGGAGTTTGCCAGTGACGTAGTATGGAGCATATTGCCCCCTATATATAGTTCAACAAGGTCCCCCAATAGCTTCAACCAGAACTAATCCCGATGTAAAATGCCATGCATTTTAAATATAAACATATATGACAGCTCAAACTCACCATCGAAAACATTTCGCCAAAGCAAGATGCCACAGTGTATTCATGGGCCAGTGCATGTCGACGTGTACAAGAATAATGACACCTGAGGCACCAAGGCACAAAATACTATAATCTATGAGTTTGTCACCCAGACAATGCTAATTAGGTATATACCAATTCTATAACCACCCCACTACCTAAGTATATAATATGCTTTCATCATTTAAAATAGCAAGATCATCAAACAAATCCCAACTGTAGAGTGGAGAGGCACTCTCCGCGTCTTCCCCGAACCCACCGCCCGAGCACTTCCGAGGGTATGCCGCATCCGCGAAATTTTCTCTCCGGTTTCCCTGTTTCACACCTTAACATCCTATTCAACTTTCTGGGGTACGGGGTTTTTGTTTCTTGCCCAATTGCCCTTTTTCCTTGTATCATACTACTTTTTAGTCCCTGCCGATTCCCCGCAGGCCTTGACCTTTTTTCCCCGACCCATTTTTCCGAACTTTTGTCCCATCCGCGTGACGGTTGTGGGATAGTGGTTTGTTGCACGTATCCTTTGTCGAAGCTTCGTTTTTCACCAATTCGACATAATGGCCCAGACCAATGGGGAGTTGGAGCACTCGAAAGGTGTGTGTTAGCCCTGGAAGCTCGAAGCACGAGACCCGTCTCGATCATCGGAAAACAGCCCAGGTTTCGGTAAACCAAGATGCAGGGCACATGCTAACAGAGGAACAGAGGCTCCTGTAGCTTCTCAAGAAGTCATCAATGGTGACGCCCCCGAGGGTGTTGAGGAGGACAACGCGGGCGGTACGCTGGGTAGCCACAGACGCTGTAAACGTTCTCTAACTCGAGTCCAGGTCTCTTCCAGATCTCCGTGAAGCTTCCTCACGCTCCTTATAAGATTCAGGTGATGGTGGGTGCTGCATTGAAGAAAGTTCGGGAGCATGCTTCTGACTCGTTTATTTGTATAGGTGTCCAGCCAAGAACAGGTTCAGGACGTCCGCCAATCCATTGTCGAGCTACCGGGTACCTTCCAATACACCTGCTTCCACCTCGAATTCAACGGCAGCCGTATCAATGACTTTGTCGAATTGTCCGAGGTGCCGGATCTCCAGGCCGACTCCGAGATTGTCCTGGTTGAGGACCCCTACACCGAGAAGGAGGCTCGCATGCATGTCGTCCGCATCAGAGAGCTGATTGGTGCTTCCGGTGACCGGGTTGATAATCTCCACGGTATCTCTGCTGGTCTCTCGCTGCACGACGCCATCTCCGCGGACGCCGTCAAGGCCAATGCCTCGGAGAAGGAGCACTCTCTTTCCAAATACGACTTGACCGGAGTTTCATCTCTACAGACTATCCTGCCCGCCGCGCAGACTCCTCTCCCTAAGACAGTGAAGTCTATCTCTCTGTCTTCATGGAACCCTGTTCCATACAACCTCCGCCAGAAGGGCCACCTGCTCTACCTTTTGGTTACCACCAACGAAGGTGAACAGTTTCAGATTACTGCTCACGTGTCCGGCTTCTTCGTAAACAAGAACTCGAACACCAGATTCGATCCTTTCCCTAAGCCCATGCCCAAGGACAAGAAGGGCAGCGCCCACTCGTTGCTCACTCTGATCTCTCACATCTCTCCTTCTTTCAACGAGTCCTTCGAGGCTCTGCAGGAGTACAATAACGAGAAGGATCTCTTGACCACCTTCCCCTTCCAGAACGCTATTCCTAACAGCCCATGGCTCATCTCCCCTTCTACTTCCAGCTTAGCCGCCCACCAGCCTGATATCACTCGTTCTCAGGAGAATTACCTGATCTCTGGCGTCGATAATGCAGAGACTCTGCGTGACTGGAACGAGGAGTTCCAGACTACCCGCGAACTTCCCCGCGACACTGTGCAGGACCGCGTGTTCCGTGAACGCCTGACCTCCAAGCTGTTTGCCGATTACAACGAAGCTGCTGCTCGCGGTGCCGTTCTGGTTGCCCGGGGTGAGGTTGCTCCTCTGAACCCCACTGAGGCGCGGGACGCCCAGATCTTTGTCTACAACAACATCTTCTACTCCTTCGGTGCTGATGGCGTTGGCACTTTCACCTCCGAGGGTGGTGACGAGGCCGCCCGCGTTGCTGTGGGCAAGGATGTTCTCGGAATTAAGGCTGTCAACCAGCTCGATATCGATGGACTCTTCACCCCTGGAACCGTGGTTGTCGACTACCTTGGCAAGCGTATTGTTGGCCAGAGCATTGTTCCTGGTATCTTCAAGCAGCGTGAGCCCGGTGAGCACCAGATCGACTACGGTGGTGTTGAGGGCAAGGAGGTTGTGGCTACTCACTCCGACTTTGTTCCCGTCTTCGAGAAGCTCTCCAAGGCTCTCCGTATCAAGTCCCACCCCGTCTGGGACAAGGATAACAAGCGCCACGACCTCGAGGGTAGCGTTGAGACCAAGGGTCTTCTCGGTACTGATGGTCGTAAGTACGTCTTGGATCTGTACCGCGTGGCTCCTATGGATGCCGAGTGGCAGGAAGAGAATGGCAGCGATGTCTACCCTCACCGCATGTCTGTTCTCCGTCTTGAGCTAGTTGAGTCCTACTGGCGCCACAAGATGAGCCAGTACGTCAAGGCTGAGGTGGAGCGCCGCCGTGCCGCCGCCGCCGAGGCTCCCAAGGAGGAGGGCAAGACCGAGGAGGAGACCGCTGCTGAGCAGGAGCGTGTTGACATCTCCGGATTCAACTTGGCTCTCAACCCTGACGTCTTCAGCGGCCAAGTCCCCCAGACCAATGAGGAAAAGGAGCAGTGGGCCCAGGATGAGAAGGAGGTCCGTGGCGCCTGTGACCACCTGCGGTCTAAGGTTATTCCCGACCTGCTTAAGGACCTGCACGACGGTGATGTTGGCTTCCCCATGGACGGCCAGTCCCTGACCCAGCTCCTGCACAAGCGCGGTATCAACTTGCGCTACCTCGGAAAGTTGGCTCAGCAGTCCAACGAGAAGGGGCCTCGCCTGCAGGCTCTATCCACCCTCCTCGTTCAGGAGATGATCACTCGTGCCTTCAAACACGTTGCCAACCGCTACCTCAGCAGTGTTCCTGCTCCCTTCGTTGCTCCCTGCATCTCTCACTTGCTGAACTGTCTCCTCGGTTCCGCCGTCAACGCTGCCCCTAAGGCTGAGATTGACGAGTCTTTGCGTGAGATCTTCCCCGAGGGCGACTTCTCCTTTGAGAAGGTCACTCCCGAGTCTCTTCGCGCCGAGATTGAGCAGCAGGTTACTATTCGCTTCCGCTTCTCCCTGAAGAACGGCTGGACCAACTCCTTGAGACACTTGCAGCTTCTGCGTGATATTTCCATCAAGTTGGGTCTCCAGCTTGGTGCCCGCGACTTCCCCTTCAGCAAGGACCAGGTCAAGGAAGTGGTTGTCCCCGTTCCCGCCAGCGGCACCAACCGCGAGGAGCCCAAGAAGAAGGGCAACAAGAAGAAGGGTGGTGACACCAAGTCTCCCACTCGCGCCCCTGCTCCCGCCAAGCCCGCTACTACCTTCACCGCTGACGACATCCTGAATGTTGTGCCTTTGGTCCGCGATGCTGCTCCCCGCAGCGCTTTGGCCGAGGAGGCCCTGGAGGCCGGCCGTATCTCTCTCATGCAGAACCAGAAGCAGTTGGGCCAGGAGCTCATCCTGGAGTCTCTGTCTCTGCACGAGCAGATCTACGGTATTCTGCACCCCGAGGTTGCCAAGCTCTACCACCAGCTTTCCATGCTGTACTACCAGACCGATGAGAAGGAGGCTGCCGTCGAGCTTGCTCGCAAGGCGGTCATTGTCACTGAGCGTACCATGGGTGTGGACTCCGCTGACACCATCTTGAGCTACCTCAACTTGAGTCTGTTCGAGCACGCCTCTGGTAACACCAAGACCGCTCTGGTCTACATCAAACACGCCATGGATATCTGGAAGATCATCTACGGTGCCAACCACCCAGACTCCATCACCACCATGAACAACGCCGCCGTTATGTTGCAGCACCTCAAGCAGTACAACGACTCCCGCAAGTGGTTCGAGGCTTCCCTCTCCGTCTGCGAGGACCTGTTCGGCAAGGAGTCCATCAACACCGCCACCATCCTCTTCCAATTGGCCCAGGCCCTTGCTCTGGACCAGGACTCTAAGGCCGCTGTTGGTAAGATGCGTGAAGCCTACAACATCTTCCTCGCCCAGCTTGGTCCCGAGGACCGTAACACCAAGGAGGCCGAGACTTGGCTCGAGCAGCTCACCCAGAACGCTGTCTCTATCGCCAAGCACGCTAAAGACATCCAGGCTCGTCGCCTGCGCCGCATCAACATGAATCCCCGTGTTTCCACCATGGGCACCCGTGTTCAGCCCCAGGTCGGCCAGGTCGCCCCAGATGTCTCTGGTGCTGCCCAGCCTTCTACTCCCTCCGGTCTTGACTCCCGGAACATCGATGAGCTCTTGAAGTTCATCGAGGGTGGTGATGCCGGCAGCTCTTCGCGTTCCAAGCAAAAGAAGCGTGCTGCCACCAGCAACCCCAAGCTTCGCGGCTCCAAGCAGACCCCTAAGGCTTAAATTAGTCTCCTAGACTAGCCGAACTGCATCATTTGATTTACGCCTTTAATTTCTTGGTCATTACATGTGTTAACAGTCAAATAAGTTACTATCTCTATATCCATTGTCATTTTGGGGAACGGTGGGCAGGCTTGATGAGCGAAAAGAATTGCTGTATTTTATTTAGATCTCTCTCCTCTCATTTTTTGATGTCTTGATCTGTCAAGTTAGGTTTTCTCTCGGGCAGTGCATGAAAAAGGATTCGGTTGTTTTATATCGCCTCATCTGGTGCATTATACGTTGGTATGTCTCTGGATTTTGCATGGGGTTTTACGACTTGGGTCAATTCTCTTTCTGGGTAGAATCCATCATGTTCATACATTCATACATGTCTCTACAGTACACAATATCATATCAGACCTTAATACTGTATAGTTCAGGATGCGTGCCTCAGTAGGCAAAATGTGCACCGATCCACCTTACCGCTTTTGGCAATATTTGTTTACTTTGTTTGTGTCGTGCAATGTTGTCATGCATCCATCCACTTAACGCGCTTTGTATTTCTTGATACTTTATCTCATTGCGTATTACTTGGAAGCAAGCAATTCTTGCTGAGTATCTTTTCATTATTCTCTTTCTTACCATGTATGACTGAGGGGCTATTTCGTACGGTGGGGTTGGTGCAATGCGACCCAAAGACACAAACTGAGACAATGCTGATTTTTCTACAGTTGTATGCTTTAAGCAGATATCATTATCCATTATACCTCATGGATGACCTTCAATCTAGCGCAAGATGGGCGAATCGTGTGCTGCGCCCTCTGACCTCCATCTGTCGTCGAATCGAAAAGCACCAACGCATGCTATCCGTGATCGCATCCGAGTCGAGGAAACAACAAACAGCGCAAAAACAAGCTGCAGTGGATACAGAGAAACAAGAGGATCGCGTGGACAACCTTTCAACTTCCGACGCAGACGACAATGACCCGGTCTGGATTCCAGGGAGGCTCGAACGGCGCCGCGCGAGACACAAATATTCAAACAGAGGCGAGGAAAACAACGGAAGGAGGCGAAACAGACTATCGCTGCAAAGTCCTGAAGCACCGCGGACCCTGCCCGGCTGCATCGAGATCGCGACACCGCAAATTACAGGGAGACGATGGCAGATGCCCCCGAGCGCGCAGTCGCAACGCTCAATCGACAGACCTAGCTTTGTCCCTCAGCCTGCGCAGCAGCAAGCATTTCGTGAATTGTACTCGTTGCACAAGAGCCCTTGGCAGGAACTGCTTGATGAATCTGGCGACCCGACCTTTGCTGGCATAGCCCACAATCTCGACCGTGTTTTCCAGAACTTCCTTTTCAATACTCGAATCTCCAAGACCGAGGCAAATCCCCTGGCCAAAAAGGAGGTCACTCGCGGAGCTCGGTCTTTAATGTCGATGCTTGCGCGACGCCTGCCTGTGTTCATTGCGACTGAACAAAAAACACAAGATGATCTTGACGAAGATGGAGACGAAGATATGTGCGATGCATACTTTACAGAATTAGAAACATTTTATGCACCTCACGGTTCTGGCTGGAAGCCGCTCCGTGAGGCTACTCGCGCGCAGGGTATCCATTTGATTGCTTCGATGATACGGAATCATTGGGTGTCAGATGGAATTGCTTGTGCATTGATTGAAAAGTGTCAATCTTGCGCTCCCGATGCTTGTCAATCGCTACTTTCTACGTTGCTGTCCACCCGCACTTCTTATCCACACCCGACTGCCTTGAAGTCTCCGGACCAGCCCAGTCCTTCTGGAGACGCGGTTCGATTGTTACGCAGATATGCACACCATGGGGTTGCTCCTCCATCTTACATCTTCGATGAACTTGCAAAGCTTGTTTCAAGGGGCATATTGCCCCCTGAATGGATGGCGACCAAGCAATGGACTGTCTGGGTGACACGAGCGACGATATCGTTTTCGAAACAAGATGATGACTATGTTGCAGCTTCCAGACTTATAGAAGCCGTGATTCTCTCAGCGAGTGATGTGCGCCACGCTACTGCTGTACATTCTTCTTTGAAGGCCCCAACGGGACCCAAAGCCAAGAGTGCCCGTTCTCGTGATACCAGGGCTTCTTCTATAGGGCCATGGCAAAATCCGCATCTTCCGCAAAGCTGCCCCCTGCAGGTTGAAGATGCGCTTAGCAACCATGTCATAAGTCTCATGGCAGCGATGTGTGGTATGCATATGTCACGGTCTCGTGCCAGCGATAACAGTGAACGCTCCAATGGAACAAAGGCAGGCCATCTTATCAGCTATATCATGCTTGCTCTACAGCGAGACATGGACTTGAACCCACTATGTCAGCGACCAAATCTTACACCACATCAACTACTACGGCGCGGCTGTATCTTACTTGGCACCAGCATTGCACAGTGTAATGACGCACTTTTGTCTGACGATACTACTTACAAGATACCCTCAACAACTAGTGTTGATGAATGTGCGCGATCCATTGCATCTCGCACAGACATGATTAAAGAAATGGCATTATTTGTGCGACAGGCATTCCGTGGTCTCAAGACTGGCACAGAAACCGAGCGTGACCCTGTGAGCGAAGATGTACGTCGCATGATTGACCAACTGTCCCGCCTGGCGGATACACCAGGCCTGTCTTCTTTGCTTGGACAAGTTGCTGCAGAATCTGCCATGATATTTGCAGAGGCCACAGATGATCCAGAAGACCTTGTTTGGGCGATCGAGGCTCAAGAGACAGTTGTCAAAATCCAAACCCAGAAGGAACCCAAACCCGAGGAAGACTCTGAACAAGACTCTGAGCTTGAGGAGCTTGCACAAAGCAAGAGTTTGTTCCGCTGGGAAGAAAGTATAGGCGAGTGGGTGGCACGTACGCCAACCAGCAAGCCCAAGCCTAGGCCCATTCTAGTTCAAAAGTCCTCAAGGCCCTTTGCGCGGATGCTCTCAAGCCCAGGACCATGCATTCCTGGCACCGACGACAGTAGCTCGTCTGCCGATGATAGCTTGGAAGACTCTATCTCAAGTGTGATCTCATCGCCTTCATCGGTGGCCGTCCCTCTTCCTGTAGCCCCCAAGCGAACATTCGAAGACACGGATTCCGTGCAGTTTCCGCCTAGGAAGCGTCAGCGACCCACCCCAGTTATTGTGTTTGAGAATGAGAAGAGCAGTGCCCAAAGACGCTCGCCTTCGCCTAATAGATACAACTCCACCGTGGAACCTGTCTCCCGCCGTGAGGCCCTACGAGAAAGGCGCAACGTCAACATGCGAATGTCCCCTGCAAAGCAAGGCAACAAAGTCGAAGTTGTGGTTGTCAACAACCGAGAAACTCGCACACGACAGGATACAACCCGGCCCGCATTGGAGCGGGGTGAGAGACAAATCCATCGCACAATGCAGAGACAAAGGCCTGCGCGCTCTCCCAGTCCATCCCCAGCCATGCCCAAAATTGGTGGGAGGCGCATCTCCCAATTTGTTATCCCCTGGTCTCAGGAAGAGGAAAGTGATGATGAGCTCAGTTTCCTGTGAGCGGGGCCGCCTGGGCTTTCTAAAATCATTCTAGTGGGACCCGTTGTAGATTACCTCGCCGGGAAGAGAGGTCAGTGAACCTCCAAGCTTGTCGTTGTGCCATGGTTGTGGCGTCTATCACATTTCATTTTGCGAATGGACCCTTTCTTAAAATTGGAGCGGTTGGATTTCCACTTGGCCGAGATGGTCCGACTATGAACGCGATCTTGGTTCATTTCATATGAAGGGAACGGTGGATATGATCTTTTTTTGTCCTTTTTTTTTTGGCAAACCGGCGTTTTGGCCCTTTGTTCTTTTGATACCCTTGGCCGGTCTAAATTGGAGTCTTTATCTCTTCCATTTTTCTTCTAGATCTTGCATTCTCCCTTCACTTTCTCGAGATTTTGATCAGCGGTGTATGTCAAGACTACGACCTGGCTCTGGATCTAGGCCACGGCGTCAGCAATTCTCCGCTCTGAATCCTCGGACAAACAACTCAAAGCCAACACCAATCTATCTGGCACTCAGATAAGACACCATGTAGCAAAATGGAAGGAGGCCGGCGCCAACGCGGGGGAATGACCGTAGATATAGGCCTGCAGCGTGCAGTTAACCTATGAAACATCGGATGATTACTTTCCACCATTCGGGCACCAAGCCACTTTGACAGGGCTGGCAATAAGTTTGTGGTCGTTTGTTGAGCAAAGCGGAGACTTGACAGAGATTTCGGAAGGAGATTTCCCATTGTGGGAGATGAAGGTCTGATATAGATGAACTCCGCCGTGCCAAGACTCCCCCTGAGATAACCAGAGATCTCACATTTACAGTGTGGCTTGACCAGAGCGGAGCTTATGGCCGGCGTGTTTCACGAACCTCCTTTCGGTGAGATCTCCGCGAGTTTCCACCACCTCAGCCCAATACCAGCAGCACATTGGCCCCCGATCAAGCAAGGGCTCTAATTTCAAACAGCCAGTCGTGGGCCAAGGCCTGTCGCGGATCGACTGTTTAGCGCCTGTTGATTTCTCCTCAAACTCTGCTCACTGGTTGTTTCATCGCTGGCCAGTCACAGTCTCTATGGCCACTCCCGCCACTCGACGGCCGCTGCCTTGGACCTGTCGCATGTCGCATGTCCATCTTCTGCCAAATCTTGCGGAAGACGATCTGTAATCTAGCTGTCTGATTCGACCCATGGAATCGAGGGCATCGCTATGAAAATCCCTTGACACCCGTCAACCCTGGCGCCAAATCCCTCGGAATTAATCGAATTAATCAAAATGGAGAACAGAGATCGATAGCATGGCACACGGGCCAAAGCCCAGCCTTGCTTGGCCTCTACATATTAGTCCCCTTGTCTCATACTCTCCACTCTTGGGGGAAGAGAAGGTTTCTCTTGTTCCTATCTTCCTTTCTTCTTTTCTTCTTTGTGCTTTATTTTTACAATCGACATTGTTTCATTCTTCACTTTGCCTTTCTTTCTGAGACAATCGTCATTGTGTGACGAAGTTCCATCTTTAGCCCTTTGCAGTGACTGGCTCACCAGCATTCCTTTCGTTGCCAGCCGACAACAGCCTTTTTAAGACATCTCCCCTGCTCAGTCCTTTCGTCCGATCTTCTCTGAGCACAGGTTATTCGAGAAACTACCGACAATCACCATTTCTATGCTGTTTTCTTTGTTTTCTATACGTTAGATATAGGCAGGCCCTGCAACCCGACTCCAGCCACCCAACGCATATCGAGTCTAGGATTCTTCACCCTTGCCATTTTTATCTACGTTGCCAAACAACTGGGATTGTTTCGACTGCTGTGTTACTTCTCAACAATATCGACCGAGCAAAGCCAACGTTGGCTTTGGTCCCGATATAACCACCCCCTTTCACTCTTTTGATAGCGAGCAGGACTCGCTGAAGAACTATTCAGGTCATCCCTGACTTTGGAACCTGCAGCATCTTAGTGGGGCACCATGCAGCTCATTATTGTCGCCATGTTCCTGGCTGGACTGACCAGCGCAATGGACATCGAGAAGCGTCACGCCAAGAGCTCTTCGGAGATGTACTATGAGGCCGTCAACGACGACTTGGCTCGCTATACAATCCTCGCACTCGGCTGTGCCGCTACCGCATACTATGTATGGCACCTTTGGTTCCGCTTCTCGGCCCATCTGCGCCGTCTGGCCAGCTTCAGCGATGATAGACAACGGTACTTCGTGTCTGCTCACGGTACCTTCTCCTGGGTTAAGGAGCACATCATCTACGCAGCACTGTTCCGTACCCGCCACAACCAGGAAATGCAGCTCTCCTCGGCTATCAACATGGGTACCCTGCCCAGTCGTTTCCATGCATTCCTTGTCACCGGTATTGTCGCCATGAACGTCGCACTTTGCTGCGTTACCACCCCTTATGGCTCAGAGGAAGACACCGTTGCCGGTGTCGTGCGTAACCGTACCGGTACTATGGCCACCATTAACATGATTCCTCTGATCATCATGGCAGGCCGTAACAACCCTCTGATTGCTATGCTCCACGTGCCCTTTGACACATGGAATCTGCTGCACAGATGGCTCGGCCGCATAGTAGTCCTGGAGGCTCTCGCCCATGTCTTCGCCTGGGCAATCCCCAAGGGTCAAGAGAAGGGCTGGAAAGTCGTCGCTATGGCCATTACCGGAAGCAGCTTCTTGTTCACCGGCCTGGTAGCAGCCATCGCCTTTGCCGCTCTCTTGGTGCACTCGCCCTCGCCCATCCGCCACGCCTTCTACGAGACATTTCTGCACCTCCACTTCGCCATCGCAGCCGTCTCCATCGGCTTCCTCTGGGTTCACCTGAACGGTCTCGCCGCGCAGACCTACCTCCTTGCAGCCGTCATCCTCTGGGCCCTAGAGCGCGCTACCCGCCTGCTCATCATCCTCTACCGAAACATCGGCCGCGAATCAACAACCGCAACCATCGAGGCCATGCCCGGCGACGCAATGCGCATCACCCTGCGCGTAGCCCGCCCCTGGACCTTCCGCCCAGGCCAGCACATCTACCTCTACATTCCTTCAGTGGGATGGTGGACCTCGCACCCCTTCTCCGTCGGCTGGAGCGACACAGAAGACAACATGTTGGACGAAAAGTCCCTCCCACTTAACCGCCAAGACATCCTCAACGCGCCCCACAAAGAAACAATCTCCCTCCTCGTCCGTCGCCGCACAGGAATGACAGACAAGCTCTTCCAGCGCGCCACAAACTCAATGGGCACACCCCTGACAGTCCGCGCCTTCGCCGAAGGCCCATACGGAAATATCCACACTATGGATTCCTACGGTACAGTCATGCTCTTCGCCGGCGGCGTAGGCATAACCCACCACGTCCCCTTCGTCCGCCACCTCGTCGCCGGCTTCGCGGAGGGAACTGTTGCCGCGCGCCGCGTCACCCTCGTCTGGATCATCCAGTCGCCTGAACACCTGGAGTGGATCAGGCCTTGGATGACGAAGATCCTGGCTATGGATCGGCGTCGGGAAGTCCTGCGTATTATGCTGTTCGTTACCAGACCGCGTAACACGAAGGAGATTCAAAGCCCTTCTGCTACTGTGCAGATGTTCCCTGGTCGTCCTAATATTGACACGCTTATTGGGATGGAGGTTGAGAATCAGGTTGGCGCTATGGGTGTGCTTGTGTGTGGTAATGGTGGGTTGAGTGATGATGTGAGGAAGGTTTGTCGGAGACGACAGGCTAAGTCCAATGTTGATTATGTCGAGGAGAGTTTCACTTGGTAAATATGGATTTGGAATTGCGTGTATGAGCGTGTTGGAGAGGTCGCTGTCCTTTGTTTTTGTGTTCCTTTTTTCCGGGTCGACATCCGCTTGATCTATATACTGCGGCTTTGTCTAGTATATAGTACTTTGTTCCTTTTGTTTCTGCTCTGCAGCTGACCTTCATTGTATACTTTTTGGTTTTTTCTCTCTCTTCTTTTGGCGGCGACCTATACTGCCTTTCGGGCAGTATCTTCGGTGCACATAGGGGGTTGCACATATCTTGCTGCAAATATAAGATACATGATGGTTCAAAAGTTTCTGTTTATCGTAGTATTCTGATAGAGTAGGATTACATTCAGAGTGGTCCATGAGCCAGCAGAATAATTATTCGGATAAAATTATAGAATGTGCGAAGAAACAATCAACCAACTCATAAAGCCATCATATAAGTCCCATTCAAAATAAACCATGCATCCAGACCGCTAAACACTGACATCACCCTCTTTAACAGCAACACCCATAGCCTCAGCATCAGTCTGGTAAGCCTTAAACTTCCTCGCAGGAACCTCATTAACAAACATCTCATCAAGCTCAGCATAAGTCCGACTAGCAGTCTCAGGCTGACAAAACCACAAATAAACAAGAGAAATCACACAAAGACCCCCGAAAATGAAAGTTACCTTGGCACCTAGATTCGCCTGATCAGGATTGAAAAGATACGGCAGAACAAACGACGGACGACCACATCGTATAAAGCGCATTCTGCAACGCTAATCCAATAGCAATAGTCTTAATCCGCAGTCTGGAAGTCGATACTTCAGCTAGGATGGTATATCCCGCCGATCCAATGGTCATATTGTACCACCAGCAGTAAACCAGAATCAAGGCCACCGTGCCCTTGATTGCGCCGCCGGAGTTCGGATTTGAGGCTTCGGCTCCGACGACTGCTAGTCCGCCGGTTAACATCAGAATGACGGTTAATACGCCCAGGCCGTAGATCATTATGTTTCGACGGCCCAGTCTGTCGATTAGAAAGTAGGACATGACATTGCCGACGAGTGAGCAGACCTGCTGCGCGATCTGGAGTCTGAAACTCATTTCTGTGCTGTAACCTGCCAGCTGGATATAGTATGTTGAGTAACCAGCTGCGAAAATGACGCCGGATAAGGCCTGAATGCTCAGCGGGAGGATGGAGATGATGGTTCGACGCAAGTTTGAGCGCCGGAAACACTCCAGGTAGGTGACGCCTTCTGTTTCACGCTTGATATCTTCGAGAGTCACTTTGATGTTGGCGAGCGTTTTGGCTCCCTCATCTTCGCTGTAGCCTAGTTTTCGGAGACTCTTGAGGGCTTTAGTGTCCCAGTTCTTTGATACCAGCCACCAGGGCGACTCGGGCATGAACGCTATGAAAGCAAGCGCTAGTGCGGCGTAGCCGTACTGGGCTACGAAGACGGCGCGGTAGGCCCAGCGATTTGTATATGTCCCGGTTGTGTTTGTGATCAGGGCGACAACAAAGGGACCGATGCAGTATGCCAGAGCTGAGAGGCAGGTGAGAGTACCGCGGAGGGCAAGAGGAGAGATCTATAGAATCGATAAGTACAAACATCAAAGAGATGCCAGTGAAAGGAGAAACAAACCTCTCCAATATAAGTAATAGGAACAGAAGCGAGCGCCCCCAACGCAAATCCATTAAGAAACTTCCCCCCAAAGAACATCTCATTGGTAGTCGCAACAAACTCCAACGTAACAGCAGCAACCGTAATGAGAAGCGACACTCCAATCGTCAGTTTGCGCCCAATAGCATCCGCAATCTGACCAGAACACAGCGCCCCAACTACCGCCGACGCCACTGGCGCGCCATTGAACGCAGACTGCCACTTCGCCTCGAGAACCCAGTCGCCTTCATAGAAATGCCCGAAATCTTTGCGGAATTTGGGGATTCCGGTTACGTTGCCTGAGGCTTGGTTCTCGAAACTGACTAGCAGGATGCACCATACGGCGTAGACGCACAGGCAAAGGTCCAGGGGTATTTTTTTAGGCTTTGCCATTTTCCTAGTCCGTGGTCTTCTTGGTTGGATAGGTGGCCGAGGTGTTGGTTGTCGGCGTGCTCGACTTGGTCGGTGCTGGGCTTTTCCATGGTTGTTGTATGTAGAATCAAGGGGTACAGATGAGGTGAGGGTAGAGAAGGATGAGCTCCAGAAAAGGGAGCTGAGATATTGATCACCGATGATCAAAATACAAGGCGATGGTGGTACATTTATTCTTTTTGGTAAGTATATAATTACCCCGAAATGCGAGTTTACAAGTCCAAAAAGCAAGAATAGAGATTTCCGCCACGCGGTTAACGCATCTAAATCTGGATTCTCGTATTTGTATTAGCTTCTGGGATATGTGGGATCATGTGGGAGCATGGCCTGACTGGGAATCAATGCCGAGTAATAGAGAGGCAAAGACGTGGGGAAACCCCTTACCCCGGATTCTCGCGTTGTATCTCTTCCGAAGTTTTGCCGCTGCGAGGGAAATGTGTAGCACTGGGCTGAATATGGTTTAGACGGATCTGTCGGAAGGCAGGTGGTGTCCTTTATGGCTTTGTGTAGGTCATTTTACTCTGGGTATCCAATGACAGTAGTTTTGCGTATAGTGCTTGATATGAATAGGGTGACAGAATGTGTCAAATGCTGGGAGGGCCTCTTCTACTGAGTGTAGATGTTAGTATGGGATATCACTGGTTTCACCCTATTTGCTTAATGAAAGCGCATATGTCTAGTTTCGTACCAGTTTACATACATGGCGAACTTTGTATGGAGGACATCTACAAAGATTCCTCGTGTGGTAATAGTGGAGAACTCCTCATAACGTATGGGAAGTCAATTTACTCCTTATAGCTTGGACGTCTATTTCTGCCCTCCGAAAGCCTCCTCCATGTAGACAGCAAAAGCCTCAAGCCTCAAGTCAATGTGAACTTCCCTATTGGAATGTACGAAGGACTCAATACAGGTAATGTCTACATTCTCTAACAGCTCTCATTCTTGTGCTGCAGCTTTGTCTGACGCTAATTCCATTTTGAACAGGAAAACTTCTTGTCGAAGTCAGTGCTGAGCGAAAATCAAGCTCTTCAGAACGATCAGCTTGGTCAGGCTTCATTTGCTAGGATATAGAGATGGGATGGGTACCAGGCACTGGGGCTCTGTATGGAATAGAGATCCTGCTTGTTGATGATCATGGATCAAGAACAGAGGCTAAGTAATTGGTCTGAAATCCGTATGTGTAAACCTTCACAGCTCATAAGAGCGGGTCGTAGCAGACACAGTAACCTTCCCAATAACATCTTGCACAGACCGTCCGATAGTGATTTCATATTCACCTTGCTTCAGTTGCCATTTCTTGGTACTTTCACTGAAATGAGCCAGCTGCCGAGTATTAAATCTGATTGTAGCAGTCTTGCTCTCCTGAGGAGTAAGCTGAACCTTGGCAAATCCAACCAACTCTTTGACTGGGTCCTCACTCGACGCAACCTTAGCTCCAGCGTAGACCTGAACAACATCTGCACCAGCCCGCGAACCAGTGTTGGTAACATTGATTGTAATCTTGAACTCTTCGGTATCATCAGAGACTGTTACTATCGGGTTCCCATGGGTAAACGTAGTGTACGAAAGACCATAGCCGAATGGGAAGAGGACCTGGGAACGATGTTCCTCGGACCGATCATAGTGTCTGTATCCGATGAAGATCCCCTCTTCGTATGTAACATGTAGTTGTCCGTCGATGTATTCGCCGGGGAAATTGCCATGAGCAGGAGCATCTTCAAGTCTGCGAGGGAAGGAGACAGGGAGACGACCAGATGGGTTGACTGCTCCGGTGAGAACGTCTGCAATGGCGTTGCCGGCTTCTTGGCCGGGGAACCAGGCTTGCACGACTGCCTTGACATCGTCAAGCCAGGGCATGCTAACGGCTACACCGGTGCAGTTGACCACGATTGTGTTGGAATTTACGGCACTCACGGCCGTCACAAGACGGTCCTGAGATCCGTTGCTGGGGAGGCTGAAGCTAATTTGGTCCTGACCTTCTGTTTCCCAGTCTGCTGTGTGGCCGGTGAAGACTATTGCAAGGTCGGAGCGCTTTGCAACTTCTACGGCTTCCGAGAGGAGATCCTTGTTGTGTTCTTCTTCGGTCGTGAAGCCGAATCTGAAACCGAGATATCCATCCAGCAGTGCGATACCGCCGCTCTTGGAAGGCTTCAGAGTGATGATCTCTAGGGCGTATGTCTTCCCGGCTTCAAAGTCCCACTGGACCTCGGGCTCCTTGACTCCACCCAGCAAGAATGCCATTGAGTCAGGGCAGTTTTCTTTCTGTTCATATACTGTCTTGCCATCGATAAGAATCTTGGAGCGCCCTAATCCTGACATGCCAAGGTAATGACGACCGCTTTCCGTTGGGGTGAAGCGACCCGTCGCTTTGATACTTCCCCAAGTCTCCTTGACAAAGATTGGCATGTATGTCGGCACATCAGAGTGCTTTAAAGAAGATGGTCTGCCTGTGGGCTCCTCACTGAGGAAGAAGTCCAAGGTCCATCCAGGCTGGCCGTCACGGTCTACAACCATCTTGTCCATCACTGGCAATTGGCGAAATGTGTGGGCACCCTGGGCATATTCAAATTCAACAGCATCGCCGAGTGCAGCACGGAGACCCTCCTCAGGTGTAACACGGTAGTGAGCATTGACAGATGCACTACCCCCACCGTGGATCAAACCATCTTTGGCAAAGCCCAACAGAGCAACCTTTTTGTTGGAAAGCTGCTCCTTGTTCAAAGGAAGAATCTCATTGTCATTCTTGAGAAGAACCAAACCTTGGCTGCCGACTGAGCGGATCAGTTTCTGGTGGTCTGGCTTGTTAATGGCCTTTTCCTCTGGAATAGTAGGATCCTCGAAACAACGAAGCTTGGCCACGAACTCGAGAACGTTGCGAGCACGGTCCCTGATTGTCTTCTCTGAGACTCTACCGGCCTTGATTTCCCCAAGAACAGCTTCGGCTGTTCGCCACTTGCTCGGGCCGGGCATTTCAAGGTCGAGACCAGCCTCTAGGGACCCGGAAGTCGAGTTCGTGCCACCCCAATCACTCATAACAAGACCGTTCCATCCCCACTGACCGCGAAGGACATCTTTGAGAAGGAAACTGCTTGAATCTGCATGTTGGCCATTGAGAATATTATATGAAGTCATGACTGCCATTGGATTGGCTTCTTTAATGGCAATCTCAAATGGCTTGAGATAGATTTCTCGAAGGGCTCTTTCAGCAACGTTAGCATCAACTGTGAAACGACAGGTTTCCTGTTCGTTCACAGCAAAGTGCTTGATCGTCGCAGCAACACCTTTCTCTTGCAGGCCGTTGATGTATTGCGCGGCCATTTTACCGGCAAGCAACGGATCCTCGGAGAAGGACTCAAAATTGCGACCACCGAGAGGATGGCGATGTGGGCAGACTGTTGGAGCCAGGCTGGATGATTCATTAGTATGGGACTAATTAATTCTAGTTCGGAACCCTCACAGTGCACGTGCTCCCTTGGATTGAGTCTCCTCTGCGAGGGCATTTCCGATGTTCCTAGAGGCTTCCACGTCCCATGTTGCTGCTAAGAGACAAGATGCCGGGAAACAAGCAGCTGCTGGGCCGCCCTTGAAGGTCGCACCTCGGGCGCCATTGGGACCATCGGATACCTGGAAGGTATCAGTCAGTGTGCTATTTGAGAGTGAGGATTCTCTACTGTACCTTCACTGAGGGGATGCCCTTCTCCGGCATGTCCACTGTCTCCCAGAAGTTCTTTCCAGCTAAAAGGGAGACCTTCTCTTTCAACGTGAGCTGGTCTAGAACAGCGTCAATGTCAGGCGTCGCAGCGTGAGAACCCATGGCTTCGACTTTGAGGTGAATAAAGAGGACAATGAACGGGCAGAGAACAGATCAGGGCGTAATAAAGATTCATCCGCCCCTCAGCCCTGTCAGGAGGAGTTCATCGGCTCTTTCATGTGGAGAAACATGTCTATCATTTGCTAAGATCCGAAACAAGTATGTAGTAGCGCAAGACATGACAGCATTGCGGGATGGGCGGGAAGTCGTGGCAAACAGGTGTTATCCGAAGTTAAGCCGGTTGCCTCCGGCTAAACCTCGGACTCTCTAGACACCTCCTCAAGACATCTTGGCCTCAAGCCACAAAGTCGGAAATGGATATCACGCGGAGTTGCAAGGTTGCTGATATCGGGTGTATTCAGCCCGAACACTCCACCCCGCATTTGCGGCGTACAGGTACATGTAGTACGTTCTGATTCACACACTTCTTCGCCTCGCTTTGACATATCAAATCTGGGGATTATGATGCAATGTCGTCACCTTCTATAACATCGCTTTCTTTTGGACAACACCAGACTGGCTTCGGGATCGGAGAGTCCCAGCCTCGCCTGTCATGGCGATTCACAACAAATGAACAGACATGCCAGGACTGGGAACAGACGGCATATGACATTGAAATCGCCCAACATTTCTCCTTAGCACCGGAAACACATCATGTCAAAAGCCCCAGCTCAGTCCTTGTACCCTGGCCAAGTCAGCCCCTCAAGTCTCGGGACATCGCCCACGCCCGGGTTCGTGCATATGGTGGACCAAACTCAGCTCCCACCGAGTGGTCAAACTGGAATACTGTTGAATGCGGCTTGCTACATCGGGAGGATTGGACTGCACACGCTATCACCCGGAATGTAAAGCAGCCCGAAGGCCCATTGCGACCTATCCGCTTTCGAAAGACTTTCACTGTCCCTTTCGCGAAGTTGCAGCAAGCTCGTCTTTATATTACCAGTCTGGGGGTGTTCCAGGCATATATCAACGGTGTACCTGTTGGTGATCATTGTATGGCCCCTGGTTGGACTAGCTACCACCATCGACTCAACTATGAGGTTTTCGATGTTGCTTCGCTTTTGCATGAGAATGAATCAGACACGATTGCTGTCGAGGTTGCTGAAGGCTGGTATGCCACTCGATTGGGTTTTCATGGTGGACGGCGGTTCATCTATGGGGATGAAATGGCTCTGATTGCCCAGCTGGAAATTCAATCTGAGAACGGTGATCAATTTACCATCGCATCTGACTCGACTTGGAAAAGTCACAACTCTGCAATTGTTAGCAGTGAGATTTACGATGGCGAGGTTTATGATGCGATTGACGAGCAAGATGGCTGGCACAGTCAGACCTTCGCATTGGAATCGACTTGGGATACAACTCGAGAGTTGGTCTTCCCGAGTGCCGAGCTCGTGGCTCCGAATGCCCCTCCTCTGAGAGTTACTGAAGTTGTCAAGCCGATTCAGATAATTACAACACCATCTGGAAAGAAAATCGTCGACTTCGGGCAGAATTTGGTTGGTCGTGTCCGGATTTCTAAGCTCGCAGTTACCCGTGGTGCAAATGTCATTTTGACTCATGCGGAAGTTCTCGAATATGAAGAGCTAGGAACTCGTCCTCTTCGATTGACCAAATGCAGCGACAAGATCATTTCAGCAGGCGATGAAATCGATTGGGCCCCTCGGTTCTCATTCCATGGATTCCGCTATGTTCAAATCGACGGATGGAATCCTGATTCGAACAACATCGTCGCTGACGTTATGCATACGGATCTATCTCGGACTGGTTGGTTCAACTGCTCTCATGCTGTGATCAACAAGCTTCACCAAAATGCCACTTGGTCTATGCGTGGAAACTTCCTATCTATTCCAACTGATTGCCCATAAAGAGACGAGCGTCTAGGTTGGACTGGGGACATCCAGGTTTTTGCCCCTTCTGCCAGCTTCCTCTATAATACATCGGGCATGCTTGGCGATTGGCTTAAAGATCTATCAGCCGAGCAACTTCAAAACCCAAATGCAATTCCTCCATTCGTCATTCCAAATGTCATTCCTGAAGAGGCGTGGCCTTCCTTCCCACAAGCAATTTGGGATGATGTGACAATTCTACTCCCTTGGGCCTTATACCAAAACTACGGCGATATTGACCTCCTTCGAAGGCAGTACCCTAGCATGATCGGCTGGCTAGATCTAGGAGTCCAGCGCGGACCTGATCGTCTATGGGATGATACTCTATTCCAGCTCGGAGATTGGCTAGATCCTACCGCGCCACCAGATCAACCAGGCAACGCGCGAACAGATGGAACACTCGTCGCTGACGCCTACCTTGTGCATGTCACGAAGGTGATAGCTGAGATAAGTTCAATGATTGGCGAAGAGGCCAAGGCAAGTCGCTATGAAACAGAATATCGAAGCCTGAAATCGCGCTTCCAAACAAAATACGTTACCCCGGAGGGCTGGTTAGTCGGCGACACACAAACAGCTCTAAGTCTCGCCTTAGTATTCAATCTACTCGATGATCCAAAACAAGCATCAGCAGCAGGAACACGTCTAGCCCGCCTAGTCCGGAAATCGAAATTCCAGGTTTCAACCGGGTTCGCAGGGACACCGGTGATCACACACGCATTAACCAAAGCCGGATATCCTCAATTAGCATACCGCATGCTTCAAGAGAAGAGTTGTCCTTCGTGGATGTATCCAATTACCATGGGTGCTACTACTATCTGGGAACGGTGGGATAGCATGCTTCCTGATGGATCGATTAACCCTGGTGAAATGACGAGCTTTAACCATTATGCTCTTGGTTCAATTATTAACTGGCTTCATAAGACGGTTGCGGGCGTTAGTCCCCTTAAGCCTGGTTGGCGGCATATTCTCATTCAGCCTGTGCCTGGTGGCACTGTTACCTCTGCCGAGGCTATCTATGAGACTTCTTATGGGCGGTTGGAGTGTCGGTGGGAGGTTGATCAGGATGGTGAGTTCCATCTTGAGGTGCTTGTGCCGCCGAACTCGAGGGCAAAGGTTATTTTACCGAGCCAGACTGGAGAAGAAGAAGAAGAAGAAGAAGAAGAAGATGCTAAGTGGATTGGATCGGGAAACTATTCTTTCACCAAGCCGTTTGATAGTCAGGCTGGTTGGCCTCCAAAGGCACTGGTACCCCCAATGTTTGAACCTGAGGACAGCTTTGTTTAAGGAGTGATATATCAAAGTTTCCAAATCAGAAAATGCAGAGTATAATGTTTGCAGCCTTGTTTCTGAAAACTTTCCTTCAACCTAGAAATGTGCGTATAGAACTAGATCGACGGGCCTTGTTCCTAATTTGGACTAGTCGATATATGTAAGTATCATCATTGGTCAAATGCCAGATAATTATGGGCTATATCTATACGCGTATCTGTACTTCGATCTTCTAAAGACTAAAAAAAGGTTCTACTATGTTGATAAGGGGACGTATATTTTCTATAAAGCAACCAGATGTTCTCTAAAGGGTTATCTGGGCTCACAATCCTCAGTCTCATCGTCAGCGGCACACACGCACACCATCAACATGAACCAGCTCGTATCCCATGCCTACAAATTCTAGAACTATGCGCCCTCAATACCCGCAGCGGTAATTTGTGTGCTTATATTCATAGCTATGATGGGGCTTCACACATGGAAACTTTTCAGGGCGCGTACATGGTTCTGCATAGCATTTACCTTGGGAGGGTTGTGTAAGTTGACATTCTTCCCCATTGAATGTTGGCTATACCACAAGAATCAATCACTGATCTGATCCATATTCTAGTTCAAGTCGTTGGCAACATAGGCCGCTGCATTGCACACAATAACACAACAACAATGGGACCCTACATCCTCTCAAACATCTTCGTTCTCCTTGGTCCAACCCTTTTCGCCGCCACAATCTATATGACCCTCGGCCGACTAATCCACCGCGTTCATGGCGAGCATCTCTCCCCCATCCGCGTCTCACGTCTGACCAAAACATTCGTCTGGGGAGATGTCTTATCCTTCGCCGTCCAAGGCAATTCCTCATCGCTATCCGTACTGGGATATCCAAAGTGGGGAAATGTTCTCGTGATAGCCGGATTGGCAATCCAATTAGTCTCGTTCTCTTTTTTCTGGGTGACGGCCATTGTCTTTGCTAGACGGCTTCGACAATCGCCCACATCTGAGTGTCTCAAGCCTGGTGTTCCATGGAAGCAATCGCTGCATATGCTTTACGCTGTCAGTGCGTTGATCTTGACTCGGTCTGTCTTTCGTATTATTGAGTATGTGATGGGCAATGATGGGTATCCTCTGATGCATGAGTGTACACTTTATATTTTTGATAGTGTTCCTATGGCGAGTGTTATGGTGATCTTTTTTGTTTGGTACCCTGATCAATTGAGCTTGGATTTGAGTGTTGATAGGGGTATACCGCTTGCGCACAGTTATACCACTGTTTGAAATGTTTGAGGGGTTGATGCTTGCTGTGTTATTATTGTATCCATAAGTTAGGGAGTGCTTGCATTGTTTGTGCTTCAGTTCTGGTATTTACCACTTTTTGATTTCTTTTGCTGTCATACATATTATCATGCTGTATTTGAGTAATACTTATACCTGGCGTCTAGGTAGGAAAGAGAGAGGGAGTTGAAAGACACATCCCAGCGGTGAGTCCGTAGCTTAGCATCAATGGGCTGTAGATGTTGAGTCATTCTACCTCAGCTTTATCTTGCCTACAGTCAGGCAGTTCATGTCAAGGTTAATTTGGTCAAAGTGAAATTCGGACCTTACAATGTTGTCACTTGATTATACTACTATGGTCTACTCTAGACCTTGCTTTTGGCATCGTCCTTCATTCCCTGCTGGATCCAAGCCCTGGCATCAGCTGCATGCTTATCCATGGTAGCCTTATCCTTGATCAAATCCTTAATAGTGTGAGGGGAAGGAACATGACGGCCCTTCTCCATGGCAGGTCGCTGAACAATGCGCTCCTCCCAAGCCTTCACATGCGGGAACTCCTCAATATCAATACCAGCCCATCCAGCAGCAGCAATCCATCCCCAGTGCGTGATATCAGCAATCGAGATGTGATCACCAACAATAAAGCCAGACTTGGACTGAGCAAGGTGCTTATCCAATACGCCATACAGCCGGCGTGACTCGTTGACGTAGCGGGTTACACCATATTCAATGTGCTCCGGGGCATATCGTGAGAAATGGTTGGCTTGGCCTTGCATGGGACCCAGTCCTGCGTTCTGGAAGAACAGCCAGTTGTTCACTTCGTAGTATTCGCGTGTACCCTTGGGGTAGGAGATCTTGTGGTCTGGGTCATATTGCTCTGCCAGATACTGAAGGATGCTGCCAGACTCAAAGAGGTTGATCTGCTGGCCATCGCTGAAGGTGTCTGTCAATGCTGGGATGCGGCCGTTGGGGTTGATCTTGAGGAACCAGCTGCATGATTGTTAGGAATTATAGATGATTTTAATGTGACACTGCATACTCTTCCTTCTGGGTGTTCTTGGAGATATCGATCCTTTCGACCTTGTATGGCAAGCTGTGGGCATGTCAGTACTAGTTTCAAAACTGAGATGGAGCTACATACCCAAGCTCCTCCAGAGCCATGGAGATCTTGATCCCATTGGGGGTCTGGGCCGTATACAAAGTAATGTTTGGTGAGCTCATATTGACTGATGAATGAGGTTTAGGTTGGTGAAGTTCAGTGAAAAGAAAGCTTATGAGGGGTTTAAGTACAGCTCTCGGGCTCCCCACATCGCGGATTTATAAGCTCATGGAAACACCCCGAGATCCCGGAGCTTGTTGAATAATCAACTACTGCAAGTTTCTAAGGTTACAGAGGAAATCTGATTCAATTAGTTCTACAGGCAGCAATAATTGGGCAGTGGATATGAGGTCTAACGCGAATTGTTCATGAATTTGTTCTTTCATCTGATTTCATTTAAAAAATATCCGTGGAAGTAGTGGGTGTTATCATCTCACTCTTATATTTTGTATGCGCCATGGGCTTTTAAGTAGCAAAAACTGCGATCCAAGGGTTGGCAGCCTAAAACATCAGCCTTGTCCAAAGGACCCGAAACAGTCTCCTTCGAAGCTTTGGCTACGTACGGCAGAAACCGATAAGCTGGGCAGTGGATGGTGGCAGTATAGCTTCGGAATATTCGGCGGTGAAAATAGACACCGCCCAACATCTGCCATCACGTGGAGGGCCACTTTTACAAGACAAAAGAAGTCTTCTTGGGCATCCTATCTTTGCATCACTAATCTTACATTTTTTTACCAAAACAGTCATGGCTTGGCGCAATCAAGGCATCACTGGCTCCAATAATATCCCGCTGGGGAAGCGGCGTATGGGGGCGGATGACGAAGAGGAGGACTCGCGCACTGCGACCCCTTCGTTCGACGGCCCTAAACGCGGTCGCAGCCCTGTTCGCGGTATGTATCCCCCCAATTTTCAACACCAGAAATCACATATACTGACATATCATCTCGCAGCTGACCCACCCCTGGCCGCCGATGGCTCCAAGAGACGCAAGAAGCGCAACCGCTGGGGTGACCAGCAAGAGAACAAGGCTGCTGGCCTCATGGGCCTGCCCACCATGATTATGGCAAACTTCACTAGCGAGCAGCTGGAAGCTTACACGCTCCATCTCCGTATTGAGGAGATCAGCCAGAAGCTTCGGATCAATGATGTGGTCCCGGCTGATGGTGACAGGTGTGTCCTTTTCCCCTGCACCCTTCCATTGTCTAACCTCTATCGCAGATCTCCTTCGCCCCCTCCCCAGTACGACAACTTCGGTAGACGTGTAAACACTCGTGAATTCCGCTACCGCAAGCGACTCGAGGATGAGCGTCACAAGCTGGTCGAGAAGGCCATGAAGACCATTCCTAACTACCACCCGCCCTCTGACTACAGACGCCCGACCAAGACCCAGGAGAAGGTCTACGTCCCAGTGAATGACTATCCAGAGATTAACTTCAGTATGATAACTAACCCTCTAACTCCTAACTATCCTTCCATCGTGTCTGTCATGAGTCCCTGCTCGACTCGAGTTGACAAGACATCTCTCTTTGAATGTCCTCAACTCGTTTCTTGCTAAACCTTGGTGCTTGATGCTGCATGTTCATTCAAAATTACCGGATAACTAATACTCAGCTTTCTTTGCTACTTTTCTACAGTTGGCTTACTCATAGGACCTCGTGGAAACACCTTGAAGAAGATGGAGACCGAATCCGGCGCCAAGATTGCCATTCGAGGCAAAGGTTCCGTCAAGGAAGGAAAGGGCCGATCCGATGCCGCTCACGGTAGCAACCAGGAAGAAGATCTGCACTGTCTGATCATGGCCGATACCGAAGAAAAGGTCAACAAAGCTAAGAAGCTTGTGCACAACGTCATTGAAACGGTCAGTCACTTTGATACTGTGATTAAAATTTGATACTGATGATTTTACTAGGCTGCCTCCATCCCTGAAGGCCAGAATGAGCTGAAGCGCAACCAACTCCGTGAGCTCGCTGCTCTCAACGGTACTCTTCGTGACGATGAGAACCAGGCTTGCCAGAACTGTAAGTTGGATTTTTATGAACATTCCTTAGCGCAATTGATACTTACCGCACTAAACAGGTGGTCAAATCGGACACCGCAAGTACGACTGCCCTGAGCAGCGTAACTTCACTGCCAACATCATTTGTCGTGTCTGTGGCAACGCAGGCCATATGGCTCGTGATTGTCCTGACCGCCAGCGTGGTAGTGACTGGCGCAACGGCCCCGGTGTGGACAGACGTGGTGCTCCCCGTGTTGGCGGCACCGGTGATGCCGTGGATCGTGAGATGGAGGTAAGCTTGCTTCAATCGCTGACTGTTAAATCACGCTTGGTACTAACAATTTTTCTAGCAACTCATGAACGAACTGTCTGGTGGCGCAGGTGGCGGCGAGTACGAGCCCCGTCGCATTGAAGCCGGTCCCGAACAGGGCGGCTACCCTGACGACCGCGATGCGAAGCCCTGGCAACAGCGTGGACCCCCTCCTCAGAGCGATGTGGCTCCATGGCAGCAGAGAGGCCGCGACAACCGCCGCGACGATTACGGCGGATCTCGTGGCGACTATGGCTCCCGCGAAGACTATGGAGGCCGCAGCCAGGGTGGCCCTGCCCCTTGGGCCCAGAACCGCGACTACGGCTACCCAGCTCAGGGCGGATATGCTGCTCCTGGTACCGCCCCCGCCGCAGCCAACCCTTGGCAGCAGCCGGCTCCTCCAGGTGGCCAGCCTGCCTATGGGTACGGTGGATACGGCGGTTACCCTGCTACTGCTCCTCCCGGTATGGGAGCTCCTGGTGCTGCTCCTCCCGGCATGGGTGCTCCTCCACCTCCTCCGGGTATGGCCCCCATGTACTACGGAGCTGCTGGCAGCCCTCCACCCCCGCCGCCTCCTGGTGACGCTCCGCCACCTCCTCCCAGTGACCAGCCTCCCCCACCTCCTCCCCCTGCTTGAGCAATTCACTATGCTTCATGTACTCGCCTTACAGTCGTTCACCGAAATCTACAACAAAAAACGCAATTCGATTAATACGATTGGACAAAGATGCCCGCGGTTTCTTGCTAACAAGAAGCCCACAAAACAGCTATCGATATTTTGCTTTTCTAACTCATTTGATTAATACTTCTAATTCACCATAAGTATTGCTTCACAGAAGTATATTTCCCGTAGTAAATAGTCACCTAACGAGTAGCACTCAAACACGAAGTACATGTAGAACAATAAAGACAGCGGCCTCATGCCCCACTTTTAGTCTTGGCTTCATCAGCTCCGAGTCTTTTTCTCCGCAAAATCAATTGCACCTCGATTGCGCCCCAAGTTTCACCTTCAAATATTGCCCAGCATCTATGCAGAATACCCACATGCCGCGCGCATCACACTGACCCATAAAATCTATCAAAACATTACATATGCAAGGACCCTCGCACGGAGACTTCTCCCTGCCCGGGCCAAACATGCACACTTCTGCCTCCGCCCAGCGGAAACCTTCCTTGCAGTCTCAGCGTCTATCATCTGTGCGCTCAATGCGGTCTGGAAGATCAAGCCACGCTTCAACGCGCGAGCCTGCCCAGGCAGCCGAGCAGCTGCAGCACGCGGTACCAGAAGACTCGCAGCACCATACATCGACCGCGACATCGGCTCATTCGGCCAAGTCGAAATGGTGGCATGTCCATTTGTTCCGGGGTATGGTTAATGATGTCAAGCGTCGCGCGCCGTATTATTGGAGTGATTGGACTGATGCGTGGGATTATCGCGTTGTTCCGGCGACAGTCTATATGTACTTTGCTAAGTATGGGTTTCTCTGCTATTATCAATTCATGATGGAGTATTTGGTTGTTGATGCCTTTTTTCAGTATTTTGCCTGCTTTGGCTTTCTCTTTGGATATGTTTGAGAAGACGAGTCAGAGCTATGGGGTAAATGAAGTTTTACTTGCTTCTGTTCTTGGGGCTTTTGTTTTCTCCCTTTTTGCGGCGCAACCGTTGGTTATTGTTGGTGTTACTGGTGAGATTACTTGAATTTAGGCACTGTGGTCTGAGCTGATGTTTTCAGGTCCTATCACTGTGTTTAACTACACTGTCTACGATATCATTGCCCCTCGGGGAACCCCCTATCTTGCTTTCATGTGCTGGATTGGCATGTGAGTTGGATCACCATGTCTTAAGCTTCCAAGCTTTACTGACACAAAATCTAGCTGGTCGTTGATTATGCACTGGATTCTGGCTATCACGAACTCCTGCAACGCATTAACCTACGTCACCCGATTCTCGTGTGATATCTTTGGCTTTTACGTTGCCTGCATATATCTCCAGAAAGGTATCCAAGTACTCACCAGACAATGGGGCTCTATGGGAGAAACATCCGCATATCTGGCCATCATGGTCGCACTTCTCGTCCTGATAAGTGGATGGATCTGTGGAGAATTGGGTAACAGCAATCTCTTCAAACGATTCATTCGAAAATTCCTTGAGGACTATGGCACACCTCTTACCATCATCTTTTTCACTGGCTTCATTCACATTGGTCATATGAGAGATGTTGATGTCGCTACACTTCCTACCAGCAAGGCCTTCTTCCCTACTCTGGATCGTTCTTGGCTGGTGCGATTCTGGGATATTGATGTCGGTGATATCTTCCTCGCTATCCCATTCGCACTGCTTCTTACTATTCTCTTCTACTTTGATCACAATGGTATTGTTGTCACTCCGTCCTCGAAACTACAATGGCTAATCTGATCACAGTGTCCTCCCTCATTGCCCAAGGAACTGAGTTTCCTCTGAGAAAGCCAGCCGGCTTCCACTGGGACCTCTGGCTCCTCGGCCTTACAACCTTCGTAGCTGGTCTCCTGGGAATTCCCTTCCCGAACGGTCTCATCCCCCAAGCACCTTTCCATACAGCTGCTCTATGCGTCACCCGCCAAGTCGCAGATGAAGATGACACAAACAAAGGCAAAGCAATCCGGATAACAGATCATGTCGTCGAGCAGCGAGTCAGCAATTTCACCCAGGGACTCTTGACCCTTGGCACAATGACTGGTCCACTCCTCATTGTCCTGCACTTAATCCCGCAGGGCGTTATGGCCGGTCTTTTCTTCATCATGGGTGTCCAAGCTCTCCAGGGCAATGGGATCACGCA